GGGGGGGGGGGGTTTATCGATCCGGTCGCTTACTCTTTCATTCACGACTCGTGTCCCCCCACCGTTGCGTTCTTTCTTTCTCCCCTCTCTCTTTCTCTTTAGTGTCTTTAACTAAGAAGCTTTCGACGAGCCTGTATTTCATGCTTCCCGCATGGCGCGCGATAGACGTAGTGTAGTCACCGTTGTTATCTTTATTTGGTTTCTCTTTTATTTTCGAACGGTGCGCACGGTTCTCTCTCTCTCTCTCTCACGATAAATCGCGATATCGGTTCGCAATTTTGCGCCCCGCGCGTTTTGTCCGACGCGGTCTCGCATCCTTTTTCATCGGGCTCTCTAGATAGTTCCGAAGGTTTTTGTCCTTCGCTGGGAAAACTTTCCTCTAATTAGAGCGGGGCGAGGGACGATACTTGCTTCTGGGCGGAGGCGAGTTTCCACGGAGCACTTTCGAGTTCTTTTTATTCACACTCGCCGATTTGAAGGGAACTTTGAAGAATTTCATATTGCGACTTCGCGAACGGTTGCGACCCTTTCTCTCTCTCTCTCTCTCTCTCCTACTCCGCCACCATTATTTACATTGGCTTCCAGTAAACATTTTCGCGAAGTGCATTAGCGGCCTGAAGTTCTCGATTTATGCACGCACAATTTCATCGTCTCGCAATAACTCCTCCTCCTCCGAGAAATCAATTTCCCTCGTCATATTTCCTCTTGCTCAAGCAACTCCTTTCGTGACGCGGCTCGATAAAGGAGAAGCCTTCTGTCTTCCTCGTCACGACGTCATTACGGAAGTTTTTTGCCGGCCATCCCGCGCCGGTCACCTGTTCGAACCGCGGAAAATCGAGATCGTAGATCACCGTGACCGGGGAGCGGCCGAGTATCATTAGCGACAGTGCGGGCATCGAAATTCGCTTTGACGGAAATTGGATAACGTGACCGCTGTCGTGCGATTAAATGCCAGGCCAGCGCTCTGGCTTCGCGTGCTATGCTAAATGTCGCGGGGAATACGCTCGATATACGATCGCACGTGGGAGCAATAGCGGAGATAATGATGTTTCTCAAAGCATCGCCGCGACGGGACACGCCCGTTTCGCAATTTCGCCGATTCCCACGATTCCCGGCCGCGAGTCCGCTCCACCATTATTTGCCCGAGTATCCAGAATTTTATCACTTACCGGGCGTGCAACATACGACATTAATAATCCCGGTTACGAAGTTAATTCCATTTTCTCCCGGAATCCATGGACGAAAACGCGGCGTGCTTCGAGAGCGCTCTGAGCAATTTCCACTTAAACAAGCGATTGTTTCGTCAGCTCGCAAGGGCACCATTCCAAGCTCGCCTAAGACGCCCGTATTTTTAACTCGATAATGCCGGATTAGAAAATAGAACACGTCGCTATTTCCGTTTGTAAGACACGTAGCGCGGAGTATTCCTCGGAGGATCCGCGAATTTCGACTTTGGCAGGCCGGCGGTAGACGGAATTTCCACTGGCACTCCTAAAATTAGATTGGACGGGACCCTTTTATTTTCCAGTGAAACGTCGTTTTTTATTCAAACCGGTCATTATGCTTCTTATTTCGTCCTTCGGTGTCTACATGCCGCGGCAGTTTCCGCCGTTTCTGGGACGCCTCACGTAGCAGCGACGGCCCTTATTAAACGGGTTTAATTGCGCGCAACTTACGGGACTGGCAGTTTCTTCGTCTCTCCGGCTTCCTCGAATAGGAGAAATTTAATTGATCAGATATCGGGGGGGGGGGGCTTGTCAAAACTCCCTTATCGGCCTGTCCCCGTGATTCCGCCTTTCGTACGTATTGTCGTGTTCGGATTCCCCGGCAGATTGCGAACGCCCGTACGGCTTAGCTCCCATTTCAGCCAAGTGACATCAATATTCCCGCTATCTTGACGACCGCCGTGACGACGAACGACGGAAGCCTTTTTCGGCAACGAAACACTCGTAGCGTCCTCGGCAATCTGTATTCTTTGTTACGTCTATTTCCCGCGGATTACACGGCACATCTGTCCACGTGTTCCTGCAACTTTTATATATCCAGTCCCTCCCTTTCTCGTTTCTTTCCTCCCCTCCTCTCGTCTGGCAGCGTCAATAATTTATTTTTTCTTTCTCGGCGATGATAACTCTGAGCTCGACGAAGCCGCGGGCTTTCCGGCATCGATCCGAATCTCCCTCAAACAGTCCCCGCTTGTTTATTTCTCGTTTCATTGAATTTTCCACGTTATTACCACTTTCGTAATGGAAGTCGAAGGAAGCCGCGCGCGATACGCGCGACTCGTGTTGCCAAATTGTATTTGCTCACGTAACACACCGGGAAAATCTGGATCACGCGGTGCGACGATGACGATTTCGCGAGAAATATCGCGATTGGAAAGGTTGCCGATGGAAGAGCCTCGTTTCGCTATATCGTCTTACTCTGAACTCGCGAAAATGTGGGATCTCGCGCGACCACGGAATTTACCACGATGTTGTGTTACAAGTACGGTGTGATCCGTTCTATGCATAAATACGAGAGATAAAACTCCGAGTATTGGCGGTAGCTTCCTGTTTACGATGCCGGAGTGGCGGTCGGGATTTTTGTTTAATAACAGTCGCGTAAACCGGGATTGGAAGTTTAACTGCACAAATGCCGTTAAAGGGTTTTGAAACGAGCGCGAACTAATTACATGCGGTCGCTAGAATGGTAACGAGGATCTCGAGTGTTGAAGTTCTATAATCGACTCTCTCTCTCTCTCTGCTGAATATGATAAAAATTACAATGACCCGATAATACACGCGCGGGCAACGGCCCTCGTTAAACAACCTTGTTATAACCGTCAGGCGAGCGAGAATACACGGAAATACATGCATAGTTGGCGTATTCATATCGCGTTGTTAGGTACATTCATTATCGATCGTCGTTCGATTATTTAGCTGGGCCGATTCGAAACGTGAAGAGCGAACCGACGCGCACGACGACGCACGGCTGGAAATGTCAGTGGCAAACAATATGATTGATTGCCGCGTATAACGCGTATGCCATTTCGTGTCCGTTGCAGAATACAGAACGCTCTGTTTCCCTCCTCTGTGTCCCTCTCATTCTCTCTTTGCGTCTCGCGGGTCGATTTTGCAGGTAGGTTCATTTTAATCGCGCGGAGTCTCTCATCTCAGGAGTTCATTTTACTCTCTCATCATCGTCTCTCTCTCTCTATCTCTCGGACGTTCACGACGGACGTTCTTCGTATTTCTCTCCCTTACCGTATACGATGTATATCGAATTGAGATCTTTCTGTTTCAGCGACGGTCGATTGGTAGAAGGCGACCAGATATTGGCGATCGATGGGCAGCCCTTAGACTCGAACATCTCCCATGAGCAAGCGATCTCCATTCTTCAGAAGGCCCGTGGTCTGGTTGAGCTAGTCGTAGCGAGAAGCACCCAAGGTAATTACCATCTTTGCCGTGTGCGGAATCCCCTTTATACATTAGAGAAGCGCCTCTTGACGTGATTTCGGCTGTGATTTGCCACGGGGGACGACACGAGTGACAACACACGCGCAATTGTTGCGATTCCAAACGCGACGAATCTCGCACTCTCGCGGAAATGCGAAAGCTCGCCGCGGATTATTCGAATCGAACGCCCGTCGCTTCTCTCTGCCACCAGGACACGCTTCATTTGTCCTTGCAATTTTTACACAAACGCCGCGAAATAACGGGGAAATATTGTTCGATACCGTGGCGGTACGTCAAAATCGTTGATGTCGGCATAAATTTTGACTCCCCACGCCCCGAAGAGTTAAATTAGTTTCGCTAAGCTTTTTTCTGCGGCCTGTCGTTGCATATGGAACAGCAAACTCGCAGTGGATTGTTCGTGCGTGGACACGTCGCGAGTGACGCAGTTGATTCGAGAGAATATCGCTTTACCAATGTTAACTTTATTTCTCTCTCTCTCTCTTTTTTCAAATTATTTTATCCGACACAGAATTTTTCATAAAAACGTTATAGTAGATATTACAAAATGAATCGGAATTTGCGCGAATTCAACGCGTGCGAATCCCCCCCTCCCCCCTCTCTCTCTCTCTCTCTCTCGGTTAATCAAATTTCTTTCTCGGAAAAGGAAAAGACAGTTCTAATAAGCTTTCGTGAAATTGCGGAAAATCGAGCGTTCACCGTCTTTGCATTAATATTCAGACTTGACACACGTCGGAGAAGTTGCAAGAGTGCCACGTCCAAGTACTCTCTAAATTTCGTGGAGTTTGAGGGAGAAGATTTCCTCCGAAACGAATGAAAATTCCCCTTGACGCGATAGTAAAAATATCGTCGCTCAAAACCGAAAGAGTAAATATTTAACTCGAGCATCGTCGAGTGGATTCTTCATAATTCATACGAATGAACGTTTCAGTCTATTAGTATGAATTAGTTTTAGCGGAGTATATTGGATCTATCCTTCAATTTTGAATGAAAGTGTTCACTCGACAATACAGCAACAAATATATTCTACGGGAAAGTATTCGAGAATCAGTCTGACGTTCTCGAGATGCATGCGACAAACGGCGCGCTCCACGGTATCACACGGTTAGCCCGGATAACACCGGAAGAGCTTGCACAATGGGCGGAACGTGGTACGCTTGCTTGACAGACGTTGGGAGCTCTTTGCCAACGGATGAATTGTCCGGTGGTTCGAGTTCGACAGCGGCCGCAGGAGCAGCGTCGTCCATCGTCGGCGGCGGTGCCGCTGCAGGGAACAACCAGACAAGCTCCGACAAGGATCAATCGGTGTCAGCGTCGTCTGTCGTTACACCCGCACCGACCCCGAAGTCAAGCCAACCGGCCAGCACCACTTCGGCGGCCACCCCGACACCTACGCATACGCCAACACCTACGCCGACTTCGACGCCGATACCTGGTGGCCTCGTTATCGAAAGGAGCCCCTCCGCCGTTAGCGACGCCTCCAAGAGTGGTTCTGACATGGTGGTAAGTTCCGTCGTTCTTCCCTCCTCGTTTAACCTCCAACCCTGTGTACCTCGGAATACCGTCCTCTTATTTCTCTCACGAACCATCTCATGATACCGCGTCGTTCCGCAGTACACGTTCTTATCGCCGCTCTCTTTCAGCCTTTTTCACTTTTATATTTTTATCGTGTGTGGGTGATATCATAACGACACGATCAGCGGCACGCGCGTGAAGAGAAAAAACGACTGTGTTAGTATCGGCGACATTCGATGTCTCCTTTTTGATCGTGTATCCAATCGAGAATGCCTCAGGGCGCTCAAAACGCGAATTAACGAGTTCCCCTCGACGCCGCGAACGATCGTAACGCGGCTCTTCGTAACACGAGGGATAACTAGACATTATCCTCCCGCGACGATCGTCCTTTATCCCTGCGACGAAACGATCTTGCTCGGCGCTTTGTTCTTTCCCCCTCAGCGGAGCGATTCCTCGGATATTTTCTCTTAGCATGGTAGACCATCGTCTCTCTGAATCCTACCCCGCGTCAAGGACCTTCCCCATCGACTCTTAATAAGTGCGCGTGCTCCTCTCTCGCCTTTCTTATTTTATCCCGTGATTCGCAGCTGGAGCGGGGAGACCGGTGATCGAGCTTTTTCGAGCTAATCGAGATCCGTGCGCGCGCGCCTCTCGTCCTCCTCCTTTTCCTGCCCTCGGTGCTGGGCTAGGGGTTGAAGGTTCCTCCTACTGGGTCGAAAGAAATATTTGCGGCGGAGCCGTTCTCTCGAGCGTCGGCAAAATCCAGCGATAAAATCCCGATCGATACACCGAGGCATAATTGGCCTCATTTGGGCGTTGTTTCCCCCTCTCCTCCCTCTCTCTCTCTCTCTTCCTCTTTCTTTTTTTTTCATCGCTCACCCTTCGTTTCCTGCGCCTTCTGTCGTGATAATAGGAACAGTGGCGCGGCTGCGACGGGAATAGAATTATTAGCGGAGCCTCGGACCGGCACCTCGAGGCAATATACTTCGGCCAATAGTATTTATCTTATATCTGCTATCGTCGATATTGTGATGGCGATATCGCGCACCGCGAGTGGCATCGAGTGGCTCTCCTACGAAATTATTACTTATTTGAAGTTGAACGTATAGTTTATTCTCGGTTCTGCCCCCATCAGCTTTATGCTACGCTCATAGACATTTGTTTCTATGTTTCTCGAAAATTAATATAGCGGGCGTTAACTTTCAATCATTTTCTCCGTAAAATTGCGTAGGTTGCGGTTTACGTTACGGTTACGTTTCAGTGCCGGCAGACAGCGTTTAATGTTATATTTTGCGAACCCTGTCGAGTGAAATAGTATTATCTTTCGTAATTATATATATATATATATATATATAAATCTATTTATTTATTTATTTATATATTAACGTGTCACAGACGAGCCCGCCCCACGTGTATCTTAAAAGTAATTTAAAAAATTAATCGGAAGCTTCGTTCGGAGCTATTAATTTTCCTGCGAGAGGAAGGGAGGGAGGGAGAGGGAGGAAAACTTTTCGATCAGCCAACACCGATGCCAGTGTCCGGGGCGATTCCTCTCTCCGACATTCGATATACCTATAGATCGGAAGGTTTTTTTCACTAGCAGATAAATCGAGTGCCCATTCGCGTTATCTCCTCCTCCCCTTGCCGCCGCCGGTCTTCGATAATAGGAACAGCGGCGGCGGTTCTGCGACGGAAATAGAATTATCGGTAAAGAGTTTCGCTTGACGCCCTCCAGGCAACGTCGGTTCTGCAGGCAAGGTTTGCGTGATCTTTAAAATTTATCGTCCATTACCGGACGAGAACGGGGATAGAAAACTGTAGAATCGTTTAGCCCTCCGGCGATACTACTTCGACGGGGTAATTTAATCGTAACAAATTGACACTTCCGCGCGCGGAGTCAGATCTGCGACTTGCATATGCATGTGGGCGTGTTCGTGTCTTTCTCCTCTCTCTTCTTCTCTCGTCCATTTCGGCATTCCCGTCGTCGATCAATTTTATCCGGTGAAAATGGAGCGATTTGCGGCTCAACACTTTCACCACGGCGCAAAGTTTGCACAACGTCGCGCGTTACGGCGAACGATAATGATCGCCGCGGCAGTGAGAGTGCTCATAAACAAAACGAGTTCAACGGTCCTGGATTTACGGCAAATCGAGATTTCCGGATATCAGAGATCGCATTGATTCATTCTCGTCGCCTATCCGATTCTCATTCTCCTCGCACGCAAGCGAGAAAACGCGTAAACAAGCAAAGTTGCCAGAGAGACGACTTTGAAGGCGACGACTACGTCGTTCCCTCTCGATATTTATTTATGAAGGTTTACGAAGGATATTAAAGAGCTAATATTTATGTTGATCGCAGTCGAGAGAATCGTGTGTACTAACGACGACTCTAAGTTAGCAAACTCCGGAATATTTGATCGCGCACACCTGACGGCGCGTTTATTTCTCTGCACGACTCTAAACAAACGTCATGCTTGATTGATCGGAGGTCGGTGACTCTCTCTCTCTTTCTTTCTCCCCCCTCCCCCTTCCTCTCTTTCTCACTTCTGACACTGAGGACGAGAATAGAGTTAGACGGGAACTTCCGGCGCTGTCAGTGGGGCCGGTCGAAAAGAGGGTCGAATGAAATTTTATTGCATCTATCGATGCATTATTCAGTGTACCGTTACGGTGCACTAATGGAGAGTTAGTTTCTCCGATTCCCAGTAGTGCAGGTATCGAACCGATCGTTCCGACCCGACGCGACGTTCCGTTAGGTGCGCTTTCGTTATCGTCCCGGCGCAACGTGCGTTTCTCAACGGACGTTTCTCCCGAAAGCCCGCTAACGTGCGCAAATTGAATTAGAAACACGGAACAACATTCCGCGGGAGACGAGGGGAAACGGGGAACATCCGACCAACCTTTCGGTTTCGCTCGAGAGAGCATCTGTGCCGCTTCCTCGCAAGAAGGTTTTATGCACGCCACAACAAAATGGAGATTAACTGCCTTTCGATACATTTAAAAATTAAATGAGAAACAGAGGCGCGCGCGGTTGGTTCGATGTGTGTAGAGTACCTGTAATACACTGTTAACCATGTATCGTCAAAGTTGGACGTACACGTTGAGATAAAAACCCTCACGTAGTTAGGAACATTTCAACGAGGAATTTCAGTGTACGTGCATTTCAGTGTACGTACCTCGGAATATGGATATGTACCACGCAATAGTACCTCCAAAATTCGGCCACGAGGCACTTACCTCGTGGTACTTCCGAATTCGAGGTATGTATTTCGAAATGTCCCTCATAGTTACGTAGGGCTTTTATTCCAATATGTGTCTCCAACTTTGGCGGTACATGGTTAACAATTGGAAGCTTCTCTGAACATGGCGTAGTCAATCAGACATACGATCTCCAGATTCTTATTATAAGGACTCTAGAAGTATGCGTTCTTAAGCACTGCTCGATGTCGCCGAAAGTTAATATTACTCCTCACGATTAAGTCGCGCAGGATAAGAGGAGGGAACGGCCGCTTGACGCAGCCGGCGTTAACAACGCGATAGCGATTGATCGTCGGCTTCCTCTTTCCGTTCGGAGGTCCTGCTCGACCGGGGCTGCATCAGAAAACGGCGTGAGAGGAGCGGGTAGGGCGGGAGGGGGCGGTTGTAGGAAGATGAGGAGGAGGAGGAGGACGGGCTTCCGATGGAACTTCACTACTTATCCCGAAACTAATTCCGCGCCGTAAGGAACGATTATCGGATATACCCCCGAAGTAGTTCGCCCCTCCCCCTCCCCCAGCGTCCCAAGGTAGCAGCCTTTAACGACGACGACGTGAGGCGAATCTAACTGCGTGACGCGTTCTCCGCCAAAATGAATTTCTGGCTCCGCGATTCGCCGGTAAATGCTGCGTCCGGCCGCGTGTTTAATCTTTCGTTAGTGTGAGCGCACACACGCCTGGAGCGCGCGTTTGCACGACACCCGCAATGTAAATCACCCTCGGCTTTGTCTCTCTCTCTCTCTCTCTATCTTCCTCCTTTTCTGCTTCGTGTTTCTCGATGTGGTTTCCGCCCCTCCGGCTCCGGAGCGAGAGACCGTGGGATCTTCGGCGGACAAGTTCCGCAACATGCTGCACTGTCGTCCATGCATTTCGCGCAACCCTAGCGCGCGAGCGCTCGCCCGCGCTAAGCAATTACAGGATCATAAAAATTTATCGGGTTCCGCGTTTTAACGAGCCAATAACGGGGCGGCGCTCGTACTTAATCCGGGAAACGTCTAAACGCGGCCGGCTCGCGGCTGCCGGGATAAAAACGCTTTAATTAAATCCGACCGATTGTTTGATGTGTTGCCTCGTAAATTGGAACGCGGCGAGACGCACTGGAAGCCAGCCGGCTGGCTGTACTAGCAAATTTCAAACTTTGCCCGATAACGAACAAAAGCCCGTCTTCGCTCGTCCCTCCTTTTCGCATAATTTAGAACGGCCGGGAGGATTATCCGACAATGAATAGAGTTATAATATCTGCGTTCGGGAGCGGCCGTTTTACGACGAACGGAAGTGCCGGGTCGCGCGTGCCATTCGATCTTCATTTCCCGGCGCGATGTCGTCGCGAACGGGATTGTGTGTCGCGATGTTTAGCGAGAGGCGAGGCGGTCGATAATTCTTGACTGCGATCCACGAGCAGGCGGATACGCGCGCGAGCTATTGTGCGTCCTCCGAGAGAGATATCGGCAATCGGAACGTTAATATTAAATAGGTCGTTAATTGCGGCCGCGGACGATAACGAAGCAAACCCTGGAGAACCAATCAAATTTAATGACCTAATATATCGCAGGCAGAGATTATATCTGCGTCCATTCGCCGTTGCTTGCTTACTGCTTCTATATTGATTTTAGACAAATTATTATGCGCGTTACACCGAACATCGTAGCGCGCAGTCATCAAGTTCGAATGATCGGCTCGAGTTGTTAAATCATCCGAGATCGCTGCGGTAACGGCCGCGTGTTCATTAACGCATTAAATCGTCAAGCTAACGCAATTAGTGCTGTCATTATACAGTCCCGGTGTTTCTATAATATCATAGCTTCTATCTTCAGTAACTGTCATGAATATTATTCTAAGTAGTTATATTGAATAAAAGTTCTACCGTTCGAGCAATGTTTCGTTGGTCTCAGTAAAACGGTTATTTCAATACTCCAATATTTACTAGAAGTAGAAATATAATCGACAATGTATCCGGTCATTATTTATTGTCGTTGTAAGGATATATAATTAGGTAACATTTATCAAATAATTGGGTTTACTTGCCGTAAGAATGTACAGAAAAACGTAGCTCTTGCAACTTAAGCAACAAGTTTGACGAGTAAGATAAATGATTAATCACGGTCGAGAATCTCAACATGATGGTCTTACATTCACAGATTCATGATTGGCCAAGCGCAATTATTTCACCGCGTGTTAACGTAACCACAAAGACGAGTCGTCGAAGAAGAGAAGGTGCGCGCGTTCGTCGTGTTTTAAAGCGAGGGAAAATGTCGCGCATTAATCTGGCTCTTAAGCGCGACGTCGACACGACAAAGCGAATTTCTCGTCGTTACTGAAAATCCCGGGTAATCTTGTTCGTTTCGTTAACTTCGTTAAAATATGCCCTGCGTCGAGGATGCTGTCGTTACTCTCATTTTCCGCCGTAATACTCCATCTTTATTAGCCCTTTCTTTCCGCAATGTGAATTATGGATGGTTTCGTTAGTATCGTCATAACTTGAGGACGCGTGCGAGGCACGAAATGTATCCGCGAAAACGCGACGTCTCGCCGATTATTCGAGGGAGAGATCGCCCGGCCGTGTTCTCTCCACGGTGGACGATTCGCGAAATTTATTCAGCGTGCGTCTCGTGCGCGCCCGCCTATAAGTAATCTCTTAATAAAGCTAATCTCACCGTAATTAAATCTCAAAAAGAGGAGGCGCAATTTGAATCCGCGAGACGCGATTCGAATCGACTCTCTTCCCACGCGCGATTAAACCGCTAACGATCGCGCTGAAATTAAAATTAAAAAAGAACGGCTCTCTCTCTCTTTCTCTTTCTAACTCGCTCTTACTTCCTTTGTACTCACCATGATCGATAGGTGGGGTTTACTGATCGTAATAAAATTTTCATGAAAATGGCAGTTCGAGCTCCCATTATGCCGCAGCTGATCGTTCGGAGGTGAAAAAGCGCTTGAAGATATCGTTACGGCATTTTTCTCTTCATGTAACAAAGGACGCAATCTCAGACAGAGTCAGTCCCCCGCTCAGAGATTTCTTTTCTTTCGCAGTTGAATACGGAATGGGCTCAAGTTGAAGTAATAAACCTCATCAACGATGGCAGCGGCCTTGGATTCGGCATCATCGGCGGCCGTAGCACCGGCGTCGTCGTCAAGACCATTCTTCCAGGAGGTGTCGCCGATCGCGTGAGTAAATCGAATAATGATGGTGATATCACATCAATCAAAATGTTCGGTTCGATTTGCAAGAAATGGCGTTCACACTCGTGTGTGACGCAGGCAGCAATGCGGATAACGTCCCGCTGCCGGAATGTAACCAACAGATCATAGATAACGATGGCGATTACTCGGTCAGTGAACAATTGGTTTCCATTGAACGCAATGAAGTCAGATTTCACTCGAAAATCGAATCGCACGTCTTTCCATCGAGCCAATACATCCCTTTGACGTTGACATTGATATTAACAGTCAGAATTTTTTACACATTTATATATTTTACTTATTTTATATGTACACAGTAAAAAATGTTGTGTTAAATTTAACATTTTCACGTATCCCAAACAGTCTACACAAATTTTTGTGTTAATTTAACACAAGACGAATATGTTGAGAAGTAACACAAATATCATGTTAAAAATTAACACAAAATTAATATCCATAACATATAATCGACATTGAAGTGTAAAATGTGTTATTTTAACATTTACAAGTGTTATTCAAACATTTACACGTGTTATCGAGATACGCAACATAAAATGTTGTAAGTCAAATAATAAATGTGAGACACTGTGGTCCTCAATCAATAAAATATATTTCCGTTGAAAGCCAAAGCACGGTTAATTTAAGTGTCATTTACAATCAAAATCGAAAAATCATTTAAACATCGTCACCGAGATATATTTACAAAATATTGAAATAACACGAGCACAATATGTTAAATTAACGCACGAATATGTTGAAAATTTAACCTAAACCTTTTAACAAGAACCGATTTTAACACGGACACAAAATGTTTTATACTGTGTACTTATTTTTTATGTGTATATTTCCGTGCTGTATATTGTTTTATATATTTTTCACATCGACATTTTACATTTATAAGCGCAGATGTATCTGTGCAACATCAGTTCGATCGCGGATTTAATTTCCAGCAGCGCCGTCACTTCTTCAATCACTGCTTTAACTTTTGATGAGTTACTCACTTAATCATAAGGTCCGCCGGCGTCGCGTGCACCTTTTCCACTCTTTTTTGCCTCTCGTTTTCACCCTTCCCATCCCCCCTCCCTCCCGTCAAACTTCTTCGTCCCCGGACACTCGTGGCGCGCGTTTATTCAACAGTCTAACGGGCAGTCCGGAGTCGTGCGTGCGACACGAACGCGAACCTATAGATTTAATTTCGACATGAAACGCACGCCCTGAGGTGACTTATGGCATAAAACGAACCCCCCCTCCCCCTCTCTCTCTCTCTCTTTTTCTCTCTTGGAGAGAGAAAAAAACTGAGAAAGCGCGAAGCGAGAAAAATCCGGAACGCAAACGTTCGCCCTCCGGATGACAGTCGCGGAAATTAAACGCTCCTCCTCGCATTGTATGCCGCAGGATAATCGACTCCAGAGCGGGGACCACATATTGCAGATCGGCGATGTCAATCTACGCGGGATGGGGAGCGAGCAGGTCGCCGCGGTTTTACGGCAATCGGGCACACACGTGCGGCTCGTCGTCGCGCGACCCGTGGAGCCGACTTCGCCGGATTTCCAGGTACCCGCCTCCTCCCTTTCGTTATCTCACGCGATCTTTTCCATCGCGGCTAATTACGCGCCGCCTTGTCTTTTTATTCGCTGCCAGCCCCGATAATCGGCCGATATCGTGCGGCCTTTAACCATCCGTCGTTCCTCTGTCGTTTGTCCTCTCGCAAAAGATAACACATCTCCAATTGAAGACACCGAACGGCGCGATTCATTTACTCGCTCCGCGCTCACGCGGAGAGCAATTAAACTTCGGCCGGGGCGGCGCTCGAATTTATTTCCATATGCGGTTTCGTTAATTCATTTAACGATCGTGCGCGTGCGTTCCGTTGTGGTGGTGCGCGAAATTCAACGGATTCAAACAGGCGCGCGCAACGCACGCTTCCATTCGGGCGGCGTCGATTTACAAGGTGGTCCTCTTTGTGAAGCCGAAGCAAGCTTGTTTTCTTTCTTTCCGCGGGGCCGCCCGTTCTGAGAGAAGGAAGGAAGGAAGGAAGGAAAAGGAGCGAACGAGCGCGCGGGTATAACGTTTTAGAACTCGGCCCATTTGTCAGCCGCGCGCAAATTAGAAGCGAGTAACTCTTCCGCTCGCGCGCTCTCTCCCTCCCCCCTGCCCCTTTCACGCGCCCAGCCGCTCGCGTCCGTCTTCCACGAGGCTACATACTTAAGCAGACGAGCCTTAGGTGGGCGACGCGACCCATTAAATTCCAGCTCGGGGGTTTAAGATGTTCGCCGTGCCTGGAGATTGATGGTACGGCGCGTACGTCATTGTCAAGGCTCTTTATTGACTATCGGTACCGGCGTCCCCCGGTCGGAGTTCACGTGTGTAATTGTGTTAAATTGCGAGCCATTACGGCGATACATTACGGATGCGACTGCAACGCGATCGATATCGCGCGACTCTGAAGAGACCAGAGGACGGGGCTTCTCGCGCGAGGATCTCGCGAGGAGGCAAGAATAACGACGAGGCCGGAAACGGGAGGGAGGGAGAGGGGGGAGTCGAGGGCGAAGAAAAATGTGCCGAGGTTTTCGGAAGGGCCGCCGCGACCAGCTGTAATTCGGAGATTATGAATAATGCAGGAGGATATTTTCTCTGCGCGACGGCAACATTATTTCCAGCGGTAACCGTGCCGTGCGACGCCGCCGAGCGGACGCGAGCCCGGAATTTCCCATGCGCGCGCTCGTGGAATTGCGGAAAATAGAAATTGCACGCCGGCCGCGCGGGATTAAACTTGAAATTCGGACGATAGGAGGAAACCGCCACTCGAGTTTATCTTTCGTAATAAATGAGCTGTTTACGACGTGCGCGCGGATAGATCGCTCGAGAACAGAGTGAACGCGCGAGATCCGCACGAAGAGCGCGGAGTGAGATCCGCGAGCCTTTAATTTTAGCAGACAGAGCAGGCATAATTAAACTACGCAGCGTGTTCTGGTCCCCGCGGGAACCGAAACGCGTTAAGCGCGGCCATATTTTCGCGGGAACAAAGTGTCTTCATTTACTTTCCACCGACCGCTCTTCGACGCGGGCAAGAGGAAAAATAAGAGGGAAAACAGAGAGAGAAACGAAAAAAGAAAAAGATAATGCCGAAGCGCGCGCCCTCGACACTCTCGCAACGCGCTTTGCGCACGGGAGAAAAAGCGCACTCCGTCCACCACGGCTTTTCGCTCCCGGCTTTCAGTTTCTATCGCCTGATCGATATTTATATCCCGTACTCGGCTTATAATTCGGCCGCCGCACGAATATTAAGCAGCGCGTGACCGGTCCTCTCGTCGAGCTTCTGTTTTTCCCTCTGTTTTTCTCTCTGTTTTCCTCTCTCTACCTCTCCTTCTCTCTGTCTACCTTTTTTCTTGTTTTTTAAAAAAGATTGTAACAAACTGTCCCCGTTGCTTGTTGACTTGTAAATATCACTTGTTGAGGCCTGATAAAATTCCCTCGAGGCCCCCCGGTTGCTTCGCGTCGCTGCAAAGCAAGGTGTGATAAAGCCGGCACCCGCGTGACATAACGCGCGCGCAGCTGTAGAAGTTAAAAAGTCGAAAAAGAGAACGAGATACCCGGAAAATGACGCATTACACGCCCCGGAATAAAATCTGTCGGTCGTCGATTCGCTGGAAAGAATTCGCGACACACGCTGAACGTTTATTGAAAAGCGGCGGCATTTTTGCCGGTCTGGACGCCCAACACCGCAAGAACGTGGTGCTTTCTACTGCAGCCGGTTGTGAGGGAATTCTTTAAAACCCCGCCAGCAAAGCTCTTTCTTTGTAAACTGATGCCGCGTGGTACACACCGTTTCGCAATCCGTTCGCAGGGCTTAACACGCGCAGAACAATCGTTATTATTCCATGCGCGGTCCCGCCGTAATCCTCGTGAGAAATTCTGCGAGGAAAGAACCGAAGGGCGCGAAGTTAATATTTCGCATTCACCCGGAGCTTTATCGAAGCTCCTCCGTGCGTGTATTCCGAGATCTCAGGGTCTCGCTCGGAAAATACACGCCGGCGGGGTGGCCGTTTGAGCCCGACATGGGGGCAGAAGAGAAAAAGAGAAAGAGAGAGGCCTCCAGTTTTCACAAATCCGAGCGCGCAACGCGAGCCGAGCGAACGCGACGACGGGAGGAGGACGCATGTAAAATTTCCCCTTTTTCCTGTTGTGCTTCCAGGCTCTCGGTAGTCACGCTCCGATCGTCCCTACGAAAATCCTCGGGGATCCGGAGGAGCTGGAGAGGCATCTGGCGCACTGCGTCTCGGACAGTTACAACGCGCGACACGCGCCGGGTGACTCGAGCTACGACGGATACATGTACTCGCAGGAATCCGACATTGAAATGCACGTGAGTGTTTGTGTGTATTTGCGTGTCTGTGTGCGCACCAGCGGCTCAGGAGCCGCCACACGGCTCGTCGTCGCATTTTTCCACTGTCGCGTTGCGACGCGAATTCACCCCCTTCGCCCCTCCCTTCGTCTTTTGTCCCTTATCCTGGTCCCTCCTATCCCCCGCGTCGAGACGAGATGAGAAGAGAAGGGACGAGGAATTGTTTCTTCCGTCGGTCTGCCGGCGTGACGTGGAAAAATTTGTCTGCCTCAGGCAAGACCCGGTCTCATCATGGACGTGGTACGCAACCCAATGCCAATTGGAACGATGCCAGTTATACCGGCGGTGCCACTTCCGGTGCAGTTGCAGGATCTACCGGTGCTCACGATGGAGCCCCTCGATATTAATTCACTGCCAGAAATGGAGCGCTTCACGGTCGAGCTTACGAAGGACATCTACGGCCTCGGGATCACGATCGCCGGATACGTCTGCGAGAAAGGTAACGGAAGTCCGAGGTGGTGACGTGACATGGAACCCCCTATAATAAGAGTCTAGACGCCATCACCGCCATGACACGCGAAATATTCAAATAGTGTTAACAGAAGCAAACGAAAATAAATTAACAATTAATCACAATGTAAAACACACAGATTCACTTTTCTTCCAACACGTTTCGTAGACTTCGTAGAGGGCGCAAATTTTTGCCTGCGTTGTTACTCAGTTGATAACTTTGATTGCTTTCCAGCAGGAGACACAAGTCGATACAGGTCTGGTTATATTATTATTTGTTGTCATCATATCCTTACTTCGCATTTGGTAAAAAAGAAAAGGATAATAGATGCCTTAATAGAGTTATTTCAGTATAATGTCTAAATCATGACTAATATAAATACAATAAAATGTGTCCTCGTACAATAAGGATTTTGTCAGTATATAAAAGATCTGCCTTCCGATCACGTAACTTTCTCCCTAGGGGGGAACGTGAAAAGTGAAATGTTCTCAAATAAGAAATTTTTCACGAATTCACATTAGAGAAGATTCACGATCCGGTCCCAGAGAGTCTCCTCTGGTGTGAACTTCTAAAAAGTGTAATTAAAATTTTCTAATTTGAAAACATTTGACTTTTCACATTTCCTTCCTAGAGGAAAAGTTACGTGATGGAAAGGTGGATCTGAAAATTGCGGCGATATTTTTGATGCGATAAATGTTTCTGCTTATTTTACCCGAAAGAGAATGCAATTAATCCGGAATTATTATAGTAATGAGAAGTCGATACTTTGATTAAAATTATGGCGTAATATAAATGAATATTTCTGGAAGCAAGCATATTTCAAACATATCGCGCTGTTGCAACGGCATCGTAAAGCGTACATTAAATTTAATTCGCATACTGTGTTCAGCATTTCTGTTTATCTGGATGATATAACTAGATTTGCGTCGACTTTTGTCTCTTACTGGAAAGCAATCCTTGGCATCACCCCGACCGGAAGTTCACTCAAACGGGGTCAATCAGAAATCAGACGATGTCCAGATTCTTATAACAGGAATTCTAACATGACGGTATATCGAGATCGCCACTTCAACGAAAGAGACAATCTCGACATCTTTTCGAAAAAGTCGCAAGGTTGGAATCACGCGCGCGAATCGATCGATCGAAGGACAACGTTGCCTTCCGGCACATCGCTGATGGGAAAAATCGTATGGTTCTCTCGCAGAGGAGCTCTCCGGGATCTTCGTTAAGAGCATCAGCGAGGGCAGCGCGGCCGATCTCAGCAATAAGATCCAGATAAACGATCGAATAGTGGAGGTGGACGGGCACTCCCTGCAAGGCTACACTAATCACGAGGCCGTGGAAGTGTTGAGACGCACGGGGCAAACGGTGGCCCTATGCTTGGAGCGATATCTACGTGGACCAAAGTTCGAGCAGCTTCAACAAGCGATCGCCGCGAGCGAATTGAGACTACCTCAACCGAGTTCCCCATCTATAACGAGCCTACCTAGTTTCCCCATGAGCGCGGTGAGTTCTCTCCTCCCTTTTGTCGAGCGAGTTACCTCTGACCCTCCCCCCCTCCCTAATTATTAATCAAATATTATCTCACCATCGATCGCTCGCTCGTTTACTTATTCGCTCTCCCGCCTCCTGAATTTTAACGTTTCTCCGCTCTCTCGCTCTCTCCCGGTAAATTTGCGACCGGCCGCGTTCTCACGTATTATATCAACGTTATTAAATCTATTCTGCACGCGTTCTCTCCTTAGGATGGAGAAACCACCACCGAGATCGAGCCGGAGGGCGAGTCCCACACCACCGTGGACAGCGCGGTTCTGCAGGAGGGTGAGCGCATTAGAACGTCGGACGAGCAGGATGACGCGAGCAACGTGGAAGCGTTGTTGAGCGACCCCTCGAGCGAGCTCACGCCTCAGATCCGCGCGGCGATCAAGTCCAAGTGGCAGAAGATCGTCGGGCCCGACACCGAGATAGTGGTGAGTACCACCTCCGAAAAATAGGAAGCTCTTCGAATACAATCTCCTTTCCTTTCTTTCTTCCTTTTTTTTTCCGTCCAAACAGGTCGCTCAACTGAAGAAGTTCGCCGAAGGCAGCGGTCTCGGAATTAGCTTGGAGGGAACGGTCGACGTGGAGAACGGCCAGGAAGTCAGGCCTCATCACTACATACGTTCCATCCTGCCGGAAGGCCCCGTCGGACAGAACGGCACGCTGCGCTCCGGGGACGAGCTGCTAGAGGTTATCGAATTTCCCAGTCTCTTTTACCTCTATCTAGCGTTTACCTCTCAAAGCGCTGCTCCTCCGTCGGACAATCTCTAAAAGCGATATCGCGCTATTGTAGGTAAACGGCTACCGCCTATTGGGCATCAATCACATGGAAGTGGTTAGCGTGCTGAAAGAGTTGCCTATACACGTTCGCATGGTCTGCGGAAGAAACATCGCCTCGCAGGATCCGCTTTGTCCGATCGACACCGCTCAGCACCAGGCCGCCTTCCAGACCAGAGTGAGTAGTAGAGCGATCGCGCCAGCGTCCAAGTCGAGCGCGCGCCACTTCAAGGTACACCCCGCGAAAACCTGTGTTCTCCCGTAGAGCATCCTCGGCGGGTCACTGCAGAACTTGTTGCCCACGATGGATCGGCTCGTAAAAGCAAAGTCGGACGGTTCCTTGGCTTCTACGACGACCACGGCCACGGTGACCGACGCGAGTCTAAACAAAATGAAGTCGCGTTCGTTGGAACCGCTGACCGGTCTGGCGATGTGGAGTTCCGAGCCGCAAATTATCGAATTGGTTAAAGGAGAGAGGGGCCTTGGGTTCTCCATTTTGGATTATCAGGTGCGAACGTGAGGCCTTGCTTTTCTTTTCTTTTTTTTCCTCTTACCGTACGCGAGTCCTCGCGAGTAAGAAACGACGAGGAACGACGAGAAGCTGTAATAACCATCCGATCTGCTTCTTCTTTTTTTTTTTTCGTCCGGCACGCTTTTAGGATCCAATGAACCCCAACGAAACTGTGATAGTAATACGGTCGCTCGTGCCTGGCGGCGTGGCGCAGGTCGACGGGCAGTTAATACCGGGTGATCGGCTTCTGTTTGTGAACGACATCGCATTAGAGAACGCAACACTGGACCAGGCCGTGCAGGCCCTCAAAGGTGCCCCGAAGGGGACCGTACGCATCGGCGTGGCCAAGCCGCTGCCAATACCAGACAGTATTGTCCAGGTGAGCGATCAGGACGACCAGACCGAGGCTACGAGAGATAGAGACGCCGAGGCGACCGCTTGCTCGATCGTGGATAGCCACAAACAGAGGCGGGAGTATTTCCGCGAGCGCAAGGTCAACGTGACCGAGCCGCCTCACCACATGGATTTGATCGAGGGCCTGAAGCATCAGCACAACCTCGTCAAATCCGAGAGTTTTTAACCTAGCTCTTGCAATCGGAAAGTTGGACTCAAGGCTCTTGCCTCTGCTAAATTTCACTGCGGTTCGCGTGTCTTCGAGATCTTCGCTCCGCACAGGATTAGCTCGATGGTGTGTGTGTGTGTGTGTGTGCTATCGAATGATTCGGCTAATCGTGCTTAATCGTCGTGCGCTTGGGATGGACGGTGTTGGAAGAAAACGAAACGAATCGACGTCCGAATAATTTCCTTGCGACTTGTACAACTACCGTTGAAGGAGAAGAGGAGTAGAAATCTTTTCTGTTATTATGTCGTCGGGTCGTACTGCGACCTCGATTTGTCGCTAAAAATGGTATCAGAGACTTCGAGACTAATAATAGCGGATCCGCTAAATCCGTTCAAGTGCGATTAACAGACCGCATGGCGTCATCTAGCGGTATCGCGATCACTCCACTACGAATTTGAATCTTATGTAATTAAGTCCGGCTGAACTGAACGGAATGGAAAGTTATTCTTGTCACTTCCTGCTGCGATCCTCCATCGTAGTAACGGCAAGTCAAGTGGATCTTTTATTTTAGAATAGTGAAATTGACAACGAGAAGATCGCGACACATTTTTGTGCGTCCTGAGGACAACCGTGTAATTTTTACCCGTTCTGAAATGAATCAAATTGAATGACGTTGCGATCTTTTTGCTATCAGTTCTCAATGGCCGATCAAAGGAACCTTTTGTTTTCAAACAGTGCGAATTAACAATACAGGAGAGACAGAGGACCATTTTATTTTCGAATGGTACAACTCGGCGACAAGTTAGACGAATCTCATATTCTTCAGTGACAGGACTGAGTGGAGCGAGTCGGAGAAACTATGGGATAAAAGTTCTCTCGACCGGATGATTAATTATATCCACGATAAACGGAAATCCGAGCAGGAGAAGCGCGTTGAGAACAATTCAAGCGAATGTATGTATTAGATCAAAAGTTAAAAACACCGACAGGATAACCGTTTCTTCGAAAAGAGAAAAAGAAGCGATTCGGACGTCGATTCGTCATGCACCGGGTGTCATGTAAACTTCAACACTTATTTGGCTGAATCTCCTACAATTCTCATCTTTACGTCTGTATGAAACTGCAATAAGGTCGAAAATTGCAGGAAATCTCTAGTAAATAGGCGTCGAAGACTTACACGATGCCTGTTGCGCGCACGCAAGCTAACGTACGCGCCTTAACGGCCACGATTTTCAATGTGTGCACCTATACATACCATTGAAAATCGCAGTAAGCTCAATATTATCAGTGTTTAAGGTTAATTACGCCAGCTTCTGTGTACACATCATCCATCTCTAATGTGCGCGCACATTATCGAGCAAATTTCTCGCCGGAGGGAGCGTTTACTCGTCGGTTAAATAGAACGTAGTAACGTGCGCACAAAACCGAATGCGTGTTTCCTCACAGGATTCCGTCCATGAAAGTGAAGTAACCGTCCTTACCACTTCATACACATGCCAAACGAACATCGCGTTCGAACGTCGAACAAGACGAGCGTGAAGCACATTTGCGTTAAATTTTCGCGCGGCATCGCGCGGATTCACGAAGTAATATAACCATCCGCGCGCGTACTGCCTTTCTTCTTGTTTCGCGCGCGTACAACGTGTTCGTCGTGATCGATTGGCAGAGTGAACGTCGGAAGGGAGATAACTTCTGCGTGTGCATAACGTTGAAGGATAGATTACTCCCTCGATATACCTGCCACCTGTTCGTGCGAATGCTCGACAGGACACCAAAGCATACATTTTTATTACGGAATAACGAAGTCGCGTGGGATTTCTTAGAGCTATAGTGATTCGCAGAGAGTTCACCATTAGGCCTGCATGACGTAGCACGTGTTTACGTTAAGTCCATCGTCCATCTCGCAATTTTGAGAGCACAAGTATATAACACATACATACATATATATATGTATGTATGTATGTATATGTATACATGTATGTATACATATATGTATATATATACACGGCAAGTTTTTTCTTATGTTAGATACTCGTTAGATACTCGTTTTAGATACTTATTACTGTAAATGATGCAACGGCCGAGACTTATTCTTACGTTAAGTCCATTGTGGTCCACAGCGACAATTAGCGAGGAGTCGCATATGTCGTACGCGAAGTACGTCGTCCAGTTCGTTTCTCGAGCAGGCCGTTGCCGAGCAGGTTCGTCGACGGCGAGGACGATCGGCTCGCCGAGTCGAATCGAAGGCGCAACGTCGTGCGTCGACATTCACGATAACTCACTGCAGCGCGCGCCCCAGGACGCGTTTAATGTGCTTTGCATCCCGAGCTCTGTGTTGATGATCTGATACATATATATATATATATATATATATGTGTGTGTGTGTGTGTGTGTGTGTCTTGAGTTGATCACGTTGTATTGTGTTCCCCCTTCCCTCATCATTGTCATCGTTTGAGTTTTCGTTTCCTCGCGAATACGGCACAAAGGTCGCGCGGGGAACGCATGAGTCGTTCTCGAGCGATCGCGGTAAGACTGCAGTTCGCGTTCGTCGCCGTATGATTGTTATTGGCGTGTACCCAGATGCGTATATATGTGCACACATATGTGTATACACATATGTATACACACGTCCGTGGATACCGAACGATATCGGCTGAAAAGACGATACATCAAGCCGGCATCGAGTTGTTATCCTATTTGTCGACGCCGGCATCTGCATTCCGCTCGTGGAAGTTTCGCGAGTGGCTGGGGCAGCTTCGTTCGTACGGACGAACGCGAAAACAGCGACGCTCCATCCACTTGCGAGGAGGGCCGAAGCGCGGAAAAGCATGTAACGCAGGAGAAATTGTACGTCTCTCTCTCTGCTCTCCCCCCGGCACCGCTCGAACGGGTCCGACGAGCGGCAGGGGATATCAGAGTTTTATGTGTGAAATAAAATTCCACGATATGTTGCACGCACACCGATAAACAGGGTGCCCGTACACGTGTTCTTTTATTTCGTTTGTCACTCGCCCGCTTGTCGCCAGTCCGTTCCCACCGCCTTCTCTCTCTCTCCTCCCGTCGCTCTCTCCTCCGCTTCCCCTCACGTTTTGTGTTCGTCACCTGTGCTTATTTGCGTCATGATTTAATCGTCCGCTTCTTCGTTTCAGCTCGTCCTTTTTCTCTTCTTTTTTTCTTTTTTTTTTTTCTTCTACACAACGCGCGCGCGACGCTTCGTTCCGCTGATGATTTAACAACGTGCGACGCGGTCTCTTTCCGTGTGTGTATGTGTGTGTGTGTGTGTGTACATATGTACATATATATTTCTTTTATTTATCTTCTTTCCGCGTCGCGTTCGTACCGTTGCAACCGGAACATCCATAAGACGGTCAATAAAAACGACGGATATTTACGATCGCACGGGCCGCCTCGGGCGATATTCCGAGGCGCGCTCAGGCGTTTGAATGATTTATGCGATACCTTTCGGACGCGAGATATACACCAGTCGACCGGCGAATTTTGGACGAGGCAGCCTTCGCCCTCGCTCGTGCCACCCGTTTGTGATTCCTCTCGGCGGTTTGGGAATCGCGCGAGATGCTGCCCACGTCGCGGGATTAAGCGAGCTTCATCGCGAAGTTTTAAGCACTCGCCTCTCGTAGGGAGAAAATAAAGCTGAGAGGGATCCGAGCCTGAAGACCCTTTCGCGCGTGAGCCGTTTGCCAAATCGCGAAGCAGGACTTGAATCGCGCGTTTAAGTGATAAATGATTGCTGTTATTGTATGTATATGTATGTTTTTTTTTTTTCTGTATATATGCTTTATACATTCGCGAGGCGTTGAGGGAGAAGCTCGATGCCTGCGTTGATAGTCGCGAAGGACTTCCTATTTTGTACTTGAATTTGCGAGTAACGTCGAGACTCGTGGTCCCGGGAAGAAAATTATTATATTCTTTTGTTATTTTTAATAATGGTCAGCTTTTTTACAATATATATATACACTAAGGAAAAAGTATAGCTGGATCGATGAAATCTCGCTCGAATGAATCCAACTTTTCGCAACGTTCAGTCCACTGAACAAATTATATAATTCCTGTAACAAGTTAGTCAGTTGACGACAACGATTGCGGATTTGTTCAATGCAATATATTGTTGCGCCGTGGTAATTTGTTCAATGGACCTGAGATTTCTTTGAACTATCGTGGCTGACAGTTTTGTAGATCCAACCGCTTTTTCTCTCAGTGTATTATTACAACATCGTTGTTGCGCGCAAAATGATATTTCCGGCTTGCTCCGACGACTGTATAATCGGTAGTTCCACGCCCCGCTCGTGTGAGAAAATTCGCTCACGCTGGTCACTCAATGAGTTTTTGATGCGTTTCGTAATTTCGTTCCTCGCGGCGGTCAGTCGGGAAAAAAGGGAGAACGCGGGAAAAGACAGAGAGGAAGGTCGGACATTCGGTGAACGTGAGAAGTGTGCGAATATCTCTGATTTCTCGGCGTTGCACCGTCGGCGCCGGAAAGAAAAACGGAAATGGAGAGAACAAGTATAGTACGGTGAACGAAAAAGGAGAGTGAGAAAAGAGAAAGAAAGAAATGAAAACGAAACGGAGAGGAAAAGAGATTTTTGGTAATAGCGCTCGGTGTTTACCGCGGATGGGTTTATATTGCCGACAAACCATCGACTAAGTAAGTACAGAACAAAACGATTGTAATAGTGAATGAAAGTTGCCTGGTAGAGTAGCTGAACAACAACAACTTTATTGCATTCGACTGACTTCTCTCACATTACTTCCAAATTCTTTCAAACTCACGAAACACACACGACCGTACTAGCGATCTTTGTTTAGCAAGTTGCATTCGTCTTTTGAGAAGTTATTATGTTCCTTTGCGTATGTTACATTCGCCATTTGTCTCTTTGCAGTCGGGCGAGTATGAGTAAGAGAGAGAGAGAGAAAGAGAGAGAGGGAGAGAGGAAGAACGGGGATGTATGAAAGAGAAATTGGATTAGTTGTTTTCAAACGAGCAAAAAACGATCTCTGAGACTGGTGTGAACGGATATGTGTGAGAGCGTACAAATGTAGAGTGCGGAAGGGAGAGAGAGAATGAGAGTTTGAGAAATGAAAGAAAGATAAAGGAATGAAAGGAGAAGCGCGAAAGGGAGAAAGAATGGGCTCAGAACCGGCAGCAAAGTGGCGGCAGAACGAGAGAATAAAAGAGACGAAAGGGTGGAATAAAAGAGGGGAAAAGAATAAGAGACAAAAATGAGAAAGAGTCGTGAGAGACACAGAGAGGCAAGTAAAGATCAATTACAAAGTTGTGAAAATTGACTGATAAGTCTCGCATTATTTGTTTTCTTTGATTTCCTTCTGATTAAGTGTCGCCTTTTCCTTTTTGCTGTTACGATCTTCTTTACAACAATTTTTAACCGAACTCTCTCAAGCAAGCTCGTATGTCAAACTTTTCGCCTTTTTGTAGAGCTCTACTACCATTCCACTACTGTCTACTACTCACTGGCACCTTTCTTCACTATTATCAAGAGGCTCTCGTGTGGGGATCGATACGTACGTTTACTACTTACTCGCAACCTGTTTATACCTGAACTTCTTCCGACCGCCTTCCCGATACTCGAACTACGTCGGGCGAACGGATGGTATAAGCCTCGATGTGGTAGCCGCTGGGATATCTGACCGCAAGTTACGTAATAAATCGATTCTCCTCTCCAGGCTTCCTTTTTTCTTCACCGCTTAGAACGTGAAGCTCTTGTTATTATCTTTACGAGCCGAGTCTCGCAGGCACGCGAAAGTCACGATTGTTATTCTTGTCCTCATCTTAACATTATTATCATTCATTCATCATCATCATCATCATTATTATCGTTACTTTCATTGTCACTGTCTCTCATTGTTATATTTTCCGTTTCCTTTCGTTTCATCATCGTTACTGTCGATGTCGTGATCGCTCTGTTGTTACTCTACCCTTTCCTTTACTGTGTGCATAGTGTCTATATTGCGAGCTTTATTTACGCAACTGCATAAAACGTTACTGCGACCGGGGTCGTCGCGTCGCGCACCTATAACGATATACCGTAAAAAACAAAAGTTCTCTTGCCGGCTTGAGTGAAAAAGAAAGAGAGAAAGGGGAGATGAAGAGAAAGAAAAGAGCGCAACGTACGACCTCCGGGACGTACGATCGACGCGTTTCTCATCCGGTCCGTTCGAATACGTATTCGATAGTCACAATTCTTCGGCGAGTGCTTTGCCAAGCGACAATTCGCAATCACGAGCAAGACGAGGCGAGCGTATGTCTCTTAGAGCTAGCTCACGTTCTTACAGCANACGTTCTTGAAGCATGCTGTAAGTTCTCTCCGCTTCGCTTCGTATCGGCAAAAATATTCGAACGTTGCGTTTAATTTGTTTCATTGATATCACACACGCTCACACACGTGTTCAAACGCGCGCACATATACACATAGTCAACGGCGGATAAATTTCGAGCGGTCGTACTTCACGGGATTGACAGACGACGATGAAATATTCACCACGAAGATGCACTCCGCACAGCTTTCCGTTAAATTGGCCATTGCGAATTCAGGGTGATCATGCATTCCCGTTTGCATCGTGCGACAAATGCAACGCGAGCTCGCGCCGTCGGCGAAGCGCTCCTCGTATAATAAACTTCCCTCCCGCGTCCTTATTTTCGACAAGTTTGTGGGAAGCGCAGAGGAAAATTGGAAAGACAAAATATGACGAGGTAAAAAAGTAAAATGGCAAAAATATCTTGAGACAAAATAATAAGAAAAAAATTACAACGGAGATCTCTTGTGTGAGAGTGTCCAAGAGAGAGAGAGAGAGAGAGAAATGCTCTCGCGCGTTTAAATCGCGGGAGATATTATTGCTCCTCAACTTATTGGCACGCTTTGACGAATTAGCTCAGTCGCGAAAATACTTTGTGCAAGTTGCGACGAATAAAACTTCCCGAGATTGCGTAAACTCCTCTCCCCCTCTCTCTCGCTTTCTCTTTCTCGAAGTTTGCCAACGCGTTCGTCATCCCCGGTCATTCCCGGGGAAATCGAGGAGGGAAAAAGTTTACGCAACTCGGGGCGCTTCTGTATTGCGAAACTGCTCGGAACCGGCGGAGCGTCCAAAGCCGACGGTGCGAAATATAATTCTTTGCGCGCTTATCGAAGCGTCCCGCGCGATTATTACGCGAGTCGCTCTCGAGCGAGCGAGCGCCTCGCGCACCTACGTCAAGTGCATCTACAAATCCCGAAGGTGCGCTCTCACTCTCATTACCGCGAGATAAATTCCGCCTTCACTGCGGCGCTATCATTCACAGCCGCTGCGACAGATACACATTCACGAACAGCGGCTCGACTCGTTCGCTGGGAAAACGAGGTCAGACTCGGAGAATTGCTTATCGCACGCAAAATATGAGCCCCCGTCTGTTATCTTGCCGCGCGATAGAACGATCGGAATGAGCCTTCCTTACGCTTGTTAACGAATCACGCGGGAAGACGGAAATTCGTCGCACCGAGACCGGCCGTGTGCGTCTTGTTAACACCGAGGCTCGTGTTAATAATCTTTGCACACTTGAGACTTGTCTCACGTGAAACACTCAAGCTCGAATTTAGGGCCGTATGTGACGTTGTATTTGCGATGGCGATTCAACTGGAAAACTCGACATCTGGCTAAATACTCATTTGAACTCTTTAGCCCATGCGTGACATTGTATTTATACTCGTCATTCGAGTGAAAAACTCACACATCTCTGAACTCTAAATTCAGACCCGAGTATCTCGCTAGAGACGCGCGGTAAACAATTGTATATCAAATTTAACAAGGCAATTGACCTGTGTAACTTTGATCTGACGTTTGAATGGCCGAATGCGCTGGAAAATATTTGGCTGATCTCTTCTCATGCTTCTTCCTACGTGCTGTTTCGTTCGATATATTGACATATCTGTGAAAATTATGTGTCTATAATTGTGCATATTGATATCTGACACCACACGAACGCAAATCCGTTCCCTCTCTCTGTTCTTCCCATCGTGCGTTTCGAGCGGCCGTGTATAATCGCAAAACGCACGTAGGATTAAATCTGTTCCTCTCAGCTGCATCCTTTACGCCCGCTTGTGCTTCCCAATGTCTCGTCCAACGTACGAGCGTAGATTTCGCTTCGCGATGTGTATTCACCGCGAAACCGGGCGAAATGAAAAGCCGCAACCGAAAGGAACAGAGGCGTAGCTGCGTAGCTAGCGTGCTGCATACACACACACACATTGCGCGCAGACACACGTATGAACACACATAGACAGTATTTTAGCGCGAATGCCGCGTGGTTAAAAAATCACATTTGTCGAAAATATCATAAGTTACACACGAAGAACATTCAAGCGTATCTCTCTAACCACGACGTTTCTTTTTTCATTTTCAGAGCGAGGCGTAAGCGTCGGGGCGGACGTATTTCCGAAGCGAGTTACACATTTACCGCAGTTACCGACCAAAAGAGAAATAGAGAGACAGAAAGAAAGATATAGAGAGATAGAAAGAGAAAGAGAGAGAAAAAAGGAAACAAAATAGAAAAATAAAAGAGAGAAAGAGAAAGAGAGAGAAAAAACAGAGAAAAACCAAAGCGGAAACAGAAGATAAAAGTTACCATGATCAAGCATACTACTGTCCTCGTTTATGCCTATTTTAAAACAACGGGCCGCGGTATCCGAGAGCAACGAGCGTACTCAGTGTAATTCCACGCGCGGTGGCTGTGTGCGCGGTCGCGAGGAGAAAAGAGAAAACAAAAGAAAAAAAAAATCAAGAAGAAATACCGAATGTCCCGTCCTTTTATTCGATTATCTCCGAGATTTCTCCTTTTCGCCAGTGGTTCGAGCTTCACGATTTCAATCAGTGGATAATTGATACGATAATCGGCACGACACGTGTCTCCCTTTCTTTTCTACGTCGCGCCGACGGAACTCGTTTAACTCGTTACGATAAGAAAATTCTCACTGCGACTTGTCAAATCAAAAAGAAGAAAAAAAGAATACCAAAGAAAAATGGGAGGAAATGATTTTAACGAACACGACTTTTGACTTTGTAATTTCCTTTTCGGCCTCGCCGTTCTCGATGTATTTAACGTTCACACCGTCGTTATGAAATTGTACCACTAACACTTTGTTACATTTTATCAGAAATATAAGAATACACTGAGACAAAGTATGAGATGTGTGTGTATGTGTGTATGTATATACGAAGATACCATAGTACGAAATATCGTCGGACAATGTTGGTGTTATTTTCGCAGCTTTTCGTTATTGTTCTCCGAAGAGAGAATTTTATCTTGCGAATTGCGAGTCGCGCGAGAAGACGAAACTTCGGAGAATCGGTCCGCTTCTCAGTCGATATAACTCGAGTCGAAATCTTAAATTCTACTTTAAGTCTTCAAGAGAAAGAAAATAAGTTCCTCTTTATAGCATCAAAGGAACGCATTAAAAGGCCTTTGAAGATTTAGGCTCGTCTTCTCAACTCTCTTTTATCGATAGAAGTGCCTTAAACGCGGCTTCTCAGTCAATCGAGTAGTTTCCAAGCTACTTTTCGAGGCACTTTTACCGATGAAAGAGAGTTTAGAATACGGGTCTCAATGTTGAACCGAATTAGATTTAAAGTAGGACTAAAATTTCGACTCGGGGATCGCCATCGCTCGAATTCGGACGATTCCCGACGACTCTCCGCTCTCGCACGAATTTTCTCGATATCGATAACGATCTATCAGAGTAATATGGATGTTCCGCGATGCAACTGGTACTCGATCCGTCATTGTTAACGGCGCGAATCGCACGAATCGCGTGGACGATAATCTCTAGTAAGAGAGAAAGAGAATATACCGAGTTCTCTAGGTAAGTTTCCACAAACGCATTTTTTTTTGCTTGCGTTAGACCGCTCGCATAAGATGATTATTAGCGCGTCGCCGTTGCGTGTCTCATCAATTTACAAGTAAAAAAAAACTTATCGCGCGGCTACGAGAAGTTAATCGGCCTGCGAGAGCGCGCGCGCGCCCACGATAAATTCCGCCTGTCGATTTAAACGATCCAGCGCCGCGCTGGAACGGTTCTCAACGATCCGTCCGTCTTTTTGTTCCCGCGAGGATCGAAGAGTGTCTCCCCCGAAAGTGGCTCCGTGTCGGCCCGGCGGCGGACGCTCACGTGATTGATCTGCCGAAAGCGATCCCGCCTCGCAAATCCGCGGTGGGGAAAAAAGAAGCCCATTCGCCGCGCGCGCGGAATTGGTTCTCGCCGGCGGCCTCATCAATTATCTAATTGCGTCGGCCCTGCGCTTTCTCCGATGTAATTTAGTTAATAGGTCGTGCAAATAGATGCCCGCCATCGGTAAACGCTCGTAATTGCAGTTTCCTCCGATGCACCGGCCGCGTAATTGCTTTCACGAGTGCTTATCCTGTACGATGTCGGCACTTCGTTCACGGCTCCGAATTCTTTCGGGACCGTTCATGTGTCTGCCCGTCGACACTACCCGCGTTCAGCAGGAAAAGCAGCTTACTAAACCCTTCGTGATCATTGTATGTGATTGGAGTATTCTTTCAGATCTTCTATAAATCCACGAGAATGCATCAATCAGAATCAGAAGCAATAATCACAAAGGGTTTGCTAAGATGCTTTTTCTGCTAAACGCAATTACTAATTGCGCCCAGAGAAATCACAGAGAAATCAGCTGAGTGAGCGGTTTGCGATTATGTTTTATGACCGAAGTGTTCTTCTAAATCTTTGGATGGATTCAAGAGATCAAATCTACCGACCTGGAATGATTATCGTTAAGCGCTCACTCGGTTATTTTCTCTGCCGAAGGCGGCAATTAAGGTGGTCGGTCCGTAAAGCGCCGGATTTTCAGTGGTGATATTACAGGCTCGTACATAAGTTTATTATTTATTGAACGAAAAAATATTTTCCTTATATAATAAATGCTAAATAATTTAGTTTCGCAAATTAAATATACTACAATACCGTGTATACAGTGTACGAAACCAAATTATTTGGTTGTACTAATCTTTAGTTGCGGACGCCTCAGTTTTCGAATGGTTATTCATTTTCTAATTTCATAGGTGTGCATACAATATTTCCAACAATGTGCAGCCCCAAATTTGAAAGGATTCCAAAGAAAATAGTTTGACAGGCCGACTACCTTAATTAAACCCTCCTTTGGTTCCGTGCATGATCCATTCGAATTTAGTCCGCTCTCAATCCGGACGAATCAGTTTCGCGACGAGACGGTTACACGACGACGGTTCGCGCATCGACACTCGCGGATTTCCCTACTATCCTATTTGTACGAAACTATTCCCCTAATTGGATTATCGGCAACGAAGAGAGATTACGAACTAAACATATTGTTGGGTAACGGGTTCGGGATATATTTGTACATCTGTACGTTGCAATCCGTCATATTTCTCCCCTCTGGAAAATAACCCGGGGGTTGAGATTCGTACAAGTGTCGGAGGATTCGTCGATCTCTGTCGTCGAATTGTATTCATTATCGGTTTGTTATGCCCGTTATATTCATTAAACGCATTGACATTTATTAGCCGCGATGCACTCGGTGTCGGGCTGGAAATTTTCCGGCACGTTGAAATTGGGGATTATGTCGCCGCACGCTACAGAATTAATTCCGCATAGATCAAAATTTGCGGTGACGCATACACATGAGAATTGATTAGCATGTTAATGTTAATACATTCCGTGCGTGCGTTCCGTGCATTCTCTCTCTCTCTCTTTCGCGCGCGCTCGTGGGCAAATGAAATTATACGCGCGCGAGATGTCCCGTCGATGAAAATTACATTTTGCCGCGGCCTGATGTTATCTGCGTAAAAATTTTCGCCCGGCAGTCCATCAGCATTGCGCATTTGTTCCCCGAGAAATATTGAGGACCGTGAATCCACCAAATTGCGCGCACTGGCAAAAGAATCGAGCGAAAAGAACAACGGGGTCACGCGAATTTCGTCGTACAAACTGCAGTCGATGCCAGCTGGAGAAAAGTCGAGGCGGATCGACGAACTGACGTAGAAAACTTGAACTGCAAAATTTATCCGACAGACTAGAAGTTAACGAAGAACTAGAGCGTAGTTGTACGTATGATGTAGATGTTCTTTTAATTAGGTTGATTCAACTCATCACACGAGCAATTTTACACGGCAAAAATACCAAGAGAATTTCCAACAGCGCGCGTAATTGGTGTGAATTTTCTTGATTGAATAGCAATATTATTGAAACTAATACGGCATATATTTTTTCAACAATTCAAATATTAGTTTCATTGATTTCGCCATCGAATCGAGAAGAGACTTACTCCAATTATACGCGCCGTTGGAAATTCTACATTGATTCAACAGCATTTCTTTCCGTGTCTCTCTGAATGAGTAAATTAGATGATAAATATGACCAAGTATACGTTGGATCGACTTTATGATTACTGAATGAAATTTTTCTTCGTACGAACGTAAGGTTACATAAACGCCGAAGTTCAGTTGAAAGAATCAAGGCAGCTAGTTCGCCGTGCATGACCCCGAAGGTGAGTTCGTTTCACTCGATTCGACTTGTTTCGAGGGACCATTTTTTACAGTGTGCACTTAAAATGACGAACAAAAGTCGCCGGTTCGTCTGCTCGACCGCAATCGCTCCTTCGATCAGCGAGATCGTAAATTCCTCGAGCACTTTAGAGCTAGTACTCGCGCGTAAGCTAATTGTCGTCGTCGAGACGAGCAAGTAGAATTCACCGCGAAGTAGACGAGCACGCCGCAATTAATCGCCGTCGCACTAATTGTACTAATTGTCTGACTTTTGTTCCCCCCGCTCGTTCCCCGCGCTGCTCGATTCTACGGCAGAGGGCGACGCCGATTCGCAAGATCAAACGGAGCAGAAGTTTTCCTAATGAGAGCGAGACGACCGATCGCGTGGCCGAGCTCGAGGAGCTGCTCTCTTCGAGATCAGGTACGTCGTCGTCCTCGACTCGATGGAAATCGCCGAAGCGATCGCGTTCCATTGTCGACCCTTACCCCGACAACATAGCAAGCCTCTTCGGTGTTTCCTTTATTCTTTTCTTGTGAAATATTATTCCTATATATGATATCACAAATAGTGTTATTATTCGATCGATTCGAGAGAGTCTTCTCCCATGAACACTGAAACAACTATCGATATGTGTAACGAAGAATTTTTCCAGTAGAGATATATTCAGATGAAACGTATATTTCACGCAGTAAAAAACATGTTGTTTGACCTGCGTTAAAATCAGTCCTTGTCAACATTTTTTACAGCGCGTGGAGAAAAAAATCCCAGGTAGAGAGACATATTTTGGTATATTGTCTGCATCGTGATTAATGAAGATGCGTGCTCATACAAGAGGAATTTTTCAGTATATGAAAGAAATTATCTCTGATGAAAATTGCGGCAATATTGCGACGATGTTCTGATGCCATACATATTGCTACGTTATTTCGTCTGAAGGAGAAAGTAATTAATCCGGAATTATTGTTGTAATAAGAAGTCAATATTTGGGTTAAAATAACGATACGATAATGAGTATTTCTGAAAACAAGCATATTTTAAACATGCGCTGTTGCAAAGTATATATATCAAACGTTTCCATACTACGTTCAGCATTTCTGTCTATCTGGGTTCCGAATCAACTTGACATCTCCATCGATCAAAAAATAGAATCATCTTTTTGTACCTCTTGCGTAATCTCTACGTTTAGAAATCTCTTATACGAAGAAGATTGAGACAATCGGGATCAGATCCACGGAGACAAATCTCGAGAACATTCGTTGGCGAGTTTCATTCTTCTTCCCGATGAGAAATCGTCCGGTGTGGATCGCGAGATAGCTCGTATAATGATTAACGCTATCTCGCGAAAAGAATACAGATCACCGCTTTGCGAGGTGTACTTTTCGTAAATCCCGCTCGTGTTATATTTCAAAAGCGTCTTTGTATAAATCACATCTCACTCAATCACACGTGGTCACGATGTGTTTCCCGTTTGTGTGCGCGCGTGTGTATGCGCGTATTGTGTGTGTGTGTGTGCACGGCCGTTTTCAGATGCTGCCATTGTTCCGAAACGAGAATATGTCGTGCCTCGTTTCGCGAGGCATTATCGCGATTTCTATACGAGCCCCCTCCCCCTTCCTCCTCCCTTCCCCCCGACAGAGAGGCAAAATCTCTCCGCCCACGCGCGCACACGAGGATACACCACGTGACGTGGCAATTTGCCATTACCATTCAGTCCGCGATATACGAAAATGCCATTAATTTTGATCCCGCGCCGCGATTAGATTAGCTTCCTTTATAGATACCATAGAAAAGCGCACTGCGCTTTAATGCATCGCTTCGCGGCACGCGATATCCTTCTGCGCGAGTGCAAACGGCGGCGGTGGCGAATTTCGGTCGAGGCGATTGATTTTTATTGTTACGACTCATCGATGAGAGTTTCCGTCCCGTCGGAGAAAATTAGGTGAATTAAAGGAGCCTAAATCGCCAAATCTGCCGATTCCATTCGCGCAAATTTACCCGGCCGTCTCGAAGGCCCAAGATCGCGTCCGGGATCGGCCGACGTCGCCTTCACGAACGACACCCTTCTCTCCAGGCCTCACGGAATCATCGACGAACAAGCCGGAGATCGACGAGGACGAGGAGGATGAGGACAACTGGAAGGACGCCTCTCCGGTGACACCGATCTGCAGCCCGGTACGGCGACCTCCTCGACTCCACCACCGCGACAAACGTTCGCCCACCCGGTACATCGACGTCGACAACGACGTCGAGATCATCCACGAGTTCTACCCCACGACGTCGAAGACGATGCACGAGGAGACGAGCATCGTGTCGTACGGCGGCACGATCATCGTGGAGACCACGAGGATACCCAGGCACAGCAAGGACGTGACGGCGAGGATAGAGAAGGTCGCGCCGAAGGTCAAGTTAAAGAAGCAGCCGCCCGTCGGGGAGCCGTCCACCAGCGCGCAGGAAGCGTCCAAGGTGACGGAGCGGGAACGCGGCAAGAGCCTGAAACGTCTCGGCAGCTTGGAGTCCGAGGGTGGCCGTACGTCCACGTCGAAGGAGACGCTGGAGAAGTCGGACACCTCGTCGGAGAAAGGCGCGAAGAAAAAGGTCTTCGCGGGGAGAGAGGACGGTAAGAAACGATCGAGGAAATCGGACAAGCGTGCCGTCGACCGGAGGGCAGAACCGGCGAGACGGAAAGTGGGCTCGCTGGAGGACGAGGACTCCAAGAGGAAGGATCACGACGAGACTTACCGACGCTCGCGGGAGGAGCGGAAGAGCCTGAAGGAGCAGGAGTGCATCGAGAGGGTGACGGAGTTCTTGACGAGGCACAGTATCCCGATTTACCCGGACAGCGGCGGCCTCGAAGCGGCGGAGTTTCCGGAGATGCCCCCCGAGGTCGTAGAGGAGCAACGAGTAAAACGTCCATCGGCCATTAGCGAAGACGGGGAGGCTGAGTACGCAGCGACGACGACGACGACCCCCGAAACGTCCGTCGCGCCTACGAAGCGCAGGGAGAGCCTGAAGAGCGTGCCCGAAGCGGAAGAAGTGAAAGACTCGATGGCGCCCGCGAGGGACGCTAAGAGGGACGTCAGAAAGCAACGGCGAACTTTGGAGCGAGCTCCTGCGGCCCTCTCGGACGTTCAGCAGTTGGAATCGACAGCGGTTCAAGAACCGGTGAAGCGGCCCAGCTCGTTGAGGAAGAGGAGAGACTCCTTCTCCAGAGAGTCCTCGAAGGAATCGCTGTTGGAGGAGAAAAAGGGCGTGAGGATACAAGAGGACGTGCAGGAGATCTTCTTCGAGGACACCAGCGAGCAAGTGAGTGAAGGAGAAAGAAGCTAACAATGCAGATTGAAGGACTCCGACCTTGAGTAACTTTTGATTAAAGGTTTCAGCTGGGATTCATTGTTTATGAAAACATTCTTAACAAGGAAAAGTATCCGCGCAAACGAGTATTGCATTTGACACTTTGAGTCCCACAAAGAATGAAATTTATATCGTTTCCTTTTCTTTTGTTACTTAGACACAACAAAGTGTCCTTTAACCTGCATAATTAAGAAAGGTTTTTTTTTTCAAAAAGAATTTCTCCAGCTGTGACGCGTCTTCTGTAATGTCGACCGCGCTGTACGCTAGGTAACCGAATTGCTGCCGGAAGTGCAGCTGGTGACCGCGAGGATTATCACAGCGGAGGAGGCGACCGCGATACGCTTCGAGGAGGCGGCCACTAGGATCGAGATCCACTCGCCGCCGGAAGTAGCTGTCGTGTCCGAGACGTTCAGGCCGAAAATCCTGACGCGAGCGCCGTCGCCGGAAATCGCCGACGTCTCGTCGTTGCAGCTGCCCGCCTTGGCGAAGTCCACTTCGGAGAGCACCTTGGCGGAGGACAAGCCGACCGCCGGCGAGAACAAGAAGGTCTCCGTGAGGAATCTCAAGCCGGAGATTCTCTTAGATTTGTCCAAGGTCTCCGACAACGGCGAACTGGTCGACGACGCGGTGGAAGGTGGCAAGGACAAGGAAAGGCGACTCAGCCGGACTGGAAGCGAAGGCTCGAAGAGGTTGGCGAAGCTCCAGGTGCAGGAGCGGTTTCCTTTCAAGATCGGTAGCATCGCGCAGCCGGACAGACCGGAGCTCACGATCCTGCACGAGCCGGAGAAAGCGGACGGCGACCCTGCGAGTAAGATCGCGACGAGTAAGGACGCGAGGGAAGACGTCCCGAGGTAAGATTTAAGCTTGCCGCGTGTACATCGATCTCGCAGAAGTGACGGGTCTACTCGTGAAATCTCTAATCGAAATTTTCCTTCTACGAGGGTGGATCAAACGTAAACGAGCCTTTTGCATAAAAACCATATATTTTTCAAAATTAATTCTAATTTACATTTTTCTTATTTTTCCACATAGTCCCGCATCTTATCTATATACACTTCCTCCAACGGTCTGGTAATTTTTTAATCCCGGTATCAGAAAAAGTTCGCGGACGTGTATCAAACCAATTGCACACGAACTGCTGCACCTCCTCGTTTGTTGGGACGCTGTCCACCAAGGGTTTCCTTGAGTGGCGCAAACATATGGAAGTCGCATGGTGACAGATCTGGGCTGTAGGGTGAATGTTCTAAGACAGCCCGGTGCATATCGGCCAATTTTTCTTGTGTTACTGCTGCGGTGTGGGCTCTGGTATTGTCATGGAGAAGCAACACACTTCTGATCGGAATGCCGCGCCTTTTTGATCGATAGGCAGCTCGAACTGAAGTTCCTGAGAGATTTCAAGAACAGTTAAGTGCCGATCGCCTTCGATGAATTCTCGAACAGTCTCGGTGTTTTGCGCCGTGATGCGGGGACGGCGGCAATGTTTTCAACACGCTCCCGTCCTTTCTTAAATTCGTTGTACCACTGCTTCACCCGAGCCCATGAAAGGGTTCTTTCCCCGAACTGTGGGAAAGAAACGTGTGTCCACTGTCCAAAACGCTGCAGACCCCTCACGCCGCCGACGGGCGCGCAATTTAAAAAGGCTCGTTTATATTTGACCCTCCACCCTCGTACATTAATATCGTCAACTCTGATATTTCTGTCAGCGTAGGAATTTAGCCAACATTCCGCGTATCGCGTGTGACATCTTACTTTATCCAATGCCCGATTACAATAACGAGAAGAGGATATCTCGATGATTACTCGCGCGAACGAAAAACGATCGATCCTGCGATGCGACGCGCAAGGAGGGAGCGCGCAATTTCGTTTGCGGTATCACAAGCGCGATCTGTCGATCAAGTTATAAGTTCGAGCGACGTTGCCGCTCGGGGCTTCGAATGTCGATTTGCAAACAATATTGTTTGTCCGGCAAGTTTGTCGGTCCCGATTAGGGTTGGATTACCACACGTGGCCGTAGAAACCCCGAAGAGCTCGTACAATTTGTTGGGAATCTAGGTCGCCGTTAATACGCCGCGAATGCTCGCGGCCCGAAAATTTTACGGAGACTCGGCGCGCACCCTGTTGAAAAATTCACCCTCGTGACCTTTCACCCGCGCATGTTTCTCGTGAAACATTAAATGAGCCTACACACCGTTCACCGGCTGCGAGTTCCGCCTGCTGGCTAATTTATCCGTGCTCCTTCCACCTCGTTATTTCTCAAGAACGACGTGTCTTTCTTCTCCACTCCTCCTTCTCTCTTTCATTTGCAACTTAATAAATGTTAACGCTCGTGCAGTCGCAGCGGAGTCGGAAGACGAAAACTATCATCCTTTAAGTCATCCCTCTCCCTCTTTCCGCTCCGTTCTTTCTCCCCTTTTCTTCCTTTTTACCTACCTTCCGTTTCGTTCAGCGAGAACTTTTTCGCCGGTTAACTTCTACATTTACGACGCCGCAAACTTCTCGCCGGGCTCGTGCGCGCCCGTACACCCACGGAAGAAAGCACTTACCGCGAAGTGTTGTTTCTTTTTTTACGGCTCTCTCAGATTCGCGCTGGGATCTCCGCGCAACGCATATAAAGGACCTCACGATTCGAACGCGCCCGAAGTGATATTTATTTCTCTCTTTTTACGCTCTCACGTACCTTCCCGTGGTATCGGCGCGCCCAGCGCCCGTGCGATTTTACCCGGATTTCCTCTAGATTTTCTCCGCTCTATCTCTATTCACGCCGTTAACAAGTTCGGGGCAGTAAAGAAGCCGCTGTGAGAATTACGCAGCTGCCACGGCGAAATAACGAAGCGAGCAACGTGTACGGCGGCCGAAGTAGATACGGCAGAGCGGGATCAGACCTGACACGCTCGGATACGGCTGCCAGATTCGAACGTGAAGTGGATACGGACCGCGCCGGGGAACACCGGGGGTTCCAACTGCAGGCCGACGGCGATGTCGGTGGGAGGCGGGAGAGCGAGAGCGAAATGTCAGCGGAAACAGTGGAAAAGGTCGCGACGGGACCGACACACAGCAGCGCGTATGGCGCGGCCGGATACGCACGGCGAAGTGAAGACAGACAGTCGGGGATCAGCCGAGCGGTGAGCGTCAAGTGGCGCGAGAAAGCCCGAAACACCGGCGGACGTGGATTGACACGGGGGTGACGTCGGCGAGGAAAGGCAGACACACGGAGATTGTGATGTAATAAACTAGGAGAGAGAGAGAGAGAGATAGGAAAAGAGACGGATATAGCAGGACGACCTCGTTTCGCGAGGAAGAGAGAGCACGGGAGCACGCACTGGCGAAAAGCGACGGACAATGCAGCTCGCGAAGTAGAAAAAGACGGCTGGGTGTATGGCAGTCCGTCCGGCCGACTGGCTGGAGAGACAAACGCGCGAGCGATGCGACACGGGAGGATAAGAAGAGATAAAAGCGCCGTTACAAAGGAGCAGAAAAGGACGAGCGGAATTGCGAAGGAGCGAAGGCGGAGATATACGACGTTAAAGAGACTTAAAAGATGCGCGCGGAATTGCCGGCGGCCAAGGAAAAAGAGAGAAAGAGAGGGCGGAGAGAAGAGGAGGGGAGAGAGACAGATAAGGCTGAAGAGAACGTAAAGAAGACGGAGTGGAAGGTGGGGACGGGAACTTCAGCGGATAAAAAGAGCACGTGGCGTGGCAAGCAAAGCGGAATAGCTGGTCGTGCATAGAGAAACGTAGATAAACACGATGTGCAGGAAAAATAGAGAGGTTCGAGAGATAGAGAGATAAACAGTGAGTGAGAGAGGGGGGAAGAGAGAAGCGGACCCGTAACGCATATAAGCAGGAGCGAATATCGCACAATATACAGAGAACAGTGGAGAAGTTCGTATATACACCGGCGGGATCGTATTTAAGAAATAATGGCGATCACCCAGTTTAGCATCGAATCGTCTCTCTCTCTCTCTCTACTTCTCGACAACCGGCGAACGAACTCGTTGATTAACTCAATTAGCGCAAAAAACAATTATTTCATTGTGAAACATCAAACATTGCGGAAGTTTACTATACTCTCCTATTATAGTATATCAAAGTTGCATATCATAAATCATGTTCATAAACATTTAACGTAGATTTGTCGAGCTTCTTCGTGTTACATCAACCTCTCCCTAACATAGTCACGGGCCAGCTACTTTAATTTCAGATTTGACATCAGTGCGATGTCGCCGACGTCGCAAAGGAATGGCGGTGAGATTTCGACTGAAAAAAAAAAAACCATCGCTCGAGCTTCGAACGGGAAACTTGGAACGACGCGTTCCAAGCAGCGACACGGACCGAGCGCGCAAGCATGCGGTTACTCTTGATAAACCCGCGGATCGGCGATGCCGAAATAGGAATGCCAACTCCGGCGACACACATCGTGTTCATTGATCGATCGCGTTGTCTCTAGCGAAGAGTGCTTTAATTGCGACCCTGACATAAGCCCCTGCCGCTCTATAACCGTCCATACTAATATTTAGAAGCCGGCGAACGTCATCCCGGCATCAATCAGTGCCATTTCGCGTGTACACACAGCCGAGGACAATATTTGTTACGCGACTCTCTTACCCTCGCCCTCCTGATATCGCGCTCTGCTATGCGTGCTTGGATCTTATTAAAACCACTCTCTCCCGTTGCGCGCGCGCGAGCTTTACATTTCACTCGACATGCCTGCGTGTCGGGCGAGGAGCCGACGGGGAAGATGACGCGCGAGGATCGCAGGGCAAATCCCCTGGATGTACCGAGAAGTAATTTTCGGCGGAACGGGGATACGATAAGACGCGATCGCCGCGGAGAGATGTCGGAGGGAGAGAGAAGCAAGGAGGAAGAGGAAACTTTACTTTGCGAGCTTTACTTTACGAGCTTTAACGTGTACGAGACGACACTCCGCACGTACACCACACGCGCGCGGTGCGTGCATAGTACGCCCGGCGGTACGTCTTGAGCGCGTAAGTACTCACACACATCCTCCGCGCGAAACCTCTTCCAACAAAGCAGTCGGCAATTTATCGCTAATTTAACGGCGAGGCAATGCCGACACCTCGTAACATTATTACCGTTGTCCTCTGAACAACGACAGCGTGCTCGCGCGCGCGCCCGGCAGATGCGCTAACGACAGCTTTTCGCCCGAACAATCAACTCTCATTATCGAAACGATAAATTTTCGATAAGATAACCGCACCCACTCAGAGCTTACGTGCGATACGTATGGTAATTACGATTTAAGGACGCATTTGTCGAATTCGCAGCGAGCTCACGTTCCACGCTCGCCCGTGTTTTAATTTTCATTCGTCACGCGCGGATTAGCCATTTTTCTTTTTTCCATCTAATTCGTTTTTAATTTAATCCGTTTTTAATTCGCGAGGAGGAATTGTAGCCGGACGACGGCGAGGAGGAGAGGCTGTGCGCGCGCACGTAATAATTCAAATCGAATTTCACGAATTTATCTCGCGAAGACGTGTCCCCTCTCTCTCTCTCTCTCTCGCGGCCTCGTAAAATCGCGCTCGCCAATCCGGAGAGATTCCGCGACTGGGGAACTCGTTGGCCTTTATCGAAAATTGGCTCGGTCGACGCGACCGTTCGGATGGCTTCTTCGATTACGCGCGTACACACGTGCGCGCTCGCGCGACACGTGCGTGCGTACGTGTCCTCGCAGCGTATTTTCGGGAATCTTCCACACGTCGTGCGTTCGCGCGCGGATCCCAGACGTGCGGCGAGAGGAGCGTGCGAGCGCGCACACACGCCCGCATCTTTCGATTTCGCCCGGGCGTTCGGGCAGTCCCACGTACTTCGCCGGCGACACACGCGCGGCTCGCATACGTGCGCACATACTCGGCCGCATACCTCCACACACGCTCTCATTTCTCACGGAGCTGCTCTGCATACACGATATGCATATACAGCGTGTCCCACTTCGACCGACTGTTATTTTACCGCCGCCGAACAGATTCCCCGAACAATTCGGGGATTAGATTTTTCCGCCGCTACGGTGAGCCCCGGTGAACCCTGCTCTCTCGTAGCGAAATTCCAGTTCTTTCTTCTTCTCTCTCCTGGGCTTTGTTTCGTCGCGTCGCGTGTATTCGGGTGCCGAGCGAAGATTCCGTCAGACTCCGAATTCCAGCCGCGAAATTAACCGTGGAAACGTGACTCCGGCTGTTACGATGCCCCGTCTCCCTCGGAGGATTTGGGCTCGCGCGAATTACGCCTCGCTGTCTTTTGTACGACTCGAAGATTATCGGGCTGCCTCCTGTCTCGAGCGAAATCGATTCCGGATTCGCCGGTGAAATCTGTCACGCCAAGTACGCTTCAAGTGGGAACGTCCTGCATACTCGTCGCGCAATCTCTCTCTCTCTCTTTCTCTCTCATAAGTACTTACTCATGCAAGTACACGTGTACTCTCTCACGCCTCTGCGTCCATTCCTCCTGCGCGGTTACGTATACCGTGTTCACATACGCGCTCACTTATCTCTCGTAGGTACATAACACACACACATGCACACCCACATGCACGCTTAGTCCACCCTCGCCGTCGCGCCGCGGAAGCGCGCACGCATACGCGTGAAGTTCTCTCTCTCTCTCTCTCTTTCTCTCTCACGCGAGTCGCCCGCGTCTCCTTCAGTCTGCGTGCGTCCGCGCTCGCGTTTGCGCGCTCGTGTTCGCGCGTTTCGCTGTGTGCCGGCTCGCGGCCACCGTCTGCTCGTCTCTCTCTCTTTCTCCGTATGTGTGTGTGTGTGTAACACGCGCCCAGCGAGAAGCAAAAGTGTTGTTTATTAGATCAGAGGAAGCCAGTTTGCAGTGACGCACGGCCGGCTCGGCCGGAGACACGGCAGTGAACACCTTGGCTTCCGACCACTCACGGCGTAACGCGAGGAGAGCTCCTCGCGCGGTGAACCTCCGTTGGCCAACGCGTTTTCCTCCCTGACGCGCCCTCGAGTGCACTCCCTTGACGTGTCCTCACTCGTGCATCCTTGAGACGTCGCCGTCTCGCCTTCTTGCTCCGAAGAGCCGCTACGAGACGACGACGACGTCGCCGGCAGCGAAGAAGAGAGAGGTGAAGGTTCGTCGTCCGCGAGAGCAAAGAGACGGGACCGGAAGTGAGCCACGCGCGAAAACGTCGCACAGATAACTGAAGTCCCAGCACGTCGCGTAAGGATCGACCTTGCTTGCCGTTGGATCCGCGCGTAGACGGCCGTCGGGAGCTCGTTGCATTCGACGGCTCTCGACGCTGCTCGTTGCAATTGACAGATGTTAGAGATATATAAAAGTATATTGTACGAGAAAAGGAGAGAAAGGGGGGGAGGGGGGGGCACACGAGGATCGCCTCGTGCGCATTTGAAAAATTCACAACTCGTCGCGCAAATTATATTCGAGTCCGGTCGAACTCGGTATATCGATCTTACCGGAGCGAAGCCGCGCTTCGCGAAGGTTACGATGATGAAGTAATGTCATTTAACAATTAACGATAAAATGACTGTTTGAATAAATTTACATGAATATTTTAAAAGGGTAATTTAATATGAATCAGGCGCGGTTGTACAATCGAGAGAAATATACGATCGACACGCGGTTTGGCGATTTTAAGCGGATGATTTCTACAATCGAAGAAATATCAAAGTTGACTCGACGATCGTCACATTTCCCTATCTCGTTGTTATTTAACGCGTTGGCTTCCATGTGGGTCACCGTTGGCCGACATTGTAACTTTGCCGCATTTATTTGCACACAAAGCGTAACGAATTGCAGTTAACGGATAAAATTTGCAGCCAATGAAAGGCTAATAAAAGCAGCAAACGAATTTGCGCTTCAATGTGTGTGTGTGTACATTTTGCCGTAATTTCGGTTATTCAAACTTCAGCCGAGTTTCGAAACAGTCCGTGAAAAGCAGCCTGGCAGCCTACGTATAATATAATATGTATCGATCAGGCATCGCTTATTAATGATATAAAGGAGAGCGCGTATTGAATACGATGCTGCGGGAAGATAATAGACACACCGCGCTATAAGTGGTCTTGTATCAGGAGCAATATCGAGTTATCTTCCGGCCGAATATCACAAGCATCCGAATGCGTAACAGCTTTTTCTGTCGAACGCAAACACCAGTAAGTCCGTCACGTTCCCGCATGGGATTTATACCGTTCATGTGTATACATATCGAAAATGTGCGCACGTTCCGCAACGAGAATATCGCCCCCACACGCGACCGACACGCGTAGAGGCCCGTCCGTGTTATCCTACTGCGCTATTCTCACTACTATTTCGCGAGATACCGCGCGTTAAAACGTGTATCCCACTGTAATATAGAATTTCCCACGTTATATTTTCCATTTTTATCGCGCGTTTTACCGTGAAAACACCGAGGATGAATCCGAGCGCATTTTTCGATGCGCCGCGTAAACACGTCCTTCGCTCTGTCAATTAAAACCTTCCTGGAAATATGTTCTTATCGAGTTCCTGTAAAACTTGTTGTTATTATTATTATTATTATTTATTAAGTACATGGGAAAGAAATATTCCATGGTAGATATTCCTGGTAGAGACGTAAGCAGTTTTCCTAGACACCTACCTAGTTACTGTTTGATATTAATACATTCTCATTAGTTGAAATACAATACCGCGTGGAGACAATGGACAAAAACTTGATAGAGTTTTATCCGAGGGTACTTCTGGGGCAAAATTGCTCATTTCATGAGCAGCAGGCTTGTTTATTAATCAAGTGAATCAAAAGTGTTTTGTCCATTCATTGTTTTATATTCGTTCAGTATATAATGGTTCAGATTTTGCACATTTTTTGTACGGTAGGAAAAGTTAGAGCCTTAGCAGAATGACATACCTGTACCTTTAAGACAATATTTTATGTCCTCAATGTTTACCTAAATTATCATTTTTTTATTTTTCTTATTACACAGCGATTTGCCATCAATCATAAACAAAATAGCTTTTTAGTTTAAGACTCAAGAAGCGAAACAGTCATTGTTGTACATTACTTAGGCCGGTGTTCATAGTCTGAAATCTATTTCAGTTCGATAAATTATTTAAGACCATCTTAAGTTTATCCTCAGATGCTGTACGGCTCATTTCATTGTCTACGAAACGTCTGAAGATAAACTTAAGACGATCTCGAATATAAAACTCAAATATGAATACCGGCCCTAAAGACAAAGATTTAAGAGGTAAAACGTTATTTTAAACCAAAAAGTCAGCCGTAAAGCTTTTATCGGATAGATTGTAATTAATGTATCAATGTTCAATAACCGCTCAAAAAATGCATGAAACGTCTACCAGGATTGAAAGAAAAATACACAATTAGTTGCACTTTCTTGCGTCTCGTACGAGGAAAAAAGATACAACAATAACTGAATTACAAAAGTATTCGAGATAAAAATCCCATATCAAGATAAAGGCTGACGATAACGAATTATTATCTATCGGACGTAATTTGTCGATTTGAATGACCATCGCGTCGTTTTGATCGATCGCATAAATGCGACAGCCGGGACAGCCGTTAATTTGTATCGTCAAGCCCGACGCAATTGTGACGTGACGTCACCGTTAAAAATATTTTCAACTCGCGTGAAGAGGCGCGCAATCTGAGTTACACGGCCGTAACTTGTCGCGATGAAGAAAAGCGTTGCGCGCAATTGGCAACGCCATTTTCAGCTTCTGATCCGCTGGTTTCTGCTGGTTTCCTCAGCGGTGAAGCTCGACGAGACTCGAGGCCGTCCATCCGCGCGAAGGACCTCGCGATCCCTCCGAGGCTCGGCAACGTTGTCGACCGAGTGAGTCCGGAGGAAGCGCCGCGAGAGGACGAGGGAGCCGGGGAGGACTCGAGGAGGGCTCGCGATTATGGCCCGTCGCAGCAGAAACGGTCGCCATTGTTGGAGGAAGTAGCCCGCAGGCAGGAGGAGGACAGCTTGATCTGCAAGGAGCACTCTCTCGAGTACCAAAGTCAGACTCTCGAGAGCCAATCGGACCACCTGTTCCACGAGGTGATCACGTCCTCGTTGGAGGACCTGCTGAAGTCGGCACCGGACAGCTGGAGCCGCGAGATCTACGAGGAGAGCCTCGAGGGAGTGGAGCATAGCTTCAAGGAGACGCAGTACTCGCCGAAGGAAAAGCGCGACGTGCAGACGCAGACGGTGCAGGAGTCGAAGAGCACGCAGTGCAGTCCCGATCAGAGCGTGTCGAGCCCGTGCGAAGAGCCGCCCCGGGTCAGCCCCTTCCACGTTGGCCAGAAGTACTTGCAGAGTCCCCGACGGGAGGTGCAGACGCAGACCCAAGGCGAGAACAAAAGCGTCCAGTGTTGCTTGGACGATTTAGGTAGTCTCGACGGCCCCTGGAGAAACACCGGCAGCCCGGCCAGGTCGGAACAGGAGTCGAAGAGTATCCAGTGCGTTCCCGAAGACATCGCCAAGTCGCCCGACAAGTCGCGGGAGGACCGCAGCCCACGGCGAGAAGTCGAGGTGCAGACCTACCAGGAGTCGAAGGCGATTCAGTGCAGCGACGACGAGCTGCTCGATCAGGTGAGCACCGGCCGTCGAAGCACGCATCAGAGCAGACCGGCCAGCTCGCCTTCGTCGGGCTCGAGCTCGCCGCGCAAGTTCCCCACGGTGGTCTTCGTGGAGGGCGCCGGGGACATGACCGTCACGCACAGGGAACACGATGGTGACGTCACCTGGTCGAAGCACTGGGGCCCCGAGAGACTGGTGGAGATCTACAGAGAGCCGAAAACCAGCCTGGGACTCAGCATCGTCGGCGGAAAGGTACGACGAAAGGTACTCTATCCATTACCGTCAAGGCCATTCGGAAATTGCGCGCGTTTTCCAATCGCCTAATCTCCCCGATTTCATCTTCACGCGCGAGGTCGCGAAATTAACGGGCGCGCGCTCTCACCCCCGACACGAGGCAGGCCGAAAGGGTGGGCGGGGCGGAGAAATCGCGCTTTTTCCCCGATCTATTATATGTATATTTGTGGAATTACGCGCTGATATTGACGCAGTTCGCGGCCCGATGTCACGCGGCAACGGCGGATATTAAAAGACATCGGATGAGCGCGCCGGGGGCCGAAATTATATTCTATTATTTTCGTAAATTCTCCCCCTCGATATCCGATCAATGCGCCGGATAATCCCGACGCGGCTTCTCACACGCTGTTCGCGTCCGACCGCAGTTTTTCGTATCTCTTTTATTAGCACGCAACGAATATAGCCGCCGTTGCAGATAGGCAGAGAGAGATAGGGGAAGGGAGAAAGAGAGCGAGAGAGCGAGTTAGTTCGCCCCGATATTGCCCCGGTATTTTATAGCTCGCTTTTAAAATCGGGAGTGTTACGATGGCTATTGAAACATTCGGACACAGTGCCGGGCGAAGTAGGTCGGGCCAAATGGACGCCAATCAGCCGATCACTCGATCTATCCGTCCGTCTTTCTCACGCGTGCCGTAACTCGATAATCCCGTCCGATAATTCATACCGTCCCAGCAAATAATAAGTATATCGTTGTATATATACACACGTGCGAGCGACTTGCTCTCTCGGCGTGTCCGGTCGCGCGTAGGCGTTTTAATGGACGCGCGGATAAATTCGTCGTGACGCGAGAATTAAAAGGCTTTTAGTAATCGACGAGAGCGGGCTATCGGAAACGATAGCCGGCGAATGGGATTTAATGGAATCAATTAACCGATCGCTCGCACGTGTATAACACCGTCGTGCCAACGGCTCTATCCGGAGAAGAGAGTCTCACCGATTAACCCGGACTTGTTCTCCCGTCATCTCTCGCATCAACAAAACAGGCGCGAATCGCGAGCGTGTGCCTTCGTGCGGAAGTTTCTTCGAGGAGCGCGCGCGCTCGTGACCGGAGTTGCCGGCGAAACGTCTAACGTTATCGGATGTGACACGGTCCGCGGACGTCGCGCCGGTTAAGTGCATTATCTGCGCGGGGGTAGTTTCCCCCGGACGTTAAGCCGACGGGGAAACTGGTAACCGGATCATTGGCTTTCGTCCCGACGACTCTTCCCCTCCTCCCCCCGTCTTTCTCCTCTTTCTCGTCTTCCTTCGAGGGACAAAACGACCAACCGAATCGATGCGTCGCGAGGGTGCATCGCCGTCGTCCGGACACTGTAATTCTACGTTTGATTAAACTTCAGGCGTCGCGTTATGGTACTCTCCCTCTCTCGCATCGCGGGTAATTAACATTACGCATGCGAATCATAATTCAACGATGAATAATGCACCGGTCGTGCACACACGCAAATATATGCACACGTAAACATACACGCGTATACGCATAGGTCGTTACTAATTAAACCGGATGCGTTTGTTTCTCCGCTTAGCGGGGGGATGTAATCGATTATCCGATTATTATACCGGCCGCCGAATTGCGGTGTTAAATAATCGCTTTAATTCGTTTAACGCGTGACGACACTAACGACTAACCAATGAGAGATTAATGAGAATGAACGATCGGAGATAACTGAAGCGGGGCGGAAGAGGGAGAAAAGGACGGTGGTACAGGGTGATGACGGCGGGTGTTGCAAGGGAGGGGAGGGGATCGGAAATCACAGGCTACGATCCGTCTCGAACGGGGTGGCTCGCGATGTGGCTTCGATGTGGTCTCGCAGTTAACAGAGTTTCGGGACAGCTGCTGGCGACATTGATTAAATTTAATTGCGAGCTCGGCCGCGCGGAATCGTCAGTCAGCGACTGCGGAATCGACCAATTCGCCGTTCGCCGTTCGACCACTCGCGGAACGGAGCGAGCATTGAACAATGATTGATCCTTGTTCCAGGTCGATCTGCACAACGGCGGCGCCAGCAAGTCCCAGAACATCTCCGGGATATTCATCAAAAATGTGCTGCCCAACAGTCCGGCCGGCAGAACCGGCGGCCTCAAGGTAAGACCCATGGCACACACCGAAACACAAGGAAAAGAGAAATTAGTTGTTCATATAGAAATATAACTGAACTAATACGACTGAAATTTAATTGCCAGATCTGGTTTTTAGTACTGTGGTAGCCAAAAACTGGATACAGGAACGAAACGAATTAGCTGAAATTTTAGCAGCGTAAGCAAACTTAATTGTCGCTGTATTATCGTAAAGTGGTAGCAAAAGATTTTGCTGTTGCGACGATTGAAATTGCTTACGCTATTAAAGTTCCAGGTCTCCGTATGTTATAACTAATTTAGCTACCGCAACTAATATTTTTTCCCCATATTGTATTATACGAATAGCTAATTTTTATATGTGGCAGCTAATTTTTAACTGTGGGAGCTAGTTTTTAGCTACGAGAACTACTTCTTTTTCTCGCGCGATAAGACGTAAAGGCTTGTTCAGGCCAGCTTGCATTATTACATATGCACAATGAAATTAACCAATCATAATCCGTGCAGAAAAAGGGTGTCTTTTATATTAGATACGCGATTGGTAAATTTTCTTCTGCAAATATATTATGTGACTACGTAAGCTTGCCTGGATAGGCCTTAAGTAAATTGACTAACCGCAGCCGATTCTTGGATATACTTGAATATTCATATAAGGGGAAAAATCTATTATGATTTATCAATTTTCTCACCACTTAAGTCGTACTGCTTACGTTTTTCTGTGTGCTTTAACACGCGCGATTCTTCGGACGCGATTAGCCTTTGGTGTCATCTCGTCGATCGCGAAAATTGAATTGTTCCATTTCATTCTCTTTCCCGTCTTTTTATTCTTCTCCGTTTTACCCGAAACTCGCGGAATTGCTTTCATCGCTCCGCAGCCGCAAGCGTGTGGAAGTAGAGATGTGAGGCGATAAACGGGAAAATGAAAGTACAGCTTTTGCGCATCTTTCTCGCGGTGGAAATTTCATCTCGTTAGATATTTGCGCGTGAATGTATTTTAATTAAACTCCCGAAGTTAATTCACGTTCTCCCACACACACACACACACACATGTACGCGTGCGTGCTTTCAGATCGGAGATAGAATAATCGAGGTGGACGGCGTGGACCTGCGGCAGAGTACGCACGAACGCGCGGTGGAAGTGATTCAAGCAGCCGGAAATCCCGTCCGCCTCCTCGTTCAGTCGCTAGTGCATCTGGTGAGATTTAATAGCATACAGGAATATCGATGTTTCCCCCTCGTCCGGTTTTTCGAACCCGATTGATCTCGTCAACCCTCTGTTGCGCGACGCTGCGGATCGTGTGTACTTATACATCAGATTATTATGTTGCGGTGATTAATTAACGGCTTTTATCCGAATATCAAACTTTTCAACCGCACGATGTAAAAATTTTTTATTTTAGTTTCCCGTATATATATATATATATATGATATGATATAGGATGCCCCGAAATTAGACCGGCGGACATGGATTTATCGACAAAAACTACTTGTTTTGTTGTTCTTTATAAGTACCCGAAGTTCACCGGTCTAATTTTAGGACACCCGGTATATCCTGGCCAAGTAAACTAGCATGGAGCTTTCTCAGGTCGGAAATGCTAATATTTTCCGAGAGAAATTGTCTCTCTGCATCAGCAGAGAATTTTTCCTCCAAATCCGTCTCCGCTTTCTTCGTTGCACTCCGTTGACGCTTGTTCGCGACTCGTTCTAACGATGAAGAATCCGAAGACAGCCAAATGCCGGGTAATGTTTCTGCCTCGCTTCCTCGACGCGACGACGAAAATCGTGCGATATTTCTGTGAGGAACACGAGTCGCAGTTGGCGGAAAGAAATAACGCTGGCTCTCTTAAAACGCCGCCCGTTGCAAATTTTCGTAAATCTGCGTTACACATCCACTCGAACTAAGCTTCATGCCGGCGCGTGAAAAAATATCTACATTCCTGAGGGGAATAAATTCACGACGATGGGGGCGACGGGGAAGGCGCAGCTAAATCCTTTACGGCCCGTTGAAATTTACGACATTGCTTTGCGCCAGCAACTTTCGTAAGTTACACGCCGTTTTATAGTCCTACACCTTCTCACGATATCTTTTTATTCCTTTTTTTCCTTCTCTTCTCGCGTCGGGCGACCCTCGCATTCGGGACTGTACTTAGTTGTGCGCGGATGCTTCCTGTGGGTAAGTGCATCTCGTACTTCTTGATCAATGCGAGTCTCATCGGCACGACGTGATATCAATCGACAGTAACCGAAGGAAACAGAATGATAGGAATAGAAAGTGATGAATTATCTGTCCGAGTCGTCGTGTCGATTCTCCGCTCCCTTTTGGCAGCCGGGGCCGCAAGGAAAATCTCGGCGTATTTTCGCATAGAGAAGTTTCGACGTCAAGTGTATGTGAATTCAAGCGAGCTTCCGCGGTCTACTTTTAATCTCACTCGGTTTCACTTACACATCTCTCTTGCGCGCAACCCACGATTATTCTTCCGGTTGTTTAACGGAACAAAACAAACGGCCGGTCGAAACCCGCGGATATTCGCGTTCGCGACGAGGTCGCGCTCGTAATTCTTCGCCGTCGAGTTAACTCGATTTGCGAGGTGCGAAAGTTCGTGACTCGCAATTAATTCGCGTGCGCCTCCCGAATCGATCGATTTCGCATCCGCTAACCGGACGTTGCCGTCGTCGAGTCTAACGCGGGACGAAATTGAACTCCGAGCGATGTCAGCGAGTAGCGGGCGGCCTTCGGCGTCCCGTCGTTTAACACCGCCCATCTCCGAAAACCGTCGCCGATAGAGACACATTACGCGAGATTGGACGCAGCGCGTCGCGACGCTCGCATGATGGACACGGGAGAGACACCGCGGAGCTCTCTGCCAAGCGCGAGCGACCCTTCCGCACGGTGATTTCTATTCTAACGCTTTTCACGAATTTCCACTCTCTGAATTTCTCACTAGGTGAAATCTCACTCAAATCACGTGAAAATTCGCTCGAGGTGATAACGAAGGTATTGTTACTCTCGAAGCACTTCTCGGAGCGAAATCTCACTCGAAACGAGTGAAAATTCACTCGGAACGACAGCGGTAAAACCGTCACTCGGAATTGCAAGAATGAGTATTTCTCAAATTTAGAATATATTCTTACACTACATCCTTATTCCACATGTGTCGATATTTCAGGCAATTAGAGTAAATTTGCTCGAATGACGGTAGGATAGATGAAATTTCTTCAATTGGAAGAATTTACTCTACATGAACGAAAAGTTAGTTGAATTCAAGTGACTCTGCTGTTATTCGGCTCCTCGAGTGGAATTTCATTCGAGGAAATTTCAAGAATACTTCTTGAATTTCTCGGAGTGAAATCTCATCCAAAACGGGTGAAATTTCACTCGAAGCGATAGCGGAGACACTGCTACTCGAAGCCGCAAGAGTGAATTAGAATTCTTAGCCCGCACGAGTGGATGTTTCAGACAATTAGAGTAAATTTGTTCCAATTACAACGAAGTATTATTATAATCTATTGATGAACTCTTTAATTATGAATGAAAATATTCACTCGATAACTCAGAATGGAGAGAATTCATTCTACATAAGTGAAAAATCGTCTGAATTCGAACAGGCTGTTATTCCGTTTTTCAAGCGAAATTCGAAGAAATTTCAAGAATATTCTTTGAATTTCTCGGCATGAATTCTCACACAAAACAAGTGACAATTCACTCGAAGCGTTAACAGAAATCTTACTATTCAGAATCGCGAGTGTAATTGTTTAACACAAATTTAGAGTTGATCTTCAATCCATATGAATGAACGTCTCAATCAATCATGATAAATTTGCTCCTGTAAGACGTTAGAAGGTGTCTTAGAATGAAATACGAGTGAAAATCTTCACTACTCGTCAATCCAGGGCGGAGAGGATTCGTTCTGTATGAGCGAAAAATCGGCCGGAATTTCAGTCGAGATCGAAGCTCGGGGAAATTCAGAGAGTGCGCGAACTCGGAAAACGCCGATCGTACTCTCCGAAGCGGAACTTCGACATCTCTTATCGCGTGGACGCCGAAGTGCGCGACACGACGCACGATGCTACGTGGCGCCGATGTAAATTCCACATCATCGTCCTTCGGCTTTTACGTGCTGTATGCGTTCTTGCGCTCCCCGATGGCTCGAGGCGCGAGTGCGCACTTCGTCCTCGCCATAGCGGCGAACCATAAATTCGCGGCGCTCGTTCCAGGCACTTGAACGAGCTCGTAATCTTGAAACGGTGAAATTTATTGCGGCTCGCTCGGACCTTGACGGCTCCTCGCGAGTCGACTTTCCAGGACAATTGAAAAGTCTCGACTCAGAATTACCGTTTAATAGACACGTCGTTGAATAACCGGTCTTCGATCAGGTCCGATATTTTCCTTGACGATCGAAGCGTGCATGGAATCGCGTCTCATTTGCAAACACGAGCGAGACTTTTGTCCTGGTGTATCTTGAGATCAGCCTAAACTTGGAATTGCAAAAATGGCCGAGTTTATCTCTCTTCTTCCGCCGTCTGTAACACCAAGTGCCGTACGTGTCAAGTGCAACGACACCTGTTCGCAGCCGAGCCGGCGAAGCGCGCCGCCTGTAATCGGCTGCTCCGAAAATGACATCGAGTTTTCCCCAATTTCAATCAGCCGTGCGCGCACGTTCTTTCGGAGCCGTCGATGCGGAGAGAATGCAATGTCGAGATACATACGGACGGCGATCACGAGCGACGAGTTGGAGAATGCAGGAGAGAAAAAAAGAGAAGAACAAGAGAGAAAGGGAGAAAGAGAAGCGGCGAAAGAATAAAACGGAAAGAGGACAAAGGGAAGGAGAGAGAGAGAGAGGGAGGGAGGGAACCATTATCGGCGAACAGCTCTTGTACGCGTACGATGCACCGGGGTCGAACTTTCCAATAAAACTCCACGAGAAGGGGTGACGAGGGCAAGCGGCACACGATGAAAAGAGAACGAGAGAGAGGGAGAGAGAGAAGAGAGAGGGAGCGAGAGAGAGAGAGAGAGAGAGCAAGTCGCGACGATAGAGATATGTAAAGTTGGAACAAACGAGAAAGAGAGACAGAAGAGGATGAGTAGCAAAGACGCGTCCAAGCAACGACGAAGTCGGCGGTCCATCGTCACATGAGAAGACGGAAGTTCCTCGTCGATTAACAGTCGAGCGACAGCTTCGCACACTGCCGACGACCTCGTGTCGTTGAATTTGCCCTCGCGTCCTTCGCCCGAAACGCGAGGAATCGAATTCGGGAAATGTCGTCGAATTCGCGATTCGGCGTCTCAATTCTACGATACAAAATCGAAGACAGGTTTTCCGGCGAGCACGCTGATGAAGAAGCGGGAAGAACTCTGGCTCTCGGCCGATCGTTAGTGAAAACGATCTTCTCCCGCCGGTTTTAAACGAGGCCGTCGTCAGGGTAGGCATCGTCGCGCGGGTGAAAGGAAAGCACCTCTCTCTCTCTCTCTCTCTCTTTCACTCGTGGGCGATAGCGAGGCCAGGGGATGATGCGGTTCGCCGGGAAGAGTGGATCCGCGTCGTTGCGACCGAGCGCCCATCATCGACACCATGGACCATCGATGAGCCCACCTCTCCCGGTGCGCCCCCGTATGAACAACCCCCGTCGTTCTCTTCTCTCTCTCTCTCTCTCTCCCGGCCTCGCGGACACACTTCAGTTTCGTGCACGAAACCGCCTGGTCGACGTTCACCTCATGTCAGCCGGCTCAGTCGTCAGCAAGTACCGCGATGCACCGACTCTTCGGTCGCAAATGCGTCACCTTCGTCGTACGTACTCGCCGGCCCCCGTTTCCCGCCCCTCGACGAGCCGTCGTCGAAGACGCACTGGTCTCTTTAACTGTCGTCGGCGCGTCGCCAAATGCACGCGATACACATCACCGTCGGCCGCCGATGACGTGCGCGGAAATCGAGGATTTGTCTTCATTGTGTCGTCAAATCGAGCTTGCTTTGTGACACTTCTCTTTCTGCCTTTCTCTCCTTCGTTCTTTTTGTCCCCGTTTCTGTCTGTCTCGTGACGGTTCCCTCTCTTTCTCTCTCTCTCTCTCTTTATCTATCTCTCTGTTTCTCCCGTCCGTTGTTTCTTCATCTTATATTTTATATTTTATTATAAGTCTGAGTGAATCTTTCGGCTTTGTCCCAATCGTTTTTTCGAGCACCGATAAGGCGCCAATTTGTGTCACGTCGATGCGGTGACAATTTTATCGGACAAAAACACGCAAAATACTGCGTCACATTGTCACTCGTGCGTTTGAAAATTAATTGTGATTCACGGCAAGAGAGTTGGATAAATGTGTGTGTGTGTGTATATTGTGCATAGGTGGCATCGAAGAAAAGTAACCATCGGGAAGCCGTCGTGGGGACAAACGCGCGCTTTCGCTCCTCGTCGGAACGAAGTGCGGATAAGTGGGAAAAATATCGAAATCAACAAACATTCCGCGTTTCGACGACAGTTAAGGTCGGCCAATTTGACCCGTTCGTTTGGACTTTTGTTTAATCCGTTGCGTCGTTTGTGTTCGGCTTTTAATTATTGCCGCGCGATCGCTCAAAACGCTCGTCTCAGACAATTATGCGGGAATTCAATTAATTAACGAACACGGTCGCTCGCGAATTGTTTGCGTCGCCGTTGAATAACGACAAATACGTATCGCAACGTATGTCATTTTAACAGGGGATGGGTATGATGAATCGCGGCGCGTTTTTACATGGCCGATAAAAGTTCGCCGAGTCGCATTAAATTTCGTTTGTATCGAGTTCATTGAAAACAGATGCGATTTCTCCCGATGGCCCTCCACCCCCTCCCCCGCCTCCGCTTTCTATATTTGACCGGTAAAATGCACATAGCAAGCTTCGTGTCCTCGCGTATTTCCATTAATTATATTTCGCAAAATGCGCGGATTAAAACAGCTCTGTGCACAAAGGCCGTATAAACAACGAGCTGAAATCAAACAGAGGGAGATAAAACAGAGAGAGGAATGAAGGGAAAAATAAAACAATCGTTATTCTAAGGCTCTTCATGGATTTCCGATCACGTTATCGGGCTTTTGAGAGAGCCAATGCAGCCGATCGTTGCGAATAAATTTTGTATTAATCACGAGAGGATAAAATTGTCCCCGCGGCATGAGGGATTTCGAACTTTCGATGTTTTACGCTGTGTAATATGTGAGATAAAAGGAAATCAAACTCGAGACTCAATTTAATGTCCGATAATTCACAGGCACTTATCGTTTGGAATTACGTCGCTAAAGGCGAGCTCGCGATCGCTTTGGGACAATCGATCCTCCGTCACGATTACGTTCTCATACAAAGGATGAGAAGGAGGAGGACGCGTGTCGGCCGATCGGTCGGTCGGTTTAACACGTTACGGAATTAAACTCACCCGTGATTGCCGTTACCTTTGGCAACAATTCAAGGCACGCGAACAAATATTTCCGCTGTAGTAATTCATTTCGCGCCGGTTTATCCAGGCGGCCGCGTGTTTACTTCATTGCTTCGAGATAAGTATAGACCTACGAATCTAATTTGCGAACTTCTCGATATCGTCGCTTGTAGAGTCCGGAGCACGGCGGCGGCGCGGCCCAAGAGGAGAAAGACGACGGCAAAGGCAGCCGGAAGAGTCACACGTCCGCTTCCAGCGTCGGGACGCCAACGGCCTCCTTTCGTCATAAACCACCGCCGGTCTCGCCAGCGAGGTCCGTTACACCGGAAGTGATACAGGTCGGTCTTCTCACGTAGACGTAGCGCATCGATCGATTCGAACGTAAGAACGCGGCCGGAAACACCATCGAAGTGTCCCCGAGTGATATTCCGCTCGGAAAGCAAGTCCCGTAGGAGAGAAAATCACGATTACATCAAGATGATGAGAAAGTGATCGAATTGCGAGAGAAAAGTGAATTTTCTCATTTTGACGTCGTTCCGATATAATCGTGATTTTCTACTCTACCTCGGTAACAACCGAGTCTCTTTCTCTCTCTCGAGTTCAAGTCACTTTTTCGTTCATATAGAGCGAATATTCTAAATCATCGAGTGAACATTTTCACGCAAAATTGCAGAGCTGTTCTCGTTATTTTGACATCATTTCGATGTAATCGTGATTTTCTCTACTTCTTGAGGAAAGGAAACAGCCGAGTCTTTCGAATGACTCTCCGTTCATATACAGCGAATGTTCCACTCTGAATAATCGAGTGAATATTTTTCACGCGAAATTTCAAAATGAATATAATGTACTTCAATGTACGCCTAACAGGAACACGTTCATTCTGATCATTTTGAAACATTCATTCGTACGGGTCAAGTCGCTTGAATCGACTGACTTTTCGTTCATATCGAGTGAATTTTTCTGGATCTGTATCGTCGAGTAAATATTTTCGCTTATAATTGAAAAGTGAATCTACCGTACCTCACCGTCGCCGGAATAAAGTTATTCTAATTGTCCGAAACATTCACTCCTACGTGAACGAACTCAGAATATTTCGAAGTTTAAGTTAAATATTCGCTCTTGCGATCCTGATTAGCAGGTAGTATTTTCATCATCACTTCGAACGAACCTCCTCTCGTTTCGAGCGAGGCTTCAGTCCGAGTTCACGTAGTATCGCGCACATGACTCACGTCCATTTCCTGGATCATGTTGCCCGTGCGAGGACGCGAATGCTTGTTCCCGCCAAACATGAGAAGCGAACGCAACTGTTGCGAATTACTAATTGCTAAATGGAGAGAAAAAGCGCTGCGTTGGGTGGGCGGGCGGTTTCGTGCTAATTAATTTCTTTAATTGAATCGCTTCGCTGCAGTTTTCGCGCACCGGGCAGATGTATTTCTATTCTAATTAAACGGCTGGATATGCGCGCGCTCATGATCGCGATTGCACTTATTACACGTATGTGAGTCTAAGCGCCCAAGCCGCCGTAATTAATTCACGCAGTCCGACGACTTTTATTTTTCTCGTGGGAGGCAAGTTTCTCTTCTTTATTCTCACAACCGGCGCTACGAGTGGTCGAAATATGACGAAATCTGGCCGAAAATCTTTCTATAAACATTTTGTAATATAAGCGTGGCTTATGTTAAAATTCTTTTAAGAAATTATCAAAGGATCAAGTTCTGAGTCCTTTTCATTTAATTAATACCCGAGGAATCGCGTTCCCGCGATTTTCCTCACAAGCACACGGCGTCCTGGCGTGTATGTGCTTCAGGGTGGATTTTAATTTTGCCGAAGACGGAAACGGAGAGGGCTACTAATTGCTTTCCCTTTGAGCGTCCTCCCCAAATTCTCTCTCTCTCTCTCTCTTTCTCTGTTAATTTTATCGAGCGCAGCCCGCGCGTCGTGCAACGTCCGGACACACGGATGCACGCGGACGCGCGAATGACGTTTCGATTCGAACGCTTTTATTTCTCCGCTTTTTTTGAAAGTGCCAATCCATTTGTTGCGTAGCCAGGACTCGAGGACGGCGACGCTCAGGGTGTGACGCGCGGCGTCGATTTCCACAGACAGAGCTCGAGGAAATCGGATGGCTCAGCTCCCGGCTCGCGAAGGTACGACTGACGCACGAAATTATCCTTCCGCACCTCGCACTTTCGCCTCGTCTTCGACTAGCGAAGACTCGTTTGCATCCTGTCGCTCTCTCCTCGCTCTCACGCCGAGAGAGAGAGATTGATTTACCTCGAGAGTTTTCCCGCACCGTCAACGAACGTTTCTTGCTCGCGTGCCAGATCCTCCATGAAGAAGTCAATTCGCAAAACGGCCCCGGCGCCCCCCGTCAACCCGGACGTCCTCCGCGAGGTGAGCGAGGAGCGGGAAGACCATGCTGTCAGCGCGGAGCCGCCCGCCAAGTCCACCAAGTATTCCTCGGACGAGAGCTCGGATGAGGACGAGGAGGACACTCGCATGCTGGAGGGAAACGTGTACACGAAGAGCGGTGTCGAGGTAATTGAAAGTGCGATCGATCATCTTCGACCGGATATCGTCGCTCGTGCGTCATCGAGAAAACTGCTTATTTATCTAGATCTCGAGGAAGAGCGCCGGAAATGTGAAACGCACGAAGGCGGAGGTTGATGCGGATCCCGAGACGGAGGACCAGTTCGGTTACACGGCCAGTGAGTGACCCCATTGCTCTTTATCTCGATCAGATCGTCCGTCGATCTCGTTTTATTCCGAACCCACGTTTGACATTAAACGCAGTAATCTGATTTCTACACCCATTCCAGTCGGCTCTCTTCCTTTTTACATGAACGTCGCGTATTACGTTGTGTCGGTTTGAGAATCGGAAAGGAATATTTAGCGTTCAATAGTTAGCGGAGAGAGAGTGGGTCAAGTTGGTTCAAGGGTCCTGTTGTTTATGGCTCTCGTTTATATATTTTTGTGAGGGAAACTGTAGCAATTCTCTCTCTTTCTCTCTGCATTGTAAAATGTTATTTTTAGAATATGGAAAAAATATTAAAATAATCCTTACTTACGGAAAGCTCTTTAGTGTACAATGATGTGAAATAAAACTAATGAAAAATAAACAGACATGAAATTAGATTCAATATAAAATATATGAAATATAAGGAAATTAAAATAAAATAAATAGATGATTTTTTTAACTTTTAACATTTTTTAACTCTGAGATAACGTGAAGCATCAAATATAGGGTATTTATACTCAGCAAACACCAACTAATAGTAACATCAATGTTATTATTTCCAGCTCAATAATATAACTGTTACATAACATGCGTGTTATATCGCAGTTATATTATTAAGTGGGAAATTATAATATGAATATCATATTAAGTTTTGGCATTTGTTGAGTAAAATCGCACGCATTAAAGGACTAAATTCAGGTAGAGTGCCATAGAAGAATCAATACTTTTGTTTTGATAATAACATAAAAGTACTTACGTTGTTATCGATCGACCTCCGTCACGCGTAAACGTCTCCTTGGCTTTGCAGTGAAGGTACAGAAGAAATATCAGAATCTGGGGAACAGAGTGCTAATGATCACCCTGGAGAAGGACAGACGAGGTCTGGGCATCTCCTTGGCCGGGCACAAGGACAGGAACCGAATGGCGGTATTTGTTTGCGGCCTGAATCCGAAGGGTGCGGCTCACAAGAACGGCGGGCTCCACATCGGCGACGAGATATTGGAGGTCGGTCCCCGCTCTTTCGCTCTTCTTTCTTTTTTTTTACGATCTGCCGTTTAACCACGAGCACGTCGGTGCCGTCCGTATTCTCGTTTACCCTGTTCCGGCTGTTTAACCTTCGATTCGCGCGTCATCTGATCCGTTTACCTCGTCTACCACGACGAGCGAGAGGAAGATAAAACGAGCGTTTGCGGGTTTTCCCGAGGAAAAAAAGAAAAAAAAATTGCTGACCGTTTTACTCGCGACATACAGCTACGAAGTTGCTAAGTCGCGGTTATTACATTGTTGAATGGAATAATCAGAATGGAAGGCAGTAAAGAGAAAGGAGGTAACTCGTCCTCGACGTTTTGCCGCAGAGGTAGCCCTTCCGCGTATTTGCATTAATTCAGAGTATATAAACGTTAACAAATATCGGAGGTACTCACATAAGTAATCAATTATTCACAAGATTCTTATTATTGCAATTTCTACTTAAGCTGTGCGTGCTGTAATAAACAATATTTTCAAGCATGGAAACAACTCACTGATGATGATTATGACTGATTGAAAAAACAAAAACTTAATCTTTGAAATATTTAACTTAGTAGACTTTTAATGCTAATCTATATGTCAGCTCAAGTCCCACGAGCTATGACAGTCGCGATTCCATTGCTTCACGAAACTTTCCTTACCTCTCAACTCAAGTAGTTTTCATTAAAGTAGTGAAACCGGGAACTCCTATTTTCTGTTCCATCAGGTAAATGGTTGCGTATTGCAAGGACGATGTCACTTGAATGCCTCCGCCATCATCAAAGGCATGGTCGGCACCTGCTTCAAGATCATCGTTTACCGGTGAGCATAGCAGAACTTTTCTCTCTCTCTCTCTCTCTCTCTCTTCGCTTAGCGTGTGTATGTATGTGTATGTGATGATATCACGTGACACGTCTAACAAAATTGGTCGGAACTACAAAAAGAATTTCGTTTGCTCCCGATTGCAGGAGATTGAAGGCTCTCGACGACATCGCCGTGAAGCCGATAGTTCAATTCCCGCCGACCTTGGATGATGTAAGTCTATTCTACGGCTCTTCCGTCTTCGTATCATCACCATCAACTTTATCCTTGCGGACCTGCTTCGTGGACAATGCGAGACCGGTTGAGCAATTTTAGAATCGCGCGAATCATCGTTATTGGTTGACAACCACGGTTCATACTGGTCGTATGCGCGTATAGCACGATCAAGCACGATAAACGCCTTATTATTACGTAATCTCGTTTTAACAAAGCCACACGCGCGACCACAAGATTATGTGCACGCAGGATGCAAATGCGTACATTGTATCGCCGGCGCGCGAAGTGATACGCGGTATCTCGTGTTTCAGGCCGATCAATTCAGTCAGTACAAGGGAGTCCGCAACTTACCAGTGAAGAAGGCAAGTGTCCGCGGCGATGCTTAAACGGGTCGAGTTTTTCCAGTCGACGCGTCGTCGATTATTCCTTAACACGCTCGCTACTGCGCTTAAATTGGAAGTCGCTTGTTATATAATCCACGTTATATTTTTAGCAAAGAACGCTCCATTGATACAGTCCCGGCCTTCGAGCATGTGACATCGAGAAATTCCAATCGGTGCATCGTTTCTGAATATTTGTGCATCACGACTGCTGCTTTAGAGTATTTTTTGCCTATTCATCGAATAATCAACAGCCATGATACATGAATATTCGGACGTAACGTGTCTGGTGGAAAATTTTCGACTGTCCTATGCCTAGAGAATGGAACGGTATTGACTCTCGAATAACAAGATTGAGTCGGATCGGATCGGATCCATATTCTATTGTTTCCGCGTGGCGTGTTTGTGAAGCGTTATATTTCAGATATTTTACATAGTATGTGGTGCACTTTACTTAATTTTAAATACTTTCTAGCTTATTGTGAGAATGAAAGATTCCCAATCGAGAAAATTATTTGAAAAATCTACAAAATGCTTCTACCTATTCTTGTTGGTCGGGTTGGTCAAACCCGACTCCACCTTGTTATACGTGTGACTGCATGAAGCTTGTTAATCAAGAGTTAATGGTGTTGGTTTTCTGTACCTGCAATTAATATAATGCATATGTTCACACGTATGCACATATAAAGTGCGTTACGTTGTCGGACAATTTTATTCTCCCGTTGAGATTTAAAAATTAAAACTATCGTGCGCTTCATCTAGCGACGGCTGTCTCGGCCAATTTTTTTTCTCTCTCTCTCTTTCTCTCACTGAGAGAAACTGATTGTTCATAAATACATATACATAATACATGTACATATACATAAAATAGGCAAATTGAGCGTTTCACACATAACATTTTGCACACATGTGTGACGCAAATACCCGGTTAGAGATCGCATCGCGTGTTTGTGACGCCGGTAGCGAGCGTGTTAATAGCCAATTTCTCATGTTTCTAGATTACCTCCGATACTAATTACTGACTGATCTCTCTCTCTCTCTCTCTCTCTATCGCGCGTTCTTAGGGTCAATACGGCCTCGGGATCATGATCATCGAAGGGAAGCACGCGGAAGTGGGACAAGGTATCTTCGTGTCCGACATCCAAGAGGGCAGCGCCGCCGAGCAGGTAATTTTCGTTCGTACGCGAGTTTTCGGGATCGCATTAAGGCAAGCCGCGTCCTTCACAATGCGACATTGCAGGCTGGATTGCAAGTAGGCGATATGATCCTTGCGGTTAACATGGATAGCTTGTCGGGCTGTACGTACGACGAGGTTCGTTTTTCTCTTCTTTTTTTCTCTTTTTGTTTCCTCTTCCTCACCGGACGATTTTCCTTTCAACGGAGAGTCGCTCGGGGAACTTGGATGGATGTTGATTTGACATTAATTTTCTTTCAGGCGACGTCATTACTGAAGAAAGCGGAGGGGATCGTGACGCTGACGGTGTGCAACCCGAACCAGAGCAAAGTGGAGCAGAAGGACAAGGCGTCTTCCTTGCAGAAGGACAAAGCGAAGCACGGCGGTGCCATTGCGCCTGCTCCGACCGTGGTTACAGAGAAGACGCCGCAGAAGAGCGCGCCGAGTGAGTTCAACGACACACGATCGATTTTGCATTGTCCAGTGATAGTTCGCTCGATCGTTCGCGTTGATAAGGTCATTTAAGATCTTGTGAAAGATGTGCATGCGATACTTGATTCCCCGTAGCGACGGCTGCCAAGGAACCGGACAAACCCGCGGCGCCGCAGGATCCAAAGGACTGCAAGATAACGGTAGGCTCGGAAGTGACGATAGAGTTCCAGAAGGAAAAGGACAAAGGGATTGGCTTGACCATCGCCGGCGGCTCTGACACCCCGATGGTGAGCACAACTTTCGGCGCTCGAAAAACGCCCTCTGAATCTCTTGGAGCGAAGTTTTGATTACGAGTGACTTCAAGTCACTCAGCTGTCACTTTTTGAGCGGAATTTCGCTCGAAGATATTTCGAGGATACATTTCACATCGTAATTCACTTGAAATATATTTCAAAAGAATCAAAATAAAAAAATAAATATAAATGTAATTTACTTTATACTTCAAAAATACATAAAATTTGATTTTTCGTTTGATAGTCCTGACACGAAGAATGTAATTTTTTAGATTGTTAAAGGGGACAATTTTTTCGGTGTGTAAAATCTTGTGCCGAATGGTTCCTTTTCTAGAACGGAGTGTTCATTCTGGAAGTATCTCCCGATGGCGCGGCCGGGAAAGACGGTCGATTGCAGGCCGGCGATCAGATACTGAACGTGTGCAACGAGAGCTTCAAGGAGATAGAGCACGAAAAAGCGCACGTGGCACTCTTGAAAGCTTCTCTGAGTGGAACTGTATGTAGCATTTCTCTGTCGAACATCTCTCGCGTCATCCCATGTTCGTTCGCTCCCGCGCTTCTTTACTCGGATCTTGACGGGCCGTAAACAAACGTAGACATTTTAGGCTCATTATTTATTTACAATAGTTACCTGAAACTTGCTTTACGTGAAATATTCAGATCCGAGTTTTAAGCTTAATTCTGAGTTTTCAGTTTAATCGCTACCACAAATATAATGTTGCGTATATCATATAATTCTACTGAGAAAAGAAGTCAGATCCAACTTTAAACTTGCATTTAAGACCGGTATTAACAGTCGTTACTTGAAACTTTTCTGAAGTGAGATACTCAGATTTACACTCAGAATTGGACGACGTGAGATTCTCGCCCGATTAAAAATATAATGTTACATCATAAAATTTAGCCGAAGAATTCAGATTTAATTCTAAAATCTAAATTCACAAATCCGACTATCTCGCATAAGATAAATTTCCAGTCACAGACTATATAAATATAGCCTGGCAGAGCGAAATAAATCGCACAACGATTAACTTGGGATGAGATTCCGATAACAGATTGATGAGAACTATGAGATTCGTGCTCTCGCAAGAGCGGAGTCGCATCGTTTTTAGTACCTTGAATAGAGTCGTTCATAGTGCCGTTCGGACGAATAGCGGCTATCCACTACGCCTTCTAATATTTTCTACGGCGAGTCCGCTTGGTCGATTAAGCAAACATGTCGCCGACAATGGTCCATTTGTTCGTTCGTTCGCAGATTACAATGACAGTGTTGCGCTACGAGAAGCCAGCCGATGAGATCGAGGTCGAGTTACAGAAAAAGCCCGGCAAAGGAGCTGGTTTCTGTATGCGTGGCTTCGTGAGCGGCAAGGGAGCTTACGTGTGGGATCTGGTGAGTGTTTTCGATTCTACATTCTATGTTTTAAGCATTATTTCGCAACGCGATTTCGCGTCACCCGTCGATCCTTCTGCGCGCAGTTACCAGCCGGCAGCGCCTCGGAAAGCGGCAAAATCTGCAAAGGCGACCGCATCTTGGCAATTTGTGGACAAGATGTCCGCGAGGCTCCCGTGGACGACATCGCCGTTTACATGAAAACATCCAATCCGCTGCAACTAAAGCTGGCCAGGTACAAGTCCGCCAAACAATGACAGGTAAGCTCTCGGACCGCTCCCTCTCAGACCGAAAATTTCACAACGACTCATTTCCGAGAATTTATAATTTTAAAATATACAAATTTTTCATATACATATAAAATATAATTTACATTAATAATTGGGTAATGTATCAACATGCCTTAAATATAGATCAAATTTTTACCAAATTTTCTGCAGTTTTTTTATAATTCTGCAAATTACTTTTATCTTTTTTTTTAATTTTCGTAATGTACATTTATATTTCTTATAATTTACATGTACACTTTTTGTATAATTTAAATTTACATTTTTGTTTGAAGAATTCACTCGTCTAAACAAAAGCTGGAAATTGTTCCGAGAGTTCGGTTCACTTTAATTTCGTAAATTTAAGACGATTTTCTCAAGCCGATAACTCCGCGATCGAGACGAATTTTCGACCACCGAGTCAGCCGGCCGACGTCGCGGGCACACAGATGAATCGAATCCTTCGCTTTTCAGGGTTCTGCGGGCAGAACTCTCGGCGCATGCCCCGATGTACGGCGGAACACCTACAGACACTGTGGATTCTAGTGTGATACATAAATGAAGTAACGTCTTAACCATAAGTACCTTTGTTACTTGAGAAGAGTCGCGTGCTGTCGCGGCTCGCCCTACCAGAGTTACACGCCAGCGTCGCCGATCGATCTTGCCGTTTCTCTCAGCGAGTCGTCGCGCGTGCGCGAGAAGCTACTTGCGACAAGAAGAGGAGGAACAAGACGCAGGAACAACGGAAAAAAAGAGAGAGAGAGAGACGATGCGACTTGCTTGTGATGCACACACACACACATACACACACGTGCATCGGCCCGAACGACAGAGGCTGCAGCGGAAGAACAGGAAGGAACTTTTCTAGCCACTTTGCAGGGAAGAAGAACCGTCGTCGAACCGGCACTGAGCCTGAATACTTGAGCCAGTCGACGTCGACTGGCGGATCGATCGGTCGTCGATCGAGTTCGCAAACGATTCCGTCTGCCGATGCGCTCGCGCGTCCTACAGCGAATTACACGCAGCGTCTCATCATAGCGCACGTCGCACAGTGCATTTGCGCAACCAGCGACAACAGTGTTAGCACGCGATCGCGCGAGCTAATCGTCGCCGTTATCGCCGATCACTTATCACACAACACACACGTACACATACACATAGTGCACGGCGAGACGGGCGCATTCGTCGTCTCGTTCGTGACGGAGAACGCAAAGGGCTGGTAATAATCGATAATCGGCTGGTCTACATTGAGACGCGCGATTACTCGGAACGATTGAAAAGAGCAGGGGGAAGGGGAAAAGGCCGCAGGATCACTTGGATCTACGACCGGTATTCGTAATCAGATCTTGTATTTAAGATCGTCTCAGGTTCATCCTCAGATGCTTAGCAGCCAATGAAACGATTTATACATCTGAATTTCTTCCCGGGAGGGGGGTTCTCACATATAATTATATATGAGAATATATATGCCCATGTGTAAAAATGTATGACTATATATAATTATATATAATTATGTATTTATGTATAATTTTATATAATCATATGTAACTGTATCACCATTAGATATATAATTTATACATTTTCACACATGGCCATATTCTATATATATATATGACGCCTTATATATATCATAATATATAATAATATATGAAAGATTTTTTCTCCCGGGGATGAACTTCATATGAGCTTAAGTACAAGAGACCCAACTATAAATACCGCCCTATGTTCTCATCGAATACGCTGCTCTCCTTGCATCTTGATACAAAAGCGAGCGGGCAAAAAACTTGCTCGGTACGTTTTTCGTATTACACACATACACATACACACAGCGTGTATACTTAAGAGGTAGGTAAATTAGGACCGACCGTAAATCAGAGCGCGCGTTCTCGATCCGCTAAGGACGAAGGCGTTTTTACCACGGAACAGGACGAAGCAAGACAAAACTCTAGTCACGCCCTCGGCGTTCGGCGTTTCGGCGTTGCCCGCCTTAATCGAATTCGCGTCGCGACCGTGCCCGCCCGCCGCCGCAGCCCACGTGTAAACGTATTATTGTCTCTCTCATAATTGTATTTTTCAATATTGATAAGCGAGATGTGGACGTGCGATGCACGAGCGGCGCCGATAGAAACTCTCATATCTTCGTTCCGGTTAGAAGACGAAACGCGACTTCCGCCGAGAGTCCGCTTGTTGAAAACGAGGTTGTTGTCGAGAGGCGCGACTTTTCCTAACTTGTAGCTTCATTCGGTGCCGAGTCAGCGACATCGCGTGAAGTAGTCTCTTTCGTCGTCGACTCAACCCTTTCACTGCGCTCCAATCAAAAGGGCTCGCTGTGTGCGGCACGATCAATTATATTGCGTGCTAATGACGCGAAATGATATGATGAGGAAAAATCTAGCCAATAGATTCAAACGAGGTGCGGAGGAATGGTCACGAGAAAGGTTGCAACAACTTTTCCCTCGATGAGTTTCACAACGCCTCTCGTATCCGGAAGGAAAATGTATCTCCTGAGAATTACTACGAAACAGATTCTCTTATTGGATGCCGGATGCGTTTCGAAGTTTATTAAGAAAAAGTATAGGTTGCAACCTTTTTGTAATTGACCATGTATACGCAGTGCCCGCGAATGAGCAATTTTCCACGATGTATATACATGAAGTATTGTAATTGAGTAATTGAGAAGCTGGCTGGCTCGAATCACTCGCAATCAAATTCATTCGTGAGCCTGGCGTGACTGATTATCGCGCGCGCGCGTGAAGGTGTCGTCGGATCAAGACGCAGCTCGCGCATCAGCCGGCGTACGTATCGCAAATGAGTAGAACGCCGCCTAAAGTCGTTGTAGATAACAAAAGGTGTCCTTCGCGCGTAGCCTGAACGAACGAACGAAGGAGCGAGCGAGCGAGCGGGCGAGGGGCGGTCGCGTCGAACGTTGAAGCGCCGATCGAGCGGCCATCATTTAGCGGTGAGTGCGCTCCGGAGACGTGCGCTCGAGATCATCCCTCGCGGTCTCGCCGCGCCGTGACCGAGCATTTGTTTCCCAACACCAAACGGCGAGTCATCCCGAGTGTTCAAGCGTTTCCTTCATGCTCTGACGATCGTCTACGGCAGGTGACACGTCGAAAAGCTAGACTGGCTTGTTGAGAATACACATATAGTTAAAGTTAATCCTACTATTAACTAGTCCTTAGTTTAGTGATTTTCAGAGAGAAAGCGCGGAGGAGAAAGGGAAGAAATAAGACAAAAAGAAGAGACGATACACAAACACACTGACAGAGAGAAAAATTATATATATATATATATATATATATATATATATAAAATAAGAAAAAATATATATATAAGTATAAATATATGAAGATATAGATATAAAATGCAGAGTCTATATAATATAGGAGAGAGTGGCGGAGCATGTTTATTTCACGAGCCATTCGTATCTCCATCGCGTGACTGGCGTTCTGCACGTTCTCACGGGACGTTTTGCATTTGAATTTCGCATAGTTTTATCGTAGCGAGGGGAAAACGAAAAAAAATTAAAACACACACACACACAAAGAGAGAGAGAGAGAGAGAGAGAAAGAGAGAAACATATAGGAATATATGCGTTGTAGCGTTTGTAGCCGCGCGAACGAGCGGAAAGCGCGTTATCCGGTCGCGGCGCCCACGAAAATCGCCCATCCGTCGTATCTCCCGTCGTCGTCGTCGGGCACGAAGCTGCGCCTCGTCGATCGTCGTTTCGAAACGCGCGCTATCCGATTTCCGACAGCGCGGAACCCGATACTCGCCCCCGGCGCGTGGAGTCTTCCTCGAGAGAGAGATTCGGCTTACAGAATTTTTCCTCTCGCTCTCTCTATCTGTTTCTCGCCTAACGGTGATGCCGGAAATACGATCGTTCGGAGAAGCGCATCGTTGTTTACAGTCGACGGAAAATAACGACTGAAACGGCGATGATGTTACGCGCCACTCGACCACGGCGCAGCCCCGATTTTATCCGTAACTCCGATTCAGCCGCCGTTCGCGAGAAAGAGAGGCAGACAGAAAGAGAGGGAGGAAGGGAAGGAGAGAGAGAGAGGAAATGCCGAGGCACATTGCGCGATCTCGAATTGCGATGGCGTTGATCAAATGGCGCGGAGTCGTGAACGCGAGGACGCCCGTCGAACGTGGACTATCGCGCGCGACTAATCTGCACTCGATCCTTCGATAGTTACAGTTCTGTTCATATATGCATATTGTACGATTATTGATAGCGTTACTGCACACGAGCGTGCGATTGTAAAATGGCTCGCATGGCGGCTCATCGGTGGACCGTCCATCGTGGTCGCGACGAGGGACTTAGAGATGGGCGATGTACGGCCGAGGAATCGACGAATGTATATCGCGGGCGTACTTCACTTACGACGAATTGAAGCCTCGAAGCCTCTGTTCTGCTCACGATTTTTCACTTTTCAGTGATACGATTCATCATTGGATCAGATGAGTCTATAAAAAGTCTATTAAAAGTTCATCTGACTTGCCGTTGAATTTTTTACTATTTGAAGATATAAAACGATGATCCTCTGATCCGTCGTTGAGTCGTGCTACGATCTTGATATCTCGTTAAAGACGATCGGATCATGTGTTAGATATCAAATGGTAAAGATAAAAAATATGAATCGGTTATTCCTTCATGTTTCGAGATTCATTCGTGATAATGTTCTTCTCTATGATTGATTATTATTTGGACACGAACCCTGTTCTTCGATATCGCCCGTCCCTAATGGGACCTGAGACACGTTCCGCAAGAAAATGAGATGGACGAGGATGCGACGAAGATATCATTGTTCTCTTACCGTGGATTTTAAATAAATTAGGTAAGCCGACGCCACTTTACAACCAACGGCTCATGGTTATTGTCCTGATTATTGTTATCACGGATTATTACATTCGACGTCATGATCATCGTAGCGCGGCACTACTGAGAGTAAGGAGGAAACTGATTATTATAGAACGAGAATAAATAGGCCGAGATCTATTAAAAGCATTAATTGCAGCGTTGTAGTAAATGATGTTTAATATTATTTCACAAGTAATCTCTCGAATGTGTTGTTTCTTTTCGCACAGTTCGATAGACAGATGACGATATAATTGCAGGTAAGTAATCTTCACCTTTATCATTCTTACTACAATTCCTGTATTCCACGTACTATAATCAAACAATTAGGATAGAAATTTATCCGAGAGGGAAGATGTGAAAAAAAAAAAAAGTGGTTCGAGTCACGGCTAGAGAGGTTCGAATCTCGGATAAACGAAAATACAGAGATAACTTGGAAAAGGAAAAATGTCCCGATACATGTTGAAAACTTATACATAAAACTTATACACAAATTAATTACAAGAATAGATCTTTCAACTAGATACTACAGTTTTCAAATCTTTTCTAGATATCTTAAAGATATCTCTTAATGTTCTCTAGTTTCTTAATAATACAGAAATGGAAACATTCTTAAAATGTGAGAGTGTGCCGTTCCGAATCATGGAGTTAGTCACACAAAAACGCCACGGGAGGAACAAAGACAAATTATACAAACACAAATTATACGTACACGTCTACGTAGTCTTATTCATTCTCACCTATTTATTTCAGGTGTACCCTTGTCTCTGTATCGTTATCCGTTATAGCTATATGTCGTTGCATGACAATCTATTCGCACGTTCAACTGGGCATTAACGAACCAGGCCGCCACCACCACCACCACCACCACCTTTTGCCCGTCGTCTTTTCGCGCCTGCAGAGCAGTACGTGCTTGTACGCGCTTCTGTACTCAGAGCTCATCACTACGTAGATGATGGGATTGATGCAGGTGGTCAAGTAGATGAGTACGTAGCCAGCGATGTTCAGGCCGCGCCAGTCGACCATGTCGTGGACGAGTTTGGTGACGGTGATCGGCAGGTAACATACCAGGAACGACGAGAATATCACGAGGATCATCTGCAGCACCTTCCGGTCCTTTGCGGACAACCCGGGCGTGGACTCGCCGTTGCGTATTTTACCGACGACGGTGCGGAACTTCGACTCTCTGCGGATCGCCTGTTTCGCGAAGGACGACCGCTCGGGCGAGTGCGATCGTGAGCCCACGAAGGTCTCCAGTCGACTCAGGCGGTCGTCGTCGGCGCGTCCCCACAGCGACGACTCCATGATGAAAGAGGGCCGGTTGGTCATCCTATCCAGCCGTCTGCAGGAGGAGCTTCTCGATAGCTTACGTTGTGGCTCACCCGAGTTCTTGTTCAGGAGCCGCTTCGCAGTGGCATCCGGCTCGTCCGCGAACGGTATGTCCTCCGCAGTGGACGTCAGACTCCCGTGGAAAGTGTCACAGCTGGCGCCGCAGTTCGGATCCAGGCGGACTTTGCTCACAGCCGCCTCGGTTACGCGCAACGTGCCATTCGTTTCTCGTCGGTCGCCGAGCAGCTGCTTGGAGCAGGACGAGTCTTCGTCGGCCTCTTCCTCCGGACCACCGACCGATTGCATCGGTGTGGCAGACCCGCGCAGAATCGAGAGCTCTCTCTCTTGATTCCTCGTGGACGAGGATCGTTGCTGCGTAGATGATCACGATTAAAAAATGTGTGAAATTTTCTCCTTCTTCTTTCTTTTTTTTTTCAGAGGAAATTGCTTCGAAAAAAGAGCCCAAGTAAAAAGGTGTCTAGTCGGTCTGAGTCGAAAACTAGTGGCTAACTAGTACAGGCTAGAATACATTTTTTGCTCGTTACTAGTTCATCACTTGCTGATTATTCACTTAGATTCTAAGATCTATTTAGTGAATGGCAGTGATAGATCTAGTCATCGCCTATAGCCATTACATATCAAACATGATAGAGTAGATGTCTATTCTGAAATAAATATCGTCCTGCTATCAGTTGCTATGCCTAAGTTCACACTTTTGTGCCAACACTATTGTACTATCTTCCTTCGTCATGAAAAATAAAGATAGAACGGCACTTTCTCGCCACTAACACTTAAAAATAAGGTAACAAATAAAAATTGAGGATTCCAGAAAAATCTTAAAGAAGCAGGAGTCACCTAAGTAACCTTCATGACTAGAGAATCCACGAGGTTCACTTCTATTAGGATGGATCTTACCTCGAGATTGATCTCGGCAGTTTCCACGTTGGCGATTCTATTCCCGCCTCTGCTCTTCAAGGAAGTTCTGCGAACGATGTAAAAGATCCTGGCGTAACACACGATGATGGCGAGACACGGCATTAAAAATGCGAGGACGAACAGGAACACTTTCGGGTTGCGCCCGTTCACATCAGGCAGGATCGAGCAGGACCCGATAGCGGAATCTAGCCCAAAACGCCCCCATCGCTCGAACCACGTGACGATCAGCACGCCGAAAGCCACGATCCATATCGCCAGAACCATCGGTATTAAGTACTTCGTCTTATACAGCCTGAAAATATTTATTTAACGAACGATAAATATAAATTGGGAATGCGGGATTTTTAACTTTTGAATAATTTCTAAATACCTCCCAGTTTTAATCAATTTTTAATTTTCAAATAATTATTAAATACAATCTTCTGTGACAACCTTAATGATCTTTGTAGATGAAATAGAGAAATAAGATTCAACACTTGAGATTAAATCTACGACGACTTTGGAAGAATTGATCAAACGTTGAATTATTCCAATACAAGTATAAATATTCTACAAAAATTTCACTTAACTATGACCATTTTTTACATGATAACTTCTATCGTGAGACTGATGTTGCAAAATAACAGAGGAATAAAATTGTACCTATATGTACATACGGAAAAGCCACTTACGTGGAATAGAGACGAGGGTGACCGATTAGTACGTAGCGATTGATCGTGATCGCGAGGACGCTGAAGAGGCTGACCGCAACGAGACCGTACCTCAAGAGCGGAAACAGCCGACACAGTAGTGGCCCATGAAGCCACGCACGATGCCAGAACGTCGAAGTTGCGAGCGGTAAATTGAAGCAGCAGAACATCAGGTCAGACAACGAGAGATTCATTATGAAGACAGCGGTGGCGTTCTTCCGCTGCAAGAAAATTCATATGTTGCTAAACAACTTCATCGTATCGTAACAATAACACATTTATCTGTCCAATTTATCACATTATACATAATATTGACTAAGTAATATACATATAAATAATAACAGAGATAAGAATTAATTTGCCCAACAACTGAATGAAGCCTCCCGCGAGTTTCTCGCGATAAACACGCGGCAAAATATCGACTTGCGGTACTTCCTGATTTAAATCCAGCTCGTTGTTTGCAATAGAGAACGGAGTACGTGAACCTTCGTGAAAACATGCGATTGTGTATGTGCCCGGTTCCGCGTAATCGATTCCAAACTTAACTCATTGATGATCGACTCGGCCGAGAAAGATTCGTTTGTTGCAGAGTCGTGCCGACGACCTGCCCTGCATTCGCCGATGATTACGTCGCCGCGATCGCCGTGATTTCGCGCCATCCGGTATATGTTGAAAAATTAAAAAATAAAATAATAAAATAAAAAATGGAACTAAAATATCTCCCGTGCAGTTTAACGGCCTGATTCATTGTTGCCGGGACGTTTTGTGCGACTAAAGTGAGACATAATAGCTCGAGGTGAACCACTATCCGACTGCTCCCGAGATTTCTACGTGCCGGAAACTCGAGCAGCCGCTGCACGTCTTGCGTAACGAACCCATTACGATGTACTTAAACCCTTAAGCGAGTCGCGAAAATTGACGCGAACAACGCGAAACCGCTTTCGCGGAGCCCCAACAAAAGCACCTACATGCCGTTTAGTACGTTTGACGGGCGTGACGAGCCCTTAAAAATGATTAAGAAGGAAATTCGAGACACCGGTCTTTCCACATGTGACGCCGCCCAGTCAACTCGTACAATTGCAGGCATATGACTTGAAAATAAAAATATATATAATGGATATGTGTTATAATAATGGCATCCCGATTTCGTAATTGTAGAATGTGTATGAGTGTCATATTTAAAAAAAAAGGCGAAATTAATATAATGCTTCAATATTAATAAAAATTGAGACACGAGATGTCTTTTAGATATCTTGAAGTCCCGTAATTAAGATGTGATATAAGACGTCTTTGATGATGATGTTTTTAAGGCATCTAAAAGATGTCTTATGTCCCGATTTTAGACATTGTGCTGTCTGAGTAATTTTATTACATAGAACGTGACAATCTTTTACAACTCACACAAATACTATATGTATTGATAAGAAATTCGTAAAAATATTATATATTATTATACACCGGTCATATTTAATTAATTATCTGATATTTATCTAGCTATTATATTGACTAATAATTGAATAATTATTGCTTATCAATTATTATTATTCTCTCTCTCCTTCTCTCTCTTTCTGAAATCATCTTATGATATAAAATATATTCGAATAAATATAAAGAGCGCGCGATTGATCTCTCGTTCAGATCTCCCCTGAACGCAGTCTTTACGCTTATTCCTCGCTAATGCATTATAACCGCGTGGATTTTCATAATTTGTATGATTATTATCATTTGCCAACCTTCTTGGTGCGAAATAACGCGACCACCGTGATGAGGTTTCCCGGGATGCCGACCAGCATGAAAAGGATGCAACAGGCGGCGGCGAAGTACAACAACCACGGTGGATAACCCACGAAGAGGATCACCAGTCCAGGATGTTGGAGCACCTCGTCAATCGCCACGTCGCTGTCATTCTGCCTGGTTTCGTTGCTCGCCATCCACAAGTACTCCAACATCTGCGGAAAGTCAGACTCTTGCCGAGTGTGTCTAGGAATCTCGTCAGGGCCATATGGGCGGGATTAGTCCAGGTAGAGTAGAACAAATTCCCTGGGAACGAGTTTCTTGTGAATCTGTTGTTTCTAACATTTCGCAAATATTTCAGTTGATTTTATCAGACAAAGGAGGTACCTGATACTTGATTACAATTATTCCTCTCCTTCGAGAAGTGAACTGAAATATCTGCGAAACGTTGGATACACATCCACGAGAAACGCGACTTCAACCCGGAAACCACCGAGAAGTATATCTTAAATATATCTTCTCCTAGAGGAGAAAGCGTCGATAAATGATGTATTTAGGCGCGTTCGCGAAATAATAATCGCGAGTCACGCTCGACATTTCTGGAAGAAAGTTTACTTCACCAACTTCCATCGAAAATAGAGTCGCGACTTTTGCAATGCGCCCGTTTACATCGTAAATAGAGTTTGCGAGATGCAGACCGGCATTTCTTTGACGTGATTGCCGGCCACCATCCTTACGATCGTGCTACTTTCGCTAAATCAAATAATGTAAACAAAATTGAGTTCCTATGTTCACGGAAATACGAATTCGATGAAGTACAATAATCGTGGAAAGTATTTGTGGTCTCGGAACTTTAACGATGGTCCTTATTTTAGCGGAAGGAAACTCCCTCAGATGTTCTTATCATCTACTGTTATCAGTCGAAACTTTCGTTCCTGTTTCCTCTCGTGAAGCGATGACTATCGCTGATGTTAATATACTAAGAAAAAAAGTGGTAGGACCAACAAGATCTTGCTAAAAACCAAATGCGTACGAGCACAACTTTTAGTCCTTCGAACAAATTAGGTAGTTGCTGTAATGAATTTTCAATTGATTAAACGATTGTGATTTGGTTAGTATTAACGCAACGCAACGCATTATTGACAACGCGTAATTTGTTCAGTGGCCACAAAATATTTGTCTGAATGAAGATGACTAATTTTATTAATCCAACCGCTTTTCTTCCTTCCAGCATATATTTATATTATATATATATANTATATATATATATATATATCAGTTTTGTAACGTCTTTCGACGTTGTCTGATCCTCACACGCATATAATTGTGGTGTGCACACAGATTATAACACAACTATATATAAGACCTACAGCAGTTTTAACGCCGATTCCGAACTACAATTTACGTGAGGTTTTTGGCAATGATACTCTCGATGGATTGCCAGTCCATCGGAGAGGAGACACGAGCATATGAAAATAATTTGATTCTATCGAGAGGCGAATCTGGGAACTCTAGTATAACAGACCAGTACGCTATCTGTTATGCCACGCTCGCGCCCTATGTATAATATATTTATATTATAATTTATAATTCGCAATAAAGGAACGGAGGATCGTCCGAAGGTGGACGAAGAAGAAGCGGCAGCTTCAAGAGACCTCTTCGTCCATTTGATCCCGCAATAAGCTCCCGACGTCTATTCCCATCTGGCGGCTAATTTTCTTCTTTCTTTTTTCACGTCTCATCGTCGTCGTCATGGACGACGCGAATTTCACGCACGGGCGATCGCATTTACGCGCGTCTGCATACGTATGTCGCAGACCGCAATCTCCTTTTTCTCCCGGCGCAACGTCCAAGAGGAAGAAGAGAGAGATCTATTTTCGCCGCCTGAGACGATAAACTCTTTCGCTGGAGCGTAAACTTTCGGGCGTTTCTATGGTCCTCGTCGACCATCGTTGGTCAGCCTCGCACAGTTCGCTAACCATCGTCGACAGGGCGCTCGAAGTTTATGCCAAAGTTAAGATGTATCCAATTTTCCATGTTTCGCTATGCTCAATTTACCGCCGTCTGATAAAAAAATCAGATCGCTCTTTTGGATGCGCTTCCCGCGTTTATTGTAAACTGACAAAGATAGATGTATATTTAGACAAAATAGATGTATGAAGAGAAGGAAGATATGAAACGCAAGTAAAAGGGTTCTCTTCTATTTTGAATAAGAGAGATTGTTTTTCAAACGTCATTTGATTAAAAAAAAAAACAGGCCGCTTCGTTCCTCTGGATGCGTTTCCCGCGTTTATCGTAAACTGACGAAGATAGATGCATGTTTAGATAATAAAATAAATGTATGAAGAGAAAGGAAGAAATGAAGCACAAGCAAAAGGGTTTCGTTCTATTTTGAATAAGAGAGATTGTTTTTCAGACATTATTTGAAAAAAAAAAAAACAGACCGCTTCGTTCCTCGGGATGCGTTTCCCGCGTTTATCGTAAACTGACGAAGATAGATGCATGTTTAGGTAATAAAATAGATATATGAAGAGAAGGGGAGAAATGAAACGCAAGTAAAAAGGGTTCTATTCTATTTTAAATAAGAGAGATTTTTCAGACGGTGTTTGATAAGAAAATCAAGTAACTTCGTGTGAAGATGCGTTTCCCGTGTTTACCGTAAATGGATGAAACGAAGATAGAAACATGTTTAGATATTAGAATAGATATGTACGAAGAGAAAGGAACAAACGAAGCGCAGGTAAAAGGGATCCGTTCTATTTTTGAATAAAAGAGATTGTTTTTCGGACGATATTTGATAAGAAAATCAGATAACTCCGTTCACGTCAGGTTATGCTTCCCGCGTTTACTGTAAATTGACGAAGATATATGTATGTTTAGACAACAGGACAGATATGTATGAGGGGAAGGGGAGAAACGAAGCGCAGCTAAAAAGGATCTACTTTATCTTGAGTAAGAGAGTTTGTTTCGGACAGTAACTACGATAAAAACGCACTTACCTTCGCGAAAACGAGTAACAAAGATGAGACGTTCCCGATTCACGGCTGGTGATCATCGTATGTCATCGGGGCTGTTGTAAAATTCTGTTCTCGCTGTGTTCGACACCACGATGACGCTCTTCGTGTCTCCGGCTTGTTCTTCTTCTTGCTGACTTTCATTTTGATATTGATGTCGCGGAGTTGAGCTTTTCACGAACAGTGTAGATCCCGGCTTTCTTGTGAGTTTCACGATTTCCTCTCGATTCTACAAATACGTTATAATTTATTGTAACAATTGTTACGTAACCTACAATAATAACTATGAAATTATCATAATAATTTATTACAGTTTACTCCTCGAATTCGTCCTTAAGAATTAGCGGAACACACACGAAGAGACACACAAGGGAAGATCAAGCGGAGCCGATGCGGCGGTTGCCGCGAAATTCGCGAATAGACTGGCGGAATTGTTCTCAAGAATCGTGCGCAGAAGTATGAACTTTTCGGAGACGCCGCGCCTGCGCTAAATTCGACTCCACCTTCGCGCCATTTCTCTCGCTCGCGCGGGCTTTTTGTACGCGAGATCGAGACTCGCCGGAGGTAATCGCGATCGGAGGTGCGATCGCCTTCGCATCTCACGGAGCATCCTCTCTCTATTCGATTCCGACTTTCGCGTGCTCTCGTACGGAGGACTCATTAACCCTTTAGACCCACACATCGATTTCATTGCAGTAAAATATTGTAATTTATAAGATCGTTTTAAAGGATGTTTCTGATGACAACTTTTGCGTGTGTGTGTGTGTGTGTGTATAATTTATATATATTTATATAACTATATCACCAGTTCATATATAATTATACATAATTATACTTAATTGTATATGAAAAAATATTATTCCGGGGAGTTAATAATCGAATAATCAGATTAATCAGATCCGACCGGATCTATATTCTAATGCTTTCAAAAAGACGCTTATGAAGCGTTATATTTCAGGTATTTTACATATTTCGCGATATATTTTACTTACTTTCAAATATTTCCTGACTTATTATGAGAACAAAAACGCCTAGTAGAAAAAATTGGTTGAGAAAGAAATGATAAAATATTTCTAAGGCTCGGACCCGACCTATATCAACCTCGTTATTCGAGGGTTAATTCGCCGCATCGGATTACCGCGTTACTTCCTGCGCGTCGCTGCTGTTATTATTATTATTAAATGCGCACGATCGCGCGTTGCACGCGAATCGGGTCGTCGCGCGTCGCACGCGTGATAGCGAAAGTGTTGAACGGTGTCAGCCGTGCGGCCCCACGCCGACCCATCGTCGACACGGCACTTAGGGCCGCCGACCGGCTGGAGCACCTCTAACGTCTGATGATCCGGGGGAGAGTGTGTCGTCCCCTGGAAAGCGTAGCGAGAGCGCGCGTCCCTACATCCTTTTTAAAAATAATTGCATTTCGTTAGCGGAGTGCTCGCCGCGCGAGGGGGAGAGTCTCCAGCTGGGCGCGAACGCCCGCGAGCGGAAGCGAACGGCCGAGAGCGGATCGGAAGCTGGTTTCCCCGATTCTTCGGCTCGTTATCCGCGTTGTTCGGAGAGTTTCTGGCCGAGAGATCTCCGCACGCACACGGGAGATCTCGCCCGGAACACCGAGAGAATGTCGTGAGAGTCACGTCGCGAGACATTTTTCACCGTCGCCGGCTTTTATCGGCTCGGTCGGTATCTACGAGCGGAAGAGCATCCGGCAGATGTAGGACGCATGCGCGATCGTATTATTTAATATGTGTTATTTAATACGCGCGTATTGTCCCCATGGAGATATACCGGCGTCGATAACGCGGCGATAACGGCATCTCCGATCGTCCGGGATTTTGACCCGCGCAGCAGAGGGATATTCGCGGAACCGTGATAGTCGTGACCTGAAAGTTGTCTTACGTTGACACATGCAGGTCTGAATTTTCAGGTCCGCACTCAGACAGCGCACGATATTCCTAGGATATTTAAAAAATATGGATATTGAGTATTTTATATAGATTCAGATGTTAGGGAAAATCAAGTGTGAGGAAGATCATGATAAATATTCAAAAATATTTATGAAAAGCATTTTTCATAAATAATGGAAACATAGTTTCACTCGAGTGGAATCATATTTTTATTATTTATGAAAAATATTCTTCATAAATATTTTTTAATACTTATCATGATCTTTCTCATACCTGACTTTCCCGGACATTTGAATATTTGCAGAATATTTTATAAATATTGTACGCTGTCTGGATGTTAACCCTTCGTTAGTACACTTATTTTTTGCTGCTTAGTTTGGCACGCTGGGTCTGTGAGATTTAGTAACTTTATTGACATGCTTTTACTTAAAAATCTATATATGCACCTATCGATTGTACAGATATTATAGTTTTAAGTGTACAAAAAGTAAATTTAAAAAATTCGTCGCAATCATTCTTCTTATAATAGATAATTTAAAGTATATAAGAGAAAATAATGTATGTATGTATATATATATATATATATATATATATATATATATTGATTCTACACAGAAAGAAGTAAAAAATTTTGCATACTTTAAGGGAAAAAATTCTATGTTTATATGTGCAATAATTTAAGATTTAACAATAAGATCCTAATATGTTGCTCGGGTCAATTTGAGCCATGAATGCCAAACTAGAGTTAATAGTCATTACTTGAAACTTATCTCAGATGAAATACGCAAATTTGAGTTTAGATTTACAAGCGAGTCTTTCAGTGGGATCACGATTGCAAATGTAACGTCATATATGTCATATGATTTAAGTAAAAAACTCAAATCTCACGTGAAACAAGTAACGACTATTAATACGGACCTTAAAATTATATTTGAATTATTTACTAAAATTCCATGATATACACGGATTAATAATAGCCATAATATGCAATTAAACTATTAAGATTTCCTAATCTCGTCGATTTATTATATATTAATTATTCAAAGAAACGGGAACAATATGTCGAAGTAATAATTTAATAATAATAATTTGTCATCGTAATAGCTTTGCGTCAGGAAAAAGTGTGTACAGTTAGAAAATACTAATAATTTAATTATATCACGTGTTCAGACTATCACGCAACCTGTACGCGTCATTATATTTGCAATCGAGATTCCACTGAAAAACCCACTAATTCTAAACTTGAGGCCGAATATTTCACATGAGACAAGTTTCAAGTCGCACCTATTTAAGACGGACCTCACTCACGTAAGATCCTATCTTGGACAATTGAATTCCGGACGTGCCGGCGGCGCCTCTCAATGCGGGTCGCCTCTGTGTGTACACACAACGCGTGAATCCAGCGAGGTTCGATTCAGCCATTCCGGTTAAATGCGCACTCGGTTCCACTTCGTTGAGCTTAATTCACTCTCGCCCATGTCTTCGGTTGCTTGCGTAATTACACCGTGCCGCGATATTAAGAGCGATCTAATCAGCAACTGTATGCAGCAGGCCGCGCGGTTATTCGAGTGCAAGTTCCTCTTACGCGAATTCGCCTGGTGCAGTAGTTCCGTCTTTACCGTCATTTACCGCCATTTATTACACTGGCCAACATATTTTGCATCATGAAAATTGTATACTTTTCGAACTTTGATTTTTCCTATTTGTATTCATGTGCTGAAACAGAAAATGACAATAATAAACAAAACTCTAGCTCGAGGAATACAGACCATGCCTTAATTGATCAATAAAAATAAGAAATGAAAAGAAAAATTAATATAAAACAATAGAAGATAATTTTACTATAATTTCTTATTTTTTATGTCTCTTCTTATTATCAGAAGAACTAAAATTCCTTTTAAATGTTATATTACGCCTTTTCTTTCTTTATACTTTCTCCACTCTCGCCATGAGACAATACTATCTTATATATCCCAGGTTTTATCCATTGTTCTTCTGTGTGTCCACACAAAGGGTTTTTCCTCGAAGTATACTCTCCACTTCAACTTAGTAATTGACAGTCTAGATCCAGAGTACAATTTTCGTGTCGATCAATGTTATCGGTTGCAGTTGAATAGTAGATACTCAAACAGAACAAATTTCTAAAAGATCTCTTAAAAACGTTTGAAATATCTAAAAAATAGAATCTCTTTTGGAAGTCTTTGAAACACCTTTTAGAAATTTATTCTGCTTGGACAGTTCGTCGTATGTTTATTTTTTTTACTTAATGCTCGTTTCTACCAACGTTAATTAACCTGAATTTAAGTCTTTATCTGAAGAAATTTTAAACTCAAGATTTAGTCAACGTTATGGTAGAAACAGATATAAAATCTAATTAATCAAACTTAATCTCAACAAAACTACCATCTATTATTTCTAATCTAGATTTAATTTTCTCGTCGGAATTACAGAGGCCGCGATAGCCAAGCTCGCTGTTTATTAGAGGTAACCGCGCGATATTAATCATCTTCTTAGTCATTTGTCATCCGAAGAAAACCTCGAGAAACGACCAATCGATCGAAGCCGCTCGCCGACTTGTGACACCGTTTTCGCTTCCCGATTATGGAAACATCGACATACGAGACAACTAAACAGAGTCGACCGAAGCACGCTAATGTCAACTGTTAATCAAAGTAAGAGAAGAGTACATATTCTCGACATTAATTTTCGGTAAACGGAAGTTGCGACACTTTTTAGATCGTTCAAATCTCCGTTAATTTAACGCCCCGCCAATAAAAAAAATTGAAAAAAGAGTTGTCGCATAATTAAGTGCTAATTAATTGCAAATTAGTTAGCTGTAATCTTCTTTATTATAATGTTCTTTACGTGTTTTCTAGTGTTGGAGATGCTGCCGTAGCGGCAAGTCAGCACCCCCTAACTTCAATATTAATTTCCAGCAAATGTATAAAAGTAATAAATTTGTAATCGACTACACCAACTAATCAACAACTAATTAGTATTTAATTATGAAATAGATCATAATTCGATTTTTATCAGTGGGAATTTAGATTAATGTACGTGTCATTTGACTAGGTTCTCCACCATTCGGTTCACGTGTGCTTGTTCACATGTGTGTGTGTGTATGTGTTTGTTTTACTATACTCTGACACAACAAATTAAAAAAAAATTCCGCTTTAGTTTTTTATTTGTAAAAGTTGCTGTGCCAATTTGAGTACAGAAAAACGTAAATCTTCCGTTTTGAAAACGTTTAGAACTTTTACTTACACGTTTCCGCCTCGGGGAAAAAATTATACATCATCGGACATTCTGATAGTAAAGTTACGAAACGCAACATCAGTTTTAATCGTCTCAACTGCCGACTTGGTCTCTTTCACCGGTTTGCTGGCCGAATCTGTCTCGAGACTCATGACCGCGAAAACCTTCGAGTTCACGCGAAACTTCCCGCTTTTCCCGCTCTCGGGAAAAAGTCGCACCACCCCGTTGCCAAGCCGGATGTATACACCCGACGAAGCCGCGGTGGAATTGCCCGAGGTGTCGTAACGTTCTCTTCGTCGGCGATCCGGCTTCCGCTCGGGGCGCTCCTTCCGTGTGGAAATGACAAAGAAACTGGCGCGCGCGCGAGAGAGCATCGCAACGCGCGACACGTATTCCGCGCGCGCGATTCAGGAAAAGGAGCGCGTCGTGCAGCCGAAGGGTCAACCGGGCCCGCCTCGGGCGCAGATGTGCGCGACGTTCGTTACGTTCGTCATCGAACCGCCCCCGTCGTCCCCTCCCACGGCCGCCCACCCGCGGGGCCCGTATCTAGCGAGCGTGCGAGATCTGACGGAGTGTGCCTCGGTTAGCAGTCCATCCACGGTGACGCACGGTGCCGCGACAACCGGCGCGGCAGCGGCCCGACGACGACAACTCGCGCGCCGCTGGTCCCCGCCAAGGATCGAGATTCTCGCGCAGTCGAAATCGCCAGGTGCTCTCGGAGAGACGCGCGAGGATTCACGAGTGAACGCGATATTCGCAGAGACGCCGAGTCGAGAGGACAACGGAGCGGCTCGTTACTGCTCGTCGTTTGCTTTTCTTTCTTCCTTTTTTTTCTTCCTCTTACCTCTTACGCCGAAAAGACTCACGGTACGTCGAGGGAACACAGAGGTGCGTCCTTTCGCGACTGACAGGCGGTAACACATATCGCGGCGATATATCGATCGATCAACGACTTTCGAGATCGAGGGCACCTGCGCGAGCGAGAGTGCAGGCTACCCTTGCGCGAAATTTTGACTTCGCTGATTGGCGTTCGGGATCCTCCTTCTAGAACTTTTGGAAGCATTAGTGCTTCCAAGAGAGGGAGAGGGAGAGAGAGAAAGGGGGAGTCTTGAGCGAAGTTACTCCGATGCGCAGTGGAACTGAAAAAAGAGGAACCTATAGACGAGGGTCGATTAGGAAGCGATTAAAAACACATTGAGTGGACGCCAGTCAGTAGGAAAATATTCCACACTCGTATAGGAGACAGAGGACGAGGACAGTCGGATCCTTCGAGGCTGCAGCGGCAGATCGTGCTCATTTCTGACTTCAGCTGTTCTTCGTAAAGGTATACGCGAGAATACGCCGAAGAAGAAAGGACGTCATCGAATCGCCAGTCTTCTCGTCGTGTTCTTCGGTCGAGCGAAGTTGCCAGCGGTTTTCCTCGTGCCTCTCTGTCTTTCTCTCTCTCTTTTTGCGGTTACCTATTTCGCGAGTCGTTTTGTGGCTGTATTCAAGTGAGCAGATAACACAGAAGTGGTGAGTGACGATCGCTGGATCTTTCAATTATCATCCTCGCCGCCTCAATTATTCTCCCTTCTTCTTCCGGTCCGCCTGTGTTGATTCAACTTCGAAATGTCTCATCGATCTCGACGGAATTCCACGTAAAGTCTTCTTAAATTCTATTCGAATTATTTTAAGTTCTTCTTTCAGAAAAAAAAATATCTCAAAGGAAGGGATGATGAAATGATTACCTGAATATTTGCAGTTGGTTAATTGATTTTCTGCAGAACATTATTTCGTTCAATCGCGATATTTTCACTCGCGGAATTTTCTCGGTGTCGAGGGCGACATTGGGTCTACCATTCTGAGAGACCAATGCCGAGAAGAGGGCAAAAAGCGCAGCGAGTCGTGGGATGGTCGCCCGATGGGCATTTTTAGCTCTCTCTTTCTTTCTCTCTCTCTCTCTGGTTTATAACAAATTAAAATTTTCATCTCACGTAAAAGTACAACACGACACCGCGAAGTTGATTTCGAGCGAGCCGAAGTTGTCGTGATTTTTGCGTTACCCGGACGTGTTAAGCGGCAAATGCGCGCGGAACGAAGAATGACACATGTTTTGTGCCGTACACACAGGCGTTCGACACCACGTGGTGCTCTCGTGGGCGGGATACGAGAGTTGTCGCGATCGACTTTCAACATTCTACGCTCATTCTGCACTCGACTCGCATGCACCGTCTGCTTCGCATGCTTGCGCGAAAAAAACAATACCGTTAGTGCGATTGAATTTTCTCTTGCCCGGGGACCAGACGAAAACCCGGTTGCAGGGACAGAAAGATTCCTGGAGGAATCCCGTGGAAGGTTTCCACTCGGTCAATTGCTCTTAGTTGCCTCGATCAAATTTGAATATGGCCGAACGTTCTCGGTTTCGACAACAAAGATACTAAGATACTAAGAAAGATAGAAACAAAGAATAGAAATTTTAGTTATCTTCGACCTTTGTACTGTATGTACAAAGGTCCATATTGTGAACTCTCTTTTATTGATAAAAGTATCTCTAAAAAATGATTCAGGATAAAAGTATCTCTAAAAAGTGATTTGGGAGCCACTTGATTGGTTGAGAAATCACGTTAAAAAGGCAGTTTTGTCGATAAAAGAGAGTTCAGAATACGAGCCAAAGTAAACTTGACTTGTATATAACAGTTACATTACATTACATTCGTTCATCTACGTTTCGCATATTCGTCACATATTCCGGGAAAAATGTGTAGAAAAAACAAGTCGGATCTTTCGCAAGGACAGTGGTTGCACGTAACGCTTCACGATCAACGGAGCGAGCATTAGACGAGCGAGCATCCTCTCACCAGCGACATTAATACTTCTCGAAGAAAGTAAATCAATGACGATGACGGAGTCGATCCTCGTGCGTGGATTTCCGGAAGCTCCCTGAAATCCCGCTCTCTCGATCCGCAAAAACAAACGCGCGGCATTAGACGCGCTTCTTGAACCGAAGGTGCAACGGGACGCGAATCGGGCTCGCTCTAGGTGTACTTTCACCGTGACTCAACTTGACTCATTCATTGCCGTTGGCCGCGTGATTAACTCGGAAATCATTCAGTGACGTCAGTTTGGCTCGTCGCGACTTCCACGGAATGAAAAATACTGTTTGCGGTCGCGTCGCGTCTGCAGGAGAACAGATTAAGCTCGCTTATCGGTGCGCTAACGGCTAAAAGTGAAACACGAGAGAAATATCTCACCGCGAACGCGTCGACGACCAACATCCTATCTTCGGAGAAAAATAATTTTCTTTTTTATCCATATGAAAATAGTAAAAAAAATAATAAACATGAGAACATGGTAATAAAGAAATAATACTCCTAGACGGGGAACATACTTCCCTAGTAAGCAAGAAATATATCAAACAGATCTTCTGAAACATTGATTTTATGTGAATTTCATACAAATTTTGACATAATAGTTTTAAAACATTTTTAAACTGTTAATCGATGGTATAATATTCCTAAATATTGAAATCATAGTGTATAAATATTATTTTTAATATTTGGATCAATAATATATTGTTAATGGCGTTGCATACAACGTTAAAAACGACATATTTGAAAACGTTACATGTTATAAAGTATCGTTGTAATAACGTTGTGTTAATGATTTCTTACTTACTGAGACTAAAAACGTTTTAGATTCATATCAATAGTTGTTATTCTGTAACTTTTAACGATAGTTTAATTATAGTTACATCGTGATTTGCGCACTTTTCCTGCCATATATTACACCTACACAATGGCAACGCAACAGTAACAACACTCGTCGTTAAAAGTTACAGAACAGACGAAACACGACTGAAAGACGTGTAAAACACGCGCCACCTTTCTCAGACGTCACTTGGACGTCTTCTAGAAATTTCAGCTGACTGGATCTTCTCCCGCGATTTCTTGCGACGCGCTTCCCGACGGAATAAAAATCGTGCGTCGCTCGAAAAACGAAGCGAGGTGGAATGAAAACGGGAGAAACGACGCGGGCGACGACGCGCACTGGCGCACACGTTCCCATGTCTTTCATAGCTTCCATCGCTTTTTTGTCGCGAGGGGACGCCTAGTACCGGGTGTCTGTTAATTTCCCTTAATTAAGCTCAATCGGGGTTAATGCACCGCAGCTTGACCCTAGTTTACCAAATCCAACGCGCACCCTCTGCGCCCATCCGCTCGCGCGGTCGCGATCGTCGGCCGATGAGTGAAAATTCGCGAGATCTTCCGTGTGAAATCGTGAAAACGTTTCTTTCTTTCCAACGTTCCGGAGCGATTCGTGCATCGCGTAACCCGCGAGCAGCCTTCGAGAGAGAGAGAGAGAGAGAGAGGGGAGAGAGAGAGAGAGGAAGGGAGGGAAAAAAAGTGACGTGTGCTATCTTTCTTCTTTTTTCGCCTCCCTCATTACCTTTCATCGGCCTCGAGTGGCCGTCATCAGTAGCCGGGCGCATTGAAAGATGTCGAAATTAACGCGCGGTATCGTTCACCGGGCGTCTCGCATTATTCCCTGTGGATCCTCCAGACGACCCACTTCCGTCGCGCGTGCGACGCCCTTCGTCACCGTTTTTCGAGCCCCACAAATAATAATGGACTTCTCTCTCTCTCTCTCACTCTCCCACTTTCTCTCCCTCTCGCCGTGCGATTAACGCTCATTCTCCGTCGTCGTTGTCTACGTAGAAGCCGGGAATTATTTTAATGCGCCACGCGCTGGAGAAAAATTTGCATATCGTAAATCTCAACGCCCGTCCCACGCGCGTGACAGTCGGACACTCGCTCGTGGATTATTGCTCACTCAAAGTTAACAATTTTAGTGACGTGACATGCGAGATAAATAAACCACGCGCGCGAGAGACAAACGGCAGCATTAAATCACGCTGCCCTGTGATTGTTGTTATTGATAATTTAAAGTAGGACTCGAGTTTCGATCAAAATTCTAAAATAACAGCTCGAAACGACCAGACGTATTTTTCCACAAGCCTGTACAAAATATTTATAATTTTTAATGATCTCAATTTTCCAAAAAGCTCGGGATATTCTATCGGTCATTAATTCGTCGTTAAAATTGAAGGACAGTTTGACGATTAGTCCGCTGCATCGTGTAAGTTAAAACAAATTTCCAATCACGAAAAATCTAAATTAAAGAGTTTTAAATATAGTTTTATAAAAGCTCAGAAAAAGCGCTATTTTTCCCATTTTTCCGCGAATTTTTTTTTTTTGCTTATCTTCTTTACGGGACAAAAATTAATGTGGCAAGTTTGAACCGTGCGCACATGAATTTTCCTAGTCGAATTTTACCATCCTTGGGAGAAAAATCGAAGAAAACCGCGAAAAAAAATGGGAAGACCCGATTTTTTCCCGAGCTTTTAAAACTATAGTCTTCAACAAACGGGCGTATTTCTCTCTTCAAGCCGGCGCAATCCCGCGTAATGTTTGATAATTTCAATTTCTCGGGACAAGTTGCAGAGATTATATCGATCGTCAGTCAGTCCGTCGTTGAAATTGTCGGGCACACTTTGACGGATCAGTCCGTGGCTAGCAATTCAGGAAATGGTTTTGACACAAGCGCGTCGTCGCGCATCCGCTTTGCGTCAGCTCGCTCGAGAGGCGCGTACCGGAATTTTCGATCGTAGTTTCCTCCTCGTGAGAATCCCACGAGAATTCCTCGTGTGCTCGCGATAATGTCCGCGCGACAATGCGTCGCTGGCCTGCCAGTCGTCATCATCGCCGATACGCGAAGTGAGCGACGCGTTTGTTTACGCTCTCGCGTTCGCTCCGGCTAATTTCCAAGGCAAATCACTGGCCGACGGATAACCGACAGATCATCGGGCAAGACATACACAGTCTAAGTAGCGGTCGTTTCGATCGCCGTTATTCTGACCATTTCGTGTGAACGTAATCACCGTGGCGTGCTCCGAATCATGTCCGCGCGATTAGTCAGCCGCTTAAGTCATTCGCTGAAGGAGAACACGGCTCGAATATTTAATTCTTCGCTTCCGCTCGCGTGAATGTCGCAGGCCTTCGAGGTCGGTCGAGGCCGAATGGAATCGTTGGATCGGACTTTCGACACCTTCGGCACGGCGGGAACGATGGACGGCACGGCTACGTGGTTGACGCACCTCGCGGAGAACGCCACCAGCAGCACGCTCGTCGACGAGGAGATGTCAAGGTACGTTGATGCAGCGGCCTGTCCTCGGTGAAATGACGCGAGGAGCCTTCTCTCACCGTCGCTGACCTATCCTCCGCAGATTCCCGAAGCCGCTGAGGACCTTCGCGGCGGTAGTGGCGATCATCATCATGATCATCGGCCTGGCCGGCAACCTGCTGACCATCATCGCTCTCTGCAAGTATCCCAAAGTCCGCAATGTCGCCGCTGCCTTTATCATTAGGTACGATCGTGCATTCGGAAAGAAAAATTAGTCTTAAATCAAGAAAAGATAGTTTCATATGCAGGCGAGAATATTATAATCTTCTTATAGAAGATTATTATTTAATTATTTTAGTCTTGAATCTTGAGTTCAAGTAATGCTTGCATCAGTATAAATTCAATCAAGTCAAGACTAAAAGTCTTCTAAGAAGATCGTAATGTTCTTGTTTACATGGGAGAATATCTATTCTTGATTTAAGACTAATTTTCTTTCCGCGTAATGACGAGTATTTACATACATTTATAACATTCTCTGTGTAGTTCTCATTTAACTCTCGTCGCCCATTTGCTCTAGGATTTTATATAACCCACCTGAGGTCGTTTTGGACTCACCACCTTATAATTACTCATTTTATATTGAAAGAAGGAGTTTCCATATATAAATAAAGGGCTCTTAATGTATAAATATTTTTATTGGGATCAAAAGTGACGAAAAATATAAATATTGGTATGAAAATAACTACTCGGAATCATTATCTTCGGATGTTAAGTTAGAACAGATGAAATAGCAATTACGTGTTTTGGTTTGTACTTTGCGTACAAAATGCAAGTTCTTACATTAAGACATTAAAAATATATCGCATATACTCACTTAGGGTAAAAATTGACTCCAATTTCATATTTTTCGCGATAAAAAAATCTATAACAGTTCAAGAGTAAAAATTCCTGAAAACTAATATTACGTAGGATAAAAAAGCAGGAAATATCGCCGTTTTTAGACGCGTGGAATCAAAAAAGATCCTAGGTGGGTGGCGAGGGTCAAAGGCATATATACCTTCAAATACCTTCAAATGTCACACGAAAATAGAACTCGGTTTCTGCAATTGAATAGAGACGATATGAAAACACGGCGACGATAAATGAAAACTCGATGGACGAGAGCCGATATCTCTCCGTTATCGCGATACCGCGGGAATATACCGTGTGAACTTTCGGCTGTTAAAACTCGGCTGACACAGCTGAGGGCGATCGGCCGAGAGTGAAAACCTCCTGTAAGAATCTTCCTGTTCCCGCAACCGAGTTGTCGTCCGGGCAACGGAAAATTCTATCGCACCGATAGAATTGTTCCTTCCGTGCGGAAAGTGATAGCTCGTTCATTCATAAAGTCGGTCATGAGTCACTGCATTACGCGATCATCTCACGTAAACACGGTGCGTCACGCGAATGCGAACGAATCGACTCCTCAACTTTGACGTTCGTATCGACACACGACCGCTCTCCTCTTACCTCCCCCGATCGCGCGTCACGCTAAATTGAGATTAATTCCGCTCCGTGACGGGACAGCCTGTGCCTCGCGGACTTCGTATTCTGCCTTCTGGTGCTGCCGTTCGACTCCATCAGGTTTATCAACGCCAGCTGGGCGAACGTGGATTTCCTGTGCGTGTTGGTGCCCTTTCTGCGCTACGGAAACGTCGGCGTCAGTCTCCTCTCCGTCGCGGCTATCACTATTAATAGGTTTGTATTTCGTCCTTTTATCGTCCACTTAACTCGCATTAAACGTTACTCAATCCGACTGAAGGATTCCCCTTTGATCGGATCAAGCCCCAGGGTACGCCCTGGAATTAGGTACCTCCGAGTCCAAGTGGGACGACTGATATGAGACGTCCGATTTCGCCTAGGTACATCATGATAGCCCACCATGCGATATATGGCAGAGTCTACAAGAAGTACTGGATCGCTGCGATGATAATCTTCTGCTGGGTGTTCTCTTACGGGATGCAGATACCTACGTTGTTGAAAGTGTGGGGTGAGACGCGCTCTGTTAATAATTCATGATCACGAGGAAAACTTACGTTGTTAGGTGAAAAATTACAACATTGATGTAACATTACCGTGTTATATTTGATGTCCGGGCGATCTCGCTAGACGGAAATTTCTACATATGTTAACGCAAAGTTGGTTTTACCGATATAAATCTTTCATTCATCTAACGTTAACTGCCAGTTGATGTTTACGGGATGACGATTAGCGAGATAAAGTATCGCTTCGTTTGAAAGCGGGAAAAACTCACTTGTTGCTTATCTGCGTCTTTATCAGGTAAATTCGACTACGACCCCAATCTGGAAACCTGTTCTATCGTTAAGGATAGTTACGGCCGCACATCCAAGACGTTCCTCTTCGTCATGGGCTTCCTGATACCTTGCGTGGTGATAGTCGGCTGCTACGCGAAGATATTCTGGGTGGTGCACAAGTAATCCACATTTCAGCCGTCGCGCCTAACTCTTTTTCCGCTCCTCTCAGCCGCTCATTTCACGTCAACTGATCGGAGCTCCGTTAACGTTGCAGATCCGAATCGAGAATGCGAAAGCACGCAGGACCGACGATCAAATCACCCCATACGCCCGGAAGGGACATCAAAGAGATCAAGCAGAAGCGCAGCGAATGGAGGATCACCAAGATGGTGCTGGTGATCTTCCTCAGCTTCCTCGCGTGCTATCTACCAATCACCATCGTCAAGGTGGCCGACCCGGAAGTCAGATATCCCGGTGAGAATACATTATTTATTATGCAAACCAGACACACGTTACTCTTTCACATTCAAAAATATTCTTTTTCCCGAAAACATTACATTGTTGAAAAAATTTAATCAATTAAATATTTAATCTTTTAATGATCTCTTATGGCTCCCGGTTCCTCGCCGCAGTCGTCTTATTTGATGACATAAGAAGCGAGAAAACACATGCTTACATTCTTGCAAAATACGTTGAAATCAAATGATATGTCTATAAAATGATACTTGTCGAAATGTGGTCGATTGCTCTAATAATCAATGAACAATCGTAAAATGAATATAACGTGCAACCTTCCTTTTTAGCCCATCCTTTCTCATGATTTCATCACGTTAATTTTACGATTATTTATTGATCATTGAAATAAAAGCACAATTCTCGGAATATTTTATAAATGTGCTCAATCGATCGCGAATATCATTTTACGAATATCATTCACTTTCTTTCGCTTCAATGTTCAAAATTCTCCAAGAATTTCCGGCATACGTTTTCTCGCTTCTGACGTTATTGATTAAGATAGCTACAGCGAGATACAGAAGCCGTAAAAAATAAATGTCCTATCTATCTTTCAATTCTCTGAATTACTATCGTTAATTTATGATACATTTTTCCCTTCAATGTTCATTTTCATGATGCGCACGACTATCTATTACAATCTAACGTTTCTTTTATTATTACTACTACCATCTATTATTATCTACTATTGTGTATTGCTAAATATCGTGCTGTCGAACTGCCACAGCGTGTCACGTTTTGGGATACCTGCTGTTGTACTTCGCGTCGTGCGTGAATCCGATCATCTACGTGATCATGAACAAGCAGTACCGGCAGGCGTACGCCGGCGCGATCGGTTGCTCCTGGGTAAGGGTGAGCCTGACGCCGTACGGCAGCAGCGCGCCGGGTGGCGGTCTTCAGGTTCAGCAGGACTTCGCCCAAGGTAACTTCGAGCACCGTCACGTGGTAACTCTCACCAAGCTCTGACCGAACGCGAGCTAAGCGACCACTCGCTCACTTTGTAAGTTAAGGGCACCACAGTTCGCTGCTTTCTACGATTGCTGGCCTACAATTGCGTGTACGTTAACAACGCGATTAATCGCATATTCCTCGATCATTAATCGTTTAATTGCAGCACTGACGGTCGGTGTAACACGTACATAACTCCAATTGGTGTAGATGCGAGCGACGTCGAGCGCCCCGTGTCTTCCAATCGTGAATTAATACATTAACAAGCTTCTCACACATCTCTCTCGCCGAACTTATTGACTCAACACGGCCTGAGTGTAGTTCTTGTGTCTTGTCGCTTGCTTCCAACTGTCGATTCGAGCACAGTGACAGATTTGTATGTTGGTAATGATCTGCAGTAGAAAATCCGACTTCAAATTCAGAAGAATTTCGAATTTAAGAGCTTCGAAATTGAGAGACAAATGTTTGGAACATATATATCAACGAATGTTGATCTCAACGAGTTACAAATATCACATATTATGATATTACCTGCGATAGTTTCTCTTTTCCGGATTATTTCGTCATCATCTTTCCTCGATTCTTAATACATATTCTTGTTCCACGCACATACCGTTAACAATAACGTTACAACTTTGCATCTCACGAGACGTAAATCTGCCACTGCTCACAAATACAGCTTGCTTTGTTGTTTTTCTCTCGTAACTGTATCGCTTCTATCTTTATGCACTCGATATGCACGAGAAACTGCGAACGCAGGGGTCGCCTTTAACAATCGCAATCGTATTATATTCTTTGGCCGCAGACTATTCGAAGGACTTCAGCAAAACGATGGTGTCGACGGTCTCTATCGCCATGAATCCCGTGAGGAATTCGCAGTTCCAGGAGGAACCGTGAACGAGCGCGAGCAGCTGATATCGGCGACCTGAAGAGAACGGATGTGTCGTCTCTTGACGCAGGAAAACGAAACAAGAAGGGACGGGAGGAGGGAGCCGAGGCGTTCGTAACATAGCAAGACTGCGTGTTACCGAGCCCATTTTTCGCATAATCTTCGCACCTAGAAAGAGCCTTTCGTTTATTACTACGGAACAGCACATGTAAATCACTCGCTCGCCGAAGAGCGACAATCTGCGAAGATAAGATTATTGCACGCGTATTTAACTTTCCGTGACGTTCGCCGGATCATTGTCCGACGAGCGCCGACTTTCTACCAAAGGTTGTCATACGATTGCAATGACGCATTGTAAATAAAGAGCGCGATCAACTTTGATATATTTAAGATGCGAACGGTAAAATTAAAGCGACGACTACAATAGACTGCAGTAGTTATTTTGTTATGTATTTTATTTACGCAACGTGTAAGTTCATTGGCGCGTAAGTTTATTATAATGAACAGTAAAGATTAATAATATAAAACAATGTTGTGTGTATGATGTTGTAATATATGAACTTTTCAACGAGATATTTAAGTAAACTTGTTTTACTGTGTGTTTTACCCGCGTCTTTCTTCTTTCTTAGTCTCATTCGTCGTCACCGATATGTTCCGTTTCGGTGTTTGACACTCGTTCACAAATGCTGGCTAAGCCACGTTCTGGGATTCCCTACTATTAGCAACTCGATCTCTTCCGTCGTGAGGTGCTTCTTCAAGACGGGCACAATGTTACTCATGATGTGAGAATATCCGTGCCCGCCGAATGATGTCTTAAACATCGATAAAACAATTTCAGGCGATCTAATCGTTAGGATTTAATCATTCATCGTTGATTTCACCAGCTAAAGATAGCATTAACGGTTACCTCTGATCGCAATTTAAATTGACCAGTTACTTGATTATACGAGTTAATACATTAGAATGACAATAAACGAACATCGGTGAGAAAAAGCAATTACGCGTTGAAGCAAACGATGTGGTAAAAATGTACGTACCAGTCTATGCTTGGTGTGGATATCGTGACTCAAGAGCACTCGATGCAACTGCTTTTCCTCCTGGAGGCGCGTGATATATTTCACACGCTGCGCATCTGATGGCATATCGATCATCGGGTTAAGCTGATAGAAAGAACATTCCACGCCAAAGAGGTCAAATTGGCAATAACACTGGACCGCCTCGGCAAATTCTACTACCTCCTCCACGTCGGGTAATGTACCTACAAAAAGCATACCTGATTAGTTCTTTTTTTGTCTTTTCTGAAAACATGCACAACAGTACATAATTTTATTCGTAGCTTTGTCCAACAAATACGGCAAACCAACTTAACAGAGAGAAAGAAATTCGCAAGTCTTACGTTCGACGTGGGACATGATAGCTCTGCGAGCATCTCCTCCAGCCTCTTGGTAAAGTCGCATTATCTCAGAGGGTGCTGCCTTGTCTCTCCCAGGATGAAAGCTCACCGAGCAATGCAGCTGCTCCTGAACCTCGGCAGTCGCGCGAATAGCACGTTTCTCGAAATCTGTGTTAGAAATGTGATGTAAGTATTTGCAAACATAACAGTGACGATGTTAAAAAATTCGAAGAAACATTACTCATTTTATAGTAACAGTAACGATGTTAAGAAATTCGAAGTAACATACTCAATTTATAACTATATTATTAAATTTTCAAATACGACCGAATATACTTCACATCTTATAGTAGGGGAACTGTTTTAGAGATCTCTAAGGAAATTCTCCTACAAAATATCAGATGCATTCCTAAAGTCACTTATACTAACCGTACAAATATTTAACAGTTTGGCAAAATGATATGTAGCTATTTACCTGCGATCGGCCAGCTACTGCCAACTTCTCCGATGAATCCCGCCTTTATTTTAGGATAATCGATGCAACCTTCTTGCAATTCAGTACGCATCATATTGTACATCTCTTCTTCCGTCATTTTGAGAGTTGACACATCTTGCACATTGGCAACATAATACCCTGCCAAATTGCATATAATGTAATAAAACAATATAGTAATAATAATAATAATAACAGTACTAACAATAATAATAAATTAATTTTAACGTATTTTTAATCTTATTTGTTTGAAAAATGAACTTCAAAAGAGATACAAAAATAATTGGATCTAAAATAATTGGAAATATATAACTTAAGACATCCTATATATTGTCCAAAGTAATATAAAAAATAATTTACTAAAACAATACGATAACATAACCATACCAGTTCCAGCAAGAATGTTAACTCCGGTCTGTTCACTAATGTTTATCATAAGAAGGATATTGCGGTTTAAGCCATGGCTGCTGTTCTCCACGATAGTTCCACCCCCGAATGTGCGAAATAATTTTACATCTTCAATGACAGCTTGTGCTGAATCAGTGTCGTTAAATGTCAAGTTATACTTGTTGCTGTATCTGATTAATAAAAATATTCAGTTTTAGTAGCAACATAAAGTGTGTAAACAGTAGAAATAATATATAAATAACTTTAGGTGAATATTTATTCAATGACATATTTTCTCATTACAGATTAAAAAATTTTTTCCGTAGAATAAATAAGAAACGAATTATACGAGCATTAGATACAGTTACACATTTGTTAAGTTACTTTATTATTATTAAAGAAAATTATTTGCTAATATTAGTAGTATTTTTTTGTTACTAGAAATGTTTTGGAATCCTTTTATTTAAAATTTCATGCATATTCCAATCTTGAAGTTTGATATATATAAGTTTTACAAGAAGTTTTAGGGATAAGAAACATTCTGATCGGACTTACGGATACTGTTTAATAAATCCAACATTTTTTAGATTGATTTTGTCATCCAGGAAACTCTGCAAATTTGTTGGCGGAGGAACGTAGAACTCGTTAAAATTAAGATGTACGTGCTCGTGCGTCAATGTAATACCGATCTTAGACAGCGGTTTAGATCCTAGCACTGTGAAAAAAGAAAATAGGTTAGAACAGACATATAGAGAATAATCTTAAGGTTGCAATATATATCAATATCATATAAAAATTTGCAATAAATGGAATAACATGAAATAATGTAACCATTTAATAAGTGTGAGATAACGCTGCCTTTATAACAAAATACATAAATAAATACAGAAACTAGATATATTTCTTAACTTTTCTCTATATTTACCAGTTTCAACAGTTTCGCAGATAGACATTTTCCCACTCTGTCTCTGTTAGAAACAAAAGACTCAAAACTCTGATCTGTATCTCATGCTTTACACTAATCTATTATATGGAAAACTAAACACCATGAAAACATACACCATAAAAACATATAAAATTAATATCAATAGTATTCCAAGTTTTACTGAGATTTAACAGTATCCAGTAAAACTTACAAATTACAACTTGCAACTGTTGTGGCAGCAACTTGTTTCTCCACTCAACCTGAATACTTGTACATCACGTGCTTTACCAGCAGCATAAGATAGTGACACTGATAATAGATGTACATACCTATATCCTATTTTGATGTCAGTGATCACAAATCATCTAACTATAAACATCCATTAAAGTATCAGACATCAGGCTTGAATGGATCCTCCTTGATCTGTTAATTACCAGTTTTCTGAAAAACATTGTTAATTATAGTAACATTATTAACTCTGCAAAATATGTACAAAATCATAAGCACTAAAGATTAAGATATTCTTGTTATCTAAGATTATATACATGATAGATTATAAGCTTTTGCATGTATATAAAGTATGATCTCTCCCATAACAATCTATAAATAAGTAGGAGAACGAAAAATGTATCTCTTTGATCTTTCTTTATATTTACCAGTTTTGAAGATTTCGTAAACAAACATCTTCCGTTGTATCTCTAGAAACGATGTCGGGGATTTGATATATATATCACAGGCCGTGATAATTTATAACATTTAGCTGAGTCTTAGGGTACGCTCTGAAACTGTGTAAACTTAATATTGTCAATAAAATTATAAATGGTCCAAAAATGTGAGTTACATCGGACATTTACAAGCTGCAATTCGCAATCATTATATAACCCGCCGCATTGTCCATGACTATTTCGGTACTCATTGTGTTTATCGGACGTTTTTGAAGACGTATTGTCGACCGGCATCGTCACGGAAAATTTGTTATGCCTCTGAATTGTTTGAGGGGAAATTTGCAATTTGCCGAACACGAAATCATTTCAAATCGACGCAAAATGGAAGGTGTGTGAGTTGAAACGTTGAATAAAAGTGCGTGGCGCGTTTTTCCGAACTCTGGTGACTCGAAAGTCCCTAGTTAGTTACCCCCCACGTTTTGGCGGTAATTTTCAAACCGAAGTACTGGTGCATCACGATAGTCGACTAAAGAGTTTAAAATTACTTTGTTTTTTTATTCAATTTGATGTTATATGATCTATTACTCATAATTTAACTCTTTGCTTGATTAATCTTTCGCGCACTTTCAAACACTCTGCTCCATTATTTTAAATATATTTACACGAAAAGCGATATATTTTCTTGACAAGCTAGCACGGATTTTCCGGACCAAAGAATACGCATTGACGTTTGATTTTAACGTTACAAAAATTGCAAATTCAACTGCGTATAGTCGGCAAAGTCTCGAAAGGAGATTTGAAACTTCGTCAGGCTTGAACAAATTCTTTAGTTTGTTAATTGACGCACAATTCCTCGATAGCTTAGACATCACAATTTAACAATTGTCTTGAGCTATTTCTTCTCGGCGGTAAAAATAATACGAAACATATAAACGCCGTAGAAGGCTAATCTATGCACTGAAACGTGTTTATAACATATCCTCAAAGAGCGATTCGACAAAGTTCGCATCGAAAATTATTCAATAATAAATACATATACAATGTGGGCCATTTTAGTCATCTGAATATCTTTTTTCTGTACCTTGTACAAAAAATGTTTCAAATAAAAGTTGTAGGATTTCGAGGAGAACTTAAGTTGTTGGCATTAACTTCATTGTAAAGTCAATAATTCAAGGTCACTTCAAGGTAAATTACTTTTTTTTTTAAATAATAAATACAGGAATCGATTTGTTAAAAAAAAAACAAAAACTGATTCCATGAACGGAATAAAATTGACTTTGAAATGACACCTTATTGACGAATTATTGACTATAGAATGAAGTTAAATTGTCACCAACTTATGTTTTCCTCCAAACCCTACAACTTTTACCTGGAATATTTTTTGCACAAAGCATGGGAAGAAATATATATAAGTGGGGATACTAAAATAGCCCACCCTGTATATCTCAGTGCAGACCAGGACAGGTGTAGAGTCGCTGAAAACCGTGCGTTCCGTAAAAAGTGCAGGCCTTTATTTTTGCGCATACACCTCTTTGTAACGAGTAACACGGCAGCGATCGTTGATGTTCCAATTGAATTCTCTCGGTTCCTATAATCGCGGAGGCTGGGTAAGAGACTAGCGAATATCATATACACATAATTGTTTTCCTACAAATCTTCGGAAGATACATGCGACTCCGTCTCCGTCTCTCGACAGTCAAGTATATATATATATATACGTATGAATGTATGTAAGTGTGCATGCCCGACGTGTAGTACAATTTCGGAAAAGCTTTTTTTCTCTCCCTTGCATCAGAGACTCGTGGGATCGAATGACAGAAAGCGATCAGTCGCGGCCTTGTTAAACACCAGAAACGCGAGAACCCCGGCGAGGGACGCGGATGAATCCGGGACGAAGAGAGGCAAGCGCGCAAAGAGATAAATAAATAACTTACTTAATTAAATAAAAGAAAGAGAAAAAAGAAAGAGAGAGAGAGAGAGAGAGATAGAGATATACATATACAGGAAGAGGTATACGAGCGAGAAGAGAGAGAGAGAGAGAGAGAGAGATATGAGAGAGATTCGCGCGTGTTTGACACGTATGTAACACCACATATAGAGGTTTTCATTTTCTCAGTCGACAATTCCTTCTCTATTTCCTTTCCGTTTGACCGTGTCCTTCCGTTTAATTGCGTGTACAATATAAAACGTTACAAGTCATTTCTTGCGTGTGCGTCTCTGCCGTGGCGATACACGCGCCGATGCCGGGGGCCGAAACGACGTATACGCCGCACCGGAGTGAAACGCAATTAACGTGCACCGGTGAACGGGGCTCGAGACTGGGCGGCGAGATGCGATTTACGTTGTACACTTAATATCAATTCACACAAAGACAGACAAACGTCGCGCGAACGCGAAACTCTTCCCCGCGCAATCGAGAATATCGCGATCTGTGAAGCGCGAGCGTAAGCGCGTTGCGTGTTTATATGTAGACACTTGCCAGGTTGGGGGAGGGTAGGATCACGATGATTTCCGGATACCGGAGGTCAAGAGAGACACCGAAGTCTCGAGTGTGAGAACGCGATTGAACGCGAGTGAATCGCCGTAATCATCACCGCCACCATCACCACTTCGGTTTCGGACTCGCATGTTTCGATCGACTCAAGATTTTAACTTCACGACGAGAATTGCACGATCGTCCAACGACGGCCACCGGCAGCACGACGCGGCAGCGGTGGCCAACGGCACCTCCACAATCACTAAATCAACAATGATAATCGTACGGATGATAATAATAGCGATGGTAGCATGAATGATGATGATAATAATGATGATGATGATGATAATAATAATAATAATAATAATAATAATAATAGATTACGGTAAATACACAGTAATGTTCAGGGCTCGGAGAAGCAAACGTCGTTCATGGCCGGCTCGCCTCTACTGTTTCCGAAGTGAAATAGTTTGAGATAACACAGTTAACTCACGACTTTCGAGTGCTCGTCAACCAGCGAACGATCGAGGAAAGCCGGCCACAATGGACGGTGACTTTCGCGTGCGATAGCCCTATTATAATAATAATTTACATTTACACAAGACTTCATTCTTTTCCTTAAGTGATGAATTAATTACACTACCTAGCTACGTACGACATGCTTACGGTTACGTTCGCTCATCTTCTCGCGGTACAGTCTCTACTCATCAACCGTAAATCTCTAATACCTTGTCTGAGTGAGGACTAGACCCCTAGGATTATTCTAGGTCCGAGCTATGCTCAAAAGTCGGACTTTGACGTCGACGACTTTGCAGGGACGCGAGATCGCGCTCGACTCGGAGGGACTTAGCCCGCAACGGAACGAGGCACGAGAGACGCGGTGTGATCGAAAGAACGAAGAAATACAAAGGGTGACTGAGTAAAGACGCAGAAAGAAAAAAAGAAAAAATGTACAGAAACAAACGCGTACTAATGTACAAGTCGACGGGGGAGGAGGGGGGAGATACGACATGACGGGTCGTCGTCTTCCTCCGCCTCCTCCTCCTTTCTTTCGCGAAGGCGAGGACACCGCATTTGCGTGCGATTCAGGATGTCCGATTTTGGTGCGAAGGAAACAAAACCGCGGAGAGACGGTGTACAAATGGGCTCTCTCTCTCTATACGATCGAATCCTTGACGAACTGGTTCTCTCGCAAGGACACAATTGGGCGAATGCGCTGAACTTAAACCTTCGACGAACGTCAAAAGCAACTTCTTCTTCCGTGAAAGCGCCAGATCGGTTAGAGAATTCGCGACTCGAGTGACCAGATACGAGGGATAAACGATGCGCTACAAATTGTCGCTTTATTTCACGGCAGCCTTCTTCCTGTGCGCGCCGCGACGTTTTCATAAACTGTCGTCGCTGTCGTCGGCGGGAGGCTCGACGTTCCCTGCGAGAGGCGCGGAGCTCCCTTCCCTGCTCGTCTCGACTTCCTGCTCCATCGAACTATTTTGTGCTTGTTGTTCATCTACAAAAATACGATCGGTACACGACACGTTAAGTGATGCGCGACGTCTCGTATGAATATTCTCCATGTGAATGATTACACTGAGGCTTGAGGAAGATTGAGACCGCCACGATTATCACGATTACCTCATTTATTCAGGAAACAGAGAAACGCGACATTTAACACAAGATCTTTCCCTCGATGTCGTCGGAAATAAGAACTCATAGAAATTATATGGGCTTGAATTTTGTTGAATTCGGGAAGATGGGGATTTTGACAATCTGTCGCTGTATTCAACAGTACCTGATTGCGTCACCGGAGAATCATCATCCGTTTGTCCTGGACTCAATATAGCCTCCTTGATTTGACTATTAACACCTTTCGGATCTAGATCCGTTGCCCAACTAAAGTACATTAATGCGAGATGCGTATTGCCTAATTTTTTATGCACCTGCATCAAAGGGAAATTTATCAAAGATAAAATTACGTTCGAGAATTGCTCGGATTTAAAAACTCGCAATAAATCGATCGGGTATTCACCTTTCCTATCGAATAATAGACTAGAGACTCTTTGGGTACAATATTCTTCAGCTCCTCGAACTCTCGGAGAGCTTCCGCGTGTCGACCAATTGAGAAGTTGATGCTCGCACGATGGAACTTGCACAAGGTGTTGTCGGGATCGTTAGCTATCGCCGTGTTCAGTGTCTTCAACGCCTGGTCGGTTTTCTTCAGGGCGTGTTGCACGACACCTATGTGGCACATTATCGCAGAATTTTGCGGGTTAATCTGGTAAGCCCGTTTAAAGTGTAACTCCGCTAAACTGTACTGTTCCTGTTTCGAAAATATCGTTCCCAGCCCAAACCTGCAACATGCAATCACATATTTCCAATGTGCACACAAGTTCAGTGGGTGTACATAAATTCAGGAGATGTAACGACATTGTAACATGACGTTACGTCTTTCTTCAACATTTACCATGCGTTATAATGCCTGGGATCGAGCCTGATGGCGTTGCGGAATGCGATGATTGCCTTATCCAGTTCCTCGGTCAAAACGTATTCGTGTCCTAGTAATGTGTAGGCGTACGGAAAATTTGGATCCACCTACATAACGTCAGAGTGTCGCTTTTAATCGAGATTCAAGATAATAATCATATCCACTTGCGTATATATTTCACCATATCATAAATGAGTTTATTCGAATAAATAGTTTGTGCAGATTGAAGGTTGCAACATTATTTTTTCAATAAGTTTCGCAATTCCATATTTGATAGGAGAATTCGTCTTTAAATAATTCTCAGGAGATATATTTTCCTATTGGATAAGAGATACGTTGCGTAAAATTCATTGAAAATGTTGCAACCTTTAAAATAAATATCTTTAGTTTCTTATAAACTATATTTAGAATTTTAATGAAAAACTACTGTGAAATTAAAAACGAATTATAGAGATATTTGTATACAAATCTTAGAATTCTTGACCACTTTGTTTTGAAAATATAGTCATATATATGTACACGTATACATATTTAAATATTTATATACCATTTCCTGTTATGTGTGCACTTCTATTAACTCGGTTAACGTAAAACATTAGTAAGAAAAAAATGTTTTCATATTCATAATATTGTATTACATAATATTGTGTTAATTTGTAATATTGTATATGTATGTCTTAATTCCGCTCAAAATTAACATTTATCACTTAGATAATTAAGTAAAATTATAAGAACGTTTTTTTTTTCAATAAATAAAAACTTACACATGGATTCTTTAATATCGTCATTGAAAATTCGATAAAACTACTTTAACATGCTGACTGTACGCGAATAAATAAATTACTCGTTATTCGCTCGGGTAACGTTGGTTTCATTCATGTGAAGTTGAAAGGAAAATTTATTTCAGCAAAATTATCCGAAATTATCTTCACTTTAATCATCGACGATTTTCAACGAGCTCCGATTGCAATGAAATGAAAACATACCTGGATAGCTCTTTGGAAGAATTTGATCGCAGTTTCGTGCTCCGTTTGCGCCGAGAACAGATTACCCGTGGCACACCATGCCGCCGCCGAATTGCGATCTTGGATAACTAGGTCTTGAGCAAGCGTAGACAACTGCACTTCCGCGTGTAAATGCCATAGAACAGTGCTGTAGATCTCCATCAGTTCCATCCTTTGTGGCTCTAACTGTTGTACTTCGGCGAAGTAACTATGCATAAAAAAGTGAAAGATGTTCATAAATATCACCGAGGAAAAATAATTGAGAATAAAAATGCAATTAATGCACATTTCACCTTAAACGAAAAAAAGTAAAAAAAAAAAAATTGCGGTTAAAACGAACAGATTTGATATTTTCATTGTATATATCACTTGAAAAATGAGTTATATAATCATTACTTAGCAGCCTTCTTATAGTCCATCATCTCGAAGTGTGCACGGGCCAGCATAGAGAGTACCCAACCTGTGTTGTAATGCTGCGTCGGTAATATACTCAATACTTCAATAGCCTGCGTGCATTTGAACTGGCTCAAGTGCTGATACGCTATACCTAACTCTCGCAGCAAAGACATCAGACCCTCTGAAAAGTCAGATAAAATTATTTTCAATTATTTCGACGACAGGATACGCTTAAATATCGTATAAGATAAAATATAAAAATAGAGGAATATATAAACGAGTAGCGTACCTGCACACTGCTTTTGCAACGTTACTGCGCAATGAATGTTGTTGCTTTGTGTATTCAGCGCGTTCGTATTAGCGATAGCCTTCTCCGACGTGATTGTCTCGCTCTTCTCCTTCTCGTTCCTGTTTCTCTCGTTTAATTCAAAGTTGGTCTTGTTCAAATTTGTCTTGGCGAGTCTCGCTTTCGTCTTGCGGGAGGGAGACTTCGGAGTGGCGAATTTATTCCTGTTAGGTGATTTATTATTTTCCTGGAAAAAAAGAGAAAGAATATACGTGTGTGTGTGCGCTCGTCATGCACAAGGAACGAGCGTTAATACGTGAGCAGAACTATGGCCACATTTCGAAACGTTTTTTTTCCGAGGAAAATTTTCCTTGATGGCCGAAACTTGACAAGTGTTCCCGATTAGTCCCTCTCGGGACGTTCGTCAAGTTATGGAACAGAGTAAAATTTCCCTCGAAAGAGACATTTTGGAAAATAATCTGGAAGAAAGTCAATAAATGTTAAATAATACCTTCACTGAATAATGGTGGTGGCTGAAGAGCCGTGACGAGCGTCTAACGTTGGTGCCCTGTAGCGTTGGTGATGGAGGCGTCGGAGTAGCGGTCACTGTCACAATATTGGCAGTATTGCTCGCATTACCCGACTGAGAAAAAACCGGTTTACCTTGTTGCAACGGCGTCTCCTTCTTCGATATTAATTGCTGAAAATAAATGAGACGTATGATTAGTTTAAATTTCATTGAGCAATAAATTAAACGGGCACAGAGACGCATTTGTATCACACAAAGAAGGGAGGATGTAGAGACAAGGCGTGGAAAAGGGGACAGTAAAGTACACAGACAACGACATCGTTGTTGCGCTCACCCCAACGTGAGCCCTGACGCGTTTCGCCAAACTCTTCTGGTCGTTCGCTTCCGTAAGAGTTGTGTGCGTGGGTGGTACAGCCGGTTCGGGTGTATTGCTTTCCAACGGCAAGATGCCAAAGCTGGGTGTGAGTGGACTCATAGGGTTACTGAACATGTTGCGATAACGCGACAGTTTAGCCCTCGGCGATATCGAGGAGCAGTTGCTCCAGTGAACGGGCACATTTTGCGGGCTCTCCTCCATCGAGGAACATAATCGCCCCTGCGACATCTGGCTGCCGTTTATCAGCGTCGTCATCTGCACGGGTGTACTGCGACGAGAGAAACGAAAAGGTACGATTATAGAAAATATTGAACCATATCGAATTGCACTTATATATATATATAAGATATCGACGATAAAACAGAGATGTCAACATCACAATGTATGTGTGTATGTATATATATATATATAATATATAGTACACACATGTTAGTGCTATTCGACATAGGTGTGCTGTTGGCATTATTTCCAGGTACAATGAGATCTGGCTCAGCAACGTAGTCCCACGTAGAAGCTGTACCATGGCACATGATGAAGGAATCCAGTTTGTCTAGCTGAAAGATCTTAGCGGGATCCACCTTCTCGCCGACGTTACAGAGTTCCTCGAAAGAGTGCCAGAGAAACGGGTTCAGTTTTAACGCCAGTTTATGCGCCTCGTTGCCCTTCGCGGTGCGCATCATTTTGTAGTGAATTTTCGCTATTATCTGGAGAGAAAAGCATGCCTGCTCCCCTAACTGCGGTACTATTTCTTCTAAATTCTTCAATTGTTTGTAATACCCGCCGATTACCGTGGCTTCTGCTTCTGCATACCTGAATTTTTAAACAAAATATCGATATCTAATATTTATTACTATTTGTTAAAAATTAATATTTGTTAACATTGAATTGTTAGTGTTAATAATTTAATATCTCCCTCAGAGATATCCATATCTACAAGGAAACAAGACTCAACGATACTTACTGTTCCATATCGTAACAACATTTTGCTAATAAAAATCTACACTGTGCCGAACTACGTGCCTTCTGGGATAATAAGGCATGGGCTTGTTTGACTCGGCCAGAACGATAATAACATGTCGCCAAGAGGAACAATGTTTCCTCTGTGTCCACTGTAATAGCGTATCGATATAGACATATAATAATTACAAAGTACTAATACTCAAAAGAAATAGAATTACAGGATTTTACCTTCTGCACATAATCTTTCTGCCAAGAATATCGCATCTGGATAAGCATAATGATTCAAACAATGCCATATGGCCGCCTGAAAACAGAATGTTTATGTATAATGTACAGATATTAACTACATGTTCTGAAACACAATTTGAAAGTATCCTATATATTTTAAAGTACTGCGTATAGTGATACTAATACCGCAAATTTTATCTATATAAACACCACGTGCTTTTTCAAAATATGAGGGAATACAATATAATTAACACGTACTTTCGATGGACAATTAATTATAAATAATAACGCCTTGTTACTCGTGCATGCTACTCAAATCTACTAACATGATTTGCATACAAAGAACAGGGAGTTGATTCTTGGCGATCTATCAGACGACAATAAATACAAATTAAGCACGAAAACGACAATTCCCGGAGGTTAAAGCATCTTAATCGGTCGTAAAACCAGTACGCCGTTCGTTATCAAATAGAAGTCTATCAAAATCCGTAAATACGGTGAAGTTTCGTACTTATTTATAGCCAGGACCCTCCCCCCCGCCGCGTTGCCGTTTTCTTGCAGAAAAGCAAACAACATCCCGCAATTCAGACGCGCATTCAGAGGGCAAGCACAGACGGGGAAAAATCCGCAACGAGGATCGTTTCGGCGGGACGACCTCGCGGGGAAACGATCATCGATACGGCCCCGTCTGGCAAAATTAAAAGCGGCCACGAGATAGCGAATGGTTTCCGCGATTAGCAAGACGTCAATAGTGAATGTCGATGCGCCCCGACACATAAATCCGCACGTCACACAGCAACGACGGGCTACAAAGGGCCGACACTCGTTACCTGCACTGGCTCTTGCACGATCATCGTTTACGACACGAGCTTGGTCATAAAAGAACGGTCCGTCTGGCTTCAGCGAAATTTAACGTGGGAACATCCAAAGTCGGACGACTGCCGTATATAAAAATTCCTTAGGAGTCCATCTTTGCTTCGATTCTTTTGAAGCGAGCGACTGCCTTCAGGTCGCAGGGCTGCCAACATAGCTCTGGGGACAGTTCAAGCTTACAATAGTGAGAAATGTGAAGTCACTAAAGGATGTTTCCCATTTGAATGATTGGCGCAAACACGGGCCATTTCGCGAGCTTTTCCAGCCAATTAGCGAGCCCGCATCATGCGAACAAAAAGCGTTCACAGTAGAATATCCAATTAGACGATTTGTCTGTGAGAGACAAAAATGTCACTGCCTGAAGTTCCCAGAAAGTAGGTTCTTTCTGTGCCGTCAAGTGCGCGTGCGCACGAAAATTTCGAGTATATTTGAAAAGTCAACGGTTGTGCCGGGTTGCTGTTGTTACTTTTTGTTCACTTTCTTCCGTCGATTTTCGCAGTTTCGTTTACATGGCTGAATTCAAGACACCTACGAGGATAAAATGCAAAGGCAGAGTGACGGATAATGCTGAATTAGGAACTCCCATCAAGATACCTGCATCGCCTTTCCTGGAGCGAATAGGCTATGGCACTGGTACTTGGTGCAACTTAATGCCTTCTTTCACAAATCATTATCGTAGATCAATATCTGATTAATTAAACTTTTGGCTAATCGTTGTCACTTTAATTCTATTAAAATTGCTATAACACTGTTATACAATGCTTTGTAATTAATAAATTTTTTTTTTTTATACTTTCTATGAAAGGTTTATAGCTTTTCTTATAGAATCATATTTAATATTTTATATATTTTATCAGGAATTGCTGTATACATGTTGGAAAGGTCACCCAAAATTGGTTGTATTCGTTCACCTTGGGCGATAAAGAAATTGTTGAAGGGGAGAAACAATGAAGCAAGCGATGGGCGTCTTCGATTAGAAGCTGATTTCCTTCGACAGTTGGAACATCCCAACATTGTTGGTTTCAGGGCATTTACTGCTGGAGCAGATGGAAAGCCTTGCCTAGTTATGGAGGCTTTAGATATATCACTTGGTATTGATCTTCTCATGATACAAAATAATATTAACATTTTCAGACATATATTTATGGTAATATTTGTTATGAACCAGGTGACAAAATCGAACAAAAACAAGATAATGCCGATGAAGAACCATTCCCAGCCAAGGATATTCTGACAGTTGGTTATGAAGTTGCAAAAGGTCTGAAGTATCTGCATCATACAGCGCACATATTGCATGGAGATATAAAGAGTCCAAACATCTTGGTTACTCATGACTTCAGTACGGTCAAACTATGTGATTTTGGACATTCTCTGCCATTGACGGAATCTTTAGAACTGGACATATCAAAGGGTGACTTTTCTTACTTTGGGACAGAATGTTGGAATGCTCCTGAGATCATACATGGTATGTTCATTTGCTTTAGTCACACAACTGAATGACAATTTTTAGTATATGAAATTGCAGTTACTTTTGCAAGCTTCAAATTCAAAACTTACCTTAAAACCCATTCTCCTACTTGTAGCATGTTTCAAATTATGCCTTTTCCACGATTCTTACTTTTAATTTTATCTTTCTCTTCTCCAGAGGATGGACCTGTGACTAATGCCGCTGATATTTGGCCATATGGCCTTGTCATGTGGGAAATGATAGCCCTGTCACCACCTCACGTACAAATAGAGGACGAGTCCAGCGACGAATCAGTCATCGACGCAGACACGACGAATAAATTACTGGACGACTCTAATTACGATATGGACGAGAGTGTTACTTTCCTCAAAGAAATAATGCCACAGACGAACGATAAACTTGGTAAGGACTTTTTATTATAATATCTAGTTTTTGTTTTTATTTCTCATGAACAATGCACTATAGTGATGAGTTGGTTTGGAGATTAAAGAGTGAACAGTTTTCTTTGAAGATAAAATTGGCTAAAAAGAAGAAACTAATTTATAGGTACGCGTCCAGCTTTACCTGCTATCAACTTAGGCAAAGAATATGACAAGGTGCTTGAGGTATTCTTCATATGCACTAATGCCGATTACAAATTAAGGCCTAGCGCAAAAGTTCTGGTAAATTATTTCGAAAAATGCACATGTGCTAATAAAACATGAACGTAAGTGTCTTTTATTTTTTATATTTTATTTTTTTATATTCATATCATATAAACCTTGGGGATTGTCCATGTAAAATGTACCTCGTATAAAATAATGTTATAAGATGTCATCTAATTTTTACGATGGAATAGTAAGAAATAAAAAGAGAATTATTATTATTATTACGCTTATGATGATCGCGATCTTGATTTTCCTCTGTAAAAATAATCAATGATTGTCATTACATCGATACGGTAAAATAGAACCATACTTAAGTACCTCTTGAATGTGTGAACACGCACCTTCTTATATGTACTGCTCTTCTCTTCTGCTTTTTTGAGTTGAATGCGACCGCCGCCAATGTTATTTGTTGTTTTGTTGGAAAAATACTCCACATTATTAATTTGTTCTCCCTGTGCAAACAAAGTTCGGTATTTCACATCTGCTATCGCACTTCCATTGTCTATCTCACAATTCGTTCTATACTTTCGTTACATTAAACAATGATACTAACTTGTTTCTCGATTAAAATTGCCATTTCCGCAAACAAGTCTTTAACTTCTGCGATTGATTTTTCCAACTTTAAAACATCGTTGTGTCTACTTTCTATGTCGGACAACTGTCGTCTTGCAACTTTGCTATCTTCCAGAATCTGGAAATAATTTATTAGGTAGATATTCGTGCGCACAAGGAAAATCAAATTTATATGATAAATACTATGTACTCTTTGTAGTAATGAATTTCCAATATATACTTACATTGTCGACGAACAAGCTAGTTTCTTGAGCATCAAGCATATGGTCTAGTTCTTCACTTGTTACTTGTCGCCTTACTAAGTTAACAAATAATTTAATTAGTAGTACTATGGTAGAAAGAGATGTACACGTAGTGTATAAATATATCTTTCTTTTTTACAAAGGTGTTCTAAGAGTATGTACATAGTAAACGTTGCTGCTGCAAAAGCAAGAGGCATTTATCGTGATATCTAAGTAATGATGTATTGTAATTCTCCATAATCTCCGAGTACAGCTGCAGCATTGTTGTATATTGCAAAATCTTGATTCTCGTGTACGCCGGTCCATCTTTTGCACTAGCTACAGTCAAATCGTCAATGGCAGTGATATCTTTTCCTAAATCTAGAAATAACGATAATAATTTCTTGGTAGATTTGTTCAAGTATAAAAGAAAGTAGACAGTAACGAGTTATTACATATTACATTTAAAACTGCACACAGGGAATGTTCATTGTTTCTTCCTAGTATATATTATTATATTTAAAAAATTTTTTTAACTTAGAATTTGTATTACATAATTGATTATTTCTTGTGCGAAATAATTAATTATTTTTTTTATCCTGAACTGTTTTGCAAGAGCATGTTATTTAAGAACACTTTATACATTAATTCATGAATGAATGTTACTTATGTAAATGGTAGTGTGGGTTGTATGACCGCGTGTATAATCATATATATATGAAAATTGCCTCTCTCTCTCTCTATATATATATATATATATAATTATATATGTGATGTATATATATATATATATATATGGTCATTTCAAACGGCTCGCGCATACGATTGGTTATTCAGTTAACCGTTTCTACATGGACGCTGCTGTTCGTTTCGCCAGCTCCGGTACAACGAGCGAAATGTTCCTCATTAAGTTTCCGGATAAATTTTTCATGAAGACCCGCGACGTCGTGCACGCTAAACCAGGCAGGAGCATAATATCACTATCGATACGCATATGGAAGATGATAACCTGAAAGCCCCGTGCACACCAATCGCGACACGATAAGTTTGAGGTTATGTTTACTCACACGGTGAGCGTCTCCCGCTCACGAGGCAAAAAATGATAACAGCAGCGTTTCGAGGGTGATTCGAATTCCGCACGTGTCTGCGCGCGCGAGAGGATGGAGCCGCTGCGTGTGCTTTGCAATCACAAGTTGGACACTCTCGACGAGTCTTGGATCAGTTCGGTATGGGAAGCCGAGTTCGTGAACTACCAGGAACCACCTGACGAGTACCTGGCGTATCTCGAAAGCAACGACGCGAAGTTGCAGCTGCGCGAGACTTGTCATATCCTGAAGAAATGGATCGCCGTGAACTGCGACGAACAGTGCAAGTTCTCATGGCAGGATTTGATGGTCCTGGGCATCAACGTGCGCGGCCTGCTGGCCGTGTTGGATTACATAATGAAGACCGGTCAGCGTGTCGGCAGCGACATGGCGTCCAGGCAGGCCTGCCTGGACGCTACCAGTCTGTACCTCATGCTGCTCACGGTACCAGGGAGCAGTGTGTTTAGCGTGTATCACCCGTGTCTGTATGAGCGGACGATGAAAACGTTGAAAATGTCAGAGAGTATATTTTCTTCCAGGCAAAGTAGCGCTAGGGAGACGGCAGGTGCTTCCAGCTTGGACGATGACGATCAGTCGGAACAACCCGCACTGTCACATTCCGAGAAGGTGAGCCTCGTTCGAGGAATAAGTAGGATTATCTGTGACCTGATGACAATGCTCAAGTTATTCCGGCTCAAGGAGCGGCAGGAGCTCCTGGATCTCACGATACGCACGTTGCTAGATATCATGAGACTGGTGATGTACACCGATGAATCTTACGATAATCAAGAAGGATTGAACTCGGACGTGGGGTCGTTGTCTAAGAAGGCTTTCGCGGCTCTGCGAGAACTGTGCAGCGGCGATCACGAATCCGTCACTCTGACCATAATGTTGATAGCTCAGTATATGCTACCTCACCTGTTACTCCAGCAGACCAACAGCCACCAGCCAAAGATGACGGTCGTGCACGAGACGTTCATATACTTTCTGAAAACGGTGCTGGACATTCACAGCAAGGAGACCTCAGTGGGGATCATAACTCTGATACACCAGCTGATGGTGCGTTATCCGGAGAGATCGGAGGGCCGTCAGAGGCAGGCGACCGTCGTGGTGAAACTACTGAATATATGCGACAAGAACACCGCTGTGGCGGTTTTCCGGGACATAACGTCGTACTCGCACAGCGGCAAATTCCTTCACAGGCTGTTCGCGCAGGAGATCGTCGAGAAACTCTTCAGGGAGTCCGAGTTGCTGCGCAACGATCGGCACGGAGACACGAGCATGAAGATGAGGAGGATCCTGGTAGCCATTATACTCTCCCGTTGCATGGATCGCTCGCCCTTGGTGAGGGGAAGAGCGATGGCCACGCTCGCGTCCCTGTCCGATTGCAACGACGACACGGACAGGGCCGTCCTGAAGGGCATCTTTGGAGCAACAGCGGCGAACAAGCGGTTCGCCACTATCGCTGACATGGTGAATGCCTTCGAAGACACAGACCCATTACCGGGATCGGACACGTTGATCGCCATGTTACTGGACAGAGTGAACGACGAGCGCGCGATGGTGCGGCGAAGCGGCCTGAAGATTCTAAGGAACCTCTCCGTCATGTTCCCGTCGATCGCCGGCCGGATGACCCACGTGATAAGCGAGCGCTGCAGGGACCCGATGCTGTCGGTCCGGCAGTTCGCGGTGCACGTCCTGTCCGAGATCCTGCAGCATTTCCCGCACGACTCGGCACTCCTGCACGAGTGGACGCAGGCGGTGGTGCCGCAGATCTACGACGTCGAGAGTAAAGTGCAGGAGAAGGTGTTGGAGTGCCTGCACGACGTGCTGATCAACAGGATAGGCAACGCCTCGGCGTGCAGGCCGGACAGCCTGCCGTGGAGGGTCCTGGACAAACTGAACAACATGAGAATGAGGAAGCATCTATCGAGGGCGTGCGGCCTCTGGGTAAAGTGCAACGTCATCAGCAAGTCCGTGATCTCGAATCTGCAGTCGCACGTCGGCACCGGCAACAACATAGGCGCGTGGATACTATTGGCCGCATTGGCCGAGAACATGACGATCCCGGGCATCGGCCGGTACATCGCCGACTACGAGAACGTCGTCTGCAAGAACGACCTCCACGCGAGCTTGGTCCTGCACGTTCTGCGCCACGCTTGGCCCTGCCTCGACCGTGAACGCCTGCAGGATCTATGCCGGTACCTCTACGCGCGCATGTGCAGCTTCCAGGTAAACTTCAACCTGATCAGCGTGTGCTTGGACATCTGCCACAACGTGCTGCAGCACTTGCACGATAGGAACGTCATAGAGTCGTATATGGCCGAGCTGGTGGAACTGTCGGAGACGAAGGTGCGGGACATCCTGAAGGAGGACGGTGAGGCGCACAAGATGAGGGTGATCTTCACCTTGGGCCACGCGTCGCTCCTGTGCACCAGCAGGATCTCCAAGTCGACGCTGCAGGTCCTACGGACACTGTTGTTGGACCCGTTGGCAACCACGAAGCGCCTGCAGACGGCCGCGGTAGTGCTGCTCTGTCAGCAGGCGTTAAGGGAGCGCGATGTCGCGAAGAGGGTCACGCCGGTGCTCGGCGAGCTGATACGCCGGGAGACCGGCTCTACTAAGGCGGCCGTCAAGATAAACGCCGCGAAGGCGTTGGCCGACATCTGCGTGAGGTTCACCACGCTGGTGGAGCCGTACCTGCCGGACATGTGCGTCAGCATGAAAGACCCGGACCCGGCCGTGCGAGAGGCCGTGATCGTCATTTTCATCCAGCTGCTGCTCGAGGATTACATCAAGGTGAAGGGTCCGTTCTTCTTTCACATATTGACGATGCTGTCGGACACGAACAGCATGATACGCGAGCTCACGGTGTTCTTGGTGGAGGAGAGGCTCCTGATGAAGAACAAGGCGCTGATCTCGCAACAGTTCCTCGCGAGCATATACTACTACAACAATTACCACGGCGGGGACGCGGTCTGCAGGTACAGAATGCGCGACAGGGACAAGCAGGCGCTGACGTTGCCCGGAAGAGCGAACCGGGACAAGCGCCGTCTTATTTACGAGTTCATGCTGGACCACTTGGACCCGCCAGCCAAGTTCAAGCTGCTCGTCGGCTTGACCAAGTACATCCTCGCCGAGATATGCGACGGCAAGTCTATCGACGTCAGGAGAGAGGAGGATGCGTGCGTCTTGCAAGACGCGCTGTTCGTCATAAGTAATCACCGCCTTCAGCTGTCGTCCACCACGGAGAAGCACAAGGACGACTCGCATGAGCTCGACGAGACCGTCGAATCCTCCCAGAACACTTCTACTAGTGCCGCCAACAACAATGCGATTAATATCATCGCGACGAACATGAAGAAGCACAATTTGGACAATTTGCTGCCCACGTTGATCACGCTCAAGAAGAAACTGCACGCGTCGCCCTTGGAAAGCAGCGTGGAGAGACTGTTGTTCAAGGTCTACTCGGACTTCGAGAAGAAGCATCTGCTCAGTTTGCTCAATGAATACCCCGAATTGGAAAAAGATATGGAGTGTTATCAACGGTACGGTATCAGTTTGCAAACGAATCCACACTTCCCGATACGGTGTCATTTCAGCTTGCGTTTCGTACACTTTGAAATATCAATTCGCAAGTAGCGGACTAAAGTTACTTTTCGCTGCTTGAAAATTCAATATATATGTATGCTAAAGCGCGCTGTACATTTTTATAAATGTACTAGAATTGTGCTATAAATTTTAAGTGAAAGAGATTTCTTTGAAATATATCACAGATTATATATATATATATATATATATCTTTCTCTTCTACTATCTTATTAAGTTATTCAATATTGAGTTGCAAGAACATAACATACACGCATAGTACAACATTTTGTGTTAAATTTAACACATATTCCAAACGGTTTGCGCAAATTTTTGTGTTAACACAAGGTGAATGTGTTGAAAAGTAACAAATATTATGTCGAAAATTAACAGAAAATTAATACGTCAACCGACACAGAAGTATAAAATGTGTTATTTTAACACTTATAAATATCGATATAACATAGAAAATCAATATAAATACATGTTAAATTAACACACGTATTTAACGTACGTTAAGAATTTAACACAAAAATCTCAAGGAGAACCGATCTTAAGTACAAGAGGTTTTTTTACTGTGTAACTTTTCAGGAGGGTGAGGGGTAGATCGACTTCAGAGAACGACGACGACGACGAAGCTATCGGTAGTTCGCCGCCCACGACACCCACGATATGCCACGATAAGGATTCGCCAGTGGACGTATCAAGGCGAACATCTTTGCGAGGGGTCAGTTCACCTTCACCGTTACCCTCAACCTCGGGGGTATCAAGCTGCACGAGTGGTAGACTGAGTTCTAGTAACTGCTCGCGAATCTCATCGCCCTACGATAAGTTAATGAAGAACGTGTCGGTGCGTCTGGTTAGATTGTCACCGGCAAGATTGTCCTTATGTTCGAGTTTTAGTACCAGCACGCCTAAAGCGGCACGGGATCAAAACCCCGGCACTAGCTACTCCCCCTCCACTTACGTCCGGCGAGTCAAGAAGCCGCCGGACGAGCTAAGACCGTCGCTGGACAGAAGTCCTCCGCGCAAAAGTTCGAGGCGGAGTAACGTGTGAGGGTGATCGCGACTCGCGTCGCAAACATCGCCGGGTGTTCCCTTTCGTTCTTTCACGAGGTGGCCTGCGTGGAAAATCGCCTACCTCGTAACTTTCGCTGAACGCGGAAGGCTGTCTGCGAGATCGTGCAGGTGCGAGCTTCCAATTCCTTCTGTATATCTGCAAACATCACCACAGCGCGCGCGCATACGTGTGAATTATTTGAAAATGAACGCGCGCGACTCGTAGCAGCAGCCACCTTACCTTTGTTCGTGTGCGACAGAATATTGTTTTGCAAGTCCTTCACGATCGAGGAATTCTCCCCTATAAGCTGGATCAGCCCACGGATCTCCTCCGCCTGCATCAACGCGTTTATTTCTTTACATTCAAACAATGTCGAACCAAACAGCGCTTGTGTATGCGCGTGTGTCTGTAATTCGTTTGCGTTGCTGCTCAGAGCGGTTTTTCGTGATACGTACTTCGTCCAACAGTTCCTTGAGCTTCTTGTTCTGGGCTATTTGTATGTGCACGTCTTGTAAAAATCCCCTGCCAAAGGTGCTGCTGTTACTTCGGCTCTGGAACACGATCAAGTACAAATCCGACGGCTTAGATTTTAGTTTGATATGTAAAGTCGCGTGCGCGTGGGTCTAAAATATAGGTGCTTTACGCTTTAAGAAATTCACTAATCACAGTCGAATGTGAAGAGAATAATTCATTGTGATTGGTCTACTTCTCAAGGCTTAAAATATTGTAGACCGGGCAACAGGGAGTTTTTGCAATACCGTTTTTCGGATATGGTAAACACTAAAAGTGCGTTCCGCTATTCAGTACTGCCAGTATCAACAGTTTGTGTTCTATAGAGTGCCGGCAGCTGAATACCGGGACGCATTTCAACGTTTATCTGAGAGTCGGTGTTGCTGAAACTCTCTAATAACGTTGAGCGCGAGAAGGAACTTCACTTCAAGACTCGGTCTCAACGGATATCTGATGCGGCCGGCCAGCCTGCAGGCATCAACGTGTCAGTAGAAGACATTGCGACTCGAGGCTGGTTTCGCACGCACATGACTCACAGTGTGCAATTACACAGCGGTTGGGACAAAGTGCAATACGGATCTCGAGCGGTTGGGACGAAGTGCAGCATGGATCTCGAGCTCTCGAGTGAAGTTCTTTCTCTCCTCGATGTCTCTCTCTCTCTCTGACGTGGTACGCGGAGAGAAAAAAAAGGAAGGTGAGATAAAGTACACTAACAGCACGTAAATCGGGCATACGATCGCGAACCATAGCGGTCTCGAGAGATGCGTAACTGATAGTTATCGTCGGGTAAAAGCACGCGGTGCGCTGTCCGTTATCTTTCTCCCCTTATCAGCGCGCGACTCGGGAGATATCGCCGATAAAGTCCATCGCGCCGCTCACTTCGATGTCCGCGGTCGGTGTGCGAAAGTCACTCCGGGCGCGTCCTCGACCGGAGTGCGCGTGGCACGCGGCCTGAAGAAAAGCGCCGCCGCTGCTGCAACGCGCGCGCGGATGGAAGGATACTTTGCATCTCAAATGAAATAGGAAATGGCCACTTGGCGGCGGCGTCGCAAGGCCGGCGATTACAGCGCGCAATTACAAGCGCGCGCGCATCTCTCGCTACCGTCTACGTCACTTAATTTGTTAGTTTAGTTTGTGCGAAATGATGCGTTGGATCGCTGCGAAAGTTTTCCCGTTCGCGTCGGCGACGAATCCAAGGTGGAATTTGCATTCCTTTCGATGACACGATTCCCTCGTATGCTTCTCCCCGCCGTCCGGAGACTGGTTTTTTCCTTCATCTTCGCTTCTCGAAGACCTCAGATCGATGACGACGATCGAACGACGGAAAACTTTCGCAATCGCTCCAAGCAACGAGGCTGTCGTAATCTTGAATTATTCGTGAAAAAAACTGCCAATTACCTTTTCCGTGATATTTGTCGAGAAGTTACCCGCAACGCGTGCGTAAAAATGTGCATTGAGAATGTACACATACATATTTTACCACTATTTTTAGGTTTCCTGCAATTCCGTTAAACTATGCGATGCCCACACTTTGAAGATCACAGTATATACTGTCGTTATTTAGTATTGTACGTTTTCGTTAAACTGTTTGTTTTAATGAATCGGGGAAGGGGTAATTATTTTCAATTATAAGACGAGGAATATTATGTTCCAATTATTAATCGTCTACGTTATTTCGTTATCAATTAGAAACCTGAATATAATTCATTGTCTGCGCTGGTTTTAATATCATTACAGTATCACCCGTCATGATTACAGTGAAAACCGCGTATTTTTAACGCATTTTCTATGTATTCATAATGCTTGGTGAGAAATATAATTATAATATAAAATATAATTTCAGTTTATAATATACCGAGTACTGTGCGAACTATTCTGTGATAATGCACAAAGCGAACGCAGTTCTAATTACATAAACATGAAATATATATTTTTGTAACACACACACACACACGTGTGTGTATATAAATAAAAAAAAAATTATATTAATATCTATTATGTAGGAATATAATGCATTAAAAAATTATCTCATAACGTAATATATTTGCAACGTATAACTTTTATATATTATTAGTAACATCTCTGTCTCTTGTTTGTAAAGTTCTTTATTAGTTTCTTTCCTGTTTAAGTTTTCATTAACAATAACAATTAGCTACACCTAATGAACGAGTGCTTTGTGTTAGGAAGACGGGACAAGTACTTATTACTTTGCTAAATAGCTAAAAATTATTACAAAGTATCTCAATATCGCATTGAAGCGAAATCGCACTTTAAGTAAAGTATCACTTTAGTAGTCTATATAACTTCGATAGAAGGTTTATCTCTTTTACGACGCGAGCGCGTCATTTGGACAATATATGTATATACGCGACATTCTATGTGTCACGAAACGTTTCACAGATCTTCGCGAAATAATGCCCGGTGCATGAAAACCTTTACATTGAATAAAGTGTGTTACGAGCAAATGACAACTGCATACGTACTGCGTATTGACTTGCACATTCCCTTACATAGTAGAATAGATAGAAGATCTATACCTTACGCGGTAGAGAACGATAAAAAATGTTTTTCAAGGCGAATTCAGTCAGTCTTATAATATATAACTTGTCAGTTTTAGTGAATCAATCGATAGTGTTCACCCGATAGTTACAGACTGCTGACGTAACGTTGAATTTCCATGCATCACTGTACGCTGTTAACCGTCGAACTGATAAAATACAAAAGATCTATATATTTTCTTATCGCTATAGCGTGATATACTACGGGATATATAACAGAAAGGAATAGATCTACCACTGTTCAACACGTTTACAACGTACCAACCATGTTCCTATTTACAGTAGAAAACCGTATTAAAATATCTTTACCGAGATTTACAAACAGAACGGAATGGTATCACGATTATGTACAATGCATAATAATAAGTTTGTCCGTTCCAATTGCACTTGTTTTATCACTTTATGCACTTGAGAAACGAAAACAGGGGAAAATATCCGGGCTACGCCAGGAGAAAGAACAAAGTAATCAAGTGCCCGAAATGCGATTGAAACGAACACACCTAATCACTCTCTCGTAAAGACGGATTTCTGCTCAGTCTCTGTGTAACCGACATTAACATATGCTTATCAGCGTATTCATTTATTTCTCTACATAAACTTATTAAATTTCCCTTCATTGTCATATCTCTCGTGTAATTAGTGCGATTATTCATGTCACTTATGTAATATTTGGTAGCGCACGAAAAAGTAGCCCTAGTCTTAATATCAATCTCATAATTATAATCAACTTTGAAAGAGAGAGAGAGAGAGATAATAAAAATAATATACTTTAACTTTTACTTTCCTTAGCATTTTTCAATAATAATAAAGTAACATGAAACTTTTATAAGAAAATTTCGTAATATAAAAATTTTCTGAGCTTCATCGTAAATTTCGTTTTGAATTACTAAAACATTAATCAACCATAGTTGACACAATATATGTAATTTTGAAATAGTTGGAAGTTCTATGGTTTCTCTCATCGAAAATTGAAGACATGGATATTGGCCTTTTTCTTCCAAAGTACATTCGTCATCGTTTCATAATTAATAAAGCTCTTATCGTCATAAAGACTGGATTACTTTCTACATACGCTGCGTTCTACGAATATTTTGACTACATCCTGCTTAGGAATACTGATTTCTGAGCCAGACTCGTCGAAAAACAACGTCTTGAGATTCCTGATATGATACTATCAAGGTGAAGAAGACATATCGCTAACAGGATGCAGTTCGCACTCTCACTTTGTCCTTAAGATAATTGGCGACCTGTGTCTGCGAATGCCTGACAGCCAACTGTAACGGCGTAATGCCCTCCTGATTTACGAGCAAAGGATCAGCTCCTGCTCCCACGAGCTGTCTTGCGACTGTCATGTGTCCCGTCAAGGCTGCGGCGTGCAATGCACTTTCGCCATTCTGAAATTGTTGACAACCTCAATTAGTCCTCATATATAATAATAAAATAATCTTATTATGTATATAATTACACCATATACATATGTAATTATTAGTATATCATTATATAATCATACTTAGTGCACATATATATAGAATATATGATACTTGGAATACATTATATAGAATATATATAGAACATATAAAGAGTATACAACATGAGTAATATAATTATATACAATATAAAATAAGAATATATATAATGTACAGTATATATTAAGATATTTTTTTTTCATTTGTCGTAAGAAAAAAATATACGATAAGATGAAATGATTACGTTAAAGCAATGTAAAAACTATAATAGCATGCAAAAGTTAATTTAAATATTTTTTAAAGTTTTTTAAGGTCTGACACTTCGGTCATTTGGTTTTTAATTTCCAACGTACATATTATGCTGACTAATATTCCATTCTCGTAATATTTCAGATACAGGTTTTACAAAACAAATAATACTTTTATAAAGTTCCTGGGCGTTACGTTAAGTTCTAAGTAAAATCGGCGGATAACTTACTGGCAGCACGCCGAGTGAAGGACGATACTTGAGTAGCTCGCCGATGACAGCGGTATGACCCTTGTGAGCGGCTTTGAAAAGCGGGGTCGCACCGTCCTGCAAGGAGAGAGAGAGAGAGAGAGGATTATTCGAGAGAACAATTTGGTCGTCAGTACAACACAATAGCTCGCTTTCGGCAATTATGGAAAATAGTCATCTCTACACGCGACCTGGCGGAACTTACGTGTCTAGTGGCGTCGACCTTCGCGCCAGCTTTCAGCAGCCTCCTCACAACGTGATCATGCCCCATTTGCGCGGCAATCCACAAAGGCGTGGCGCCGTCCGTCCTCGCCGCGTCGGTCTTCGCCCCGTGTTCCAGCAGGACTTCCAAGATACGGAGGTGGCCGTTCTGGGCGGCGATAAACAACGCCGTAGCGCCATCCTGTGCCGAAATGTAATCATTTTCAGTCTTCTTTTACACACTAATGCCTCCCACCGTTATCGCTCCCGCGACATATTAATGACATGCGAATACGTAATACTTGCCGGTAATCTAATATTACCGGTACGACGTTTGAACACCTATTTGTTCAGGTACTGATATTATGTATCTATCTCTGATATCGTATGTCACTAACATGTGCTAACATGGAGGGCGATATGGATCCACCAGAACCGCCCTTTAATTCTCCGTTGATTGCTATATTTTTCACTTCCATGAATGATCGCAAATACATCTCAAATACACGAATTTTCCTAATATTTCCAAGCAAGAAACACTAAATCTTTTAAACCTTGAAAATTGATTTTATATAAATTTTACAAATATTTTGACATATTTCATAAATATTTTTAAACCGTTACTTGATAATATAATATTCCTAAATATTAAATTCATAACGTAGAAATATTATTTTTAATGTTTGGATCAAATACTATTAACAATACATTAACAATATTAAGAACTATATATTTGAAAATGTTACATGTTATAAAATGTCATTATAATAACGTTGTGTTAATGATTTCTTGCTTACTAGGTTTTCCTCTGCTTCTTTATCTTTCATTAGCACTTGGCTGATAAACCACTATAATATATAAAAAATAATTGACAAGTATTAAGATGATATCTATTGGATATTGTGATTAATGGAGTTAACTGTAGACTATTTGACAAACCTGACATTGATTTTTCTCGAAGAAAACTATCGAGCGATTGATAAGTTATATCTAAATGAGCTTCACATATGAAAAATGAATAGCCTTTCGAGAATTGAGCTGAGACAGTAAAATTTGTTCAATTATTATGGACAGTAAACTCTTAGTCCGGATCTTCAATAGTGTAGTAAGTCTAGATATTTGCTCCAAGCAACAATATATGTAACATAACTTCTGACAAAAGGCGTTTCCCGCACTGCTAAAAATCGTAATAACGTTTGAATCTTAGGAATTTTGTCGTCTGACAGCGCTGAAAATGCTTTTTGCTAGAAATTACAATTTAGTGCGTTACAACTTGGGGCGAAAGGCTAAAAGCTACAACCACATCTATTGCAGATCCGACCTTATCTTTCATCCGAACAAACACGTTGACGGACGTGACGAAACTGCAATGTGAAAACTGGCCGTAAGGATGTCTAATATCGATGATATTACAGACGATTGCAAACTCGCAGACGAGTAACGACTGTCGGCGTTCCTCTCTCAGCTGAAAAATCCACGTCCCATATGTGCCGAGATAAATCGTACTTCCTTACTTTCATGTGTGCGTTCGGACTGGCGCCTCTCTCTATTAAACCCTCCACGACGTCTAAATGACCGTACTGGCATGCGACGAAGAGCGGCGTGCCGCCGTCCTGAAATCCACGCGGAATACGTTAGCGCGCCGCAAGAGCGAGGATCTCGTTACAACGCGAACACGTTCTCGCGCGCGACACTCTTTTCTCACTTACTATGCTGCACGAGTCGACGATCGCGCCGTGCTCCAAAAGCAGACTCGCGATGTCCATGTAGCCACCCTGAGCGGCGAAGAACAAAGCCGTCGTCCCCGTCTGCGAACGAAAGTCAACATTGACGTCACCGAAAATGCGTGATAAGGTACATTCATGTAACAATTTAGTTAATCTAGCGCTAAAAATTTCCTAAGGTGTATTGGAATAATTAGCTTGATATATTCACTCGAATCTAGCACTTTTTTGTGTATATGTAACATCATCGTTGAGTGGAAATGTATACATTGATGTGATGTTACTGTCAGTTGGTGTTTATTTAGGAGTAACCGTGTGCAACAACATACGAAACGACGCGCGTGCTCGCCTCGAGCATTTCAAATACCCTCTGGATTCTCACATCTTTTTATTCTTCTTCCAGACATTCTCTCTCGTGTGCACGATACACACGCGTTAAAATTGCAGTTGCGTCGTTAAGGAACATTAAGCAGCGTCGCGTTTTTATTGACCGGTGCGAGAAAGAGAAACGTCAATTTCCGCATAGATCGAACGGTACGATACGAGTTTCTTTTTATATGGTATTATTCGAAAATAACGCTCAACTTTCTTTCTGCTCAAACGCGACGCTTATATCCGCCTATAACACGGGAAGTTGTGTTTAACGGTAAACTTTAGTGGTGAAACCGGTTGCAAAGCAGTCTCGATATTTCGAGCAAATGTCAAACCGAGTCTCTCTCTCTCCGGGGAACGGCGCGCAATGCTGTAATGTTCACGCGTCGCGTTTGTTACGGGCGTTTCTCTTATCAAGATCCCGTTACATCGTTGCGTATCGACCAAGAATTTTTTCGTTGTCGATTTTCAGCCGACTGTTACCGAATGAGAGGATCGTCTCGAGAGCAGATCCGTCGCGAAACGGCTGAGCTACTCTCTACTCTCGACAGCCACCACAATCGATTCTACTGTGCGGAGTTAGTTTGCCGAACATAGTTTTACGATGCGACGTACGTACACATGCACGCGGCCTTCACCTGATTTAAGATAATACATCTCTCGCATTAAAGCGTGACTATCCGCCATGTGAGGTGCGCACGAGTGCGCGCGGCATAAATTCGTGAAACTTTCGTCGATCGCACGGAGCGATCGGCGAGTGTGTGTTTGCGATGTTGAACTTATTTCGAGAACCGGGCGGCACTAAACCACAATTAGAATCCGGCGTTACGCTTTCACGTAACGGAAGATAAATTTTGTTTGGCCTGTCGGCGATTTCGATCGCCTCGGGCGCGCGCTCGCGCTCATCCCGCGCCAACATTGTCGGAGTTAAACCGTCGTGAGTAAATTGGGAGTAAAGGAGCGAACTATACTATACTATACCGAAATGAGAAGGCATTATTGCCAAATTCACGAATTGCTCTCGAGTTAGAAGCAACGAAGCGCGACGCGCGTTTCTCGGAAGTAATCTAAAAATGAAAATCGAGTCGCTCTCTTTCCCGCGCGAGGAAGAATTCTCCTTGTTGGACGTCCTCGCAAAGTGCGCCCGGGTCGAAATTTTCACGTCACTTTGACGCTCTCGGGGATAGTTTGCGCCTATTTAGATGACCTACTCGACTACTACAGACTAAAGCTAGACCCATAGATTAAACCTACTTTGGCGACACCAAGCTTGTTAATTTCTCTCGTGGATCTTTAAGGGGATGCCAAAGTCGACTTGATAAGCGTCGATAACGTAGAGGCGACCCCCAAAACGTTGTCTTATATAAATACTGATGCAATCATACGCTATTATTTTTATATTTCTTGTATATATTGATCTTACGTAAGTGTAATATAAATGTGGACGCGAGGAATGTGCGCTACTTTCATTTTTTCATATTTTTCTCAATCATATCTAACCGAGGGAAATCTAACCGAGATGTGTGAAAATTTTTCTACAATTTTTTCAAATTTTTCTACAAGTTTCCGTATCTTCTTAGGCCTCTAAATTTGATTGAAGGTGTAAAGATGTTCTTTAAAACTTTCTTGATCGGAGCATTGATATATTCGGTACGTACAAATGCGATTCTATGAGAAAGCCCGTTGCTCATTCGCATTTTACACCGACATCCGCCACCGAATCGTTATTGAATCGTTATCGGCCTATATTTCTTGCGGGTTGTTTACCTTCTGCAATCTGCAATATCTCTCTTTGCAGTATCAATATGAGTTTTTGGAATTATGTAATTTACAGCGCGTGACCTCTCCGTGTACGAGGCTTCTCGGTGCACGCCTATAATAGATAATCCACCACCGAGTCGGATACTAGTAGAATCCACTTTCACTGACGTAAAAGCTCCCGTCGAAGGAGCGGCCAGTAGTTTAATCCATCGTAGTTTAATCCATCGTCCATTCTACTCTTCCGAGGCGCTCTGGATTGACAAGACACTTGTTTTTTTTTTCTTATCTTAATTTCTGACGGTGCGATCTCTATTTCGATTTATGCGACAGGTCTTTGTGATTCCATTGAGCGTCGCTTGACAAAAGCGTCTTCTTCTCGTTTGTTTCCCGTGACCGCGTAATTTTCGGTGAGAAAACGTACGACGAATTCACAATTCACTCGCAGAAATACACTTTTCCACATTTTCGACGCTTTCCTCTCTTTTTCCCAGGGGAGCTCGCGCTGCCTCGCGCGCGCGAGATGAGAATGAATTTTATCTCCCCCCCCCCCCGCTGGAAATCAACCGTTCNAAGTTATGTGTGCCGTGGAGCGTGGCGAGTGCGGGGACATAATACCTATCCATTACCAAACCGCAGAAATTCTATAGTGACGATCAACCTGTCGGTTTAACCACCGCCGTCGCCGAGGAGAGAATAGTAGAAGAAAAATCGGTAGGCTTATTCACAGAGAAGACGTGCTCTTCTCGTTCATTCCCGCAATATTCGCCGGTGAGACTTGCTCATGATGCATGAATGCTGCCAGTCTATGCTGAACGCTGAGAGAAAAGTATATAGTATTTGCAGGTTGAAATAAAAAAGGATATTGTCGTCGCCGAAAATAATTTATTATATTTTTCTTTCAGTGTGTGTGTGTGTGTGTGTGTGTGTAACCTGGAGACGTCCGCTGAACCGGCCGTGGAGTGGCGTAATTTTGCGCGTGCATAGCGGTACCGTTTGCTCCGCGCAGTTTACGGATGCAGATTCCGCCGATCGAACATTCGGTATCGAGTGGAGCGAACGAAAGGTCAGTTTATTTTCGCGTTGCGCCAGCGGCGGCGGCGCCGGACGGACTTCAATTAATTCGCCAGGAAACGGCCGAAAGATAATCAGCGGTAAATGACGCGCGATACCCTCGTGGGCGCGCTCGCGCGAATTCGGCATTACGTACGAACTTAATTTTAAATGCGTCCCTTGCGAGATCGCCCCGATTAGCCCGCGTCCGCCGGCTGGAATATTACGACGCTCGTCTACCTAAGATCCGCGATTTATCAGGGACTGCCGGATGACCCGACAGGTGTCATTCACCCTCGCGCGCCGCGTCGTTGTCCACGTTTAGACGATCAATAAGATAGCGGATAGAATTTTTAGACGACATCGTCTGCGGAACAGAGAGAGGAGCTCGCTTCTCCGAATCGTCTCGAATCGATCAATGCCGAACGAAAAAAGACAGAGCAAAAATTACACAAGCATGTAAGTTCATTAAATTCATTAGTATCTGCACGGAGGAAATAGACTGGTCGAATTAATGTGACGTGACATAACTAATAAGTGCGTTTTTGGTGGAAGAATTTCTCGTTCTTAACCTTTTAAGGGCTCACATGTGGATTTCATTGGAGTAAAATGTAATTTTTAAGATCATCTTATAAGGACGTTCCTGATGAAATTTTTTTTTGGTTGCATAAAATTGGCCGAGAAGTACGATTTTCTCAATAAATTATGTACATTGGGCGTTTAAGATAGAAAAATGAGAAAATATCAAAATTGTTTTATTTAAAAAATATTTATTTCTCGCTCGTTTATGACAAAGTCGTCGTAGAACATCAGACAAAATCTTTGGAAATAGAATATACTTACGTTTTTCTCACAAATAACTTTATATAAATCCGTCGACGACTTTGCTTTATATATGCGATTGCATATATTGATCTTCAGCTAGAAAGGCATTATTTCACAGGTCAGGACGGAGGATATAGCTTCATTTAGGATGGATTGATAATACTATATCGACGTAACCATTACTTTATCAACAGATGAAATTCGGTGAAGGCCCAAAGTTAATATACATTATTATACTCTAGACTTGGAAAAGATTACAAACCAAATTCGGTTCTTGAAAGTTCAAAATTCTGTTTCCTTCCACCGGAAGTGTGTTATGTCCTGGTCACATCAATTCAACCAGTCCTGTTTCCGTGTATTAATAAAACTGGTAATACGCTGTGCGTAACTTTCTGCGAAACCCAATCTTTATTTTTTAAACGTGAATTTTACAAGACGCATCGACGACAAACTCTCTAATTTTCTTCTCCTGAATGTTCACTCGCGGTAAATCTTCCGTCTACATGAAAAACGTTAATTTCTCCTTTCCATTCCCCTCTTTCCGTCTAATGTTCCGTGAGCGTTTTGTCGGCCACCCGCGTATCCCCGACAGCCGCGGTAACGCGGATAACGTTCGGACGGGACATGGACGTTTGTCAGCAGTAATTCCTGAACTTCCACGTTACCGTCGTTGCGCACACGTTGCATGTTTTGCAGATGCCGCTATTAAAAGGTGCATTAGAAACACGCCAACTTGCACGCACGCGGGCGTTTTACCGGTAGCGGCAAACTTACGTGTTTCGCTCATGTAACCTTGAAATATTTCTCGTTTCTTTTATAGCCCCGCGATATTTATACTACATAAAACGGCGAACGATAAGTGCGTTGCCGTTTCTCTCATTGGAATCAGCGTGAGTCAATCGCGTGTTGAAATTGCGACGCGGGCCGTTCAATTTTCGCGCACGAGAGTGGCAGATTTCCCCGAGTCGAAATTTTCATACCACTTTGAACTTTCTCAAAGATAGTTTATGCCTACTCTATCTTTGTATTTTAGTGGAACAATATCCAATATATAATAAAATAATTTGTTTTTATTGAAAACTAAATATTACTTTTTCTAAATAATACTGTTTGTTTTATCAAACAACAAATTTAGTTCTTATAACCTGAAATTCTTTCAATTTCTCTCAACCAATACACGTTTGGTTTTTTCATTGTTTCCGTTGTTTTTTCCGTGTGTAATTAAAATTAAATGTATTTTGTTATCTTCATTCTTACTTTACCGCAGATTTAAAAGGGGCCTAAAAATCATCGGCGTCGTCGCCCGATGAATATTTAATAAATCGAATTCACGAATGATCATTCCTCGCCAATTACGGGCGGACGTTGAAGGATTTATCGACAAATTACTACAGCAGCAAACGCCGATAAATTAATATTTTCCGCACACGCCGATAAATTAATATGAGAACCGAAATGAGATACAATTATATGCGCTGTGAGTAACGGTGCCGCGTTTGCGTGGCGCTAATTTAGAGAAATATCGCGTAGTTTTCCAGTCCGCCGATGAAAATGATCCCCGCTGATTGCGTAAGACGACGGACGCGTTTAACGGATTTTAACATTTGCGTAATTCACTGCTAGGCGAACACGACGACACCGCGGCCGCCGCCTGGGCGTCGTCGTCGTCGTTTATACTCGATCTCGAGAACAACGTGTCGTGCACGGTCGCGCACTTCTCGATCGCCGAACGTTACACATTTCTATTTTTAAGCGCGTTCGCTACATATTCATTCGCGACATATTTTTCCCCGGTTTCCAACGATAATCATCACACGCCCGTAATCATGCGATTAATAACACTCGGAACACGTTTCGCGAATCGGCGCGCTCGTATTTCTGATTTTCATACGAAAAAAAAAAAATTCAGTAGTAACCGAATTAGTGAACATCTGAAACCTCAGCAGCGTAAGCTTAAAAGCGTAATTTTAATTGCTGCAATAACAGATTCTTTTGTCGCTGTAGCAAATATATTACTGACAAAATGACATTTACAACGGTACGTTTGCTGCTGTAGCAATTAAAATTGCTTACGCTGCTGAAGTTTTGGGTGTACGTACGTTATAACTAATTTGGCCGCTGCGGCTAGTCTTTTTTTTCGCGTACGACCCGACAGACGCATATATCTTAATTTATTATTATTATTTATTAATTTTAACTTTAATTCCTTATTAATCCCGTTGTTATTATTGTTACTATTATTATCTAATAAATTAGTATGAATATTATAAATTTATCTCTATGAGGGCCGAGATCGGAAACATCAAAATCCGAGCGGTTACTCGGCGAATCGGCGAGCGACGTAAAAGTGGAACGCACAGCTATGGTGAATATAAGCAACGGCTTGAATTACTGATTTGTAAATACGGACTTTTATACTCCCTAAAATATACGGTGTAAGCGCGACGCTGGTTCGTTGTACGCCGGTGTGAGCATGTCATCAATTTGCATACAATGCCGTAATTCAGAATGGCACGAGGCACTGAGGTAGAGAGAAAGATGGTGATAGAAGGACGAGGCGCGACGATAAATCCTCACGTGGCATTTAAAAAAAGGATATCCGACAGCTTCCTGGTGCTTCGAGCAACGTGCTGTGCGACGAGCTTTTTACGTCTCGTCGAGACTCTCTCTCTCTCTCTCTCATCACGGACGTAAAAGTCCGACAAAGAGACGGAGAGAAGAAAAAAACACGACGGATCGGAGGATGCTCCGGGAAGTTTTATAAATTCTATTTCCAAGACGCGCGCCACACTCGCTACGAGAGCGAGCGTCTAAAAAAAGAGATCCTTAAAAAGGAAGGTCGCTCGAACTGTCGGAGTGCTAGTTACGTGAAGTGCTTATGACACGAGCGCGGTGTATATCGTAACACGTGGAAAACACTCGAGAAACGGGTGGATTCATCGATGAATTCGGGATACGAATCTGTCCACTGCAAGAGTGCCGACGCGCCGGCAGTTTTCGAATTACAATCGCAAATGAATTCATACTTTCCAAACGGAGTTCTTTACAAGTGCAAATAGCGCGAGGCGTTATTTCTCATTTGAATTCAGCTGGAGGCGAATTTTAACGGACGTTCAGTCAGCGATTATCTTTTAGCTGCGAAGGGTGTGTACACAAAGAAAAAGATCTCCTTGGATTTAGTATACGTGTTTGTTTGACTTGGGTTAATATAAACAATATAATTTAATATCAAATATAATTTTGTTTGAATGAAAATGTCTCCCTAGAGTAAACTATGTTGTTTGACGAAAAAAAAAAACAGTATTATTTAGATGAAATAATACGTCGTTTTCAATGGAAAAAATTTATTTTATCTTATATTAAATATTGTCCCGTTGAAACCAAGATGTTCTGCGCGCGATCGAGCGTTTTTCGGGGAAAAAAATCGACATCGAATCGATCGAGGAATCTATACTCTTGTGACATTTAATTGTTGACATTATCCGTGTTTGATCTCCTGATCGAAATAACGAAGACCTCTCTCGCAATGGCAATTAAATAGCAATCAGCGGGCGGGCCCGAGACGGCAATTTACCTATTAGATACCGGTTTTATCGAAGCTATCAATGTACGCGTCTACGCGATGAAATACTGCGCAATTCCGAAGACGCACGTTTAAACGCCGTCCTGCTTCTTTTTCTCGATGCTTGGTGTCGAAGATAAAGGTCGTAAAACGACATCTAAACACATCATCGGGAGCGTCATAATTGTCGTTGGTGAACGTTACGCTTTACAGGTATGATCACTGCGTATTATCACTCACGATTACACACGACGCTTGTCACCGATCAGAGCGAGCACTCCTACGCAAATGTACGGTACTGCGTACTGTTTTCGCAAACGATCATCGGGAACAATAGTATATAAATATGGTACGAAGAGCAATGAGGAGTTCTCGAAATATCGCTTATCTCGTCAACGAATGTGTATCGTACCTATGATCTTAGAAAAAAATCGTGCGTTCGACTTTGAAGACTGATAACACTAGTCTACACAATTATTATCGACAGCTTGACAGCAACAAGTGGAAAAACCACGAGGTATCGTCACCAGAATCTTTCACATGCACTATTTCGATCCAATAAATCACAATAAAATCAATATGCATTCTCGTCTTGCAACTTGAGCTTTTTACAAAATCAAGCGAAATCGAACTTTTACACTCCAAAATTTTACTATTCCAAAACTAGAAGCATCTTTTTCTTCTCTCTTTTTTAAAGATGCGAATTTCGTGGGAACTGCTTCTGTAACTCTTGGCTACTGTTGAATGAAACGACGGACACGCATGCATCTCCGTCGCCTCATTCAGAGTCTCGTCGTTCATTCATGCCACGGAGACATTGTTCGTACGTGGAAAGGATCAGAATCACTCACCAGCCTTTTGGCGTTAGGGTCTGCTCCTTGATGTAGTAACTCGGTCACGGCGTCAATGTGGCCAGCGGCTGCAGCCAGTATCAAGGGTGTCGTGCCATCCTGAAAAAGAAGAAAAGTCAGCTGAGCGGCCTCGTTATGAAACTTCGCTCCGATGATTCGATTAGCCGCTCGAAACTCTTTCCTCCCGGCGAATGTTACCCATCGTCGAATGTATGCCGTATTTTCTAATCGACTCCTGGCAAATCATTAAGATAATTCTACGTCTGCCTGTGCTCTAACACGTGGATTAATTAATATACACACGATAATACGTTACGTTGTGCGAGCGTCATGCTAATTCGTGCGTAAAAACGAGCGTCTTTGGACGTTATCGCTGTTGAAACTTGATGTTTTGTTTTTTCTTTTCCTTTCAGACATTATTTGGAGAATACGTAGGAAAAAAATTAGTATCAATTCAAGATTCATATTCTTATGTATAAATGAGAATTTATAATCTTATATATAGATAAAACTTGCTCTTATACGTGAAGAAATTTTATATAATTCCATTAAAATAAAGAACGATATTTTCGAACTAAAAATTGAGTCAGTGCAAAGATATTGTTCTTTCTATCCAATATTTTGCTCCTTTCAATTTATAAAAATTATGTTTAAATAACAAGAATATGATACTTTCTAGTGGAACTATACAGAATTTTTTCATGTACATAAATTTTATTTTTATACAGAATTATATATTCTTGCTTATATATGAGAATATAAGTCTTGAATTTCTTGATTAATTTCTTTTATGTATATAATTATTATTGCATGCGATTATATTGAATAAACATGATCCCTAATATGTACATATACATTTTTGTAATCTATATTTCATATAATATATATAAAATCAAAATGCATGTTATGCTATTATTATACGCGAAATTTATATTTTTTGCAAAATTCATATTTTATAGACTTTTACGACCTTTTTACGAGTTCACCTTGAAGGATGGACGGATCGGCGATTACTCTGAGTGACAATCGGGCGGAATCGCGACGGGCTCGATTCGGCCCGGCCGCGGCACGATTCCATATGGATGAGCTCGCGAAAATATGTCGGTAAAACGCGGCTTCCATCGTCGAAGTGGCACGATTAGTGTGTCCGCGCGTGTGATCTAATAAACCACTTTCGAGACGTGGAGAAGAGCAACGTTACTCGCGCTGCTCGTGTATCGCCTCGTCGTTTGCATAATGAGACCGACCGTCAGAAGGGAAAGAAAACCGCCGGCCGTAAATCACGCTACTGTCGTAAAATTGCCAATCCGTCGTTAGACTAATTTCAATCGCGGAAAAGCCGGTCTGCGGTAGTGACATCGTGCGCGTCTTTCTCGGCCGTTCAGGCAAAATCAGACATCATTTCACTTCCGGTCAAAACGGTAGGTTTTTTTAATATTATCATCCTAACGAGGAGGAGGAGAATTTATATAATCGAATCTATTCTATCTCCGTTTACCTTTTTATAATGCAATAAAGGCTTTAAGATATATTTTCCGGTTGGCGGTTAATGACGCGGTTGGCTTCCTGGATTTTATCGCAGGAAATAAAGGAGCGATAATATGAGATATCCACCTTATCCTTGCAGTCGACATGGACGCGTCCGGAATCCAGCAAAACGCGGAGACGTTTGGCATCCCCACGTGCTGCCGCCAGGTGCAGCTCCACGTCCCAAGGCGACTCCTTCTGTAAAAAGGAGATTACCGATTAGATACTAATGAGCTTTTTTACTTCGTTGATTGCGCAAAGTGCCGGTGGTTGAGAGAAACAGCGAGCGATAAGAAGTCGCGTACGTGCATTCCGAGAAGATGCTCTCCATTAAACTTAGGACGAATATAAAATCGTGAAAGGGTCTTAAACTCTATCAGAGAAAGCAATCTCAAAAGTGGAAAAATTTAACACTCAACCAACGAGACGAATAGTTCTTTTTTTTGATTTTGCATATTACAGAAGAAAAACAGAAAAGAAACTCGCAAAGAACTTTGCAGATCAGTATTGCGCAAAACACTTCTTCGTATATTTATAAGAGAAAGTCTATTCGAGCGTGTATCTCCATTTTTAATTAAATAATTCGATAAAAACGTTTGAAAAAATGTGTATCTTTAGTTGATTACTACATGTCAAAGTAGCAACGAATTCAATTTCCGTCAGTTAATTTGACTCGATGACAAATAATTTCGATCCTCTAAATTATAATCATTTATTTTATTTATACAGATTATATATAATTCATTTAAATTAACGCGTTCACTGAATTTTTTTACGACTTTCCACGTTCACGTCACGTGCTTCATACGCGTCCTATATTATCAAAATTAACAGTTTTATTTATAATATATGCATTATAATATTTATAAGACCGCAGAAATCATTATTAGCAAAAAAAATATGACGTTTAGTGTGTGCCATAGAATAAACATATCTACATTAAGAAATTATTGTGTATTTATACAATTTATGTCAAAGAAGTAAGCTTTCAATATTGTTATTTCATATTAAAATATATTTTTAATGAAAATAATATAAATTTTCGAGTAAAATATTTATAATTATAACGACGTATTGCGATGCATTGTGCTAAAACATGTTAAATATAAATAAGACTTATTTTCACAATTATCGTGGAATGTAATTACCTTTATAGTGAAATTTTTTGTTAACATTGTATTAAATTTTTCATCATTATTTTTATACCAAGCCTTGCAAAGTTGACTTATAGAATTGAAATTAAAAAAAAAAATATTTAAAAAGTAATTATCATGCCGCATAGTTCGCTTTTATATTTAAATATAACTATTTAAATATCGAAAATATGAAATAACTTCAAAGGAAAATTTAACGACTTTTAGATTACTTTCGCGCCTCGATTCTCTTCGATCGTCATTCGGCAAATTTTATTTTCGCAACCAGTCCGGTGACGGTACGGATATCGTACCGTCAAAACAACGACGAAACGATCGAAAACGTCATCATACCGAATGATTCAACGCGGAAGTACGAGCCGCTGCCTCGATATAATTAATGTAATATCACTGTACTCGTAAATATACAGGTAACTCGCCGAAACGACGCGGCCACCCGAAACTCGACCGAAATATTTTTAGCGCCTCCATAATCCCGAAGGTATCTTCGCCGCTGTCATCGACCACGGCGCCGATATTTCTTTGGATAAAGGCCGACTTCTGTTCTTTTCCGATCTTTATTTTACGATCTAACGGTGAACTCGACGCGGACATTTTTCAACGCTTCTCCCGCACATCCATACGGCTTTGCGACAACGATCCAAGCGACTTTGACCTTCGTTTTCGATGTTTGTGAAATGACTTCAGTGTGAGTGACACAAATACCTTTCATAAAGCGGGAGAGAGAGAGAGAGAGAAATAAAACATCGCCCGTGGCTTATCGAAAAACTGGAATCGCGCAACAAGTTATATATCTCGAGCGATTTTTGCGCCTTAGTTATTCACGTTTCAGCGGAAATTCTCGCTACGAAATACTCCGATATATATTTAAAAACAGCGTCATCTATTGTATCATATTTTATACGTAACGGTAAGATCACAAAACAGCAATTTTATTCATTTTAATGAATAATCACTCAGTAACGAGTTGGAAAATTTAATCAAGCCTGCTACTAGCGAGCTACTTTTGGCTCAGGTCGAGGCCGGTGATAGATTTCTACTCGGACTGACGGGCGCGCAAACCCGGCCGTTATTCGCCGATTTACCGATTCCGGACGCGCGTCACGGATCGCAGACGTAAAATTGCAGAACGCGCTTACCGTTGGATCGGTACGCTCGATGGCGCGGAAAAACCTTATTGTGGGATTTCACGACGTCCACAGTGTCTCGTCGGCCGGTATTCTCCTGCCGCAAGGAATACACCCGCGGAGGAAGTCGGGGAAGCGATTAAGTGGCGCCTAGTCGCGCAGACGGACGTCTTCGTCTTTTGTTTCTGATCGCACTCGCAGGTGCGCGCCCATTCATCGCGAACAACGCGCTAATCAAAAGACGAGACTCCCGTCGCGCAGCTCGATGTCGTCTCTTTCTTTCTTCCTCCTTCGACACGCGAATCGCGTCTGGTAAGTCGGGTAGATCTTAAATCTAATAACTGGTTTCAGAGACCCTTAGGTGTATTTGTAAAACATCACTTTCTGGGGGTTGGTTGTATATATTAGGGCTAGAGTGTTCTCTCCCGAAGGCTTTGATGTTCGAATTTCGGGCCTCCGAAGATTTGAAGCTTTGGTGTTCATGATTTGAATTTCGAGAATGTTGAAGCTTCGAAGCTACAAAACATCGGAATTGTAAGATCTTTAAACTATGTAATGTCTGGTACATCCATTCACTTATAAAAGTTCATTTATTTCCCGAATAAAATATACGTGGACATTAGTCTATATCCATTCACTTACAAAAGTTCATCTATTCCCAAATAAAATATACATTAGTCTACAACATTCGTAAAATTGTGCTCCTCGGAGCTCCGCTTTACCAAAATTCGAAAGTTCGAATTTCCCTCGAAGCGTCGAAACCTCCAAATTGCCGAAGATTAATAGCTCTATTGTGCACCTTAAAACGTAGCGAGAATTGCAAAAGTGAGCAAATTTACTAAGGCTATGTTCCAAATGTTCACTGCCAGCGCTGAAAATCTATAGTTCATGTTGCGTATAGATTTTCAGCACTATAGCAGTGAAAAATATTGGAACGCAGCCTGGATGTTGAGCAATGAAATTATAAATATTCTAATAAATTCGTTCACTGTAATTCTTACTACGTCTTGAGACACGCAATCGACCTCCTAAATAGATGATCAGCTACTCAGATAGCCAAGCCTGCAGAAGCAGATTTATCTGCTGTAAATTTTGTCGACAGCTTGCTAATAGAAATACAATAGGATCTGTTAACACAGAGTGTGACAACAGCTTGAGATGGTAGAAATCAAGCAGGATCTGCCGTTTCGTCAGAATTTGAATGTATTTAAACGGAATATATTGCAGATACTGCTCGGTTTCTACAGCCAATCTGCTGTAAAATTGCATCCGCAAGCTCTGTTGACAAAACACGAGTTCGATGCGGACACGATTGACTATGGATCCGCCGCGGTATTCTGACCAAATCTGCTACTATATCTTGCTTACTGGGTAGATAATATATTAAAATAAAATTTAATCTGGTTTGATCATTGCTGAAGTAAATATGTATTAAAGCAAAAAAATAGTATACAGTTCGATAACGAATCAAATGACAAAGAAACATATGTGAGCGCTGCGATCGCCAGACGAACTCGCGTCTAGTACGTCAATCAACGTGAGATTTCTCAATCGCGGTAAAATAAATACGCGACGAGAGACAAGCGATCGAGATGAGCGATCGTTTCTTTCTTCCGGAAAGTTCCAGCCGGCCAATCAGAGACTGAACGGGGATAGGAGCGCAATAACTAAATGGCGACGATTACGAAGCGTGCGGTCAGAAAATTACGATCGCACAATAATCCGAGGCTTCTCGCTATCGTCCGATCGTGCGAAAAATTTCATCGATATCGCGATTGGGAATAAACAACTGATAAACGATGTCTTCTCTCTTTCTCTCGAAAAAAGTGATTCGCTCGACATAATAAAAACACTGCAAAAAAGGTACAGTCCGCGTGGAAAATACGCGACGTGCTTGGAAGTGCCGCTGAATACGGCTCAGTTAACAAACGAAAAACGGAGAAGCGACCGTCTCAAGAGAGAGAGAGAGAGGGAGAGAGAATTTCGCTTCCTAAAAATCGCGATGACACGGGGGGCACGCGAGGCGTATCCTCGCGTATTTTCCGCTCTCGTCGGCACTCACCTTCATGGACATGTTGAAAACCGCGGTTGTTGCTACCGTGCACGCAGATCAATCATTCGTCGTCGCTCTTCCCGGCGGTGCGAAGGGACGAGTACATCGCGTATCGTCGCGGTACGCGTGTCCGTTCATTCACTCGATGATTGTCCCCAACGTGTCCCGCGTGCACTCGAGCGCGAATGAACGACGAGAAAGGGAATTCCACCCACCCACCCGACACGGAGCGCGTCCCGCTACTGAACGCGATTTTCTGTCGCAGCCCGTTTTGAAGCGTCGCTCCGCTCACTGAAACACCCGCTCTCTCACGCACGTTACCTCGCCGGCTCGTGCGAAACGTCCGAACGTCATCGCGTCGCGAGTGACGTCGTGTGCGTACTACGAGCGCTCCGATTCAACTGCGCGTCCCTGCGCGTGAAACGCGCCGCAGTGCCGGCCGCGCGGTGGCGGCACCTCTCGGCGGCCATCTTGACGCCCGGCAATTTTGATTTACCGAGCGATACTCTCGTGAAACTTGCGTTTTTGGGTATTCGTACATCACGATTGTTCATTTTGTTATTCGCTATTCGAGAGGATCGTCTTTCGAGAGATGGGTGACGCTGAAAGAGAAATTCGTTGTGTTCGAATAATGGATTGTATGAAATACAGATTCCCGATAATCGCTCATCCGTCGATTTTTCTTATCTTACTTGCAATACGTGATAACACGTAGTAATAAGGTAGTTTCCGAGTGCAATTGTGATCGCAAAACAGGCTGCTTAACGCCATCTAACAGTGTCGTGAGCAAATTCGTTGTACTTGACAAGTTTGAATCTCGGATAAACGAAGTTCGTGCGCATATCAGTTGAGTCTCTTAATTTTTATTAGCTTTATAAATTCCGTTGTAATTATAAATTCTGTCTTTAACGTTTGTGAAGTTGCAATTATTTGCGGGAGTACATAGAGAGAAATGGAAAGAGCACGTGAATGTTGACAAGTAAATATTTTCAAGACACATCGAGAAGGAATGTGCTCTAACACTTTTGCCGCCAGTTAAATAAGAGCATTCGACACTAACAAAATGACATAAGATGTTGTTGGAAGCACTAAGTTCATCTTACTATGCAATCAACACTGTGAAAACAAGTGAAGATTATATAATTATGATCATGTAATCAATATTGCTGTACTTTGCAGCAATGTTGCAGCAACGTTTCGCAACATATATGGAATGTTATAATGTTTCTGTGTACTATCTATGTAATGTTCCTGTAATCTTTCAGTGCTGCATGGGTTACTGTTTTACAGTATCAATGTCGTTCGTTAAGTAAAAATATAAATGCACATCATTTGCTAAATAAAAGTATAAATGTAGCAAAAGTAGAATTAATGTTTTGACGTATTTGTACACTCTTTCTATAAATATAATTAAATAATCGTGAGCTATGGATAATACATATATTAACTAATATACATATATTATTACATACACAAAAATTATTTCTGTGTGTATGTCATATGGAAATTTTACATATTTATTTTTAAATGATTCAAAATGATTATAGTTTTTGCATTGTGACCTGCCGAACATAAATGAGTATTGAGAAATCAGCTTTACTTTTTATATCTGCTACTTTAATTACAAAGTTAACAACAATAATAATTAAATAGGGACAATATAAATTTAGTTTGCATCAAGAAATACTGTTGGTTTGAATAAAATAGCATGCAGTTTTTTGCGTATCACTCCTTAATTACTTAAAAATAACATTTACACTTAAAAATACAATGTTCTTATATTCCAATATCATAAATTAATAATATATATGTTACGCTATATAAATATAATATACACGTTTTTTTGCTTTACTTCGTGATCATATATAACTGTACACATTGCACTGTACATATTTATATGTCACGATAGAAGGAAAAAAATTATATCACGAAACAATTAGTTGGACAATTTGGTACTACTCAGGCTTTGCTTCATTAATATGCCGCAGGAAAAATGTGACCTTAACTTGTTCCACATGCCGGCACAGCTTCATAGCTGAGCTTGTTCGCAATTTCATATGTTGAGTAAGAGACGGAAGATTCAACAGTAGAAATGCGAGACCGTCGATTTCCTAAAAGCGAAAACAAGAAAACGTTATAAACATGACTTTATGAATACGCGCGCGGGCAGCATCCATTTACAATTGTAACACTCTTATATACTCACTTCTTCCTTGACGCGATACGCGAGATCTTTGCAGTCGCTCGTTTTTCTAAGATACCGAAACACATCGTCTACGGACCAGAATAAAGGATTCGATTCAAGTTTTCGCGTCTTCGGTCGCCGTTGCGTTTTCTGCATCCTCACGTATTCGGCGTCTGCCTCGGAGCAATCGGATTCTATGCTCGTGTCCCAATCTCGTTCCCTCTTAAGATTTCCCCTGATCCCGGAATTTTGGCTGAATTTCGTGGAATGTTGCTTAGTATTCAGACTGGGCGGACTGCACGGCACCCTGTCTTTCGGCTTCCTGTCGTTGAACGAACTGCCAGAATCTTCCGAGACATTGCTGGAAGGCGTTTCAGTCTTAAAATCGTCCGATTTGTCGGACTTCTCTAATCCTTTCTGTATCATGATATCTATTTCCGAGAGCGGTTGTCTTCCTTCGTATGTTTCTTCGAGGCTCTCGGAGACATGCTTTGCCAGATCCAACGACATAAACGGCATTTCCTCCTCGTGGTCGTCTTCGTCATGAGCCTCCTTATGTTTGTTCGCCCATCTGCCTCGTCTCCTTTTACGCCTTCTGCCCCAGGGCTTCGGCTTTTGCACCATGATACTCGTGTATCCCTTCGGTTTCCCTCTCTTTCCAGTCCCAACCGAAGCTGCTAAAAACGTGGAAATACCGATCAAAACATTTTATAATGCGTTTATTAACGATAACAGGATAAATACACAACTCGTTATTGCGCGATACCTCCATCGAGAGGTATATATCGTCTATTACTTACTGTACTTTGTCTTGGATGTTTTATAGCATTCATCAGGACATTGGTTTTCCGGGACGTGTAGCGGGCCGAATAAATTTGGACACACCATCAATTTCTTGCATATACTCCGGCAAAAATCCGCCACCATATCCCCGGACGTAACAATGGCGACGTTCGCACGGTAGGTGTTATTCTTGTGCTTCGCCTTCAAGACTTCCAAGTGGTAGCCGGGATCTGGTTTGGAGTCGCATTGAAGTACCTTCAGTATTCTAGCGCTTCTATAGCCAACGGACACAATCATGGACAAGACTTCCCGCATAACCAATACAACTGGTCCGGGTCCTACTGCCTTGGGAAGAGTCGCTAGTTTGCCCTTTGAGATCATCGGGCCTGTGAAGCAACGGTAGTTGAAATATATCTTCGGGCACCAGAGCGAAGATCGTGGCTCGGATATCGGTATATCCAAGATATTGTTCTTCTCCTCTTTTACCGGTGTCTGCAGCTTTTTACACACTTCGACATAATCTCTTGGTGGTTTCAGCGGATAGTGATTCGACTCGCACCATCCAACAGGGAAGATCTTCAAGGAATGCATGTCGACCACATGATCTGGCCGGCAATTTTCGTAATTGTCTAATTTTACCCACAAGAGGTTGTCGACGATCTTAGTGATGTGAGCGGCGCATATCACATCTTCGTGTTCTGGGTCGACAACCTCCAGTCTCATGCCGCATTCGAAGCCTGCTTCAGCAGCACTCTCGCGAGCACTAAACAAGCTTTCGGGTGTTGCGCCAGTATGGAACGTTTCTAAATACTCATTCCAGTCAAAGTTCTCAGTCTTTCCGGTCCAACCTGGCGGTTGAGTAATCCTAAATAAAGAAAACAGTAGATGTATTTTTTTTTGTACAAATATGTATCTCTCTAATAATGTGAACTGTTTTGTGAATTAATAAGGATCAAATATTTGTAGACTGAGATGTTAATAGAGAGAAAACAATATGACAGAAGCTAGGAGAATTGTATATACATATATCTGTTGCTTGTAAAAATATTCTTTTAGTTATTATATGTAACAGCACTCTCTCTTTTGGAACTATGATGACACAAGCTATTTTAATCTTACTTGATATTATGTTTTTCTGCCCATCCAACTGGAAATATATATGGATGTTCTACGGTGCACAGCCACGTATTGTTTTCCGAATTACTGGATACCGGTGCATCTTCGGGTCCGTTCGAGCAACCAGTATACGCATCCATATTCACAAGAAAATATGTATCGTCAAAAACTTTTGATACGGTAGCTGGGCAGATTTTTGTTTGACCTGCCGGACACAAGGCTTCCACTTTCATTCCAACTTGGAAACTATGCTTCGGATGATCGACATTGTTATTAAACAATTCTTCCGGTAGCTCGCAATCCTTTGGTTTGGATTCTAGCAAATCTTTCCATTCTTCATATGTGTGCAAGTCGACTATCGAAGTGGGTGGTTCCAAGAACCATGTAGAATTCGATTTAGATGTAAATCCGTATGAATGTAGACGCTCGGATGTGCAGAATATCCAGAAATTTTTGCGGGAGGAACCCGGCGTATCGTATTGTAACAAAAGACGTCCTCCAATGTTTTCAATAATCTAAAAGAAGAGAAACATGAAAATATTAAATGTCAGATGTTTTTGAGCAATAATAAAATCGAATATATTTTTGTAATAGAATACATAGCAATAAATAATTTGTCCTTTCCATCTTGTATTATGCTGTTTTCATTTTTACATTCTTATATAAAGTATTCTTATGTAAATATGATTTTATATAAAATATTCTTTTACATAAAGTGTTCTTATGTAAATGTGATTTCATGTAAAATGTTGTTTTTCTTTAATCATAAAAATTTTACGCAACATCTATCAAAAATTCATTAATTCTGCAACTGTTCTTACCGTAGCTACCCATAATTTATACGGATGTAAAACATCGCTTATCTCCACCTTCATACCCTGTTGAATTCTGTCCGTCATACTGAGACCGCTCTATAAGAAATGTGAAGTATCGTGTGTTAAATGGTCCTGAATGTAACATCAAATTCTTAGGATAATTTCTGCAACTTACCCCCGTTAACATCTCAGATGGAAGTGCACGTGCTGTTACAAGAAACTCGTGCAGCTTGTCTACGCATTCTGGTGATCTTTCAAGTATAGAGGCAGGTGGCTCTAAATTTTTATTGTTTTTTAAACTCCAGCCAATTTCATGGCCAGCTTCTTTCATAAGATTAAACCAAAACTCTAGTGACCTGTCATCACCACCAAAATAACGCAATCTTAATAAAGGCCCACAGGCCATGACAATGTATGCCACCCAATATGTCTCCTGTTGATTATCATTCTTTGGCACTGGTACCTCTAATGCCATGCCAATTTCAATATTATTCTGCAGTGTCAATTCGACGTGAGGAAACATAATTTGCGGGACTTCCATACTTTCTGTGGCATCAAGATAATCTTGCCAAACGAATCCATATTCTAAAATTGCAAAAATGTTTTGTAACACACAAATAATTATAACCTAATAATAATAATTAGAATCATATTTTGAGATAAAACATGACAAATCACTTAAGTATAAATATAGATATACATCGTATGCATGTGCGCAGGTGATACGTGTGTGTGAGGGCGCGCGCGCCGCATGCAGCGATATGAGTGCGTACACGTACATGTTGCGTGTTCACATGGTGTGTCATGACGCGGGTATGAGTGCATCATGGCGAACGATGTAAAATCGCGATAATCACGTTTCTTTTTTTTTTTCAAAGAATGTTGATTAAGAACTTCCATTCATCGTTTACATCAAAATTACCTTGCATTTGCTAATTATTTATATTATTATATGCGAAGATGAAAATCTTGATGAATAGAAACTTTCTCTGACAAATGACAAAATTATTAATCCGACAAAGGAACTTATCATACGAGATAAGTGATACACAAAACGCCATTTTAGGAATGTCAATGGGGGGGGGGGGGGAAAANCGAAACTATACAAGGTTCCACGAAATCGATTTTATCGTTATGTGTAATCATCATAACAGCGTTTGTTACATGCATGGCAAGGTCGAACAATCTGTTTATCACTTGGAAAGTTCATTCGGAATTGGTTTTAATTAACATGCCTGCATACATATTATGCGCGAACTTGTGTATTCGCATTCTGCATACTCGCTCTTTCGCTAGAAATGCACATTGCATCCGTGCATTAACAGTGTTTGAAATAATTAACATAACAAACGCGAGCGTTAATTTTATGACAACATACATGTATTATTTTTACCTTACATAACGAAAGCCACGGATTTCACATGCCCGAAAGCGCGCAGTGTGTAAAAACAAAAAAAAGATTAAAACGAAGAGTGATTATTAAAAATACTCACCGCCATCCTGTGCTCGATTTTCTTGTGTGCGATTCTCGCACGCTTCCATAATTTCTCTGTCTTAAGTTAATCAACGGAATATGTATCACGTATTTAGTGCATTATCGATGAAGGGGTCCCTACGTTCTGCGAAATAAAGGAGGCAAAGCAAATCGAAACTATTTCTACGATTCCACCTTGAAGTAAATGATCCGGCACGATAGAGGTTGCTTCCGTAATTCGTGAGAACGTACGGAGACGCTCGCGACGCAGTAGGCCAAAAACAGAACTGCTTCACTCTTGCGGTATGATTTGAACGAAAAATAAAGTGTCGTCGGGTTTTGTTGAACGCACGATTTAATTCGCGCGTATATAATGAAGTCGTCGTTGAGAATGAAATGCAATATAACATAACGTTTTATTTTTTTATACACATAATCTATAAACGTACATTCGCATATATATATATAAATATATATATATATACACATATATATATATATATACAATGCAATCTTATGGTGGTTGAAACTCTAGTTACTTTCGCTTACTGTTGAATTTCCAGGGCTGCAATCCTACTCGGCAGTTAGAATAGCATTTAATTGATCAATCGGGATGAAAAAAAATTTTCAAGGATTTCTTTCTCGTGATTGGTTAATTAATGTTTCTCTAACCGTCAAGTAGGATTTTATAGTGCGGTCAGTTAGGATGACTTTGAATTCTGATTATGTTAACTGACGATTAACTGACGTTTAAACGATCAACTGATCAGTTTAGCTAATTGGTCAACTGGATTGGTTTCATTGAATTAATTTTAATGGATGATTAACTCAACAGAATTGACCCATCGTATTGGTCGATTCAGCTATTAGCCAATTCGGTTGGTCAATTCCTTTAAGTTAATCGTCGATTAGATTTTAAATCATGCTGAGAAACAGACATTATTCTTGTTTTTCCAGGTTATCTGTAACTACACTATGTTGTACTTTTTGAACTTAAAGTGAATTCAGAAGAAAGGAGGAAAAAGATATATTACAAGAAAGTGTATTGAAAAAATGCACCTAAAAAGAAAATATATTTATTATTTTTGGAATTTCTCTAAAAGATTCTTCAAAGCCTAAATATTCTCCAGCCTATAGCCAATTATTTCGAGTAGCAACAGTGAACGGTCATAAAGCATGAATATCTAGATATGATGTGTTCATGTTTACACTTTAGGGGAAAATTCAAATATTTACTTAACATTTCAGTCTACGGCCAACTTTCCACAGGAGCGTGTATGACTGAAGTTGGCCACAAAATTAAATTTAATCGCCCATTCCAGATTATAGGTTTATTTGCGACATCCTTCAGTGACAGTGACGTTTCGCATACAATTCGAATTTGTTATCAATACTTATCGATGATATTGTCATCTTCTTTGTTCCGTATTGTATGCTGCATGTTGCGTACTATTGTAATCAAGATCGATAATGTGATGGTCAAGACCTGATTCGATAGCAATGTCAAAATTGAACGGATTGCTGTTTTATTCCTTGTCAACTCTCATTGCTTCAGCCGTACGTATTGGGCAGTGTTATGTTTATTCTTTCTAAAGTGTATGTTTTTATTTTTCACTTATGTGCCTATGCATTTTAATAGAAATTGAAACTTCATCGCAGAAAATAGTGTGTCATGCTAAGATTTAATAAGCTATGTGTCTTGTTCCTTTTTTAATGAAATGTCAAGTGGACTTGAATATTTGACAGATTGTTCATTTGATAAGATTATAAATTGCGTATTGTTTTATTGCAGACTTTAACTGTAACTCTCTCAATTTCCGATTGTATAGTACATGATCGTGATTTAGGTTTTGTATACAACTTGACAAATTTATCATCAAGCAATGATGATATCATTATCGAGTATCCTACTGAAACAATACGTATGCAATTATGTTCTCCATTGAAGAAAAAATGCAATAATCAGGATGGATATGCGATATGTTTAATACAAAACAAGACTGAAAAGGGAATAGGTAATAATAATACAGCTGAAATTTTGTCAATTATATATTACTAAAGTGAACCTAAAATAAGCTCATTTTATTCATATAAACAGGAAGGTTTCCTCCGCAAGTAAATAATGATACCGGAATAATTAAATTTAATTATGCTGGTGATGTTTGCTTATCTTCAACTAACTATACAGTAGATATTGTCATGAAGTGTGATTATGATGCAAAAGACAACTCGGGTCCTGAATTATTTCCACATGTAAGTATAGTCTTTCTTTTATATACACAATATAGTGAGTATTAATAATTACACGCAACAAAAATTTTACAGAGAAATGGAGAGTGTAAATTATTCATGGTATGGAAGACTGCTTACGCATGTGGGCCTAGAACTCAAACGAATTGTACAGTTGTCTATAATAACCAGCATTATGATTTAAGCTCTTTAACCAGGTATTCGGACAATTATGTAATTCATGCAGGAAATGATACATCGCGCAAGATAGTATTAAATGTTTGTCATTCCGTAATACGTCAGCGTGGTTCTATATGTCCGGCTAAGACGGGAGCCTGCTTGGACGATCCTAAAAAACCTAACAGGTATATACGCCTACAACTGTTATATTATTTGGTCTGCTTGCTTATATCTTCCTCGTTATATTCGTATATATTTTGTGTTGTTTTAGATATTTGAGTTTAGGTGAAGTACAAAATCCTCTTTTCTATGTAAACGGATCTTTGCGCATTGAGTATCAGGATGGTGGAGTATGCAGCGTCCCGAATATCGCAACGCCACACATCAGAACAACCATCACATTTACTTGTCATCTGTCATCGTCCACTACGGTAAAACATCAAATATTATTTTATATATTATATATTATTATATAGTAAATGTTAATTTCATATGTATGCACACACAAGTGAAGTACATTTATAATAAAAAAAGTAATATTGTTAACAGAAAAGTATTCCGGAATATATCGGAGGACAAGAACAATGTCATTACCAATTAATATGGTATACTGCTGCAGCATGCAGTGTCGAGAATTTACGAGACTTTAGTGCGAAAACAGCAGGCAAATGTGTTGTTACAAATCCTCTTACAAATTTCGTGTAAGAACAAGTTGATTTTTTGACATTGCGCGGCTCAATGCTTGCAGATAATGGATTTATAAATTTGATCGCATACCTTGTAATGTGCAGATATAACTTGCAATCGTTGATGAACAAAGACTTCACTGTTAGTTCGAGCGATATAGAGTACAAGTTCAGAATATGTGAGTCGCTTACGGATAATACATGCAAGGCTGGGACAGGTATGCTGTACTATCTCGGTGACAGAACTATATCATGTACATCACAACTGTTTGTGATTCAAATTCCATCTGTTACAATCTTTTTGTGTAGGAGCATGCGATTCCAAACATGGTGCGTCATTGGGCCAGGCCAACGCTAATCTGATATGGCAACAAGGTGGTCCTTATTTAAAATATACCAATGGAAAAGCATGTAAGCAAACTGGAATGCATCACTACACGGTTATCGGATTCTTCTGCGGGTCAGAAGGATCGACCAATGCACCGCTTCTCGTGGAGGATCACCCCTGCCAAACCATTATACATTGGAATACGGATCTAGTTTGTGAAAAAAGAGCAAGTATTTAAAGGACATTTGTTTGTTTTACTTGGTGTCAACGTTCATGTCGATTAAATAACGTAGCATGCATGTTCGTGTGCATTTTTTTTTTGACATAAAGAATTTTTTCGTCTAGATAAAGTGCGCTACCGATAACGACGATGAGATTAACTTGACACCTCTGATACAATCTACAAAAAATTATATTGTGAAAGTGAATGATACAGAGTTTCATATAAATATATGTCGACCACTGGTCCCTTCTCGAGGTCTCACATGCACACACGGCAGCGCAGCTTGCAAAGTTTCAGTAACTGCACAGGGTGAATACACCAATGAAACTGTGAGTACAAGTATATGTCGGAATGATTGTGTCGGCTTTGCGGTTAAGATATAACAAACTAAATATCGACAGTATTGCACGCTTATAAATCAAGAAAGTCATAATCGATAATTTAATAGAGTTTAGGATTTCCCGAGAACAGTCCTACATTAAATAAAGATCTACGAACAGTATTGCGTTATCTCGGTGGATCACAATGCCCAGATGATCCAGCGAGATCGATATCTTCGAATTTCACATTTATTTGTGACAATAACAATCAGGTAATGATGTGCGTGCTGTACATGCATTCGATTCACTGATTTGTCATATCTTAAGTGATCTTACGAAATTTTCCATTTTTCCCCAGGGACTTCCGGTATATAAACGCTTTGTTGATTGTACTTATGTGTTTGAATGGAACACCAGTATAGCATGTGGAGCAGTGATGGGAGCTTGGACGCCACCTTGTGCCATAAAGGATGGTTTTCTTTCACATGAATATGATCTCTCTTTGTTGCACAAGGACCAACCGATACATTACGTGAGTTTCACATCCTATGAAAAAATTAAAAATACTTTCGAGATATATGTAATAAAAATAGTAAACTGTTGTACACTGTGTGTTATAATAATGTAGATTTATTTTCTTACGACGTAAACGTAATAGAAAGTCGCATCATCATAGTAATATTAATAACAGCTATCCGTATATTCTCTCTATATCAGTTGTTAATCTCTTTAATAATTCTCTCAATTCTGTCAACTCGTAATTCGCAATAATTACATCATACTTATTTTTACAATTGCAGGTGAAAAGCAAACAAGGTAAAGAGTATGGTATAAGCATTTGCGGTGGAGAGAAGTATTGCAATGGTTCTGCTGTGTGTCACGAAAAGAATGGTTACGGATCGCTAGGAAGTGTGATTTTTGATTACAGCCGAGACGACATTAAGCTTAAATACATAAATGGCAGTAAATGCAACGATAGTAAGTAAAATCGCACATTACGTTTCATTGATATATTTATAATTCATCCGCAACTGCATATCTTTAAGTTAAATCCTTCTTCCGTGACAGACCCCTACACGTCCGAGGTCAGATTTATATGCAACGAATCTATAGGCATTGGTACACCAAAACTGCTATTGGTAAGTGAAACTTATTTGAAATCTCACGATGCACATAACAGTATTTCAGTAACCAAGAAGACGTGTTTGTCCAAGTTTCTTTTTGCGCAGTTCAGATTCAATCTTATTCCTAGCTCTTTAAAATGTCGAAGTAGAACATTACATGACTCGGGTTTGCATTTTTCAATGCCCGATACTTATGCCAATAGTCCTCATCTGTAAGCCTGCATGCATACGCATGAGCGGGCGCACGATGTATCATATATTTCTGTATCTGCATACACAGTATACAACTATATTCTCGTCTTAAAACTGAACCGTTTAGTAGGCTTGACGATCGAAAATTACAACATAAAGGAATGAAGAGACCATTCGACCAGTCACTTGTAGATAGAGAAGCGAAAGCGATAACAGTATCGCAGTGATATGCGTCCGCATTTATTTCACTAAATTCTTGGTGGCTAATACGCCTTAATTAGTTTCGCTCTGCCATCTGCACTTGACCCGATAGGTCTCTTTCTATGTTTTTATTTTAGAATGTTCACACTAAGGTATTAACGTAATATATGCTTGCAATACCGAGCATTGCACGAGTCTTCATGCCTTTCTCACGTGTAAATGTAAAACCATAAAAAAAGTTATAAACCGGTCTAAAAACTCGTACGTAAAGAAAACAGAAAGTGAGAACAGAAAACGTAAAGAAGCCCAAAGTGCTTCCTATTAGTATGTGTTAATGTGCAGCGTGGGAAATTATCTTTTTAAAAGTAAATTACATAAAAAAAATTACGTAAAATACATAAATTAATTGAGTTTGTCAGGTACTTCGGTCTTATTAATTTAAATTGTACAGGTTTTGTCTCTTTCATTACGTCAACGTTTTAATGATACATCTCTTTGGCTAGTTTGAAATCGAGGTTCTTTGAATAAAAATGTTGAGATGCTTGAGAATATTTAGTGGCTTCAAAATGATAGACGATACTGAAATAAGAAGTTCGTGAACTGAATTTCACATAAGTAAACAGATGATAAACGCCTAAGTGTTGATGGAGACGAGAAACAAGACTACCTGTATAGATATTACTTCTTCACTAACAATATTACGCTGTGTACATCAGCAAGTATTGTGACTGAATAAGGTGCATGACGATACGATCAAATATACCTCACTGAGTATTTTTTCCGCTTATACTATTAAAATATATATGAAATTCTCTTGCAATATTACATAAAAAAAATAATATATTAAAAATAAATGACATGCTTATAAAATAAAAATTATGTAATAGTACGTGATGTTTTATACGCGCGATGAAAAATACCAATTTATAACAGCATCATTAAGTTACGAATTATAATATTTGAAACGAACTTACTCTCCTAAAGATAGCTTAACTTCCTAGAAATTGATAAAAAAAACGATTACTTAACTAATTCGGTAGACAGATGTTCGTCTCTTCTTAATATGAGCCGTCAATCGTACTTTACTTCCACGTACTCATTCATATTTCCTCATTTTTCTCGTATCGAATTAGTATTCTTAAATATTTGTGCAACTTTAAGATTCTAAATTAAGATCAAATTTGATAAAGAAGAGAAGATGCATCAAAACGCTTCTCAGTCGTAGCGCGTTCACATAGTAAACATACTCATTGCCTCACTGTTTTTTACGGGTTACTTTAAAACTTCACCAAAGTTTGAACAATCATTATATACAAGATGTCTGTCACCAAAAGAGACATCCGTCATATACCTATAGTTTAGGTCGATGTGAACAAAAGAAGTCATCTACCATTTTGCAAGTAACCGCGCAAATTTTTTAATTGTATGTCCCACTTGGCGACAGACACTCTGTACACATCATAATTTTGATAGGTATCTGCCGACTAATTTAGTAGCTCCTCATTGGCCACACTATCAAGTCGTTAGATGCGATTAGTTAGTTCAAATGCGCTTCATGTATAAACATACGAGACCGTAGTTTCCGTCATCGGTGTGACCCACATGGTAGACATGGTAGACCCTCATGTTAGATTGCCTCTGCAGACAACCATCGGTCACTATTCTCCGTACGGACACATCACAGACACTTCGCGCTAACAAACAGTAGTACACTGTGGATTATCGAGGGCGGCGATTTTTAGCTCTCGCGTGAGCAATCGTTTCGGTTCAAATATGACCGCGATATCACCGTTCGCTTTGGGCGATTCGAGCGGATACCCGAGGTCCGTGGACGGCAGTTCCCTCTCGTCGCATATGAACGTCTTAAGCGTGTCGGCCGGCGGCGTCGTGTTCGCCAACGGTCCCACCGGGTAAATCAACTCCTTCTTGTCTCCCACCACCTGGATACACAGCTGATGATTCTCAAAGATTTTCCGGCCGGCCGCGCTCATGGACTTGGATGGATGCGGGAGCGCGTATCTCAGTTTGTCCCAGAACCAGGGGTCGCCCCACTTCACGTAGGTGTTCATGCTAATGTACGCCTTCAATTCTGGATCCATGTCGTCGGTGGGGCCGATGTCGCCGTATAGGATCAGTATCACTCTCGCTCGACCCTCGCTCAGCGCCTGGCTGTGGGCGGCACGGAACTCCATTCTTCCCCAAACGCTCTCCAAGAAGTTGGGCGACAACACCACTATCGTCCGTCTCGAGTCCTCGACGGACTTGGCGATTTGCGCCGGTATCCACTCACCCGCTAACCAGTCTCGATAATGCAAGCACAGTTTGAACGGCTTCGGGCCGCTCTCCAGCTTGGTCACCAGCTCCTCCTCCACGAATTGATGGTCTTTGTGCGAATAGCTGATGAACGCGTCGTACAACTTCTCCTTGTCCAGCTCCTCCTCCGTCACGAACCACAAGCACCATTGTCGCGCGAACAGCCACACCTTGATGTTCCTCTGGTACCTGTAATAGAATCCGAAAACACCGACGAGTATCCCTATAAACGCGATCACGACACTGATCCCGATGAATAGCTCTGTCTCGCTGGGGCAGAGGTCGTTCATCGTCATCCGCGATATCGAGTAGTTCTTGCCGCGACATATCACCCCTGGCAAATTGAGAATCTTCACATATTCGGTCTGCACGAAATCCAGGAAGTCTGTAGCCTCGCAGTCGCATTCCCACGGGTTCCCGTGTAACGTCAACCTGGTCAGATTCGTGGAGTTCCTCAGAAAGTCCAACACGTCTCGAGATATTCTCGATATGTTGTTGTTGTGCAGTTCCAAGACCTGAAACAGAAACTCGAGCTTAGCGTGCGTTCATCCAAATCGTAGTGCTTATTGAGCTGCTCTTTCTGATGAACGCCATTTTGTTTCAATCTTTGTCTTTACATTTTGTCATTTACTTCATCCTCGACTCTCTCTCTCTCTCTCTACGGACGAAATAATACCAACACAGATTTACGCACCTGTACTACATTGGGCAATCCGTCTCGGAAGATCTCGGAGATATTGTTGTGAGATAAATCGAGTAATCTCGCCGACTGAAGATTCAACTCCGCCAAATTTGGCATTTTCTTGATCATGTTGCCGGAGAAATCCAAGCCGAGCTTGTACTTGTCACCGGGATCCTTCACGTCGCTCGGCACATCAGTCAAGTTCTTGCTGGAACAATCGATCCTGAGCGCTTTGTCCTCAGGCCTTAAGATACAGATGCACTCTTCGGGACACGAGATGTTGAAATGATTCGCGTCATTTATAATGCATTGGAGTGTCTTCGAACGCAAATCCATAACCTTCATGTTCTCTACCCATTTTGGGCTGCGACAGCTCAAGTCTCCCGGGAATATGTGGAAATAATTTTGCACGTATGGGTGCATCCTGCCCTCGTTGTAACGTAGAAAACTATACATGAGGCAGTCGCATATCACTGGATTGTTTTGCACCGATATTATCACGTCACGAGGCCATGTTTGAGAGCTCGCGATCGACATGACTTCATTTTCGTTTATGAAGATACGCTCTATCTTATTATAGGTCAAATCGACTTTAAGCTTTCTCGACAGAAACTGTAAGTCGTTATTCTGGAACAAGAAAACAAGACCACAGTTGGACGTTATTGTCTATCACACTCATCGTGTATGGCGTTTTTTTTTTTCGAATACTCACGCTTAAAATAGATATATTGTTATATTTGAGGTCCAATATTCGAAGTTTCATCATGACGAATATCCAGTCGTTGAATATCATCGAGATGCTATTATTAGCTACATGCAATTCTTCCAATTGTAGGCAATTCTGAAAAGGCGAATACAGTGCGTAGATATCTGAATAGTTAGACAGAGGAGATCGTAACGTTAGACGATTGTTAGAGAATCTGGCGATTCTTAAGCTCGACATTGGATTTAAACTTCTATGTTCAATAGTTGTTAGGTGATTATTTTCCATGTTCAACTCTCTCAATTTGTGCAGTCCGCTGAACATGTTCCTAGAACATCGGACAAAAATATTAAGGGTATACGAGATGTTCACTATCGTGCGTTAATATACATTAAGAGGCATTGAAAATGCCTCACCCAGAAGGACGTATCGAATTAGGCTGAAACTTGGTAAACAAAGAGACAGAAAATCCAAGATCAGATAATTCCAGTTCACTGGCAAGACAACCATGGGTCATAGAAGATTCAGGATGGCCCAAAATAGTGCAGGTGATCATGTAATACTGAGAGCAGAAGGAATGTGTCCTGTAATTTTGGGCCCGATCGGATAGGTCTTTCTAGGTAGGGAATTTTCAACGCTCTTTAGTGTAACATATAACGATATGGAAAAAGGAACGTACTTCGAGATGGAGGTTAATAGGTTTTTCGACAGGTCCAATTTCACCAGTTGATTGGTGTTGACGAAAATGTTGTCAGGTAATCCTTCGAGTTCATTCATATCCAGTTCCAATGACAACAACAGTTTCGCGTCCCGGAATATGGATTGGGGTAAAGTTTTCAGGCGGTTTCGCGTCAAACTGATATTAGTCAGCGAAAACGAGCCCAGGAACAGATCTTCCGGTAACGTTACGAATCCATTCCAGTTTAGCCTCAACACTTTCAGTTCTGTCAGATTACTGAAAAATTCTCTCGGTAAAGTCGGCATATCAACCCTGTTGTTGTTAAGAGTGACATTGTCCAGTTTCGTGTTATTTCGCAGCAGATCTTTCGGCAGCTTCTCGAAATAGTTGCGAGATAAGTTAATAACTTCCAGGTTCTCCAGTTTTGCGAAAATATCCTCCGGTAAGGTGACTATGTTGTTCGTGTTGATGTCGAGGCTCTGGAGAGCTACGAGCTGGTCGAAAATCCCCGATGGAAAGTCGGTTAAATTGTTTTTCCACAGATTGAGCAGTCTCAGTTTCCTGAGATTATCAAATATGCCCAGTTCTATCGATTGCAAGTTGTTGCTGCTCAATTCGAGTCGTTCTAGGTTGGGAGTGTAATTGAAGAATCCGCACGGTAGATTTATATCGTTCTCCATCAGGTTGAGCGCAATCAGATTAGGTAGATCGATCAATAGTTCCCTGTCCAAGTCGGATATCATATTGTTCGACAAAACCAGCTGTTTTAAGTTGTTGAAGCCATCCAGATGATGTTTCGTTAGCTCGGAGCTCAAATTCTTGAACGATCGAAAAACCAGCTTGTTCACGTCAATAACCCCCAACATGTGCGTGATATCGCCCAGACTGGTGGTGTTAGGTGGTAAGTCGCACGTGTGAAACCACATCGTCTCCACTTGGGTCCTCTCTAAAGATGCCATGTTCACGTGAAAATCCGACCACTTCGGCGAATTGGTGCATTCTACCTGTAGATGTGCCAAAAAAATACCCGTCGATGAAAACCTCTCGAGCCGACCTCTTTTATAGCTTAAAATTGATAAGAAATACACTAAATTTGCAATTAATCTCTATTTATACCTAGATATTACGTTTATTTCGCGTCTAATTCCCGGATAGGTGTGAAAAAATCTCACTATTAAAATCATCCGATATCAACCGTATACACAGAAAAGTAAATATTACTTATTTTAAGTATTTCGTATGTTTATATATCTATAAATATATCATAAGCTCATCATAAGCATTAAATTCATTAAAAATATATTCTAAATTCTAATAAGTTTAGGATTTCAGTCAAGAATATTAAATTAAAACAAACCTCGATTTGTATTTACTCAGATTAACCGAATTTAACTTTTCTTTGATAAAGTTTATAATATATTTAAGAAAAGTGAATAAATCCTTTTTTGGCGTTTTTACCCGACGATACCTGACGATAAAATGACTCCAATGGGAAACGTACCCGTACAGAACGACCCGGATAAATTTGTACGCCGAAGGCAGAGTTATTCTGCAATCTGCAGGATATCCTGTAACTGTCGCCGATGTCCGGGTGACAGAAGCATTCGTGAACCTCGCTGCAATCGAAGGCGAGCACGCTAGCCCTGGCGACGATCAGGATTACGATGCACCGGATCAGACCATGGTCGATCATTTTCCGAGATGCCACGACTTCCATAGTCCGTGCGAAGTACCTTGGAAAAATAGCGAAGGCAGATTTACTGCATTATTATCACCCGTCGCAGTACGCTTTCAATTTTGTCTTAACTGCGAGCGTTTAAGCGTGAATATCATAAGCACTGTGGCTTAGATAAACACTTCCGTTCTCTTCGAGATAAACTCGCTAATAATATTTGGCTTCGACGTATTACGTAGTAGTTGTGCGCATCGGGCGGAATGAAACGTGATACACATCCAAACGCATTTTCTCCTTCGCATTGAAGCGAAAGAAGGAATATCTTGGTAGCGACCGATGGCTTTAAGTGGCCAATTGCTGAGACAGCTGTACGTGGAAATTAGCCAAGCGCTAGATCACCACAGACTAGATCTTATGATTCTTGGTATGGCCGTGCTTAATGTATGTTCATTCTCTCAACGAGAGAGGAGTCTTCCCTCGACTTTATGACATTATCTTATTGTTTATCGTGCAGGGCGGGGCAGTGTTTATCCATCATGTTCATCAGTTACCCTAATATAAAAGAGCCCCACCTACTAGTTTTATAATAAGGGTCGTGTCGTAATTATAATAGCGTTTCTCTCTTTTTCTAACGAGATAGCAAATATTTATTTTTTCTATATTCTGATAATGAAATTATATGCCGATAGAAACTAAGAATCGTTAAGCATTATTAGATTAGAACAACATTAATAATAATAAACAATATATATTAGATTGAAGGTTTTATTGAAAGTTATTTTATGTGCTATGATACGTCAACTATCGTAAAATACAATTATAGTTTTCTCGGATATCGTTTACTGTGGAAGAACGACATTTTATTTTTCAAAAAGATAAATTTTACAACGCGTAAATCTTTCTTTATTTCGTAGTATTTCTCTTATCCTCGGCACGTATATCCTCCGTCTATGTTTAAAGACATGAGCCTTATGAGTCGTGTAATGTTGCATAAATCTACGTTCATCAAATTTACACAGATTATCGTAATTGTTATGCGGACATATATTCGCAGAATCGTTTTAGAAAGAGGAAAATGGCTATCGATTTTTCCGATGCGTTAACTTGAATCTAGGCCTCTGGGAAAATTAACACCATCTTAAACGAGTATTTACTCAAACCAAAAAAATTCCCTGAGAATTTCCTGATTTTCCAGGTAATTTGTTAAAAATTATATTCCAGGTCAGTTAGAAGTATTTCTAAATGTATCTTGCAAATAAATGTATATTTATTGTGCAAAGTCCTTAATATTTTCCATTCATAAAAGTTTTTAAATCATAAAATTAAAAGTCACTCGAGTTTCAATGATTAAATTTAAAAAATGTTCGTAGAAACTGTAAAGACTCTAGAAAATAAATCTTTTATTAGATTGGTGCAAATAACGAAATCGTTGTCTTCAATACTAAATACCGGATTAGTCATAAAATCGATGTTTTCTAAACATCAGAGCAATATAAATCAACAAATTTCGAATCGGATTTTTATCTTCTCTTTTGAAATTGACTTCTTAAACTGGACAATCGAGGTGCATTAATCGTGAAAAACCACGATGAGACAAGTTTTGTGGATCAAACGAACTTTGAACCGAGGATAATTATCAAACAAAGTACTAGCGATTACGATGCATGTAATGATATAGATGGACACGGTATTATATCGTGCTACCGATTAACAATCGCATCGACAATCGTATCTGAAGTGGCTGCACAAAAATAGCTCCGCGCACTGAAGCGATACATTATCAAAACTGCCCTCTGTTATCTCCCATTCAAAAACCATTAATTACATGAAATTTCCACGAATTTTTCTTCATCTGTCATGTTTGTTTCGTATTTTTGTGTCGCATAAACGGATGCATAAAGACGGAAATTACAGGTTGGTTGAAAATGTCGATACGCATATGTACGTACAAATGATCTAATTCGCATACTGCCGCAGATAATATGATAATGAAGGAGGAATATTATCGTCGAGAACGCAATATAATTGGTTATATCAGCGTGACACTTTTTTTCCATACTCTTACGTTAACAATGTAAAAGAAACGGCACATCTCAATTTTTTCATTAAGGTAGTAGGTTGGTCCGTAACAATACTATTAAAAAGGTAATGGTTAATACGAAGAAACTCAACAAATCTATGCTAAATATTTATAAACATTATTTATCATGATTTTAATAGGAATAGAACAGATTTTCTTGTTTTTCATTAGAACCGTAAGAGTGGTTTAGTTGTTAGAATTAAAAACGTGATATCGGAAACCATTTTCGTATTTGTGATACGTATAAATAATATTAACTTTGATTTCAATTATCTCTTCAGCATGGTGGATCTTTTCTTAATTTTACACATGTGTAGATCGTATTTCGATTAATGTGCTGTTAAAATGTGAAAAGATTCCTAAGAAAATCAATTTACGTGCGCGGATCAACTATCTTAATGCAATATTAAGGTAGCGCACGCAAAGTTTGTCGTACTTGCTGAATAAAGTTGCAAGCAGACGCACACGGTTTTAAAATAGCTTTCATCAATTGGCATAATCACCATGCGACTAGAACGCATTCTTTTGTCATGGAAAAAGATATTGCATGATAACACATGATTTTTGTATGTGACATTTCCCAACTTCCTCTCCACCCCCCCCCCCCCNTAAACGAACCTTTAATCTAATACAGAACATCTAATCAGCGACGTGATCTTCCTGTATAATTTCGCTCTAATAGAGCGCCAGCCAAGCGAGATTACTCAAAGTATGGTAACGTATGGTTAACGACAAGAAGGTTGCGACTAAGGTTTCTTTTTCATAGGTTTTCTTTTGCAACGCATCTTGTGTCCAATAGGGAAATTTGTTTCTCAGTAATTCTTAGGAGATGCGTTTGGAAATGAAATGCGTTGCGACCTCTTTCGTCGCTGTGATCATACGTAGCACATGTCTCGCTCGAATTAAATCGACATGAGAGAAGAATCTGTCAGAGTTTGCCGATCCAAAGTTCACTAAAACACGACGCGACCTATTACTGCGTCTCACTTTGGTATAATTGTACACGTTGCGAGTTGTACAACGTTTCTCTCTCGCTTTCAAGTTCACGCTGGCGTTATATAAATACTTGTCCGAGATATCGGCGGCCATGTATGAACGTGGTAGGATCGCAAGTTGTATCCGGGTACACCCCGGGAGCCCGACAATTAGCCTGGTCCTTTCTCAGCCGACCTCGCAAGATTCCCTTTTCTCTTTCTCTCTCTCTCTCTCGCCCGCCGAGTTTCAGACAGCATAGATCTCTCCAAAGATACGGTATATCGTTTATTAATCGGTTCTTTATCGACAAATATCTAGATGCTAGGCGGAAGGCCGTGTCATGTGACGTATAGACGAATCCGTTACGTCACGCGTTCGGTCGATTTTCCGCGAAACCGCAGCACGCGAGCAGCAGTCGCGGCGATGTTTCTACATAGTTTCTACGCCGAGTGTGCTCGAACAGGCCGCTTCGTCGACGATGACACATCCTGGCCCGCCCGCCGATCCTGGACGCGCGTGCGCACGGGCTTCAGGTTGTTTGCGTCATACAAAAACAGGTTTTGGATCCACTTGTGGGTCCGTTCGCGCGTTCAGAGATATTTGTTTTTACGGTGATAAGGGACCGTGCTTTGTGCAGCGGCGAACAGTGCAGTATCGATCTCTTTCTCTCGATCCGAGGTCACCCGTCGGGGTGTATACGGAAAGGAGACGTTAGACGCTAAATATGCGCCCTGCGGGCCAACAGACTCGTGATCTCGTGTATTGGACGATGACATCGGTATCCAAACGGTGCCTGGAGAAAGGTTCCTGGAAGTGACGTCCGTGCTCGTTTACTTACCAGTCACGAACTCAGCGGAACGCTACGTAGCGCCACCATTGGTATTTAATCTGTCGCGTTATCCTCCTCTTTTTTTCGTTTGGAAGGAGCACCGATGGTGGTACCACTCCGAATGGTACACGCACACACTGGTGTGTTGATCCTCTAAGCACTCCAACACATCCAGCAGAGGAGACCTTCTCGCGTCCTTCGATCTTCGCACTCTCCGAACCTGGTCGTTCTCACTGCTCGAAGTGCGTGCATTCGTCTAACCTTGAGCAACAGCAACTTCGCGGGAAAACGTTCGCTAAGACTGACGGTCGGTCCGTCGATCGGGGGGCTGTCAACTGACACTCGCGCGACCGAGCTATCCGACGCGGACTGACATCAACTGCCGCGAATAACGCTAACTGAATGTCTCTCTCTTCCCCTCCTCCCTCCTTTCCGCGCTGTCCCCTACCTTTTTTTGTGCGCTATCAGCCTCCGTTCAGAACGGAGAAAAGATGGCAATGTCGTCTGTGTGCGCAAATGCATGTACACGATGACGAACTTCGCGGCAACACGGTTATACCGTTATCTTGTGTGTAGTGGCAATAACAAAAGTGGATGCTCGAGCATCGAGCTTATAATGATAGTAGTATTTTTTTTCTTACTTTCTCTACTTACATGTATATGTTGAGGTCACTGGTCAAAAAGTTAACAGTTCAAAGTTAACATCAAAAAGTTAAACAGTTATTACTATTCTTATTATTATTATTCCACACTAGCCGATCACGGATCGCTCCTCAGTCCTATTTGCGACTGAACGAATAGTCCTAATCGAGAGCATCTAATGATGACTGATGTATAAAGTAACTCGCTCGTTGTACATTGAAACTGTAAACTCCGCACCCGAGCGGAACAATGTAACAAGATTCGCTCCGTTGTAACTTCAAACCTCACGTAAATCTCTGTGAGATAGTGCGATGCGTGTGTGCATACGTATCTTCGCGCTCTGTACCAAATGATAAGACTAAAAGAGACCTATACGTCACCCGAACGTCATCTCTGTGATAAGAGCAGAAACGGTGCACTACGTAAAGAAACGCGATTCATATTTTAACGGCGACACATCCTAATCTTACATAATCCTGATCGTTTTTGTCACTGAATACAAAAATCCAATGAAAACTCCAATAAAAACTCTGTAGCGTGTGTAACTTTTTTGTCACATTGAAATATTTATCAGGAGATGTTAGTTTTAATAGAAATATCTGCTCTATTTTTCTCCGATCACTTGTACATCGCGAGATGGGTTTCGAGTTTTTCTTCTCATATCACTTTTGCACCTCGAGATGAACTTAGACCGGGATCTGTCGCAACATACTACACAAAAATGATGTGCCTATTGAGTATCAGACGTGAAAAACAGTGTCAACAAGAAGGCAATTGTTGGTTTTATCAATGTTACGAAATCTTGTTGACCAGTGTAATTAACGGAGAGTGGAATGTCACAGTCGCTGCTGAACATAAATCTTTGCAATGCTTATATCTGATCGTTCATCGTTTTAGCTTCTCTTGTGAATTCTCTTTTCTCATTTGTTTCCTCCAATATTTCAAGATTCAGCCTCAATGCAAAGTTCGAATTCAATGTCCGGCTTTATCTCACGAACGAAATGGTTGACCTATGTGCATACATGATATGGTTATTATATGTCATAGGAAAGAATAAAACGACATAATTTAACATTTAAAAAGAGTTGATTTAACGTTTAAATGTTAGATCAATCAAAATAAAAAAAAAGAAATATGGCATGTGTAGGTTAAACAATCGAATACCTTCGGCTAAATACAACTGGTTCCATTCTGGTTTCTCCTCAACGGCGTCTGTGGGTTTGGGTTTTTCCGTCATATTGGAATTTCCGCCGGAGGCTGACGATTCAAACCGTTGACCCGTATCTAGCAGCTAGATTCGGAGTAATATTACACGCAAGATTTATAATCGCTTCATAAACCGCATAAATATTCCTACGTGCCGCAAAACAACTGTATCTTTAGTGGTAAATTATATTTCTTGGAAGCTGCTATTACGATATTGGCTAGCACATCAAGCTCGACAGGTTTGCATCGGCTATATCGGACGGGACTTTTTTATATACCTTAATTTTCTACGGCTGATTTTGCCTCTTTAAAGGTCACGGACGACCTCTATACTCAAAAAATCTATGCGATTACATGTAGCACAGACGACGGTTTCAGGAGAAGCGATTAAATTCTTTTGTCGTCTCATTTCTCTTACTGTACAATGCATTTTTAACAATATCAATTGAATCGTACATGTAATGTATTTCCGGATTTAAATATCGTCTAAAACGTCGGATTAAACAAGGCCATTATTTATTTTCATCGGTGAAACAGTATCGGTATGCGTAAAAACCTCGACCACGTTGTGATCATGGATTTTCAAAAATTGTTGACATATCATTGATATAAGTCGACAAGAATTTCGATATTTTAATTTTGGTGTGTGATTTACACATAGATGTGTGTCACAAAGTTGTAAACTTTCGTAACTCTATATCGATACTACCGACCTGTCCACTTGGATTTTACGTGGATAATAATAATATTTGCATTTTCGTCACACAAATATTAATAAAATATAATTATAAATTGTGCTTCTTTTCCTTCCTGTTTCTAACGACTCACCCTGTACAGACATTTTCGTAGTCGCACCTTGAAATTTTCACAAAGCTGCGTAGAACACACATGTATTTACCCGTGATTAAGATGGATAAGATATCGAAATCCATAATCGGTCACGCGAATGAATATCTGAACGGTTATCGGACGTATCACTAAATGAGATTTGTCTGGAATTCGTTTCTTATTCGACTCAATGCATATCGTTATTTTTTCTTTTTATGATTTAGGAGTCGCAATGCAGCGCGGAATTCGAGTGGCACACCGAAGTGGTTTGCACGAGGCATGCCAATTCTCAGAACGCTGGGAATGCATCGAGTCCTAGTCAGGAACAGTCCTTCCCCGATACCAGCAAAAATGTCTATAGTTACGGTAAATGATAGTTTTTTTTTATTATCGACTCGCAATTATGACAAAGATATACCGACGTCGCTATGTTTCTGACACGCACGATGATGCAAATTTAAAGTAAAAATTGTAACGGTGAATTATGGGCCGCTAGTTCGCGGGAAACGACGATAGTGTTTATCGTATTGCATGTCCGATATCGCAGAAATTTCTTCATAATATAACGCACCGATCGTCGCTTATCATACTTGTGTCGATATATTACAAATAAATAACAAGACATAGGAAATGAATCGTTCTCCTAATTAGGTCACGATGAAAAGAAGACTGTTATGAAAAGATTCGTTTCTTGTCATGTTTGGGAAAAGTAAAATAGACATCGTTTTTTGTAGTTTTTGAGGCAAGGAGTCCGATATGGTGATAGTTAAAATTAGATCACATAACGAGAATACGTAAAAAATTGAATTTAAATCGGGAAAACGCGTGGCGTCGCAGTCATTACTCGAGGGAGGGGAGATTTCTTATATATAATTATATATTAACATATATTTATATATAATCATATGTAATTCATTTATACATATTTATACAATCGCATCTAACTGTATCATCATTTTATATGTAATTACATATTTTTATATATGGACATATTCTATATATGACGCCTTATATATAATTTTATATATTCGCAACACCATTCTTTCTTACGCGAGTACCTGAGACTTGAAGGTGTCGTTCGTTAACGGTCTCTGTCCCAACGAGCTATCTTACGATGCGATCTCACGACGATTGATATCTGTGTTTGCAGTTAGAACGGTGGTAGGCGTCATGCTAACTATGACCGTGCTGTTAGCGACTTTGCTCTACTTCCGTAACCCGGAAGCAAGAGCGCACTTTCGTACCTGGACGAATATATTTAGTTTCAGAAGAGGCGCAGGCCGTGTACAGTATTGCAGGGTACGTTATTGCATTATTATTATTATTATCTCCTCTTCTTTGCTGAAACTTGGTTGTTGCAATTAATATCCTCTTGCCTCGTGTGCGTCACTGCATACACACACACACATCTGACGCATGTTCCTTTTTATCGCAGGTCGATACCACTGAGGAAGCCAGGCTTCTGCTCGACGCTTCCGATCCCACGCAATGTCAAACGGACAGCGATGACGATCTTCTACATGCATAGTGATACGCTAATGTTGTCGTTGTTTTCAGCCGTCATAACCGCGTAGTTACTGTGATTTGTGTAGATTATTTTCAATATCTGTGTATAGTGCGACGAATAACAGCATCTTGTTGTAAAACATTCGAGATAAAATATGAAATTAATTAAATACGTTTCTCATTGACACGTGTGTACGCTTACGTTCATCTTCACCCATTATCTTTACTCCTCCTACGATTCTTCCTATGATTTTGATCTTTTGCTTCTGTGTGATATGAAATGATGATAAGTAATCTAGAATGAGTTAGTACGCACAGGAAGTTAATTGATTTGTATCAGCAGACCATAGTCGATAATTCGAGAACTTGCTCTTACTTATCTCCAGTACATTCTAACGCTCTCTGAAAGCTAATTTTTCATTCTCAGCGATGCTCTTTCATTCTTTAATCATAAATTTCACACTGATGTGGTAAAACGTATTCGTAAATAATGATAAATAACGATTTTGAATACGTACTTGTACATACGCTTTGATACACTCACAAATATATATCTATCACTCAGACTTAACTTTATATTTCTTATGCCTATGAAAAGGGAATCTATGAGCATGAAAGAATATTAAACGCACGGCTAACTTTAACAAGAAACATTATTAAATTTTATTATAAACTTAATGTTAATATTACAGAGGTAATTCAATTTTATGTTAATTTGATTTGTGGATATACTACACGTGAAGAGAAATAACTTCGTAGAATTTTAAATTTTGCATAACAAGCACTTTGGTCACAATTTATACAGCTCTTTTACATCCATTATCTCTCATTAGATAATGTAAAATACTACTATATAATATAGTAAAATAATAATTATTCTTGATTTGTGTATCACTAAACGTACTTATAAAGCAAAGAATAAAACGAAAAAAAGGATAAATTGTTAAAGCAATATTTATGTTATGTAGCAAAATAGATGACACTAGTAACATCACTTGCGTACTTTTATTTTTATTTTGTTTTATTGTTATATTAATGTAATATAAGATTAATTAATAATTAATTAATACTTTTTTATTATTTATGATTGCATATCTTTGAAATATGATTTAAAAACTCAATGTACAATTTGAAGACCCGGTCTCCAATTCAAACAAAAATTCAATGTTTATTTTTGTAAAAATTATTTTTCTATATTATCGATAAAGTAGTGTTTGTTGCTAATAAATAAATTTTTTCAGTACTTTGTTGCAATTTCAGCCTTCCGGATTCCTCTGTTTGACGAGTCACTTCATTACCGGGATCGCGTCGGGAAGTAGGTTACGTCGGAGATGCGAGAATAAAGCGTAAGATGTCACCTCCACATCGACGGAACGCGGTAGAACGTGTTCTTACCATCCGTCGGTATGGGCTTGCTTCACTATTTGGGACCCTGTTACGTTATGGCCTTTGTCTCCAGGTAGTTCAGTGCAGACGTCTCGAACGGATGTTTCGCCAGATTCAAGGCATAGGCGCATAAACTCAATGCATACGTGTCGTTCAACTCTTCGATATTACGGACGATGTAGTCAACAGCTTTGTTTATTGTATTACGATACTTCTCTATGGAATCCTGTAATTAACACGTTTGACGTCTAAGAACTGCATATGAAGTAGCAATGTGCAATTATATTCAATTTTTACCCCATTCGCTTTGTTTTATATTCCCTTATTTGCGAACGAATGTTTTTTTAGTGCTTTTGATGACTCAGCTACGATAAACAATTATTCATCGCTTATCGACAACTTATATTTAAATCCTCACCGGCGCTACTCTCATATTTTTATTCCTTTTCTTAGATCTTTTGTCAAAGAACCGTTTTGTCAAAGAACCTCGGACAGTTGAAAGATAAAAGCGCCTGCTGTATCATGCTCCTAATCTCGTCTTATCTAAACTTTTAATAACGTGTGAAATTTCTTTTTGAACACTGCTATGTAAACAATTATTTGTTACATTGATGATGCAGCAATTTTCTGGTATAATCTGAGGATTGATATGATTAAAGAAAATCTCTTTTTCTTTATCGCACTCATTATTGTGTATCATATTATTTATACTTGGTATAGATTTTGTATTGCATGCACTGAAGGAAAAAATACTACATTCGAATAAATATTCGCTAATGATTATTGCAATCATTTCATCACTTTACTTGTTTAGGTAAATATTATTTAAATGTTAATATATAAATATTATTTAAATATTATTTAAATGTAGCACACTGATAAAAAAGTGTTAAATATTTACATAATATTTACGTAATTTAGGTAAAATAATTACTCCAAAACTCCTCAACAAATATATATTTACTTGAATGTGTAGTAAATTTTTCATTCAACATGCTAATTGTCTAGGTTTCCCGTATTTTTCCAGATTTGAAAGCACAAACTTTGACAGAGCAACGAAAATTCTTCTAAAGCTCGCACCTGCCCTTCGCGTTGTCAATTGTAACAGTGTGATGTGGGTTCTTCCTCGGCACCACATTCAGCCAGAAACCACCCTGGGCCTTCATAATAAACCCTTCTTTGGCCAACTTGAGCGGTCTCGGTGTCTTCTCGCAAGGTAGCAGGTCGCAACGTGCCAATAGATGAAAGAGTAACACTTTGATTTCCATCAGGGCGAATCGGCTACCTATGCACATCCTGGGGCCCAATCCGAACGGCAGATAAGCTCCGGTGTTCAGGGTTAACTTCTTCCGTTCACCCAGAAAGCGTTCAGGGTTGAATCTTTCCGGCTCCTTGAAATATCTGGGATCATGATGGAGTCCATAAATCGGTATCCACACTACTTCCCCTTTCTTCAGCTTGAAGGGCTTCATACCCGGTAACGACGGCGGTAACTCAAAATCTTTCATGCATACTCTGTCGGTTAGCGCGAAGACAGGATACATCCTGAGAACTTCGTTTATCACAGCATCCAGGTATTCCATGTTGTTGATCGCGTCATACGGCGCTTCGCCATTTGTGTCCTCCAGGACCTGATCGATCTCGCTTTGCAGTCTCAGCTGCACGTCCTTATTCACCGTGATCTCGTGCGCAGCGAAGCACATTGTCGTCGAAGTGCTCTCGAAGCCGCCGAAGAAGAATACGAATGCCTGACTGGTCATGTCCCCGATCGTCAGTTCTTTCCTACCTCGACTTTCCATCATCAGCTGCAACATGTCAGGCCGAACGATACCCTTCTCGTCTCTGGTTCTGATGGTGGTCTCCAGAAGGTCCTGAAAAAAGTTCGCTACCTTCTTTTTAACGAGCCTCAGTTTGAGTAACCGCCCCAACCATGGGAGGTTCCTGATTATGATGAACTTCAAGACGGCGACCCTGCCGATAGTAGTCGCCTCTTTGCCGTACAAATAGAAGAGGTTCTTTGGCTGCCGCATGGAGTCGACGCTGATGCCGAACGCGCAGATAGCGATCATGTCGTTGGTGTAGCGCGTAAACATGTCCTTCGTTTCTACCACCCTCTGCTTCGGCGGTGATCGTGCCACGAAATTGGCGAAATCAGCGGCGTAGTCCGACATTAACTTGAACATGCTCTTCATCTTGCTGGATGTAAAAGCCGGGCTCAGCATGGTCCGCACTTTCCGCCATCTGTCGCCGCAAAGGGACAGGAGGTTCTTGGAGAACAGCGGATCTTGTTTCTCGTCGATGAACCTGCGATGATCCATGAACGTATCGAAGTGTTTAAGCGTGATGGACTTGATGAGGTCGGTGTCGCGCAGTATTATTACCGGCGTCGTGAAATCATACGCGCCGGTGTACTTGGCGTCGGGATGCACGTCGTACATCTTCTTCACGAACTCGGCCAACGACTGCATACGCAGCATCAACGGTCCCTTGTTACCCAGCAACGGCAAAGGTCTCAGCTGCGGTATGCCGTGCTTCTTGAATAGGTTTTGAGCCTTGAAGATGAAATAATAGAAAGCCAAAATGCCGGCTATCACCGACAAGGCGATCACGTACACCATGTTGACGAAATTTCTTCTCACTGAACCGAACGCTGTCCCGATGCAATGTTCGGTCGTACTTGTGGAGCTCTGGATAAGAAGAGAATTAGAATCTCTCCGATGATTACGCGGCGAATATGCTTAATTGAACGTTTCGTCTACTGATTAATCGCGAAGAAATAATCGAGCAATGCGTCGAGATAGCAGCACGCACCGTTGGCAGTCAACGGCTGACTGCTGTCGCAAATGCGAAATCTTTCTCATATATATGACTCACCAAGTTATCTCTTGCTTACATAATATACAGCAACACTTGGAAACTTTGTAACGGAGATTACGTATCTTTGATGCTACTAGCAGGGGAATCTATTGCGTGAGTTAACTGAAACTGCGGTTACCTCTGTCTTATGCATTATCGTTATCTTGTATATTTGCTTTATCGTACCTTTTATTGGAGAATTGATTACAAATAAGCAAATATATATCAATTAGCGCGTACTATAAAAGTATTTCATTTTTTCGAAAGGCTGTTTGGAAATTATGAATTTTTCTGTGATTTTAGACGTCTTTATGCGATTTTTAGCAATTTTTTGAAGTGCCCGATTAATCCAGAAGCAATATTTGACACTATATTGTAGATATATACGGAGTGCGCTCGAGTGCACACATACAAAGTGTGCGATATACATCGGCAATGGAATATCGATCCAAATAATTACGCACATAGAAACACACACGCGCCGACGACAAGCAAGAAACTCTAACGATGCGTTAACATTTTTTTATTTGTCATATTGGCTATCGGTTCCGAATAAAAAACGATAAAAGAAGAGTTACTCGATCTCGGTGGGAGGTATACAGGAGATATACCGGGTGAACTATAGCACTACATTCCTCCCGACGACAAATCCTATCGCGAAACTAAAAGTTTCTATTTTTTTTTAACAATTATTACGTAGCAGAGTAACGTCGAGAGATACAGATGGCAGTGCATAAAGATCACAGTAAATGAATAAATCAACGAGAGGAAAACTTGATATTCACGACGCATGTTAGTGAAGAAAGTTAAAAGGAGCGCGAACTGCAAGTCGAGGCGAAATAGGAAAGATAAATGACTGGATGGAAATTCGCGTTATTGAAGCCCCTCGAAGATACTCAACAAATCCGTTTGCGTTTCGGTGTGACTGGTCTGCGTGTTCAACCAGGATCTGCAGCCCATGGGAATGTTACAGCCAGCCTCACATATCAGCGACTTGGTTTGCGTCTCAGTGGAAACAGTGGTGTCGTCATGGGACCAGGCGGTCTGCGTCTGTATGTTGGACATCAAGTCGGAAGACAGCATCTCGTTGCAAGTCTGCGTGCACGTGTTACTGTACAACAGTTGCTCCATGTTGTCGAGATTGTCTGTGGTTTGAGTCTCAATGTTGGAGCTCAGAGCGAAGGATCGTGACAAGGACTCGGAATAAAGGTAAGATGGCGAGAACGCCTGCTCGGTCTGGGTCTCTATACTGCTGAATCTATCGTCGAATGTCTTGGCAGAAGTCAACAGAGGATCCACCTGGGACGTTATGCCGGTATGAGCGAAGGAGTAGTTCTCGACGACCGACGATTCAACGTAGGGCAACGTCATCAACGCCACACTGCTCTTCGGTACGCACTGTATGAGAGGATTATGCTCGTAGAGCGTCTCGAATTCTGTTTGCGTCACATTGTCGTTGAACGCCTCGAACATGTCCTTTTCGGATGTGCGCATCGTCTGCGTGCTCGACGTATTCTTTTCCTCCCAGAAGTCCTGCAGGGCAACGTCGTGGCGAAGCGGCAGCGGGCTTGCCGGGAATAGATTAGCCGACGCGAAGTTATCGCCGAGATTGAGATCTTCCTTCAGTAACGCCTGCTGCTCGGACTGTCTCGATGACAGCAGCGTACGGTTGCCGCGCGCTGCGCGTTTGTCCCCGATCGGCTCCGTCGTTTGCGTCGATTCTGTCGATTTTCCGCTGCTCCTGTGAAAACCTCCATTGGTCTGCGTTTGCTTGGATATTCGACGTTTAGCGCTACAATGCGACTGATTATTGTTGGACGGGCTGAATATCCTTCGGCTTTTTCTGTAATCTTCCGTTTGCACGCCAATGTCCGATGTATTTTTCGCCGTAGTAACAATGTTTTTCCCAGATTTGTCCAGATTGGGCAGTATCGTGACGAGTTTGTTCGTCATTCCGGTAGGTAGGATAATTCGCATAGTCTTGGGATTCGTGCGTCTGCGGAAAGTCGATTATAAGTGCAGTATAAATTGTACAATTAATTTGCTTCCAACATGTATACACACACAATGAATACAATGAATAAACTTACCTTAAAGAACTCTTGTATTTCTCTGTTATAGCATGCAAGGATCGCTTTGCGTGCGTAAGCAATGCTTCGTACGTGGTGTAAGTCTTTAAACAGGAACACATGAATTCTGTGCCGCAGACTCTCATGTGCCCCTCCTTGGCAGCTTCAGTGGAGAAGCTCTTATTGCAGCGATTACATGCATGAGTCTTCTCTGCATGTACTTTCAAATAATGCTGGAGAAAAGGGATATTAGTCTGTTATCAATATGTCTCAAGTTTATGTCACAAATTATCTTAAATTTATGCCTATGAGGAAAGGATGAATACTGTGTGCTACAAAATATCCTACAGCTGTTACAACATCCAATATTTGCTTGAAAGAGAATGTAAGACGGTTTGTGAAAACAAACTCTTGTTAACTTGCCATTCTCATTGTCACTCTTCTGTATTATTACCTGTTTCAAGTATTTCATAGTGCTGAAGTATCGTTGAGAATTGACAGCGTAGACGCACGACTGCACCGGGCAATGGTAGCGTACGTTCTCCTTTGCGGTTTTATCCAGGTTTCTCCGCTGATGCACTTTGAGATCGTGCAACCGGTAGCGCGGCTTGTTCCGGAATACCAGGCCACACTGCTCGCACCTGACATTGTTGGTTATCACACTGAGTTCTTCCGGCGAAGGGCATACAGTTTTCTCGCACAACGGCGTGCTTTCTGCCGTCGGTCTCTTCGCCATTGGAGGTTATGAACGCACCGTTCAATTTCAACGTACACAGCGAAACGCTTATCACGCATTCGGTAGTTTCTAATGGGTATGTATAAAAAAAAAGATCATTTTACATTCTCTAGACATTACGTTCTCTAGACATTCTTTGGAATGTTTTCTGTTAAAGATTTACTCATATTTGCGGGCTAATTTCGAATGTAAGAGTAGCAAAAAAAATGCAGTACCAAAATGTCATGAATGAATGTTTAGTGTCATTTCTGTGTAATAATCATATCCAAATCATCGAGAAAATTACATTCGCACCGGTATTTCAAACGATTCGCATTTGTCATATATACTTTTAGAAATCACTATTTAACCATTCATTTTCGATGCAATTCCACAGCGCTTCTTTACAAACGCGATTCGAGGATAACTAAAAAAAAACAACGATTAACTCAATTACCGTGGTTAGTAAAAAACCAACGGTCATGTCTCGAGATCGATAATGAGAGCTCAACTCTCAGTATATTACACGTCGCATTCCTGAAGAATTATTTTCAAATAATTATTTATAAACGCGGATCAAATTCGCAATACCCGGTCAAACTGCACAATTCCGGATATCCGACAATTCGGAGTGACGTGAACTTATCGAATAATCCAAGTCAGTCCGTCAGTGCGGCGCTACTTGTCAGCAGAAACGTGCGCCTGCCTGACTGTGACTGGCTAGCTCGATCCGTCTCGTTCGGGTCGATCGACCTTCCCGTTCGTGGCGACGGGCGGCAGTTAGTAGGTTCGACGCGACCGACGGAAGTGGATCGCGTACGAGCGTCTAAGGAACACGAGATAGTGTGTGAAGTGCGTCTTGTTCGGCCTGCCTGACGGTAAGAGATATTTGTCGTCGGCACGTTTCAGCCTTTTCCCCAGCCATCGCGCGACAGGTATATACACTGTGCCTCGCGTTATTGATTTTTACCTGGAACGAGGGGGAGAGAGAGAGAATCGAAAGCACACACGCATATATACGCGACCGCCCGGCTCTCTTGTCCACCCGCATGTCGTCGGGGCTACGACATTCAGGCTTCTCTAATCATATTCTGCCGTCATTGACAACGTGATTTGAGCCGGTTCGAGTTTCTAGAAGCCCCCACGACGAGAATCGATGAAAAATACCATATCGCGCACGATACGAATGAAACCACGTCACTGACTGAAATCACTTCTGTATCACTGTATCACATCGCTTCTAGCGTGTTTCTTTGAAAATTTGTACAGGTTTGCCGCGTGATCGCGTCCATAGTCTAAAAATTTTTGCTGCTTTAAACTTACTTTAAAAAGTTAAAAGTTTTCGATCTAACTTTCGTTAGTGAAGTAATTCTCTTTCTTTCTTCCGAGGGAGGAAGAGTGCACGTCGTTGAATACGAACATTGCGTGACGAACGTGCAGGGATAATTGTATTGGAACAAACTAACCTGTGACGAAACGAATGTTTATCTTTGCTCTAAGCGGAAAGAATCGATAAGCAGTTTTATTGAAACGAACCGTTATTAATAATAACGCGTGTACATATCCTGTTAGGATATAAGCTTCATTGTAAATAACGTCACACGCAAAGATACGCTTGAGGACTGTGAAAAAAGAACCTACCTCCTCCTCATTGAAATTCCTTATCGAAAAATTCCAAAAGAGATAGTTAATTAACATTCCTTCGTGTTTACAAATACACGCGCACGATATGTTAAGGTACTCGCACACAACGAGTCCGGGTGTCGACACATGCGATGATAAAGCCTTGATAGAGCAATCAAATTGACATATTCATCCTGGCGATCGTCATCTCGAGGTCGTTGTCTTCTTTAAAGTATCATGAGAGAGAGAAACTTATTGCCAGCTTACAAAGCGCGCTTCTTTCCGCAGGTATTCAAACGGCACTGACATTTAGAGAACTTGTGAATCCTTCCGAATGGAAATTACGTGTTACTTCATTTTCTACCACATCCGCGCGCTGAAGCATAATCCTTATCTTTTGTTTCGTTCGAATCACCTTCTCGGCACTGTATTCGTCACATTTATCGAAGCGTTTTTTTTTTGTGTCGATGCGGAGATACGATTGTGTTCGCGCGCTTTTGGTGCAATCTCTATAAATAATTCGCGATGAGTTTGCCAAACCATTATCAGTTGCTTTATCGTTTTTGCTCCTTCGTGTCGCGTCGATATTCTACGAAAAGTTGCACGAGTCCACGCGACATGTATTGCTGATCGCGAAATTGCTTATAATCCGCACAACAAAAGCTTAATTCCACGCCCGAAATATCTCAGTCGCCTGTATATTGTGTTTGACGCATAAAATTGACTAAAGGGGCGGATTAGGCCGTTAGCCTCGCGTAATTACCAAGGCGGATCAATCGACCCGTGGCAAAGTAGGACACTAATCGGATTGTCAATCAATCCGCCAAGTCCGCGGGAAATTCACGAGAAATCCGGGTGGTCACTTTGTCGTTTCGCTTAGCTTTCGCGTGAGCAGAGAAGTCGCTTTGAATATGATGTTTAACGACAAAACAACGAGAGATCGATCGAAATGGAATATATTTCACAGGATATTTGTAAGTCTAGCTCTTCCATGTGAGATCTTTTATTAAAAGAAGAAGACCTCCGGAGACGTCGCGCAGGGGCCCCTAAGCGACACGTCAGAACGAGCACCGTTGACGTTAGCGTGTTCAGTCTCGGAGGGACTCCTTCCAAGGTGACCACATCGAAAATCGATCAGTAAAAACGCGCGCGCACTTCGTCGTGTATGTGTGTGGAATTTTTTTCTCAAATCAATCTCGCGTTGCCCTACCGTTAGAACTCGTTAGTCATCGGCCGGTATAGTTACGACATCGTCACATACACTGAAAACCACGTTTTTGTCGTTTAGCTCGTCGTGCACGCAAAGTGTGGCGGAGGTGAAGACGATGCGCTGCATCGTTCCCGTTTTCCCTGGCGAACCAACCGAACCGGACTAGAGAGGAAAGGAGAGAAGAGAGAGAGAGAGAGAGAGAGGAGGAGGAGGAGGTCGCGAATCGATAGCGCGCGCGATTTCGGCGACTCAGCTGGTGGTGCTTCCATCCCCCGTTTCTCCTCGCCGTAAGCATTTTCCTTCCTGAATAGCCGGGAAAAAGCCGGAGGAAGAGACGTGAAAAGAGAGACGTTGAGGGAAGTGGTTATTCGCGATGAGAGACACCGGCAACCAGGCCAAGTACGAGCAGCTTTTGGACGACGCCGGTCTCGAAATCCGCAACAACGACAAAGAGCACAACGACGACGACGAGAATGCGACACTAGAGGAGGTGAGCGGTGAATCGAAAAGAAGGAATTATTTCCGGATTGAAGATCCGTGTTTGAAAACAATCGGGATATCGCATTAAAAATGACCTGCAGAGAGAAAATCGTCTGAAATATATTTTTTTTTCAATACTACTCGCGCGCACAGAAAGCTACGTAAAGCTTTCTAATGAATCAAATATATGTAATTTCCGTTTTCTTAAAAATATAGATTCAAGAGTAGTAAGTTGTACCGCTTGTTCGTATCTACAACATCGAGCAAGTAGAATATCCAGTATAGTATAAAGCGGAGTGCAGATATGGTCGGGGGGTCAAAGTTCTTCGCCGAACGTGTGTCCGATTGTTTTGATATCGATCCGACGGTTCGTTAACACACGCGTACCGGGCGCGAGAAAATTCTCTGATGCAGCGTGCAGTGACACGTGTACTTGCTGAAAAGAGTCGTATTACTCTTCGAGATAATCGTTAGATATTAATCGATCGAAGATTCCGGGAGATATCAACCAGACTTGCAAGCTAAACCTCCAAACTTTGAGCGTAATTTATGTTGTAAACGCGTTATATTCATGTGTGCATTATCGGGATTTAACGCTGTAAAATATTATTTATACTTGTATTTCATCCAAAAATTCATATCCTTAACTTATTCTCAAGCGTTCTAAATCGTCTCGTCATAGAGAGGCGCTTAAAGACCTTATTTTAATCACGCAACGCAGCGTTAAATATAATAAGTCGACATCGGTCATAGAAATCGGTATTCAAATCGACCGATTGGAATGCAAAACCGTTCGAATAATTATCAACAAACAGACAGAAACCAGATTCTAGATCGCGACACACATTGCTTATGTAAGTGAAACTCGCGCGTTATGACGTGCAAGGACGTGTAATAAACGTATCTGACAGATCGCGAACGGCGGCTGCATAATGACGCGAAGTGTTACGATCACCTGTCGAATTACGATGCGTTTCGATCGACCTATTTCTCGAGAAACATGTAGCGCGAGTTGAGAACCGCTGAGTTCAGGGTTTTCTTCTCTCATTTAAAAGTCCTTCGGTTGCACTTTCTACTTTGTCTTCCTTCTGTATCGTTATGCGTTCTTTTTTCCTTTTTGAATTGCGAAATCTGAAAAGACGTGCCTCCACGCACGCGCGACAGCAATCGTGCTCCCGCTGATCGACTGATTTTGCGGGAAACGAATCAAACCGCGAGAGTCGTTTGTTTCTTCCTTTCTTTCTTCCTCGCGATAGATCTATTTTTGGCGCGCAATAAATCTCACTGCATTGTTCTCGCGCGCGCGAATGTGTACGCGGCTTAAAAATGGGACCGGCTGGCCATCTTTGACTCACCGCGCGGTTGACATGTCGATGTCAATACGACGGAATTCCGAGGGATAGTTTATCGATTGGCATGCCATGATTCGTCCTGTGGTGTCGTGTATCTGATCTTGTGTGACACGTACGGTTCTCGATCATTTTCTCCTCCATAACCCTACTTCTTCGACAGGATATAACGTCCCATTTGAGAATGATAAATCGGTCGCTTAAAGCCGCTTTTTCGCGAGTATTCAAGAACTCGCAATTTTCGTTTCGCCGTGCGTGTTATTCGAATTTCGTTCGAATCGTCGACCTCCCATTTTGCCGACGTTATCATGTTCCTCACGATCGTTTTGACAAACGAATTATCCGATATGTGACATTCCACAGTTGCGTCAGTAAGATAACGCTAATTTAACGTTATTGACAGCACGTCGCCAGAAAATATATCGCGATGCACGCAAAAACAATGGACTTTCGTTTCACTTTAATCGCAAAATTGTCCTTCTTACGCTCAATTTGTCTTTTGTTTCGAATTTATCATGTATATTTAGTTTTTCTCGCATGCTCATTATTTACATTATAATATACAAGTTTGTACATAAGCCAGGGTGCACGTGAAAGAAGAAAAATGGCAAATGTGAACAATGAAAAGCAATTATGAAAGTTACCAAACTCCCCCCAAGTGTTCTTTCTACACACGTGTGTTTCCGACCGATTAAAAATCTCACATCTAATGTATGACATTGCCTGCTGATAATAAAGAGTGAATAATTCGCAAGAATAGTGAAATGTATCACGCGATGTCATTTCAGGATAAAGAGCAAAGTTCCGAGATGTGGCTGACAACTGCGGAATCAGCTAGCCTTGGGGCTGAAGAAGTGGCAGCCAGATTACACGTTGATATTCGAACGGGACTTAGGTGGCAAGAGGCTGACCACAGGAGGCAGCTAGCTGGCTTCAATGAGTTTACCGTGAAGGAGGAAGATCCACCATGGAAGAAATATATCGAACAAGTATGTGTTTCGTTTACATTATTGTACTTGTTTAAGTACACTTGTACTTTAAGAGAAATACGAAGAAATCAATGAAGTAATAATAAGAGAAAAAAAGGTAGAAGGAAAATTATGCGATATACGACTCTGATAAGTTTGTACGTAGTCATCTTATAGTATGTGTTATTTTAGTTTAAGAATCCATTGATTCTTCTTCTACTTGCCTCTGCGTTTGTCAGTGTGTGCATGAAGCAATTTGACGACGCTGTCAGTATTACTGTGGTGAGTACACATTAAGTGTCCGCTGAGAAATTTTGACAGGCTTTACCTAACCATTGCTTATGTTTGTGATATATATTCCTTTGTAGGCTATCATAATAGTGGTGACAGTTGCATTTGTACAAGAATACCGATCGGAGAAATCTTTAGAGGAATTGAATAAATTGGTACCACCGATATGTCACTGGTAAATAGATTCTTGCTTTTTTATTAGGTGCTTTATTCATTAAAATTAGAGTGAGAGAACGATCGTATAATGAATCATTAGTCTTCATCTTTGGGACAGCATGTATCTGAATTTACGTATCCTTTAGAAGTATCGGCTGTAGATAGACTACTAACTCCTCTAAACGGAGCACTCCTTTCCCTTCTTAACGAAGAAAATTAAATATGTGCCATTGCAAACTGTGTGTGCGCGTAGATATGCCATAAAGATGAAATTTATTTCCACAAAATAAAATCCCCAAGAGTTTTCTGCACGATCGAGTCAAATTTTCATGAAATCCAATGAAAACGATCTCAAGTATTCGCAAAACACTCGGTAAATATTCCCAACATTGGCAATTTTACATTACTGTTTTATCTCAACATTTTGTTCGCAGCTTGAGAGAGGGCCGTCTAGAGACATTTCTCGCGCGTAATTTAGTTCCTGGTGATATTGTGTATTTAAATATTGGAGACAGAGTACCTGCCGATATCCGGATATTCGAGGCCATAGATTTAGCGATCGACGAGAGCAGTTTCACCGGGGAGACTGAGCCGGCGCAAAAGTCAACGGCTCCACTGCTGAAAACCAACGGGCTAACGTCCAAGAGGAACATCGCCTTCATGGGTACCCTGGTACGCTGCGGTAACGGCAAGGTATGTGTTCAAACCTAAATTCTTGGGAGTGTTCTACCATCAACTTATGTTACGATCGCGCGATACAGGGAATTGTAGTGAATACGGGAGAAAAGAGTGAATTTGGGGAAGTTTTCTCAATGATGCAGGCCGAGGAGGCGCCAAAGACTCCACTACAGCGAAGCATGGACATTTTAGGTACACAGCTGTCTTTCTATTCGTTCTGCATTATCGGTATCATCATGCTGCTGGGATGGATCCAAGGTAAGGCTATCCTTGAGATGTTTACCATTGGTGTAAGCTTGGCGGTAGCCGCCATACCGGAGGGCTTGCCTATCGTCGTAACCGTGACACTGGCACTGGGAGTCATGAGAATGGTCAAGAGAAAAGCCATTGTAAAGAAGTTACCAACCGTTGAGACTCTCGGTAAGTTTCATGAAATTATCTCCGGCAAAGAGATACGCATTCTACATTACGATATTCGAATTACTTTGTCAAACTTGAAGAAATGTGTTTTCCGATCTGTATCAAGGTGCAAACATGGTAAGAAAGTTTACTCGTAGGCTGCGTGAATGTAATATGTTCCGACAAAACCGGCACAATCACGAAGAACGAGATGACCGCCACGGTTCTCGTGACGTCAGAAGGTTACATCGCTGATGTTACCGGTGCAGGATACAATGGTCTGGGCGAAGTGCGAATACGGAAGTGCGACAACGCCGAGCTTGCACGCACCGCTATCAATAATATGTTGGAAGTGGGTTGCGTGTGCAATAACGCTATCATACAGAATGACACTCTGCTCGGACAACCGACGGAAGGCGCGCTGATAGCTGTGGCCATGAAATTTGGAATGTATGGCGTTGCCGATAAATATTTGCGATTGCAAGAATATCCATTTTCTTCGGAGCAAAAAATGATGGCTGTGAAATGCACACCAAAGTTTGGTGAGGTATGATTATTCGTCAAAATGCTACTTTTTTTTATCATACTATTTTCACCCGTGGTAAATTTCCAACGAAAGGGTTTAATCTCGAGGTGACGTTAGAAATGCTATTGTACTAATTTATATAATTCTACATTTCACAGAACAGGCAAGAAATCTACTTTGTGAAGGGCGCGCTGGAGAAGATTCTGCCGCAGTGCACGAAATATTACGAGAACGGTCAGGTGTATCCGCTAAGTCAGAAGAAAGATCAGGAATTCTTGACGGAAGCATACGATATCGGCCAGCAAGGATTGAGAGGTATCATCTTTTCGTAGGAATCTTAGATCGCGTCTCAAAGTCATGCGCGCAATCATTTGTGGCGTTACAGTAATCGGCTTGGCACGTGGCTCTTCGTTGCAAGATCTGATTTACGTCGGTCTAGTCGGCATCTGCGATCCACCGAGACCGCACGTACGCGAATCTATCAGTATTCTGATAAACAGCGGTGTCAAGGTGAAAATGGTGACGGGGGATGCAAAGGAAACCGCAGCTGCGATAGGTGCATATCTTCGAATTTCTATCAATTTTATCTTGGAAGGTATATATCACATGTTCCGAGATAAAAACGCGTTTTTTATGGTCATTTTTCAGCCAGCATGATCGGTCTGGACACGCTCCACAGTCGATTGTTGTCGGGAGACGAAATGGACATGATGTCCGAACACCAGCTGGAACAATGCATCAGTAACGTCAGCGTATTCTATCGCGTAACGCCAAAGCACAAACTTTGTATCGTGAAAGCCTTACAGAGGAACGGCAATATAGTAGGTATGACTGGTGACGGTGTAAACGACGGGGTTGCGTTGAAGAAGGCGGACATAGGCATCGCCATGGGAAAAAACGGCACTGACGTGTGCAAGGAAGCGGCCGACATGATTCTGGTCGACGACGATTTTGGTACAATCATGTGAGTGAACGATTCGTGTAATTCCCCGGTACATCTGATTGTGTATTTCGGCGTCGTTACTTTACATTCGATTTTCATCTCACTTCAGCGCGGCGATCGAGGAGGGAAAAGGAATCTTTCACAATATCCGTAACTTTGTGAGATTTCAATTGAGCACCAGCATCGCTGCGCTCTCTCTGATAGCTCTCGCGACATTGATGAGTATACCAAATCCGTTGAACGCGATGCAAATACTATGGATCAACATTATTATGGACGGTCCACCCGCTCAAAGGTTAGATGTCGCGCAATCTTTGTTTCATCGCTCCTCTATTCATTACTCACTTTTTGCGCAGCCTTGGAGTAGAGCCAGTCGATAAGGATGTGTTAAAACAAAAGCCACGAAATACAAAGGAGCCAATGATCACACGTCACCTTATAATTAACGTTTTATTGTCAGCTACCATCATTATTCTCGGCACCTTGTGGGTGTACAATAGAGAGGTAACTGTCTATTAGCAGTGTGTGTGCACGAAGGGTACGTTAAAGATTAACAAGTTCACTCGTCAACTCACACCTCGTCTCGCATTTTCAGATGGTTAACGGGAATACCGCGAGAGACACCACCATGACATTCACCTGCTTCGTATTCTTCGATATGTTCAATGCGCTTAGCTGTAGATCACAGGTGAGACGCGTTTTCGCTTTTCCAACAAGATGAAGAAAAAGGTTCTTCAACAATGGTATTCATTTCAGACAAAGTCTATATTCACGATCGGTTTGTGGAGTAACAAAATGTTCCTGGTAGCAGTAACGCTATCTGTCATCGGACAGATGCTCGTCATTTATTTCCCTCCGTTACAGAGAATATTCCAGACCGAAGCTCTTACGGCGAAAGGTAACGATACCGCGCGTGTAAAGGTTATCAGTGAAATACGACTTCTCTTTTTTTTTTTTTCAACGACCATTCGCTTTCAGATCTCTTATTTCTGGCAGCGTTGACGTCGAGCGTCTTCGTGATCAGCGAGTTCAAGAAATGTTTGGAGAGGCAGCTCCAGAAACGTCGCAATGTTAACAACGGCCAGTATTACAACAAATTCGAAATGGACTTTGTATGACAGTTACAGTCTGCCGAGAATAAGACGGCGGACAAAGATCATAACGAATAAGTATCGGGCATCGATACCGCCCCCTCGGCGCGGTCGTCCGTTCGTTCGCGTTCGTTAATCAACACACATTACTTCGCGCTAACATAATCGACTATGCTTGCACCATTCGTAACCTCACGTGTTACGCACCTATCACACGAGAGTAATAATAGCGACACTTCTACGTATTGATTCGCAGTGACTGCGGTTTTTCTCTCCTTTTTTTTCCCTTTTATTTTTGTTTAATCGTTCACAAATTGTCCGACTCTATTTTCCGGCGCATCGTACCAAGTTCCGATGTGGTAAGTTACATAGACTGTAGGTACTTAGGCTATATTTCACTGTTGTCCCCACATCGAACTCTATTCTAATTGAGATAAACACAAATCTATGATGATCGCTGAGGTCTGTAGACGTACTGTTCTCTTGCGTAGAAAAGTCGCGTAGATGGTTCGCACTTTGTGCGCACTTAATACAATTCCCGCCAAAGCTTTAGTCACATCAGCCGTTTATAGCTGATCTAACTAATTGCTTAGCCATTTTCCATCGTCATTCTTCCGCCAAATGTAACATGGCGCAGAAAAGACATTTACTGTATCACGCGCTGTCCAGCAAACGAGGGAGGTTTGAAACGCGTTGAAATGGGACAGCTGCATACGGCCGTGTATCCTTCACGTGTAGTTTATGAATAAGTTAATTGCCTCACGATACTCTCCCCGTTTAAGATTGTTAAAATTAAATTAACGTAGTCGATGCTAAAACAAGCCAACATTCGATGATGTATTGACGACTCGCGCGGTATTGCTCTCGCGTGGGGATGAGTGAATTAGTGAAACGGAGAAGAAGAATCCGGGGACGCGACAGCTGCGGGCGTTTCAATTAGAATAGAGTTTACTGTGTCACTATGATGAAATTACGAATCACCATACGAATCGTCATAGATGATAGCGGCGCTACTGCACATTCCACGCACGTTTGATAGATCGACGACTTTTAATGATATATTCTGTATCTATATGATGTAGTCGTAGACTGCAGTTCGAAGTAACGTTTGCACTGAGAACCATTCGTAATCATTCTTGTCTAATACTTTTTTCTAAAGATACCGCCACGGTTTGTACGTAAGATCTACTTAGGACAGAAAAAAAAATCTCGTCGATATCTCGCGTCATCTGCGTTTATCATTCACTGTCGGTCAATTCGTGCTAGAAGAAAGAGGAGCAAGAAAGAGAGAGAGAGAGAGAGAGAGAGAGAAGGAAGGGGGCGGGAGAGAGCGAATCATGCAGCATCTTAGCGCAAGTATATAAGAAGACGAACATAAACCGACGACTTACAAAGCGATTGCATTTAAGAAAGATACACACAGTTGTAATCGGCGGAAATAAACGCTCTTACAATGTTCCTTAATTGTACGTTTACAGAACGATGTGTACTTTCGACGGCAAGACATGCACGATGATGCTCATCTGATTAAATAAATTGGTTGTTTTGGATGACGCACAATTCGCGCTGTTAAATCGACATAAGTGTGTTACCATCGAAAGGATACTCGTGCGTTGTGTTATACAAGTATAGAGAGACCGTGGAAGAAAAATTGCACATTTCAACATCTCCCATCGCACGCAATTGCGTGCAATTGTATTATGAATATATAAGATATTTCAGGACCCATGGGACGAATTTTAGGAGTTTAAGTGGTAGATCTCACGGAGGAAACCAATTTTTCTTGAAGAATGACGCGTCTTTCCTTCGGAGAACGCTTATGAAGTAAGCAACATAGCGCGAGGTCACGTGCAATGTTCTCGCGCTATCAGTTGAAAGTCATAAAACTAATATTGTCAGACGATAATATTAGTTTTATGATTTTTTTTTATTATTTTTTTTTTTTTTAGAAATTCGATACTGCACGGATGTAATGAATGTATGGTAGGTACTTCGCGCATCTCCCGTATTAAGATGTGTATAAATAAAATTAAAAGAAAAACAAAGCAAAAAAGTCATAAAACTAATATTGTCAGACGTCACGCGCAATACTCTCGTGCGACCAATTACCTACCTCAAGTGATCCGGGGGCATCAGAAGACACGAACTTTTTAACAAAAATTGATCCTCATGGTTACCACCTCCTGAAATTTGCCCCGTGAAATATATTTGGCGGATTTGACAGGATTTAATCGACGATCAGAATTTGCGAAATTCTTTTATTGCTCGTTATAAATATCGATGGTTTTGTCGTTATAACCGATGGTTTGATTTTTTTTTTCAATTGACTCGCGAGGTTAACAGTTATTCGCTCTTGCGTTACTGCATGCTCACGACTATTTTATATTCGACTTCTAAACGGAAAACTTGAGAAGCGATTCGCTGCGTTTATCAATGAATTCCTTCGAGCGCACTATACGTTCTATATTGGTATAACTGTGGCCCACCATAACCATACAGCAACTTTCCCTTGCCGTTCTCATCATAATAAGGATAGCGATATTTCGGCCTGGAAAGATCAAGGCGATTAATGCGATAAAGCGATTACAACGGGCTACTGTTGGTTTATTCACTTTTTAACTTTTTCTCGAAGCTGCGCGTCGCGCAACCCAAGTTATTCGAGTATTTCGTGTTGCGTGGCATAAATATTTGATGATTCTAGCGAGTCTCGCGATACCAAATTACTTCTGTTCGTTAATATTTGTTATGTTTATATATATCCAAATATTAATCAGAGACGCTTGCCTCACTCACCTTTCGAAATACTGGAAATTCGGTGCTTTAGGTTTCGGGAGTGTAGCTGCACTTCCGTCGATCAGAGAGATAAAAAGGATGATGAACGTCGTTAACGTGATCACAGTCAAGCACTGTAAGTAAACGTTTCGACGACCACAAAGTTAAGAAGGAAGTTTCTTTCGACGTACACACATCAGCTAAGAGACCGCGCAACGTTCGAAATTAGAACACTACGAAAGTCAGGAAAAGCTATCGACTTTTCGTCAAAGGCGTCGATTCAATTCAGGAAAAAATGTAAGAATCTGTTCTAGCTTTGCAATTTCTAATCTCGTTACGCTTTACTTACGAAAGCAGAACTCGCCATGGCAGATAATCGAAAGCACTCGATTAATCGCGATAAAGCTCTGGATTTATATAGTGCCGCGTCCCTTCGGAAGAATCGGAATAATTTTGATTTCGATACGCTGCGAGTTGACAACTTGGCGCGATTGCTAAACCTGACGTGCTAGACTCGTGTCTCATTCTGACCTTATTCCCCCCCTACCAGCTCGTTCTTCCTCGGACGTCGTCAAGTGAAAGTCCTTAACTTCTTTGCTCAACTTTTTCTCGACATGTTGCGCGGACCGATGGGCCTTATTTCTCAATTTGGTGAAAACGCTCGCCGAGATTTGGTCACGTTGCGTTAAAGAGCCAAAGAAAAGGAAAAATAAACAAAGTGATATTTCTCATAGTTTTTTTTAGTGCACGCACCGTAGTTAGTGGTTATAATCAAGTTATAATCAACGAAATGCATACAAGTTCGTTTATTTCTTTCTTGTTGCAAATATTTCAAATACATTCGGTAGAAACGAGAGGAACTGCCGAAGTCTTGTAGTATTAATCGAATTTAACATATATATAACAATCACAGAGAGAAAGAGAGAGAGAGAGAGAAAGTCGAAAGTAACATTTTGCTTTGAGATATATTTGACTTATTTATTCTACGCGACACACACAGATTCGCGGTCTGCGACAATCATACGTCACATTGAAGAAATTGTTAATTATAACGTTTCATAAAAATCGATAGTTATCGATTCATAAAAATCGATAGTCTGACTTTTTCAATTATCCACGAGCTTCCCCCACGGTCCTTTGTATCCGATACCCATTCCGATCTTTGCTATCGCGATCTCACCGAAACGTCCGTTCTCCTGCTCGTACCTCGCCCTTCTCTGCTTGCCGACTTCCGGATCGAAATCCCACTCTGTTTTCTACACGGGAAAGAACGCAGATGAATGTTAACGAAGGAACGACAGGAACGCATCGCGCGCTCACCTGGTGCACGACGGGCGCGCCTGCGATGTTATGTTGAATGATATCGTGTATAAACGTAAAGACCGGACTCGTAGCCGACACGATCATTTCGTCGTGAAGTAACAACGCCGGCAGCAAAACTGCGATCTGCAACAGAATGCGCGAAAAGTCATATCTTCTGAATTTTGCGAACACATGCGCGTCGTTTTTTCTTTTCGCACGAATTTCTCCACACGCGGAATCACAGGCGCGCGGAATGCTGTTTCTTAGGAATCAGCCGGTCGCGACTTCTCGCTACTCAACGGTGTCTAAATATGAAAATATGAAGCGACTCGTGTATACACTTATGTACCAATAAAAAATAGTCCCGATCCATGACATCCGTCCGGATGTGATCGTTATCCAGCAATGGTATCGTCACCGACGTAGAATGACAACTACCTTGTCACGCTTACTCCCGATACGCTTATACCGGCACGGCCTGTCGTAATACACCTGTAGTGAAAGTAAAAATTCCGACGTGTACGAGTTCGAAAAACCGCGCGCGTCCCACGAATAACAATCCATCCGTTGATCATTCGATTTCCCTTGCGAGCATCATGCATTCGGATTGAGACCCAATGAGGGCATAAAAGCCACGCCACGGCGCCGGGCGTTATTTCCTCGCGATGAACGCGACTCGTGCGGCGCGTGTTGACAAGCTGCTTCTAACGATCGCCCTTTGCACGGTGAGTGACCACACCTACGGGTTTAACAGCGCATCTCATGCGCAACAATCTCACGATTTCCATTTGAATCATTTCTTCCTTTCTAAGGATGTCTATTATCGTTGGTAAAACTTTCGTCGCGTAATCCTCATGTAGACCGGCACGTGGTGCGTCAATGACGGCACGCGAAACGCTCGGACAATCGACTCGTTGTCCACGTTCCGAGACCTCTGGGCCAGTCGGATCTGGGAGTGGTCCAAGAACGGTGCCATGAGTATCGCACGTTTCACCACCCAGAAGAGGCCCGTGCGCATCGAGTTCGGACCTGAGGACGGAAAACGCGCCGCGGTAACTTATCGCCGGCAACACGGATACCGCGGAGAGTGGCTCATCGAGCAGCTGGGGAACGGTCTTGGCCCTGGGTCAACGTCGTCGCGCAGTCAACCTGTGCCCGACACCTTCTTAACGCCGCCATCCTTTCACCCCTGCTAATCCTCCTTTCGACTCCACCTGTGTCCTTGCTCTCTCACCGAACTCATTTATCTCGGATCGATTTATTCTCGCATGCGTAATTTCAACGTCTATATTATTTCATATCTCTCTATCTATGTAAAATAATTGCACACGGTCTTTCACTAATCGGGTTTTCCCCCGATATCTTATTCTATCTCAACAGTTGTACAGAAGCACGAAGAGAGACGAAGATATCGAGTGACTCGGTATGCCATGTATATAAATCGCCGTCGTGTAAAAGTTTTTATTGACCCGATGATTTTTTTTAGTTATCTTCGTAACGTGATAAGAATGGCATCAAGGTGCTCTTAAAGCTCGTAAAACAGAGATGCGGAAACAATTCTCGAGTACAAAACTGCAACTGAAAATAAAGCGTTATTATTTATTTCATATATATGTATTTATACGAGAATCGAAAGTTTATTGTTAGACAAAAGCATATATTTTTTTTTATCTTACGTTACGCACGAGACAGACACGAAATATATGTGTGTGTGTGTGTGTGTGTGTGTATGTGTGTGTAAGTTGTAAAAAATCATTACGCATGTATATGTGTGATAGTAACACAAAAACCCCCATGAAAAGCTCCCGTTGAAGTGTTCACAGCGCCCACACTTTCACGTAATCCACTTCGAGCGCCGTTTGCATTTGCCATGTGGGGTACCAAGAATCCTTCGCACGATAGAAATTGTACATCGCCTGCAAAGAACATTATAACGTGTTGACACTCAACGTCCCGAACGTTACCCCGTAATATTACCGGAGGTGATTCAAAGATTCGAGAGAAACCGAATTTTAAATGTCAAATCGAGAGGTAACGCACCTTCGCCTCGACGTTTCGCCACGGCTTGACATAACCGCTGCTGGTGGAAAGATCCTCGAATTCGTGAATACCACCCACAGCTACGCCCAGGGTCAAGTACGACTGCAAGATAAGCGATTAAGTTTTAAACGATTCGGTTTCAACAGTCCAGGGATCATGAGAGGAAAATAGCGACTGTGCGAACGGCTCGATTAGCGATCATGTCAGAGATTATGTATAAGAATCGTAAGTAACAGCCGATGCAGACACTAAATATCAATTTTCTTTCCTGATGATCATTTATATGAGCCAAGTGTTGTCTACTGGACGAAAAAACGTCAGTTATTATCTGCTCCCCCCTTTTCTGTAAGATATTATGTATCTTTTGTGAGTGAAAATAAAAAAGACACGAGAGAAGGAGAATTGCTGACGACTCGAGATACGGGAGAATCTTGAAATCCCGCTATGCTCACCCGTTTGCCGAACGCCACGTCCACGGTCTGCTCGCCGTATTGAACACCGTCGACCTTTACGACGATGAGACCGCTCTTCCAGTCGACTTGGAATATGTGATAATCACTCGACCAGGATTTACTCGACGGTCTCTTCGAAAGTGTCGATTGACTGCTGCTCGGTGAGTTCACGGTAGTGACTAGTCCACCCGCGTACAGAATGCGATTGCCGACATTCTTGTTGTCGGCGTTCCTCAGTTCCTCGTTACCAACCGACGAAGCAATCCTGATCTCACGGTACATTCCGTGCTCCTGCTCGCTCTCTGAGCTTGTCAGGGTAATAACTGTGGACAAAAATATTGTACTATATGTAAAAAAAAAAAAACAACAAAGGAAAAGTCGGAGCAATTCATACTTTAGCAATAATCTTTCAAGAGGGGACACAGCAACATTCTCCACGTTTGGGTAGATTAATCTTCAAATAGATAGCGTGAAGAAATATTTTCGCATGATAGTAAGAAACGCGATCAACTTACTGGGATACACCCAATCGCCGCGCGGCAACTTGGCTCGTATCTCGATACGTCCGAACAAGAACTCAAACTTGCCTCGCGTATCTAAGCGTCCAGAGACCACAGGCGGCAGGATGTACGAACCGGCTGCTTGGCGTTGACACTCGTCCGTATCAGCCTGACCGGTACAACTAAAAAGAATATACATGCACGTATTTCTATGTGTGTGTGTGTGTGTGTCGAGAAGTATTCCGAGAGGAATTCGCAAAAGCAGCAATCTCGACAGACTCATTCGTATATCCTCGCAAGAGTTGTTCACAACCTTCCATTTCGTTAACGTTTAAAAATATTCCCTTAATTTTACACTGATACGTCTCTAATCGCTTACTGCTCCAAGACCAATCTTCCTTGCGACACGAAATCCGTGCCGAATTTGTCGTTGGTCAGGATTGGCTTGATGCGTAGCCGTCCGTTGCTCACGTCTGTTACATCATCGGTCATGTAGACGACAAACTCGTAATTCTGTCAATGAAAAAACGGCATAATGATCAGCGGTCGGCAATAGATGATTATTAATCGCAAAATGTCTCGCTTGACGACGACGATCGTACGTACCGGCGGGCCAATGAAACGTTGATTCGAATTCCATTTTGCGCTGTCAATACTGTCGAAGTTATCCTCGAACAAGAGCTCACGTGGGCAAAGTTGCTGTCGTGTGCCGTTCTTGAAGATCCACGTCGCCGATTTTGTCGTACAGTTATGCTGAAGTATATCGGTGATGTGCAGCGTGCCGTCGGGATTGTAAAAATCTAGAAATCGCCACAGAGAGAGATTACGATTTTCTTTGAGAACTTGACAACTTCTTCAAATTCCTTATCAACAATCAACATTGAAATCAACGTAATAGTCGGTTAATCACGGTTCAATTGATTTTCTTTCTAGAAGCGGAAACTCACCGACAACTTGGTGCGACTGATCAATTAAATTGTAACCGAGTCCTCGATACACAACGTGGACCCAATAATAAATGATGTCGTCCCTCTTCAGCCTGGTATTTCGATCCTCATAAATCCATCGTTCATTGCGAACCTTGAGAATGTCCTTCGCAATGTGCCCCGCTTCCAGGCCGTCGAAGTCCTCGTTGAACTTTATGTGAAAGGCCACCAGTGTGATTCCCTCCTCGTCTGTATACGAGAAAAACAATACCCCGGTTTAAAACAGAAAAAAACACCATCTTACGATTTCGATTGATAATTAAGTAATTTGTTATTCATCTAAGAAACGTCGAAGAAAAACACGGAAAAAGTTCTGAAATGCATTCCGACTAAATTTATAGAAACTTGTTTTAGAACAAGATAATAAACGTATTATCTCACAGACGATTCTTCTTTGCTTATTGAAAAATTGCAATAAATTACGACTCGTTTTCGCTTGACCGTTTCTTTCGTTCATAATATTGTTCATTGGATAAATGATGCGACAGAACGTCACGGAATACACGACTTAATTATCAGCGCAACAAACTCTTCCATCAATTTATATCCATTTCTGAATTAAGTCGAATTAAAGCTGAGCAAATAATTCGCAGTTCAAAAAAGCGCATTATACATGACCTTAATTTACTCATTAAATATGCAAACATCAAGTTTTATACACGTGTATGTATATTTAAATAATATATAAATTATTAAAAAATCAATGATTATAACCTAAGAAAAAAATTAATTTCCAAAAAATCAAGTTTTTATCATCTCACCGGGGATGGACACGCGCAATCCAGTGGGAAAGAGCGGCTCTACCGTGGCTGCCGGAGGATCGTAAGCGTGATTCTCACGAATATTCGCGAGAAATATCGCGAATGCGATCAGAAACGGCGTCGCAAACGGAGAATATCCGGCCATTTCGACAAATTGTGCCCGGTGTCCTCAAATCACCTTATCGTCTTCAAATTCTTGCTGTCCGCATCTACACCGATCTTTGTTATTCCTCGTTCTGTCGTCGCCTTTTAATACCGAACTTTCGAAGGACGACTGGTCTTTTTGATACCAAGGTAGATGGGTGGAGCAGGAAAAGAAGGAGAAGAAGGAGAAGGAGGAGGAGACGGCGAGATTAACTAGAATCAGCAATTGCAAGTTGAATCGAGCGGCCGATAGTCACGCACCACTGACTCGCCGATGCCTCCCGCGTAACGCCTTCTTTCTTTCGCGAGAAAAAAAAAAAAAAACACCGGATCGTAGATACGTACGTATCGATGTTGAGGGAATATCTGTTTCCTCGTTTATTCATATTCTCACGACTCGTTTGTAACTCGTCTGATTAGGATCGTGTCCGCTGATATATTCGTCGGAATTTCCTCATTAGAATTCCGTTATCTACAAAAGCGTGTTGTCTCGGATAATTTTTGTTAACCCGGTGTCACGACATCGATTTATCAAGAGCTGTGAAGGAAAATTTCGCATCTTTTCAGCAGCAGGAATTCCTAAGTAGGAACGAAATAATGCGGTCCTCTACACCGAAACTTTATTGTTTTCTCTTTTTGCATGTGTTACATTGTCTCGAGGAGAACGCTGCCGCTCTTTGATGTACTTTTATTCTTTCTGATCGCAATTAACATGTGAGGAACAACGTATAGTCGTTGCATGGAATGTTCTTCGTAATCTGCCGTCCAAGAGATAATTGTTGAAATATCCAAAGAGAGATGAAAACCATGTCCATGTAAAAAAAGCTCCCGAAATGAGTTGAAATGTTTGAATGATTATTTTTTTAATATTTAAATCAGCACTTAGAATTAATCTAGGTGCTTTTTGTATGTCACGTTTGCCCTCTCCTCGTTGCACGGGGGCCGCTGAGAAACAAGATTCTCCACTTTATTCTGACATTTTAAACTTCTCTTTCCGTGTTCATGTTCCACATATTTATGGGTCGTTACGCGCTAAAACACGACCGAAAAGAGACGTGACTGGCAGACGTGACCTCCGTAAATCGTCTCGAAAGAAACCAATTCTGAGTACCAATTTAAAGGAAAATCTAATAACGAGCGATGATAATGATAAGAGTGAGCGAGTGAGTGAATGAGTGAGAGAGAGTGAGAATGATTATGATGATGAGATCTAAACATTTATAACATTCTTTACATGAATAATTTTCTTTAGAAAATTACCAAAAAAATTGCAACCCTGTGTATCAAGAATACTTGAGAAAAAGTCCAAGTGGAGACGACCTAATTACCTATTGTAAGTTTTGCTTCACCTCATCGGGTATACGACTCAAGTACCATTGGTGCGACTGGCCGGGTGCTGTAGCCAACACACCTCTCGTATTTGCGTACGTCGTTCCTGCTTTGTACGAATAACGCTCGCCATAAAGATCGGTCAGGACACCACCGATAGAATGAAGGACGGCCTCGGGCGCGCAGGTGTCCCATCTCTTGCAGCCGCGACTGGCGAACACGTACGCGTGAGCTTTCCCCTCCAGCAAGAGAATTACCTGCGAACGAAAGTAGAGTTACGATCGAATGAGCGCGTATATAAGCGCATGTGTTGCAGTGATCTTGAATATTTCGGGGACTGTATATAATCCGCAATTACGTGAAATGATTAGTAATATAACACGTGTTTTTAGCACACGTTGCCATATTACATGCGACAAAATATTTTCAGTGACGTTCGTTCAGGACAAAGTACCTTGTGTCCAGCGCCGCCTACACGCATTACCTCGTCAGGACTCAAGGATTTTATGGCGTTCTGTACAACGCTGTCGTAATGCGAACTGAAAAAGAAGAATGGACGATATAAGATCAATCGATCTCGCGCTTAGAAGATATCAAAGATACTCTACGACTTGTTTCGAAACTACCGTGTGGTCGTGATTATTCTCTTCCCTTCCGGAGGTGGTTTCGGCACGAATCCACCAAATCCAGCACCGTCGATACCCCACAATGTACGACCAAACATGCCACTTTCATCATTTTTGTAGTATGGTTGATGTATCACACCACCGATAGCTGTTCTCCCGATCGCCACACCGACCAATACAGTAACATGCTCCACTAGTCCTTGAGTATATTCTGCTGTACCTGTGAAACAAATTTCTATTTTACTGTTAGCAATTATCATTTCACGCTAAAGTTCACACACTGAAGATATATTCTATTAGGAACTATCCAAGCAGAGGTAATCGCATTACCATCCAGAGGGTCCACCCATACACACACATCCTTGGGATTAATATCTTCCAGATGGGCCGGCAGCTTCAGCTTCAACACTTCTTGATCCGCCTCCGTGACGATCCACTCAGACGGAACCTCGCAGTTGGACGGCTCCTCCTCGCCGATAATTGTAATGTTTGGAAACTGTCGGCTCAAAGAAGCTATGATGCACTTCTGGGCGGAACGATCTGCTTCTGTTTGCAGATCGTTCTTGCCTTTCTCCACTATGTTTAATCCGCCTTTACTCAGAACATCTCTTATTATCTTGCCAGCTTGCACCGCGGCAGACACAGAAGATGCCATTATGCGCGTTAGCAGAGCTGCGCTTTGGGCCATTTTGCGAATTTCCTTGTATCGGCGACGTTGGCAAATCGTTGATACCACCCGAAGTCTTCTGTTGTACTTGGTTCAACCCACACGAATTTAACAATATTTCTCCGAGATAGTCCCGAGGTCTTCAACACCTGGAGGATAATGGAGAAGTTGAGTTAAGAAAGAAATTATATGTATCTCAACATAACTAAATCGAACAGTTAGCAAAACTTTTGTCACTGTTTAACGGTACGTCACATATTTTCGGATACTTCGATCGAAGAGTCACAACCGGGACGATTCAAGAAAAACGATTCTTGTGAATTTACAATGCATGTTTCTTGACTGCCAACAGATATTTTATATAAGATTGCGAGAAAGGTACGCCTGCATTAATGATTCCAAGTGTACGTTTCTACCTGTACTTTCTGCGATAAAAGTGAGACGGATGTATATTTAAATTTGAGAACAAGTAAGAAAAAATGACATAATGCGAAACATTCGAGTAAAACGAACCATCTGACTAGATGAGTTCGATTAGGTTAGGTTTACAAACGGCACGATCGTGCGTAGTAGTTCTGTCGCGCTAACTCATCTAGATTAATTATCAATTATTTGAATTACCTAAATTACTTACCGTGATATGATATCACTTTATAAATGTTGATATTCGTGTCCGATTGTTTATCAATTTCTTACATTTGAGCAAAGACTTTCCGTTCCAAACGAGAAAGAGAGAGAAATGTTTTATAAAATGACTATGAATCTAACCCCAACGTGCTTGTGAAAAAAAAAGAGGGGAAAGAAAAGAAAAGAAAGAAAATTACACAGCTCTACAAGTGCTAAGATAAGAGTCGTATATGTATGTGTGACAATTTGAGGTAGGTATTCATCCATTTTATCGGTTTCGTCAACACTAAATACGCTACATTCATGCTTTGTATTCCATTGTACCACGTAAGATTATTTATCGGTCTTTTTAGTATCCTTCCTTCTCTCCTGGAAATTGGATATAAAATGTTTCGCAAAAGTCTTCTATCTATGATAAATGGCAATCTATTCAAAAGAAATAAAAGTATTATAGATGTCACGTGTCACCCCGTGTTAAACAGATATGCACACATGAATTCTGAAAAATCAGAAACCGCTAATATAGATGAGCTAAATAATGAGACTGAGAAAATAAAGTTGACGGTAAAAGAAAAGAAAAGAAAATTACCAAGAGAAAATGAAAAACAAGATTTGAGCGAGTATCTGTCGGACAATCTCAATCCAGAAATAATACATATATTTCCCAGTATATTCATGAAAAAGGGTGAAGATGATAGAAATTTATTATACTTAATTGACAAGGAAGCGGCTGTGGATTTTGTTTCCCTCATCATAGATGATCTCTCAAAGGACAAGAGTTTCATCGCTGAATTGAATCCTGGCATTGGTATGTTGACAACAGAATTATTAAAAGCTGGTATACCACTGATTCATCTGTACGAGGAAAAGAAGGAATTTGATTCAATATTGGATAATCTAAGCAATATCTATCCTGGCAGATTGGATCGGAGAAGGTTCAATCTCCTTAGGATTAATACCTTGTTGTATTGTGATAAGATAACAAATAAAAATGAGGTGCAAAAAGTTTTTCAAGGAGTAGAAACCAAGAGATGGGAAGATAAATGTATGCAAGTGATAGGTGCGACTAGTACTGTGAAATTTATCAGACATATTATGCACAGTTTATTGTTTCGCAATTCATTTATGACCTATGGGAGGACTGTTTTCTACATGGCAATACCTCCAGTTATGTGGCATGTTAGTATTTTGTTTCTCCGTTTGATCTCATCAATTTTGAGCGTATACCTTTTTTTCTTCTTTTTTTTTGAACTGTATGGAGAAGCACGTTAATGTAATTTAATGTAATTATGTTTTAGAAATACACTTGTGATAACAAATCTAATACCATATACACTAGGATAAAGGTATTATTCCAACTGATGTTTGATTACAAGCTCTTAGGAAAATTGAAGAGAAAAGCTTTTCTACCTTGGCCAGGGTTAAAAAAAAGGAAAAGAAGAACACGTGAAACGGAAATATTGGATGAGACGAGTTACAATGAAATATTTGTTGTAAAATTCGAGCCAAAAGTCGACATTTACTCGTTATTGTCGCAAGAAGATTGGATAATATTTTGGTATTTCGTTAGACATACCACGTACAGACGTACTAATAGAGTGATACCCCAATTTGAGTAAGTACAATAATCTCATGAAACGTGCAATATAACATCAACTCATTGTATCGTCCAACATATTTCTCTTTATACTTAGAAAATGGGTACCAGGCAGTGGAGTAAAGATAATAGCAAAGTGTAACCACACGATATTCACAGAATTCGGTGATTTGACGCCCGCAGAATTTCTAAAGCTTTTCAAAGAATTTCAATCGTGGCCGGAATATAAAACATCTAATTTTCTCGATTCTATGAAGGATTCCCTACAGATGTTCGACGAACCGACAGTTTTAAAACTCAGTGCCAAAGATGACAATATAGTCAACTGATCGGTATGTTTCTCTGGGGTACGTCCGTGAATAAAAGCTTATTTTATATTTTCTTTTATTTGCGAATATTTCACTGCAACAAAACCAATGTTACAAATCAGTGTACAAGAGATACACGCATCTGCTGTTTGCGACTTATGGCCGATATTCTTAGTCAGATTTTCTATTTAAGACCGTCTTAAGTTCATCTTTAGATTATGCTTCGTAACTAATGAAATGAGCCATACAGCATCTGAAGATGAACTTAAGACGGTCTTACATATAAAATTCGACTATGAATGCCGAAACATTGCAGACAGTACATGTCGAATATTTAAGAATAAAATTGTTTTTACTCCACATATCCGCATTCAACAATCTTGGTGTACGAGTGATTTAATCGCGCTTACGCGAGAACCGCAATTTTTCTTGGAATATCTTGTCTCTTCTCCTTTGATTTCGTGTGCATACACACAGGCTTTCTCACAAATTGAACCACGTATGCAAACTCACGCCAGTGTATTAGTAAGGAGCATTATCACTGGTGATACTTTTTCTCTTCTTTTCTCTGATACTGGTTAACCTTGAGGCATCGTCGTAGTGACGTTGTATCGGTTCAATGTAATTGAACGTACTCAGAACACGGAGGGACATCTTGGAATATCTCTCGAGTTCAGTGTTTCGTTTGTGGCCAACATAAGCGACATATTCAATTTTTGAACGGTTTACTGAGAGGAGAGAGAGAGAGAGAGAAGCCGGCCTGTCGAGAACGACGAGGAAAAACGGTCGTCTATCAAATTCATTCACATTGCCGTGCTTGTCGAAAATAACGGTACCTGTCAAACAGTGAAGATGAAGTGTTTGTTCGTTGGCATCACATTTTTCGCGTGTAACTACGTAATATGGGGCCAAGACTTTGTATTTCCAAACAACGAGGAAATGTCTCATGTCAGCGGTGGTAACAGCACGGTAATATAAGTATAAAATAAGACAGATAGAGAGAGAAGCAGGGGAGGGAGGAGAGAGTCGTAAGAATGATGATTCATATAGTCTTTCAACCACCTCATAGAATTTTATTAGTTTAGATACGATGATGTGAAATTATCACATCAACTTTGTTTTAAGAACTTGTGGGAAAATTAATCGTAACCAGCGCGATACGCGACGCGACATACCACGCACGATATCGAATGAGCGTGCAGTCCTTGTGGAAAAGTAATACATTCATTGGATATCACGTGTCGCGCTGATCTGCAAGCCAAAGAACCTCTTGAGAAAATTAGGAAAATATCAAGTGAAAGTTATAGCATTGCATAGACAAAAAGGTAGAAACATTTATTTTAAAAAATGAGTATGGAGAAAATGCGATGTGTTGCGTCCTAAAAAGGTTGAATATGAACAATATTGTATACATATATACAAATTTTCGCGCGCGCTTATTATTCTTTTTATACAATTGTATCACTCCATCATTACATGTAGAAACGATGGTGGCAGATAGTAGAGGTGATCATAACAGAGAAAAAAAATTTATGAAAATATATCAGATGTATGGAATAGTAGAATTGAAAGATAAAATCGGTTTGGCCGATTTATCGTTGAGTCGTATTGCGACGCTGATTCTTCGTTGAAAATAGTGGCGGTTCGTAGCGGAGGTTTAGCAACTATTGCCATATGGACTAGAGACACAGTTTAACTATATACAGTTACAACAGTAACTGTCGGTCTCTTTGATGTAGCGGATCACGTGAGGATCGGCCATGTTGCTGGCTGTAGGGCGCTTAATTTGAACAATATTAAGAAAACGGTACCGTCTTACGCAAAATATTTAGAAATTGGATAAATTCCATGTATGATTTTCAGTATAGAACTATATATTGTCAATTTATTTTTTGTTTTTATCTGCATCAACATATTTCAGGAATATATCAGTAACATTATAGAAAGAATATGTAAAAAGTGATTGAAAGATATCAATTTATCGGCAACAGAGAATCAGTAGTGGGATTCTGTAACCGTCTATCGAAAATTATCGGATCGATCGTTGCGCAGATTTTTTGCCATATATTGTATCTGTACAACGACACATTCCCTAGCCGACACTGTCGATGGACGGTTATGGAATCCCACTACAGGAAGCACTGAAAGAAATAAAAATTGTTACTTCATTATTATTATCCAAATAATTATGACGTATGAAATATAATAACATATATTTCATAATATTACGGATTATTCTTTGTATTGTGTAATATCATATCTTACTTTTTGTTGACGATACAAATATTTTTGGAGATGCCAAGAGGTTTCGAGTTTTGGAGTAGCTCCCTTTTTTCCATAATATGTATTCTATTATAGGAACAGCATTTGATTGAAGCATGTTCCGTAAGTCATTCAAGAACATTTTTTATAAAAAATGTAGATACGATAATTTTTATATAATTCTTCTGATGTTTTGTTCCTTAGGTCTTGACATCTACCAGATTCTATCCAAAGCTTCTAGAAAAATGTTTCTTACTTAATTTATTCTTATTATTAAAGAAGTGAAGTTTTATATATTTCATACAAAGAACATACTGAATGTCAAAATAATAATTAATTATTTAAAAGCTCAAACATTTTTAAATATTATTATAATTGTGTGCATTTGTTCATTTTCAAGCATAACCTTTGGAAAAAGCTTACATTTTCCATTCATCTAGTAATATTTTTGCACGTAGCAAACGCACATTCTTGTACTTAGCCGTACATGCGCGAAAGCAAATTTCCCTTAATTTTCTAGCACTATCGTAACTGTACATAATTAAACCCCATGCTATTCATCTCAACAGCCTCGTTTCTTTTTCAGGTAATCACGGAACGTATACCGGTTTCGACACCGGATAAATGTCCGAAAGATATGCTCCTTTATCCAGGCGACGGCGTGAAGAGCGCCTGGGTGTGCGACTGTAGATCCCGATTTGTCTACTTTCCAATGAACGATTCCTGTTACGAAGTATACCGGCAGGGTCCCTGCCCGGTGAACCAATTCGTCGTCCTCCCGGAGGACGACGCGGTGCCGCGTTGCGAGGCGAATCCTTGCATCATAGACGGTGTGGTGCCGTTCAACGGCACGTGTCACCTCCTCCAGTCGACTGGTGGTCCCTGCGGGCCCGACGCGGCATTGGGCGTGAACGAGACCAACTTCCAACTGGAATGCATACCGAAGGAGGTCGTGCACTTTTCCATAATCAACACGCCCAGGAGGACCTGTCCGCCGGGCAGTCGTAGAAGCACGCTCGGCGAGTGCAAGAAAGTGGTATAAGTCGCACATTATTTCAATTCATCGCAGCGGGACGTGATGTCGGTATAATCGCATCGACCTTGAATTTTCGAATACCCGCGAGAATCCAGCTCGGCGGAATTATATCGATATCTATCCTTGCTCAGACGCAGAGATCGTACAAATACACACAAATTTCACACAGAGCGGGATATATCGCAACAACAGGTATATTGAATGTTCCAGGGTTAGACGCATTACATTGGGCCGCATCACGTTGACATACTATTACGTCGTAGTACACGTGTATTCACAGCTCAGGATACAGATATGCTCGAATGATGTATTAAATAACGATAGGCTCGTGTAACAAGTTTATCTCTCCTCCTGACGTTGTATACTCGGTTAGATCTGTGTATATTATATCTCTTACACACACATATATAATCAGAAAAATATATACAAAAAAAACAGTATTAAGTTCTCTCTTAATTTCTTACCATGTTCCTACAACTATGCTTGCATTTGTTTGTTACATATTGAGTTACATGTCTGCACCGAATATATACATTGTTATCATATATGACATATATATATACAAATTTTATAATCTAATCTAAAACTAATAGAAAGTCGATTATACAGAGTGTCTTCCAGGTTTCATCGGCCAAATGACGCTAGAATACTCACGGAATATGCTGGCACATTTGGCCGATAAAACATAGGGCACTATGTACAAACAACGGCCCACAATTATGTTGGGAGCGATCACTGTAAAAGAATCTTGCACCCAATTGCAAACGAGGTTTGCACTTTTTGCCATTTTCTAAAAATATATCAATGTACGTATAAACTAACTCGTTCAATAAAAAAAAAAGAACCGTTAAACTATACTATACACCTATTTCGGATTATGCGGTTAATCGAATCTGCATTGATTTCCACTCAAGCGCGACATTCATTATGTGTATTGGCACACGTCCTCGACGATTCTGTGTGCGCATAAAAATGAATGATTAATCATTCGTATTATTGTTTAGGCAAAGTATATGCTCTTGGAAAAAAAAATATATATAATTTCCAATGCTTTTGTGAGTTAACGAGAAGCGCGTTCTTATACGATTTGAGAGATACGGTAGCATTTTAACTCGGTTCCGGTTGCTGATTACTCGTAGTGGCCTCTATCAATCTCTGCCTCTCCCTGTACATGGAGACTTTCATGTTCTCCAGTTGATGGTACCTCAACAGCTTCAAGACTGCGAATACCGACAGGCCGACCCAAACCGTCAGATTGCTCCAGATACCAAAGTGGGCGGCGCCGAGCTCGATGTGGAAACCGGACGTGTCGATACCATCGGCCTTATCGATGTCATTGCCAGCTGCTAACTCGCATGACGGGAACCTCTTTGTCATACACTGACACCATGTCATAAAGCCCAAGGTAACAATGATTGCTGCTATCAGAGTGATAGTAGTCAGAATGATGGAACTGACCACATCGACAAACGCTGAGAGAAACGAGCTGTCTTCATGACGATACATAAGCAAGGACAACCGGTATATCTGTACAGCCGATGTAATGAGAAGCACCAGCCCGACAAATATCGTGTAATTGCAGTACGCCTGTGAGGCCCAGTTGACGACAAATTGACCGTCAGATTCTTGCCACACTCCAGTTGAGAATAGAAGACAGTGTCCTCTGTAATTAAGAGAAAGAGAGAGAGAGAAAAGTCAAATATATGGCTGTCACAGTATATTGTAAGTCATCGTCCGAGTGACGTTTATCATAATCAGGAAATATAAAGTTTGCACAAGCAATTGTTCCTAATAGGCGTAACATTCTTAAACTTGTGAAATGAAACGTTTTCCAAACGTCGATTATCCGACTGTTGCTGATTACTAGCTAGACACTCTACCTGAACTCATTCTGGTGCAGACTCATCGGCACGATGATGCAGAGAGATAGGATGAGGGCCACGACGTAGCCCGCTATTTGACTGAGCAACAAAATATTCGTCAGTGCCATGTTTCAGTAGTGTCCTATGAGCGAACGGTTGTAATTAACTGCGATCCATGTGTTTCAACCTTCGGATCACCGTCGCAGCCCACTCGTGTTATGATACTTGTCAAAACAAGATACGGACGGTACAGCCGTCGCGACGTGATTGCAACCGCCGAGCACAGCGCCGCGCAGTGCGACCAATCCATCGTAGATCGATCATTTGATTGCGCGCAAAGGCGCAAGTTTTCTGAAATCAATTCGTGGATAGACGCGTGTTCAACGAGCGTTCGGCGAGTGATGAAAGATAATGTACAAGGTATTTCTTCTTCGTAGAACTGGCTGCACTAATTGAAGGAATTTACACTGAGAATCGTGCGCGAGATTCACGCGCGCTTCAATGCATACGTTTCTCCAACCGGTGCCGCCAGTTCAGCTAAAAAGAACAGACCAATTGTCACGTCCTCGCGCTCGTCGACCTATCGTCAATCTCTCGTAGATTGCGACTCGAAAGTGGAGCTCACAGTGTGTCCGTCGGAAATAGAAGGAAAGAGAACAAAGAAGAATTCGTAGAACCGCGCGACAAACTTGTTTTTCTCATAAGAGCGAAAGATCGATCGGCTCTACTACGCGTTCGGCTGCTCCAGTCGTCTGATTGGCCGCATGTTATCTGAAGATAATCGGACCGATTTGCAAAAGAGATCTTTCAGTCCCGGACACGCGTGTTTACGATGCGCGAGCGCGGCTGCGCGCAATGACGCACCATCAGCTGATCGAGCGAGCCGAAACGCAGTTTCGACGCTACCCCCCTTCTTGTCGTTCGCGTCGCCAGAGAAAGAGATTCTCCTTCCTCAGAGACTTTATCGGTCCGGAGGGTGGTCGCATTGTTCCGTGAATGTAAACGCGCCAGCAGCATCCACGGGGGGCATCACGGCGCGGATCCTGTCCCGAATCAGTTGATCTTGCTCGATCGTACGGTCGTTTATGCGTACGGCGGTCCATCGGCTGTGCTCCGACGACGGTGCGTCGTACGTTGCATTATGTTCGCGCACGACGCGGACGGTGCGCGCGTCGCGCCCCGCTGCTAAGATATGCTCGTTGACGGCGTACTCGCGACCGGACGATGGTGATGCTCGTCGACGCGGTACCGTATTCGAGGTAGAGAGGATACACGTGGTGAGTCGCGGGCAGCCGAAACCAGCAAGATGTCTTGGATGTCGGGATGCTTCCCATGGTCGGAGAGTATCAAGAAGAGGGCCAGCAGATACCTGCTGCAACGTTACCTCGGCCAGTTCCTGGAAGAGAAGCTGACGTTGGATCAGCTAAACATCGACCTGTACAATGGCACCGGTCGTGTCACCAACGTCAGTCTCGATGTGGGGGTAAGTGAACATTCTGCTGTGATTTCGCGCTCCTTTGTCTCTTTCTCTCGCGCGCTCACTCCTACGGAGAGATAAGATTGCGACCGCGCGAATTGTAAATAACGCCGCGATTCATAACGACTATTGCATATTCTCGCGGTCACGTTTCCTCGATGTGAGCGCGACGAGTTTGCGGGGAACAAAGAGAAGGAAAAGTTTCATCAGTCCGCAGTATCGCGCGATCTCCAACTCGCCGACCATTTAAACGGCTCGATTTAAACCGGTCGATTAAAGGCCCGGAAAATGATTTCAGAGTGTCCTTCGCGTTCCTTAGCCCATTAACTGCCACATTTTTTTTTTGAAATTTTTGCCCGGATAAGTTATGTATATGCACAAAAAGTTGTGTAACAGTATAATTATATTCAAATTATGTTTTGTTTTGATCCCCAAATGGGGATCGTGTCAGCTAATGGGTTAAGATACATTCGTTCCTCAAAGTGTTATTCGTGCTAATTAATTCGTCGATTGATTCGTCGCGCGTTCTCCTCGATATCGCGGCGATATTTATCTGCTGTGCATTAAATGAATTGCTTCACCAATAAATTAACATTCGATATCGTAACAATCGTGTCGTTGTTGACCACTGCGTGACACTCGTGTTAATTGATGTTAATTTATGCGGGTTACCACTGGTAACACGATTGTATAACGCTTCATCGACGCGTTGCTAGTTTCGTTCGCACTTTAATAACGGCGTTTACGCCCGTCTGTTGCTGCAAATAATTCGAGCTATTCTTTTCCCCCGCACGGCGAGATGAAACGTTCGCAAATGGCGCTGTTTCTGGCTGTTCGTGAATTTGCAAATAATCGTTCTAATTTTCGTATCACATATACGTAGAATGCATAAAGCGAATGTTTGTTGCGACAGGCGCTCAACGAATTGGGGGAACAGCAGCAGCTCCCGCTGAAATTCATGGACGGTTTCATTACGGAAGTGTCCATAAGCATCCCATGGGCGGCACTGCTCAGGGAGGCGAGCTATGTGGAGGTGAAGAGTCTCAGGCTCACGGTGCAGCCGCGACAGAGATCCGACACAGGCACGTCGATGTTCGAGTCCATGTGGAGTTCGATGACGTCGAGTATGCAACTGGCGCAGGAGTGTCTGCAACAGGACCCGACCAACGCGACCAACACCCAGCCTTTGGAGGCGGTGGAGATGTTCGCGCAGACGATAGATTCGAGTAAAGAGTATACCGTACACTCGCTCCCGCCTTTCTCATCAGACCGATAACTTTGCTGTTTCATTTCAGTTTTGTCCAAAGTGAAAGTGAGGTTCACAGATACTGTGATACGCCTGCAGCACCTCCCTCAGGACTCGTCCACGGGAGTGGCGATAGAAATGTACATAAAGACTCTCGAATATACGGACGAGGCTGGATTGGATCCCAGTAGCACGTCCTTGGATTGCAAGGAGTCCGCAAAAACGTACATCATCTCGGCGTTCACCACCAAGCGGTTTTACCTGGACGGAGTGAACTTCCACACCGACGAGTTTCCTTCGCACACGAGAACACTGTCCAAGAGTATGGCGGAAAGCACGTGCTCCACGCCTGATTCTAAAGTTAGTATGAACGAACCGCTTTTCTCAGAACGATATTGCAGAGACAAATCTGCGAATAAAAATAAGCAAAAAAAGGAAAAGCAAAACCAAAAGTTATTTTTCAAATTTTACACCAACTTTTTCTCTCTTTCTCTCTCTCTCTCTCTCCCTCTCTCTTTTTCTAACGCGACAGAACTCGGACAGTCTGTTTTCTTCCGCGCTAATGTCTCCTACGCAGAACGCGCCGCACACTCCGCCGGAGGGAAATACCGCTAATAATGCGAGCGAGTCGAATCCTATCATGTTTGCCAAGCTGGCGGGTAGACAAGAAGTGAGATTAAAGATAAAGCAAGAGGAAGGAGTATCGGGACCAAAGGTATCAAATCAATTTTCACACATCGATTCTTCGGTCGGATCCTCAAACGGTATCCGAGATGACGTATTAATTTGTATTCTTTTCGCTGAAAGTGAACACGTCGTACGTTCGTTTCAGGTGGAACTGGAAATTAACTTGGGATCTCTCACTCTGTTCCTGAGCCCCAGGCAACTTCACGTCCTGTTGGAATTAGCGCACGGCCTAGCGTCCCCGGGTCGAGAAGACGTCAGTAACGTCGTGCCGAGGAGCTTCATGGAAAAACCTATGGCCGGCAGCGACTTTAGTCGCATAGAACACGAACTCATCCATCAAACTTATCCCTCACCGGACTTGAGAAGCACGGTAAATGACGTTCATCGACGTGCCGATGTTTCTTAGAAACGTTGTTTGTTTGGAAGCGCAAATTGTAATAACGCGATCTTTTTTGTTTTATATATTTCACCAGGATTTACGGTACACTCAAGGATGGTCCACGGACCCTGTGGACGAGTCTGACAACGAAGACGAATTCTTACCGATGCAACTGCCGGGCTCGATGAGCGGCTCAATGATGAGCAACAATATCAGTATGGAGGGCAGCATATCCACCAGCAGCGTCAGCTCGAAGAGCTCAACGACGAATCTGTCCAAGCAGAACAAGCACAGGTACAATGCGGACAACGACACTTCGGCGGAGACATCTCAATTTCACATGAGAATGTCCTCGGTCGCTCTGGTTCTGTTGCACGAGGATATACTGACACCGTGCGTGGAGGGACGGTTCACGGTCGGTCTCACCTCCAGTAGCATCAAGCAGATGGGGAGTATCGCGAAGGAATTCTTCAAGCAACTGGGAATGTTCGCGACAGGGGGCTACGGAAGCAAAGATTTCGACAAAGTGTCGAAATTGCTCGTCGACGCCTGTCGGCTCAGTCATATCAGGTATGCATCATGTTGGCGCCGAGCGGACAGCCAATGAAAAGTCTCGCGGTTGCAGATTACTAGCCGCGCCACTAGTCGTCGAGGGAAACGAGAAGACTACCAGTCAGTTCTCCACGATATCGGGAAACTTGACTTTAGCTTGTTTGGAAGTTGTCGAGTGCCTGGTCGACTCCACCAATCCCGGTTCGTACGGAACGCCGACGATGGAATTCGTCGAACTGCTCGGATTTTCGAAGGAGAACGCGAGCGAACTTGGCTTTTCCAATAAGACGGACTTTAGAATGAGATTCAAGTACACGGAGAAGGCTGTCCGGCACGCTCATTCGACGCGATTTACACACCCACGCACAGAGATCGAGTGAGTTGTAGCTATGCGGCTCCTTAAATGTGATGGTTTGTGAAAACGATACCACGTTCTTCGACGAGAACTGTCAATTCGCGATCTCATTTTTCAGCATTCAGCTGGAACCATGCAGGAGCGAAGTGGACATGACGATTATAGATAGGATATCTGCTGTACTGAATCCGCAGCCGATATGCAATCCTGTAGTGAATACCAGAGATGTGGTAAAAGTTTCATTTCCATTAGAACATCTCCCGGTGAAGAAGAATCGAGTTCTCAAAGTCGAAACTCCTCATTTCACGCGAAAGAGAAACGTTTCCACGCGTAGTAGGTGAAATGAAGTTTGAAATCGTTTTCAGAATCAGCAAACGTCCTTCGATCAGGCTGTGGACAGCACAACACTCCCAGACTCGAGGGTGGACGTGAAGATATCTTCCTCGTCGTGCACGGTTAAACTAAGGTATCGCCTGTTAAAAGGTTTCGCCTCATAAAATGGCTAGAGTGCCCTTTCTCACGTAGGTTTCCCGTGCCGGATCTAAGACCGCTGCACGATATGAATCGCGCTCCGTGGTGGAAGAGATCGGTGAGGCCCGACTACATAATACTGCAGATGACGGACGCACAAATTCGCTTCGGCACGGAGAGCCGGTCGCACTGTCTGGCGAGGTACGAGTTGCAGTGTCGCCGATTGTCTCTTTCGTACGTGGAGACCGAAGGGGACGCTCCGCTGGAGATCGGTCGAGTGACGGCCGACGAGAAGAGCGACGCTTCGTATCAGCAGGTGAGCGAGGGCTTCGGCTGGGCGAGAGTGGTGATCACGACGTATCCGCGGCGTCTCGGCGCACAATTGGAGGACAGCTCCGAGGGAGAGCCCGACTCGAGTTTGGACGAGAGCCTGGAGAAAACGCCGAAACACGAGCCTTCCCCGTTTAGCTCGAAGCGCGTCATTCGCGAGTCCGACACGCCTCACTCGAGGTCTCACGAGCAGACGGAGAAGCAGAGGTTGGCGAATATTTTCAACCCGGCGATTTCGTCTCTTTTCCTCGCGAATCGATACATCGTTCTCCCTTGACCAACAGCGAAGGCGAGGAGCTGATAATCCCCGGCAATCGGCAGGAGATGTTGGAATTCATGGAGGAAGGCACACGCGACTCCAGGCTGCAGCTGGACATCAGTCTACCGTGCGTTTCCCTGCAGATACCGTCGAAACGCGTTTACGAGCTGCTGTACAACCGATTCAACACCGATCTCTTCCTGTGGGAGCCGTCGGCGCCGAAACCCAGATGCATGTCGGAGACTCACGTCGGCCTCGACCTGGCGTCGACCCTCTTACCGGAGTCCGGCTCACTGCCCAGGTACGTTCCGCGAAATTTCCCTCCTCGACGCGTTCTTCAACACGTGCTCGACAGATTCCGGATGTGCAAGAGCGGCGTTCAGTGCTCGGACTCGGACTCGGACGACGAGGACGCGTTTCACTCGACGGAGGACTACTACAAAGAGCGGACGTCGAGGAATCCGATGGAGGCGCAGAGCAGGGTGGCGGTGACCGTGAACATAAACCAGGGTCTGCTGGCGATGCGGACGCCGGTGCGCGATTCCACGCGCAACGTCATCCCGATGCAGCACGGCGAGGTGGTGGTGCGGCTGGAGGACGCGACGATATTCTCGGTGACGGGGTTTCGCGGCGACGACGATCTCGGCTACATGTGCGGCATGGCGAGGAAGGTGCGGCTGAACCACTGCGGCCTAGCGAGCAGCTCGTCGCAGACGGCGGCCTTGCGATCGGTGAACAGCGCGACGCCGCACTGCCACGACACCATCTATCGCAGCGAGACAGGGTGCAGCGCCGGCGGCAACGACGCGGACATGGTGACGCTGGCGGTGAGAATACAAGCGGCGCATCAGACGCACCGCGTGAAGACGTTCCGGGTGGCGGTCGGCGTGAGGAATTCCACGCTGAGGCATCGGATGTGCTCGAACGCGACCGCCTGGTACACCCAGCTGATCGATTGCCTGGACGTGGCCGACCACCCGGTGCCCGGCTACGCGCCGCCGGGCGTCCTCACCGAGCTGCACCTGCACCTGTGGGAGTGCGCGGTCGACTACCGGCCGCTCCACCTGCCGCTCAGGTCCGTGCTGACGCTGGGCAACTTCAGCGTCTCGAGCAACATCGCCGCGCAGACGAACACGTCGACGCTGCGCTTCATCGCCGAGGAGGTCGCGCTCTTCGTCTCGGACAAGACGTCGGGCAAGTGCGTCGACCTCAGACGGGACTACGTGTGCGCGGTGAACCTCGGCCTGTTCGAGCTGTCGCTGCGGCTGAACGAGAAGATGTGCGGCGGCGCGCCGCGCGTCGATCTCCGCGCGAGCAACAACGTGCTGCACGTGCGCACCTGCTCGGACTCGGGTCGCGCTCTCATGCAGCTGCTCAACTACATCGCCAGCGACGGCGACCTGCTCCCGCCAGCAGGCGCCCAGCAGCCGCCGGGTCGCGGCTCGCCCGACGAAGAGAGCCTCGTCGACGTGGAGAGCGTAAACACCCTGAGCAGGAGCCAGGTGGAGCGGGTCTACAGTCTGATGGAGGACGCGCTCGAGGAGAAGGGGGCAACGGCGGCGCGCAACGTCGACGGCGGGACCCCGATGACGGAGAATCGGGTCGAGGTGTTCTTCTTCCCCGACGAGGCGCAGAGCACGGCGCGGAAGAGCGCGGAAGAGCGCGCGAAAACCACCGTCGACACCGTCGAGTCCGACGACGCCGACGAGGAGTTCTGCATCCTGGGGGAGGAGGCCGGCGTGGGAATAATGCCGCGCTGCGGCGTGCCCGAGGTCCGCTGGCTGTGTCAGGAATCCCTGAGGATAGTCGACAACCACTTTTACGTGCCGGTCGGCAAAGCGGATCTGCTGCAGGCTCCGCCCAACTTCCCCGCGCCCGTGCTCAAGTACACCCTCTGCGAGATGACGCTGATATGGCACATGTACGGCGGCAGGGACTTCGAGGAGGCGGCCTGCCATCAGAAGCACGTGACCATCAACGAGAACAACGCGCGTTGCGTCAACCACGGAAGGTAATCGCGAATCTGCTAAACCCTCGTCAAGTCGACCTCATTTCCTTCCTCTCCTTCCGCAGAAGCAGATCCGCCGTAGGTGGGGTGAGCTTCAGCAAGTCCAGCTCGAACGAGGTGCATTTCGGCAGCGTGCCGAATTCACCGTGCGCAACGAGAAGCAGGGAATCGTTGATCGACTGGCAGACGCTCGGCGGGCCGGCTCGACGGCACGACGTGCTGATGGAGCTGCAGCTGAACAAGATCCGCTTTCAGCACGAGGTCTATCCGGAGAACACCGCGGAAGCGTCCAGGCAGGTTCTCTTGGTGAACGAGATCGAAGTGAGGGACCGACTGGCGTCCTCGCGTATCAACAAATTCCTTTATCAGTACAGCAGTGAGGCGAGACCGAGGCAGTCTCACGCCAATATGTTTACCATGAAGGCGGTTCACGTAAGACCGGATCCCAGATTAAGCGCTCAAGAGTGTTGTTTGAAACTTAGCCTACTGCCACTGCGACTGAACATAGACCAGGATAGCCTACTGTTCTTAATACAATTTTTTAACGAACTAGGCGGTGGTGGATCGAAGCAGAGCCAAGAAAGCACACCCTGCAATAGCTCGCGATCCACCCCCGTATCGAAACAAGGAACACCCACGCGTCATCCGCCCGTTATGAGCGTGAATGATGATGCGTCGATGAACGACGCGATGATGAATATGTCGCGGAATGATATTATTGATCAGAATTTATTGATACTGCTGGAGGACGAACTGACGATCAAGGAGCACAAGACGAAAGCCAAGACCGTCTACGAGGCGTACGACGACAGCCAGCCGATATATTTCAGGTGCGTTCGATTGCGCTCGAAACAGTGCCTTGCGAAACAGCCCGTTCTCTCCGTTCGCAGAAGCGTCGTGTTCTCGCCGGAGGTTCTCGTCAAACTCGACTACCAGGGCAAGCGCGTAGACCTCACCCACGGACCGTTGGCCGGCCTGCTGATGGGCCTGGCGCAATTGAACTGTTCCGAGTTAAGACTGAAGAGATTGTCCCACAGATACGGACTCCTCGGATACGACAAGCTGCTCGCGTACCTTGCTTCGGAGTGGTTGCAGGACATCAAGAAGAATCAACTGCCGGGTTTGCTCAGCGGCGTAGGCCCGATGTACTCGGTGGTGCAGCTCTGTGAGTACCAGACACTCTCTCTCCAGTAGTACTAGCGAGTAGTTCACCGTCTCGTCATTGCAGTTCAAGGAATACGCGACCTCTTTTGGCTGCCCATCGAACAGTACCAAAAGGACGGGAGGATCGTGCGCGGCTTGCAACGCGGCGCGAACAGCTTCACGACGTCCACCGCGATGGCGGCCTTGGAACTGACCTCCAGGCTCGTGCACGCGATACAGAGCACAGCGGAGACCGCCTACGACATGGTCAGCCCCGGTCCCAGCGTGAGGTACAGTAAGAATAAAGGGCAGAAAGGCCGTCGAAAGAGGCACGGTCAGCCGTTGGACATTCGAGAAGGGGTGGCGAACGCCTACATCTTGGTCAAAGAGGTATATTCCGAGCGAGTGAAAAATAGCCTCCCAGAGATAACATCGATTTAACCTATTGTCCAGGGTCTGGGCGAGACCGCGACGCAGCTGGTCCGTGTGGCGAGCGAGGAGCACCAGCACAAGGGTGTATCCGGTGCGGTCGGCGGGGTACTGCGACAAATTCCGCCGACGGTCGTCAAGCCGATCATCCTCGCCACCGAGGCAACCAGCAACGTGCTGGGCGGCATGCGCTCGCAGCTGGTGCCCGATGCGCGCCGCGAGGCCGTTCAGAAGTGGCGGCAGGACTCCGACGCGAGTTAATCGAGCGCGCCGCTCTGCTGAGAAATCTTCGTTACAATTTCCTCGCGGAAGAAGAGACGCCAATCTGTACAATCGGATCGATCGATGGACGCACCGAAGCAGAGGAGGAAAATACGCGAGTATCGTCGTTAGGCTCTAATTACGGACAATGTTATATATACAATATTAACATAGTGTAATATATTTCTATTCCGTTGATTTTCTTGTCTAAACGATTTGTGTATGTGTGTGTATACACGCATGCATATATATATAGAGAGAGAGAATTGCGTCGCAAAAAAATACATTACAATGCTTGTATGTATTTTTATTTTAATTATGCGTGTGCGTTTTATACCAATGATATGTATATGAAAGATTTTTATTAATAAAAATTATATATATATACGATAGGAATATATATATATGTATATATATATTACTCTCGATACACACGATTACTGCACGCGTCCTCTTCTTAGAGTTCGACAGCCACTTGTAACGATTTTTTACACATTTCACCATTTTTCCCTCCGACGATATTTTGTACACATGTAGTTTCAAGTGCAGAAAGTGTAACATTCAACGAATACACCACGAATCCTTTTCCCCTTCGAAAAGCTGGCTGGAAGGTGCAGAAGAGGGCAGTTGAAAGAACAACGCTCGTCAGTAGCGAAGCCAGTTTGACGGAGCGAGGCGCGTGCGGAAGATGCGACAGAACGGTCGTTTCGCGTGAATTCGCGCGCGACGAAAGAGAGAAGAGAAGACGCGAATAAAATTTCGGCCAGCCGAGGTGCGGAAACGATGTTACGTTCGACACGCTCCTGTAGGATCAAATGAGGGAAGCTGGCCCCCGTCGTCTCTGGAGATCTCGAATCGGAATGGTTTCCCTGACGCGAGTCTGTTTCGTCGTGCTTCTATATGGTAAGCGTTTCCTTCGCGGGTTGCTAAAAAGTCGGTTTTGCTTGACACATCGCCCGATTAATTGAATTCACGTCGTTACGCCGCTTATGAACGAATAATCGCATTATACGCGCGAAACGCTTTCGCGATGTATCGCGATCGATGTGAGCTTGTCTCGCCGCAATCAACAGATTCGACAGCGCACCACTCAATCGCAAAGTATCTTTAGTCGTGCACTTTTTTGTCATTGAAATACATTTTAGCTTTTTCAGCGATTTTGACGCATACGGCAGCGTCGCGCGTGATTGAATTGAGTGACAGGTGAGCTTTTTGCTTGAGTTCCCGTTCAAAGATCCGCTGTCTTTTAATACGTACATTTCTCTCGCCCTCTAGATTTCTAGATATACATAAAGACGGACAATGGCTAGTCATGGTACGTTGATCGCCCATAAGACACCGTTCTATGCTGTTTGGGTGGTACAGCTGATTTTCTTTTCCAGATGTACGCACCGTGGTGCGCGCATTGCAAAAGATTGGAGCCAATTTGGGCTCATGTAGCTCAGAATTTGCACGCTACGTCGATACGAGTAGGACGAGTGGATTGCACCAGGTTTACCAGTGTGGCGCATGCATTCAAAGTCAAAGGATTTCCCACTATTCTGTTGTAAGCATCTCTCTCTCTCCCTTCCTTTAGCTACCGTTAAACAGCAATGTCTCACAAGTTTGATTCACAGTTTAAAGGGTGAACAGGAGTTTATATATCACGGTGACAGAACCAGAGATGAAATAGTGAAATTTGCTTTAAGACTAAGCGGTCCTCCTGTGCAAGAGATAACAAGGACCCAAAGCTTTGACACCATAAAGAGAGAACGCGATCTCTATTTCTTATATGTGGGAGACAGATCTGGAGTCTTATGGGTAAATCTTTTCTTTCTCGCATTCTTCACACACAATCTCATGTACGTACGAGTAGTTAAAAAATGTTTGTATATTACAGGAACTTTACCACAAGACCGCGAATATATTTCAAGCACATGCATTTTTCTACCAGTCTCACCCAAGCGTCGTGAATAAACACGCGCCGGTGGAGAATGTTCCGGCACTGTTCGTGTACAAGGAGAGCTCGCATTACAATTTTACTGGTGAGCTGAGGAAATATTATCTCGCGCATTTTGCACGCACTGCGTTACGTTGAATTCGCAGGGCACGATCAGGTGGACGTGGAGAGGGCAAACGAGACGTTGTACAAATGGGTAAACGCGGAACGTTTCCCGACCTTCCCGAAAGTGACCAGGGGAAATATCAATCAATTGTTCCTGACGAATAAAAATCTCGTTTTAGCGGTAGTGGAGGAAAATCAGCTGGAAGAGGTCGCACCCGACATGCTGGAATTCAAAGATATGGTCGAATCCGTAATCAAGAGCAAACGAGACAAGTATCACGAGTACGTAACACTATTGTCGGATGTGTAGCGGAAGCGCTGAATATCAATATTGACACGAATCGTGTTCAGCCATTTTCAGTTCGGCTGGATAGCTAGTCCCGATCTAGTCAATAGTATAGCGATGATGGTGCTACCATTACCGAGTTTAATTGTGATAAACACGACCACGAATCATCATCACATTCCTGAGGACGAGACGGGAAAATTAACCCCGTACGTGATAGAGTTGTTTTTGGAGCAGATTCGTGACGAGAGCGCCCCGGTACGACAGCGTTCCTCTCAGAATGTTCGACTCAATGTTTGAACAACATTGATACTGATGATGAATTTTTAGCGGTACGGTGGAAACGGCTGGCTGGTACGTGTTTACAGATCTTGGTTCGAGTTGAAAACCACCCTCGCAGCAATGTGGAGGGGCAATCCTACATTGACGTTGTTATTGTTTGGACTACCAGCTGGATTTCTGTCGTTAATATGTTACGGCACTTGCTGCCAGGATATCTTGGATGCTGACGACGAAGAAGAGGGTAATTCTCTTGAGAATCTGTCGTGTCCTTCATGTTTATATATATATTTTTTTATGTATACTATATATATATATTTATTTATGTATGTATCTAGATTTTTATATTAATTATTTTGTTAGCGCTATATGTTATTATTATACATATTTTCAGAAAACACCGGGTCAAGTCATATGAAGAAAGACTAATTATGGATAATATCGTACAGAACTCCGAGACACATTTTTCATTATGTATAGTGTATATAAGCGCTTATGATTGCTTCTGTGACATTCTTGACGATATTTGCCGAATCATTAATAAGAACATGAGGAGTTTCACGCAGCGACGCGTATCGCTGATCCCACATAAATTTTCTTCCTTCTTTCTTTTCTCAATGGTCAATCGTGCGTCTCAATCTTTCTCTTTCTTACGACTGAGTTATATGTGTCAAAAAGTGATGTGTATTCCACGTGACAATACAACCTATTGAGGTAAGCGAGTATGTACACACTCGGAAAATATCTGTCTTTTTAACACAGACTTAATAAAAAAGATGTAAGATATAATATCAAAATTTTGTACATTAAAACGCGATCGTTTATTCTCACACACACACTCACACACACACACACACAATGCATGAAATTGTATTCAACATCAAACAGCATTGGTTTTTTTTATATATATATGAGTAATATATAATGATAACAATATGTAGTATTATGTAAGTCGTGCGGAATTGTTATTTGTTGTATCGTGTAGACTGAAAGTGTGATTGTGATCTCTGCTTTGAGAATGAAAAATAGTCCTACGTGAGCGTGTGCCATCTCGCAATTGCTGGAAATGTCTATTTATATGTATCAAATAAAAAATGAAAAAGAGGAAAAACGAGAAATATCGCAAATATTTTTCCCAATGAACTGCCAGTATCCATCTATAGTTTTAGGTGATATTTAATTTATCAAGTGAGGAGCAGTATTGAAAACAGTCTTACTTTCAAGATCCTTATAATCAGTATTTATAACTTTTATTTGAATATGGCATAAAAATAAAGATATATGACTATGCGTAAAAGTATGTGATCTAATTGTAAAGGATTACCTGCAACATTTTGAAACGAAAAGTGCTAAAATTCACTGATTATTTAGCAATCATAAATACAAAATTTGCACAGTTGCTATAACTCCATATCGTCGTCAGAATCCAAGGCTGCTCTTCTTCTATCAAACTAAAATGTAAAATTTCAGCATCATTATCTAAACTTGTAAATTGCTGCTACGTTATCAGACTGCATACGCAATTGTAATGCACTTACTTTGACGGTTGTTTTCCTCTGTGTTTGCTGATTTACACTCTCGAGTAAACTAATCAGTTCTTTTTCTCCAAGTTTACCAGCTATTTGACCACGTTGTGCCATATTTACGAGCATTTCTTCTACCATTTTTCCCTTCTCTGGTTTTCCAAGACAAAGTGTATTCACTGTCGATAAATGCGAAACATCATAACAACAATTACTGACATCATAACAACAGTTACTGACTTATTCATGCAATATCAACAATGTAGCGAAAGTTACATCTTGCTCTGGCCGATTGATCTAAAACCTGAGTTAATATAGAGTTCCTCATATCTTCCATCTGTTGCATTCTCTCTTCCATTGCTTGCTTATTATCGACATTGTTACCCTGAAAAATTATATATACTAAATAATTTTAAGTAATCCTAATTTGTTGAAATATATATACACTTGATTTGCTTGGATACTTTTTTTCCAATGCAGTTCGGGACGCAGCCAAAGTGCTACTAATTTCTAAATAAAATATTAATTCAATTTCATTGGAACATCATTTCGGACTGTATCGAACAAATGTTCAAAACATTTTCAAACCAAGTGTACACAATGCGCACTTAACCTAAATAATACATGCAATTCTGCAATCGGGGTGCTTGGAATAACATTAAAAAAATAATATGTATCGCGGTCACATTGTATATTTTATCCATTTTAACCCTCATAAAACATTATATAGCACACGAATATCCGCAGGCAATCCTCCTTAGTTAACGTGTTTCGGCGTTTCGTAACGACGCAATTACCTTGTATTGAGACTGCAATTGAGCCAGTCGTTGCTGTCGTAACGCTTCGAGTTCCGGATCCGACATCGCGCTCCGTTAGATCACAAAATTAAATCTACAAATGTGCTCGATAAATGTATCTGTCAAACCCAGGCTTTACCACAACGACCCATTAGGGCATTCATCGATGACGTTCGTACCATAGAAGAGCTTCGAAGCGGCCATGCCGATGTTCTACTTGAGTTACGTTCGGAAACACACAATATGCACACTGGACTTTAGACACACTAGAGCCGGTATTCAGATCTTATGTTTAAGACCGTCCCAAGTTCAGATGCTTCGTAGCCAATGAAATAAGCCATGCAGCATTTGAAGATAAATTTAAGACGGTTGGGAGAATTCACACCTTGACAAAAAAGCAGCAGCCAATCAGAATTCGCGCTGGTAGTAAGCAGTAGATAAAGCAAAAACGGTCGACTACCAGCGCAAGTTCCGATTAAATACCGCTTTTCTGCTTTTCTGTCAAATCCAACCTGGAATTAAAAGTTATACTGACTCGTGTGTGTAGGATGTTCGTTGTTCGTTATTCACATAAAATATTTGCATTGAACCCTACGTCACTGAATTGTATAAAAGTGAGAAAGTATCGAAAAAATATTTTTAACAATTCTAGTATACTGGATATATGATACGAGGTATGTCGGCAAAATTTAAACACAAAGTTTGCATCTCATGAACAGAATCTTTACCGAGAAAGTATTCTTGTATTTAAGAAGTAAGCAGTCTTGTATTTAAGAAAGTATTTCAGAAGAAAATAGTCTTTTATTTAAGAAAGTATTTTTGTGTTTGTTAGAACAATATGTTTTGAACGACTTGTCGAAATCTTTTCACAAATGGCATATATATACAATCAATATCTGTGTTGACAAGAGACGATTCCAAATTATTTATACATATCTAGAACGCACATTTTATTTTAGATTTTAATATAAAAGACAGAATATCCTCAGGCGGTCCATTTCAAGCATCTTGTATCAAGGTGAGTACCTAGACACTTGACACAACAATATCTGGCACCACAAGGTATGCAAGTGTAATTGCTGGGAAAACCACAGACCGCACAGAAATGTCTGTCGGGGAAACGAGATGGCGGTGCCTGGGCACAGGCGTAATTCGGAGGATTCGGATTCACATTGAGATCCTCCTCCACCAGCTGGGCAAAAGTCTTGCGAAAGCGTTGTTTGTAGTATTCCGCAGATCGAGTCTTTTTCTTCCTACTGGCGTCCCTGCTATCCAGAGTCTCTTGGAATTTCGGTACTTTCTTGCTCATCACTGAAACAGGAATGACAATGCTATTGTTTGCTTTGTGAAAGAAGGATGACGTACATCTCTATTATTCACCCAGATCAGCATGTGGGTCATCGTGAAAGTTATCTTGCTCCAATGCTTCCAAGGCCTTCTTCTGTCGGCGTTTACGCGCTGCATCATCGAGCACCCTCTTCTGATATGCATCCTTTATCCTGCCAGATTCGCGAGCAGCCATTCTCTTCTGAAGTTTCAATCGTTTCAACGGTGCCCTTTCTTTTGCCTAATCTTTGCATTCACATTCCTTTCTCCGCCAATGGGAAGGATATCTGATCCATCAGATCATCCACTTTAGCTTGCAAAGTTTCCAATATATCAGCAGATATAAACAGGTGTCTCTCGTCCAGATCTTGAATTATGAATTTCTTTCCCAATGCACTTGTATCATCCAGGTGAAGAAGAAACTGTTTCATAGCTGCATCACTAAAAATGCAGTTTCTACAATTGTATCGTATAGAAATATCTGTGAAATATAAATATATACTCGCTATAGGTACTATGTCGAAACGTAAAGGCGTTTCTCTCGACGAGAAACGCATGCGAATGCTACAAATATTCTACGAGAAGAAAGAGTTCTTCACGCTGAAGGAGATTGAAAAGATCGCACCAAAAGAGAAGGGCATTATAGTGCAATCCGTCAAAGATATATTACAAGCACTGGTGGACGACGATTTAGTACGAGCCGAGAAGATCGGCACTTCCACTTATTTTTGGAGGTTCCCAGGGTAATATATATATATATATATATATATATTCTGAAACGATCGTTTTTCCAATACGTGGAAGTATGGAAGAATTTTAACGAATGTGTGTGTGTGTGTATCCCACAGGGAAAATATTACCACGCTGGAGCGTACAATAGCCGATACGTCCAAAAAAATTGTCGAGGCGGAATTTAGGCTTCAAAAGCTGAATGAAGAGATCGCGAAGCAGAAGGTGACGATGGAAATCCTCGTATACGTACTCGATACTATATAAGTACAAGTTAAATGTTACCTTTTTCGCAAGCGTTTAGATACGTACCCAATTATACACGTAGTTACACAACTAGATACTTAGTTTAATCGATCGCAAATGTATTCATCCAATTGTGTAAATCATATATTTATTGCGTAGGAACTGAAAAAGGACACGGAAGAGAGGACAAACTTGTTGCGAGAAGTGGACCGACTGAGAGAAGAAGAGCAAGAAATAAAACGAAAGATCGTTCAGTTCAGTGGCGTCGATCCAGAAACGATTACGGAAATGGGCAAGGAAGTAAAGGTACGATCGATAAATGTATTCGGAAAAATTTCTTAGGAACAAACGATTAAATGATGTTTAATGACACCTGACAGAAGTACAAGGAAGCGATTAATGTGTGGACGGACAATATTTTCGCCATTCAGAGCTGGTGCAAGAACAAATTCAGCATCCCCAAGGGAGACCTTAATAAGCAATTTAACATACCGGAGGACCTGGATTATAAAGAATAAAGTCTTCTTCCATCAGTTTACACGAATTCTACCTCGTTACTTGTCTAGATTTTTTTTTACAAACGTACCATTCGACCAGGATGCCCTTGGTGACATTTACCATGTCTGAATAAAATATCTCAGTAGTCGTTCGTCAATTTTCCTCTTTTTTTTTTTACAAATGTGAAACCTTTATCTCATCTCCAATAATATTTAGCTCGCAACTCGTCCGTTCACCACGATCGTCCGCTGGTCACTGCGTTCCAACTTAACCTGATCTCGACTTAACCTAACCTAACCCAAAAAGGTGGATCAAACTTTTGAAACATGCATTTCGGAAAGATTGCTTATATTAGTGGTGTACATAAGAAGTTTTGGACACACAAGAATGAATGTATAAATAGATGCGGATAAATAAATTTCTGATGTTATCCAACTAGCTCTCTTCAACGCGCATGTTCGCACCATGCGTATTCGATAGATTTTGCTGTGAAAAAAAAAAATCGCACATAATGGGTCAAATGCGTGACGATAGTGTCAGTTGATATAATTTAAAGATAACAACGATTGTACTCTCAAGACCAAACATCATTGGACAAAACAGCCCTAAATCTGTTCTCGTCGAGATAAAATTACCGCGCGTTATAATACTCGTTATTTTCGATCCACATAGAAACAAACCTACGTAAGAAACGTTCCGCTTATGAAAATTTGCGGTCAATCGAGCACAGCTAGCGCCATCTGGCGGCCAGTCTCGTGTGCATGCGTCGATTGCATCAGCCATTAAAATCCTACGAATTCGCGACTTGAGGCCAGCCAGCGCTTCGACATCGATCGGACCTGTTATTCGTGATCGGACTATTGGTCGGTTGACTTCAATCGTGTGCGTGTTTGTGTGCGTGTAACACAACGTGCGGTAAGTACTGGATGCATTCGCTCATTCATTCTCTCGCTCACGCACGTACATACGACGAACTTTACCTTTCAAATTTTCACCTCGAGTTATCCGGGAGAGCACCGTACTCGGTGGTGCTCGGTGAATACCACGTGTTCGCTCGTTTCCATTTCGTTCCTGAAGCACGATTTCCGAGTCAATTTCGGAACCACGTCCGAGACTCCGGGAACAACTCGGAGGAGAAATGCCTGCGGATGTAGGTGATTGTTCGTAGAAAATTCGGCAAGACTCTCGACCGCTTTTTTCCCCACCGTTTCGCGACTCGTCCGACATTTCTCTTTATATACGACCGCCCGAAGCTTACGTAATTCTAACCCTGGCCCTGAGCCAGTGTTAGAATGTACTAGAATACTTACGGTTTTAGGTCCCCGCGAATGTTCTGTCTCTTTTGAGAGAGGCCGGGAAAGGAAGATGACGAAAACCCCGCGAGCGGGGCTCTCCTGGAAAGCATTGCCACTTTCGATCGATTGATTGAAATTTGAAATTTCTTCAATTATAAACTGATAAACTTGAATGACTTTTGCGACATCGCTTGTGACATCGTGGGCTAATCGTGCTTATCGCTATTACGGTCAAGATAAAGAAGCAGGAAATCAATGAAATCATGATATGGATTAAAAGACATGGATAGAATCGCAGATAGTGTTTCGCTAAGCTTATTCCAGCGCGATTCCTCTTTGTCCCTTTGACTCTCGTCTCGCTCTCTGGAATGAGCCAAAGGTTCGACGAATTACGTCACGGTCACGTTCGCGCACGTGCTTCGCAACATCTTTTACTCCGAGCGGCTTAACGCCACTTGTTTGAGATATCTGGATGATCTTGACACACCACGATCGGTTACGTCACGACTTTTTACCTTAATGTGATAATGACGTTTGCGACACGTCACTGGACACGTCGTGACGTATCGAGGAAAGAGAAAATTTGATTTCTTACATAATGGCGAGATGCTGCATTATCGAATTTTGCAGAAATATTTTTGCGTCTTCATTTATTTTCTTACAAACGTACCGTGTAATATTTTGGGATTTATTGCGCAGTCTTTCAGTATTATTGCAAGTTATTCCAGGTGAATTTTGAGACAGGGATTTTTGACAGGGAAATTGTTCACGTTTGTGTGTACAGTTCTCTCTCTCCCTCTCCCTCCCTCCCTCTTTATATAACAAAATGTTATATAATATTATAAATATATCTCACACAATTACTGTATATTACTTCACATATATTGTAAATGTATTGTTAATATCGATTGTTTTCAATTTCTCTGACGAAAGTATATTTCGTACAAAGTATATGTTGCAAACAGATTTAGAACATTAGAACAATAACTCATATATAAACTTCTCCCGCATATTTCTACTCGCTCATGCATTCTCTCTTCGGAGCCAATGATTTTGAAATCACTGTTGCGAAATGATCATCGTATCTGCCATCGGTCGATTAGAATGTCGTTGCTCGTCGATGGCTATTTTAATTCATCGAAAGCTCAATCCTCATTTTTAATTTCATTCATTAATCTTTATCCACTTCTGTTTCGTTATCATGGCAATTTTCTCATAATCGAATATCTTTTTTCAGTCTGCAGAATTAAACAAAGATGGGTGTTCCTGATGGTGACGTAGAAAAAGGAAAGAAGGTAATAAACACAGTCGTAAGAGTAATTCATGATATATAAAGTAATTTTACAGAACGGTAATTTACTCGAATTTTCCCCTCAGCTTTTCGTGCAAAGATGCTCACAGTGCCATACCGTCGAGGCGGGTGGCAAACACAAAGTAGGTCCCAATTTACACGGTCTTATAGGTAGGAAAACTGGTCAAGCGTCGGGTTTTACGTACACGGAGGCTAACAAAGCTAAAGGTAAGTCATTTGATCGAGGGATTTAATAAGTTAAGACTGGAAATATGTCCAAACGACCTTAGATTATTGTCAACAATACAGACCGTACTATGCAGCGAGTCCTACAACTCGCGACTATAATTTTGATGAAAGACTCCTTTCATCAAACTCCGATTAAACTAATCGTCGATTAATCAATAAGATTGTTAACAGAAATTTCAAGCTATGTAATTCAACAATGTCGTTCAACAATAATCAAGAACCATGCATGGCAAGATAGAACATTTTACACTTGATAACACTGTGATCGAATTTTTTAATGTAGAATATAAACAGAGAATATGACAGAGAGATTTTTTATTCGTTTTAATGATAATAAATTGTATTTTATTTTCCATATTAGCAACTATACTCGCTAAATTGATCGTCGATTAGCATAAGCAGAATTTGGGCTTGAAAGTCATTTGCAAGAAAAATTAAGAAATTCTTGTCAAGAACTTAGACTAGATTTCTCCCTTAGCGGAAACGCTAAGGATGTGAATACCATCGTCTGTCACAATTTGTATAATTGCAAAGTGATTTTATAAGAGAACTAGAATTGCAAAAGTAATCGCTGAGCTTACGAGTTGTATTTTGTTTCACAGGTATTACCTGGACCAAGGACACCCTGTTCGTGTACCTGGAAAACCCAAAGAAATACATTCCCGGCACGAAGATGGTGTTCGCCGGGATGAAGAAACCGCAAGAACGTGGCGATTTGATCGCTTATCTAGAACAAGCAACGAAGTAGGCGCGTCCTTAACGTGCACCACGTGCGCACCATTGTGCGGTTAGAGGTGTCAGGATGCGCTCGCGCGCGCGAGATGCCGCGCACGTCACGACACATTAGTACGATTATTATCACTCACTCCACATCTCCCTCCCCCTCCTCCTCCTTCTCTTCACCCTTCCGTTCTATTCTCCCATCATCTCAGTCCTGTATTCACGCCACTGATGGTATTCTCTCTTATCGATGGTACTCAGAGCGTTCGCGCATGTTCGAATAGCGATGAATTGTTATTATATTATTGATAAGTATGCGGCCGTGTGGATAATGTAACTATATGACACAGGAGTCGTTTCCGACCCTGTTCCCCTCTTCATCATCACCGAAAATATTCTCAGGTCGCCGCGTTACGGTCCACTGTGTGGACGGATCGGACCTGCGTCGTGCGATTATTTATTATCATCGTGCCGATTGTATCATGCAGCGAGTGTGTCGACCTGTAAAGTGCGACGGCAATATACAGACTAGACAATTCCAGCTTTTGTAACCTTTTCTCGCTCCTCCATTTTTCACATCGTACGACATAACCAGTTTATTGTTTCAATGTTCAGAGCGTTTGGAATCGCTGGATTACGGAGATTAATCCAGTCGAGTATTTACGATGCGATTAGCAGTCATTGACACGCTATGATTTTTGAGCGCCGATTAGATTAAACGCGAATCTGTCGAGTGTCCGTCCCCCTGTCTTATCGCTTTCACGGCCAAATAACTTCTGCCCTGTTCTATTATCGACCATCTCGTTCTCTCCCCCTCTCTCTCGTACAAGAATCCCTGATAAAGGAGCTGATACGGAGGATACGGAAGAGGATGCGGTTAGGCGGTGATAGGAAGTCTCTGGGTCACTTTACGATTTTACTCGACTTGTCGACGAAATTTTTTTCCCGTTGTAGTCGCTCTTCATGTGCCATTCCGATGCAACGTGTCCGCGTGCGTGCGTGTGTGTGTGCGTGCAGACGTGAAATTTGCACAATCGAATACTTTTGTAATCGAGTAAGTTCACCAACGGCGTGATTTGCAGATAACGTTTGACATTGTCGAATTGTTGTTTGATCAACATTCCTGCCTCTTCGGACTTTCTTCGGCCAACAGCGTTAGCTCGTAGCTCTTGAATTGTTAGAGAAAAACTTTTTATCGCATGTATATATGTGTTGCGGGAACAATAATTTCTTTCATATATTTCATAGAGAGGATAAACTATTAAATATCTGTTATATATTATGAGAGAAAGAGAGAGAAAAAGAGGCACAATTTTTTTCATATCCATGTTTCACGTGTAATTGTTAATATTATTCACGATCGATCACGTGTTGTTATACAAGATTTTTATGATAAAAATGATTTCACTTTACTAAGTGACGTGTTATATAGAGTTTGTATTGAAATTTTCTCAGGAGAGAGCACGTATTGTGAAATTCAGGATTAGACAGCTGTTTAAGCGTGCGTAAATCATGACGACTAATTCGGACGATCAGACACTTTCGAGCACCGACAGCAGTTGTTTCCCGTCACCCAAGTGCAAAACGTCTTTGAGACTGCGATTGGGTCGTGTCTTCAGCTCGGGCGGACTGAAGAGCCCGAAAAGTCCCAAGAGCGTGTCCAGCTCCCGCGGTTCGAGTCCTAATCGCGGTAGTCCTCACGCCAAAACCAGATACTCTTGGCAACCGGGGATCTTCGCCAGCGAAGAGAACCGATCGCCGCGTACGCCGGAGAGCGGGATCTCGTCATCGTCGTCCTCGAAATCACCGTTGACCATCAACGCACCCAAGAGTCCGTCTACACCGACGAAAAACGTCTCATGGTACACTGACGATAGGTGAGTTATCCATACAATGACTAGATATTTTACGATTATCGAATTTAATTAAGTGCGAGAGTGCGCATTAAGATTGCCTTCAAGCTATGTCCTTTCACCAGAAATTCTTTGGTCATTTCAAATATAATTTTCCCTTGACCGCGAAAATGTCGAAGGAATTTCCGAGATTAACAATTCAAATCGACTTACTTTGGTCCGAGGAAGTTTCTGTTCGGATCGCATCGTTAATGTTAAATAGTGAAAAGCCACTTCCGACGTTTTCACCCGGGAAAAATCGGATCAGTCGAAGAAGCTGCGATCGAAGAAACATTCACTTGAGGTTTAAGGATACTCCGTGTACATTGGATATTTATAAGAAAACTGGCCCATTAGCCAAGTTATAATTACCAACAGTGAGTGAAACACAAAGCGGGGATATTTTCGTCGCGAACGATTTTGAAAGTTCATTGAAACGCACTGCGAGAATAAATCTTATTACCAAAAATCGCGCGATCGCTCGAAAACTTCTTCGCTGAAAATTCCGTCCACGAACTTGTACCTCCTTATTAATCCAAACATTGAAACAACATTCGCTTGTTTTTCGAAACTACTTTGTTATACTTTGCTACCGACTTACGGCTCAACGCGTGAAGAAAACTTTGTATCTTTGCGATAAGAAATTAACCCTTTTCTCCTATTTCTCTTGAAATTTGCCGAGAACTCGATCGAGTGAACTTACGCTCTTAGTATCGAGGACTCGATTTATATCCTCGGTAATTATTTAAGAGTCACATTTATGAGCGAACTCGCATCTTCCGCTCTTTGGCGCGCTATTTATAGGGCGAATATAAAATCACGCGACGAATAATAATATCTCCTACATTTTTTTTTCTTTAATCCTTTGTGGGCGTTTCGCTGACCTGAAACCACGGCGTGGTATTCGTCAAAGGATACGCCAACTATTTTTACCCCCGACGCGCGCTCGCCACCTTTAATGAAAGATTATTCCCGCGGAGCAGATAAACGCACTTTGCGTATGCATTAGCAGCGTTTGTACAGCGTAAAACACAGTCATGTAACCTCGGCTCGTAATCGGGTTTCGCTAACGCGGCCAGTGTGATTCTCATGTCGCGATAACACACGTATTATTAGACCCGAATCAAACTGAGAATCCCACTAGTCTTAATTGACGCCTCTTTCTCGTCATTTTCAACTTTTATCGTTTCAATATCCTTTACGGAAAATTACATTTATCTCGAAAAGAAGTTAGAAATATTTCTGACACAAGACGATGTTCACTCGTGAATCAATTTTACGAGAGACGATTATAACGGCTCGAAAATACTATTTCGGGCGTTGTATTGACGTAGTGAAATGGAAAAAAAGCGGAAAATCGAATGGAACCCAATGTACATGCTTGCTTTGGAATCACACGTACTTACGGCTCGAAAGAGTACATTTGAAACTGCGACCTTCAAAGGGAGATAGGGAACTGGAAGAATTGCGGAAAAATACGCAGCGTGACAATGTAAAAGTGAACTTTCCCAACAATTACGCCGAGTACTTTCGATTTCTACCGCACTTTACTTTTTATTCAGATGAACCGGAAAGCAAAGTAGATGTTACATCACTTCAAATCCCTCGTCAACTGACGTCCAAGAACCTCCGTTAGAATTTTCAGCACACATCTGAGATTTAGCACGAGCGTCAAGTTCGACGAGAATCGCCCGGCCTCCCGTGTATTGGAAGAAGTCCAAGAACAAATGTATCGATCGTCGTGTTTGCGCCGGCGAGCATACGCTAGCGAGGCGCGGTGTCAGATAATGGAGATAAAAATCAGATAACCTTTGGCAAATGCTCAAAGTGTCGCCATCGGAACAGCTGACTCGCGATTCGTACAGAGACTACAATGCAACCCCAAGAGATAACTGCTGCTGGAATGATGCGCTCGAAAATTGATCCTTTCCGGGCGGGACAACACAAAAGAGAATGTATTCTAAGAGCGAGAAGCACGAGGAGGGGCGCGAGGAAGTTTTAATTAATTGCGCGACGTGACAAGTTTCTCAATTCCTCCGAGGCCTTATAATCGAACCGAGACGAACGGGTCGACCTCCTCGCGCGCGCAGAGTTTCGTCCCAGGATACACGTGAGTGAGCGAGGCTGTTTGTTGTCGCGCGAACGCATGACGACCGTCGTCTTTTTCGTACATCATCGAAGAACCGAGATGGGTCGATGCAGCGCCGGCGCTGCAAGACAAGCACCCCACCACCGCGCTGTCCGAACGATCGCGTCGAGGTGATGGTTCTCCTCTCTCTCTCTCTCTTCCTCGGTTTCGTCGGTAGTACCGATGCACCTCGTCGCCGTGTTCCCGCAGAACGGTACGCGCCGCGCTCGGAACCACTGCGGAACACGCCGCGCGCGCGCACACTCCAGCTAGGACGTCAGTTCGAACATCGTCGATCGGTCGGGCTTTAGCGGTCATCAGGTGAGTGACTATCGGGCGATTTCTGGCCCGACAGAATGGAAAATAAAACACGGCCGATGACGAACGCCGTAATTTCTTCGTTTTTCCTCGCTTCTTCCTCCCCTTTTTTACAAAGTGTCGATCGAAGCGTTGTCCGCGAGTGCCTGTCGTCGAGCACATTCGGCCCCGGGTTAACGGCGGATCGATTCAATGTTGTTTTGACATTTAGCCCCGACGATCGGCCGAAGCCATTGTAGCGAAAATACAAAATAATGTCATTTTAAGCGCGTTTTCGCTAAACTCGATACGCCGTTCGTAGTGTACGGATGAAATTTTCATGGTCACTTTCAACAACAACGTTCGTTACATCCGATGCGAAGGATATATCGCGAGAATATACTGATTTCTCGAACATTAGGAAGCAGTGCTCAAAGGATCGTTACAAGTGGTAGAGTACGTCCGGCTGTCGCATTCAATTAATCGATAATTTACGCGGACTTGGGGTTCGTTATCAGGGAATTAACGCGCGATCGTCGACATTACGAATACACTACACCACCGTAACGTAATTGCGCGCCAACGGATGGAGGACGGACGGTTCGAAAAGATTGGACTCTTCGAAGTACGCTCGTTCTTCAGGAAAATCCTACGCATACTCGAGTTGAGAGATTCCAGATACCTAGAAGCAAGCGAGTGTCACGTTTTTCGATTGTCCAAATGTCAAAATTTATCTACGAAATATCAACGAAAACGAAAAATGAGAGACGGATCTCTTCCTTGTTTTCTTTCTACTTGTTTTTTCAAGTGCGCGATTGACATCGAATATCATACGAAATTTCGTATATGGTCAATTACAAAAATGCTGCGATACTTTTTTTCGATTGAAGTTTTCGAACGCATCCATTCTCAAATACAATAGGAGAATTTGTTTTTTTTTTTTTCGGGAGATATGTTTTTCTACCGGACACGAGATGTGTTGCAAAACTCATCGAAAAAAGCGTGTGCAATCTCTTTGTAACTGATCATACGAGAGATTCGACGACGCGGACAAGCGAAGACGATGAGCACTCCGTGTCTCTGTGAAACACGGTGTGATCGACGGTGTAATCTATTTTTTCGCAACATCGAAAATGGGCTCCAATATCGTGTGTATCGTTATCACGAGCGCGTATCATCAACTGCACTACGTTAATTTCGCGCGGTATTTACACGAGCACGACCCGGCGATATGTATATAACGTTTGCCGATTTGTATTCCGCTTTTGCCTGTAACCTTCGCATCAAGTAGAGCCTATTCAGTGAAGTAGCGCGTGGAGGTTTAAGGACGGCTTCGAGCAACGGCCAAGATTTAGGGCGCGGAATCTCTCGGCACGCATATACGTTTGTGATGATATCGTTCCAACTTTGCGCGAGAGAGAGAGAATCTCTCGCCGTTATCGCATTTTTAACAAGAACGGTACAACTTATGACAAGGAACAAATATAATTACTTTTTTTAAAACGCGGTAATAAAAATCGCGAATTTCACAAACGTCTGAGGGGAGAAATAATGATTATCGCAGTTTCTTTGAAGGTGAGCGTTTGCGATTGGAATCGACGTTTGAAGTCACGTTTAATCGCCGTCTACTGCCGTAAAAGATACCGTGTGCGTGGCGGAATACGCGTTTACTCGCTCGCTATTAGCGATGTGTGACATCATGATCACGTAATGCAGATTCTTACGACCGTCGGTCTGGTTACGTAGTGTTACGGGGAGAAAGAGGCACACGATAAACAGATAAAATCTTTGCGGAAAACCGTGCGGGGACGACTGTGAACGACTTGTACAGCTCTTTCCATAAACATTAGTTAAATAAATCTGTGTGTCGCGCGCGGCGATTATTTCTACAACGACTTTAGATGAATGATAGAAAAAGAATCTCTCGCGCTTAAAGCGGATAACGGCAGCGATCGTAAGAATTCTATCCTTGCGAAAGGATTTTTCGTTCCGGCTGGCTGTTGAGAAAACGACGAGGGAAAGGAGTGACACGACCGCGTATACGTATATATGATGTCAGCTCGCATCATCGGACGAAAAGTAGGTCTAGGGAATCAGCTGGCCGAAAGTGGCGCGTGCGCCAGCTGCCGTCGAGACGCCCACCTAGCGATCGCGATTTCGTAACAGCGTAAACACGGAGGAAGCGACGTGTCGTCGACATTTCTTTCACCATACGCGGCAGACTTTAACGCTCGCGAGAGACGGTTTCGTGAATAAGAGAATACAGCCCGGTATTTAGGGCTGCGAGCAAGTAATTTCCTTTTTCATCCTGAAATGAACTCTGCCTCGGCCGCGAGAAAGCTCGGACAATTAATCTCGCAAGCCCCTCATCGATACGGTGGTTTCTTATCGAGGGAACGCGCGACTACGATGGCTACGGCGATAAGTTTTCCATCTCTCGCGAAGAGACGCTCACTCACTGTTGCTTCTCTTTCCGCGTATCGCAGACATGAAGTACTCACCGCAGCAGCAGCAACAGCAGCAGAAGCAGAGGAAGTCGGAGAGCGACGTCGACGCGACCCTCAGCAGGACGTCGCGACGCCCGTCGTCCTCTACGGAGCGCAAGAGCTCGTCGGCGTCGTCGACGCGAGCGGTCTGCCGCTCGCCGTCCACCGGAATGTTCGCTTGGATGCGCGTGTTCCGGCTCGCGTCGATGCTGCACCAGGTCGGCTGCTAAGGTTCCGCCGCGAGACCGCCGAGAACACGAGAGAGTCGATAGAATCGTATCTTAAAAAAAGAGTCTCAGATTAATAATTAATATCGTACAAAGAGAGCGGGTGACGCGCCGGCCGTGCGCCGCGCGAGTAGCCTGATTGCCTCCGCGTCGTCGCACGCGATTACATATATATATGAAAGAAAAATGCATATATATACATACATATATACACACACACACACATACACGGCCGAGTCGTTAACGTAGGGACGGCCGTTCTCGTAGCTCGATCATAGTGCGTTAACGTGATAATCACGTGCAGGCGAGTCGCGATCGCCGCGTAGACGAGAGATGTCGTAAAAGAAAAAAAGAACAGAAAAAAAGGCATCGCCGCCCACAAGGTGTCGAAGACACGCGAGTCGTTTATGCTGATCATTTACCATCTTCGTATCGCGTTATTCCTCTGTCCGCGCGATTATATTCCTTTCGTTCTCCGGGAGCGTTGTTGAAGCTCGTCTCGAGAATTCTTTCGTCTTAATTCGGTTTTCAGGCAGGATCGCGTGCGTGAACCTTACGTCGCGTGAAATCCCCGGTTTGTTTTAGCCGAGACGCAAATGCATACAATCGGTCTGACTAATTTATTCGCCGCCTCATTCCCCACTCGCCTTATCTGTCAACCTCTCTTGGCAAAGCGCGGAACACGCGAGTAACGTCGCGTATATTTTTTATACATACGATTGTCGTAGCCCGCGTAATGCGGCGAGGTTGATCGAACACGACCGAGATGGAAAGAGCGACGACGACGCTACTCGCGAAGCACCGATATATACGCACACAGAGGAGAACGAGGCCGGTTACTAATTGCAATCTCCCTAATGGACTCTACAGCATTTGCAGAAAGTACGCAGGGCAATCGTAACGGACTATTAGCTCGATCATTCGGATCTTCTTTCTTTATCACGCATTCCGGTGATGTAACGATATTAACCAGAAAATTTGAAATTATTCAAGAATATCGTTTGCGCTGTGTCACAACGCGGTGGCGAGTTGACGCGATTTTGTGTACTTCGATTATCAACATCGTAGTGTACGGTTTCACGTCCATCTGTCGTTCACGTGATTTTTATGTATAACATAATTAAGGTATTCGACTGATGTCTAATTTGAAAGAATGAAGTGCACAGGCGTTCGCGCGAGAGAGAGAGAGCCGAGTAGAAAGTTCAGCCTACCAAACGGAGGGATATAACTAATCTCGTTCTCTCCTATGTGTATCCACGTAACCCGGTCGATCAATGAGCCGCTCGACGGATCGATTGAACGATCCTTACTTAGTGCAATAAGCTTCGGAGATGATTCGTTGTTGAGAGAGAGAGAGAGAGAGATTTTCTCCTTCCGTCGTTGTGTCAGACGAAACTCCGCGTCAACACATACGCACCACCCACATATAAACAGTCATGCACTCGCATCTGCCATAGAACGATGTGACTCGTGTAATAGACGAATATTACATGATAGCATCGCGATGTTCTGCATGTTGGCGCGTTTCATTTCCGGATCCATAATTCCGTAATTCACGCGTGATCCCTTCTTGAGTTCCTTCCTTTTCTTCCTCTTTTCTTCGCCGCGGCCATTGTTCGACGTTTAACGATGTCAATACACCGCTATGCCCACCGTGGATTCTATTTTTATATAAAACGATGAGAGAAAGAAAAGAAGAGAGAGAGAGAGAGAGAGTGACGTACAGTTTCTTTGTTTTTTTCGAGGCATCGTGCTTTTCGTCACGAGCGGGAGGAAGAAAGAAAAGCGAGACCCGGTTGACAAAGTGCGCGAAGAAGCCACGTGATTTCCCTTCTCGGGGGGGTGTCCGCGATCGCTCATACACCGATTACGTCCGATTTCACTTCCCGTTGATTGTCATCACCAACGCCGAGCTCTATCAATGTTATATCTCGTTGATTGTTACATGGATATATTTTATGATTGCGCAGATTCACTAATAAATTAAATATTTGCTTTAAATCGTCCCGACACTGCTGCCTTCCTTTCCCTCTCGCGAGAAATCTTGGAACGAGAACGACGCTTCGAGTTGTAACAGAAGTTGTAGATTGCCCTTTTCTTCGCATGATGTGGCATTTTCCGTGCTCAAAGTGAGATAGGTGTGTATTCGCGATTGGACGGAATGTGGCCGCGAAAAGGCAACATCTCGGGAAACGTAATTCGGGGTATCACCTGTGCTTTCGACGAAGGAACGTCGGTAAGTACCGATTCAGCAGACTGCGTGAAAAACGACGAGTCGTACACGTTCGCTCGGAAATACCATCCCAAGT